GGAGCGGACTGAACTGGAAATCTGCAGAGCTAGCAAGCGCAAGGCCGCCACGGACAGTCAGCCGTCGAAAGCCTCCAAACGGCCACGCAACGTCCAGGATGTGGATGATTCGTAAGTGTTCATGGGAGGGCATAGATAATCCCGGCTGAAAGAGTTGCAGGCCGGACGTGCAGATGGAAGAGCAGGAGGTTTCCATCCCTCCGCGAAAGTTGAGGTACGCCCCCATGTATGCTTCATGTCTCAAACATGCTCTGAGTAAGGAACAGGTCCGAAACCAAGAGGGACGACTCCGTTGCACAGCAGGGGGTCAGAACATTGTACGCAGCCGCAGCCCCATAACCGTTCAAGCTCACGTCTAAGCACATTCACAGGCGGAAACGCACACCCACTGCCAAGGCCGCCGCGATGCAGCTGAAGCGCTCCAAGAAGTCGAAAGGTCCTTGAGCGCGTTTGCTGTCTAGGCCTGCCCTCTTTTGTACAGTGGTCTAGGTCTTCTAGTACTTTGATTGGGATGTAGCTCGTGCCGATGCAGATATATGTACATTTGCCCATGTCATCTACGGAGGGACCGCTAAGACAGAGGCAGTGCAATGGCTGACTGGCTACTGGGGCTATACCCCCATTTAGGAAGTACAAGCTGGGAATGTGCCTGGCGATCACAGATTCGTGAGAATTGATGGTATGACTTGTGCCCGATTTGGCATAATCACGCAAGCCATTCACCCATCACCCTCTTCATCCGTCCCCCGTCGCTCGTCCTCGCAGCATATACAATAATGTCCAGAAGCCGAAAGGGTGGGGGTTTAACTCCCATAGCGCAGGGCAGCGTCGTACGTAGCATGACAACCAGGCGGACGCCGGGGGGAAAGGAAGTTTATATGGAGAGGGAAGATTTCGTGCCCAGCCCACGTCTCCGCAGCCCCCAGAAGGGTCAGCGGCGGCCCTTGAGCGGGAGTGGTACGACTACACCCCGCAAACGGGGCCATATCGGGAGTCCCTCGCCTTCGCCTCGAAAGAGACGGACGGCGGTAAAGGTGCGTGACGTATACTGTGCAGAGATGTCCGTTTAACGAGACTGCAGACTTCAAACGATCACATGCGCGCGTGGTTACATAGACGGGCAGCCTACGAGGACGTCCTCATGCGTCGATTCGAGCCCAGCAAGCACAAGTGTCAATGCGGCGCAGCTACTGCTTCATACCTCTGCGAGACCTGCTTGGGGCGTAAGAGGCAATGCAGAGGCTGCATCCTTCGCGAGCACGCGTCTATGCCCTTCCATCACATCCGAAAGCATGACGGTCGCTCTTCAACGGCTACCGACCTTGGCGCGTTAGGCCAAGTTATCTGGCTGGGCCATGGAGGAGAGCCGTGCCCGGCCACCCTCGCGCACGTCCGGCTTCCTATGGACGAGCGTTGGTGTGATGAGGGGGAAGAGGAGGAGGACGGCGATCTCAGTGACCTCCTCAGGGACTGTGACCTGCGACAGGGACATCGTTTAATTATCGGTGATGTTGAGGGTATCTGGTGTCGTACGGTATACTGGTGTACGTGCCCCACCGCGGAGGATAAGGATATCCAGCTGCTGCACACCGGATTGTACCCGGGTACCGAGGATGAGCCAGCCACTGCGTTCACGTTGACGATGCTGGATGACTTCCTCCTATCGCAGTGCGAGGGTCGGATGTCTGCCCAAGGATATGTCCAGAAGTTGCGGAGGATGGCCAACCCAGCGTTCCCTTATCGAGTTTCGGTGAGTGGGGAATATACGCGATAAGTGACCTTACTAACGAGGCGTAGGATGTCTATAGACCATTCCTGCGCGCCATGCGTCAGTATACGAACATGATCACGAGAGCTAAAGCAGGTGTCGCTCACAAGATTCGGAGAGATCAAGTCCACATAGCTAGACCGCCGGGAGATCTGGCTTGGCGCTGCCCAGCATGCCCCCAGCCGGGATATAACTTGCCTCCAGAAGACCAGAGAGACGCAGACCATCCGTACGTACCTTGTCGCTCCGACGAGGAAAACAGTGGACTCAACATCCAGTCAGAGAGCTTTACATGCCCATGTTCACGCACGACGGTTGCTTCAAGTTGAACAACCAGCGTACCCGCAATCCCGACGCTGACGTGCGCCTCAGCGATGGCGAGTGCATGCTCGTCGGGAGCAGGCAATACCAGACGCACCTCAAAGTGACCAAGGAGCCCGCCAATGTACGTGCTCTGACCACCGCCCCACCTGTCATCCACGTGACAATTCACTGCAGAGGAAATCCTGTCAGAATCACCGGGCGGTTGCCAGCAGTCGATCGAGAGATCGCAACTTAGCTGCCAGTGGAGTGGGCACATACGCCTGTGCCCGTCATGGTCTGTTCATCCCGCACACCACCGTTGATTACCAGAAAGGCGAAGCGTGCGTACTACAGTCGGAAAGTCGCCAGCATCCCCTGATGGTATGACTGCGTAGGCAAATGAACACAGACTACTCAACCTCATGCCTCATAGAAGGGTTGTCTGCAGAAACGCACAAGATCCTCATCGCCTACGACATCATGTGTGAGTATATCGTCAACCTCAAGACGCGCCTAACCGAAGGACCCTACCTTACCAACCGTGCGATCGACATTGAGGCCGCTGTGGGCAAGTTCCATCTCGGCGCACACATCCGAGAGTGCTTCGCCAAATTCTCCCCCAACTTCATCAAGGGAGCCGGCCAGCTGGACGGCGAGATCCTGGAAACGCTCTGGGCAACCCTAGAGAAGCTGGCCTCCAATACAAGGAGCATGTCACCCGCTCATAGGCAGGAAGTTCTTGATCTGCTCATGAACGACATGAACTGGAAGAAGATCATTCAACTAGGTGGGCGACAAACGGCCGCAGTGAATGATTGACTCACAGGATGGTCGCCTCACGCAGCCGACGTCCTTAAGAAGAAGGCGATGAAGGCCTCCGTCGAGTGCAAGCACGCCCGCGCCGCGTATGAGGAGCTCAAGGACACACTATCCGATCAGCAGACAGCTCGGTGGCTACAAGAGGAGCGTGAGTCCTTGGAGGAGGGCCGAGAGGGAAAGAGCGTGTATGACATACGAGAGGAACAAGGTGAGCCTTGCATGACGGGTCTGCATGCGCCCTTATGGACTGCCGTTTTAGTCCCCGGTGTTGCGGAGCGCGCCCTCGCAGTAGCGAGGCGGTATGAGGATGATGATGTGGAGGAGCCTATCGGGTTAGAGTTGCTGAGGGAGGCCATGAGGATTGAGAGTGTGCAGTGCGTGTCTAGAATGTCACGATGACACTGCGTTTTCTCACAAAGACAAGGGACAACCTACTTCCTCTGGCTAAGCAGCAAAACAGGACGGCCTCGCAAGAGCGTCAGCTGCTGCTCAGACGGGGCAAGCTACACAAAAGGATTTGCAAATTCGAAACACGCATCGCGAAGGTTCTCGATGCTGCCCCCGTGGAGGGCGAGGTTGACTTGGGAGACGAAGAAGTGGAGGAATGGCTTGGAGATGAAGGGGAAGCAGAGAGCGAAGGGGAGGTGGATGAGAGGGAGGGAGAGGGAGAGGATGAGGATGAGGACCCCGACGCGCCTGACGTCGGGCTGCCAGAGCGCGAGCGGCTCACTCTGCCCTCGACCACTGGGCACATCACCGGGGAATTGGCCGACTTGGAGAGGGACCTTCGGGACGGCCAACGAGCGGATGCCCTGCGAGGCGTTAGGCTAGGCCTCGCAGAGAGAGCCCGCTTGTATCGCACCTCCGTGCGTCGCGGCCGAGGGAGTCACAAGACGACTACAAGGGCTTTTGCAGCGTTACGTAAGTCAGGCGCACGCATCGCCCGCCACGTGCGGATGTACCACCGCGCCCGCGACGCCCTAATCGCCCTCGGCAAGGACGAATCGCAGCTACCGAAGATAGATAGTCAAGACCTCCGCATCAACAAGGACTGGACAGAGGAGAACAGGACAGGCCAACGCTCCCATACCTTACCCTGGTTCTGGCGGGTCGGCAACAGTGCGGCCGCGGAAGATGGGACAGAAGCCGCTGGTGTCCATGATCGTAAGCGGGACCAAAGAGCGTTCCTTTGGATACTGATTGGTACTGCAGTATACAGAGTGAGCTTCCTGCGAGCCAAGTGCCGACTGGAGCGATGGGAAGAAGAGGAGCGTCTGGTAAGCCACGAGATGCTGTGGACTCGGCTAGCCTTCGAAAAGCAGCAGGGTACATGGCAAGCGGCAGGGGACGCTGCGAGGTCGTCCACAGAAGGTGCGGGATGGGCTGCGTATGCCTATAACCAAGCGGACATGTGGGGCTCGTTGGCGACTGAATGCGTGACAAAGTTTCAGGACTACGCGGGAACCCTTCCAGGGTGGGAGCCGAGCAGTAGGTAGTAGCTATGATCCATGTACCATGTACATAACCTTGTATCTCCATTGACAAAGTATGAAGGTGAGTGCGTGCCATTGTGGCTGAGAGAGCATGGGCCATCAATGTACCGGCCAATAATGGGTATCTCCCCAGCTTGGCTGGAACCGGCGAGCGCACACGCGGTGGACGACCTGAGGTGGAGCCGCCGTCGAACCGCGTTGGCTGCATCTCATATGGCGGTGCAGGCCCAGCAAAAAAGCAGCGTCTCACATGCAGCCGGCGACTCCGCATGACGTCGACTCTCTTAACACCAGCACCTGCACTTGACACGGCGCCGGCGGCCCAGCCTGTCAAACCAGGTGGGGTGGCAGCCGCCGGCTGGCCGCCTGTGCCGCACGAGCTGGACTAAACTTGGCCGGCCAGTCCACTTCATGTGGTGTGTAATGGAAATAAGGGTCTGGATTATTGGTACGAAGGGGAGCTGTTGCCGGAAGACTCGCCTTATATTCTAGAAAGCATTTACGAAGACGCCGAGGAGGTCGAGAGAACGGGGGTGCTGAGAGAGGAGGTGTACGCTGCCATAGGTATGAGCGCCGAGGAAGCAGGCGAGACTTTGGGGCCCCGCGAGCTCGCGACCATGCCGAAACCCTACACCCCGGCGAAGGTGAGGCTACATCCTCGCGCCAGGAAGAATAGGAGAGCGGGGGGCGATTCGCATGGGGTACTGTGCATTCGTGGGCACCTGGGCTCTGAGGACGAAGCCGAGATCGACCTCCGGGTGGACTCGTGCGCTAGTCGGACGTTCGTTAGCAAGGAGCACGCCGAGTCGCTGAAAAAGAAGCCCGTCATCAAGCAGGGAACGCCGATGAAGCTACTCCAGCTCACGGAGACTTCCACCCCAATCAAGGGAAGCACCCGCCTGTCGGTAGTGGTACGGATGGACGACGGGACCATGGTTGAGATGGAGGGACCCATGCACGTAGTGGAGGGCATGACGGTGCCGGTCCTGCTAGGAGAGGACTTTCAGCAGGCGTATGAAATGTCAGTATCACGGAGCGTGGAAGACGGCACGGTCATCACCTTTGGAACCTCGGGCTACTCGAAAACCGCCGTACCGTCAGCCCGAAGCAAGGAGCTGAGACAGGAAGTCTTAGCGGTAGAGCGCGCCTGCGTGGAGGCTCCCCCGTCGCAACAGTTCCTCAAGAAAGCAGCGCGGCACCAATGGCAGAGGAACTTCAAAGCGAAGAAGAAAATGCTGAAGGAGGACGACTATATCGTTAGGGCTGCCGAGGATGTCATCCTACGCCCGGAGACGGTGGTCAAGGTAGCCGTGACGGGACCCTTCGAGGAAGGAGGAGACTGGATGGTGGAAAAGGAGATGATATCCGCGACGAACGAGAAGCCTTTCCTAGTACCCAACGCCCTCGTTGCTGCAGATAATCCCGCCATCCCGGTCGCCAACATGGCTACGATTCCTAGGCGAATACGCAAGGGCAAAGCGCTAGGACGAGCACGGCGAGCAGAGGACTTCCTGGACAAGCCGGAATCGAGCGAGCAGGCGGAGCAAATGGCGAGACACGCCGCGTTTCTGAGCGAGGTGTGTCAGGCGCGGGAGCGTCAGGAGAAGGAAGTCGCAGGACGGGCGCAGCGAGGACGAGGCGCAGTCGACCCGAAGTACCACATGCCGGAGGAAAGCAACTACGAGGCTTGGCGCAAGGGGGAACGCTCATTTCCCATGCCCGACGCGGACACGTACGAGTCCTGGAAGAATTCGTTCGTAGACCAAGCTCGACAGGAATCCGCCGAGGATGAGAGCGAGGAAGTGGGACCTAAGACCGCGGAAATGCCCGACACGGCAGACGTGAGCTCGAGCGAGTTCAGGCAAGTACTCGATGTGGGCAACCTCCCGAGGCACCTAGAAGGAAAGGCGTGGAGAATGCTGGAGAAGAGAAAAGGCGCCTTCGCGTTGGACGGTAAACTGGGGAATCACCCGGCAATGGCGAAGATACGAACGCAGGAGGGTACCCAACCAATCGCACTTCCCTTGCGCAGCTCCTCTCCAGCAAAGAAGGCGGTAATGGACGAACAAATCGACAAATGGTTCGAGCAGGACGTGATTGAAGCCTCGCGTAGCCCGTGGAGTGCGCCGGTGGTCATCGCGTACAGAAATGGCAAGCCGCGGTTCTGCGTGGATTATAGGAAGTTGAACGCCGCGACAATTCCTGACGAGTTTCCGATCCCGCGGCAGCAAGAGATATTAGCTTCGCTGGCAGGATCGCAGGTGTTGTCATCGCTGGACGCGCTCTCGGGCTTTACTCAGTTACGACTGGATCCGCAAGATATAGAGAAAACAGCGTTCCGCACGCATCGCGGCCTCTTCCAGTTCAAACGCATGCCTTTCGGACTGCGCAACGGACCGTCTATCTTCCAGCGAGTCATGCAGTCGGTCCTCGCGCCCTACCTGTGGCTTTTCGCTCTAGTCTACATTGACGACATAGTCGTGTATTCCAAGTCATTCGAGGAGCACATAGATCATCTGGATCGGGTCCTACAAGCGGTGGAGGACGCGAATATTACGCTGTCGCCGAAGAAGTGCCATCTGTTCTACGACTCTATCATCTTGCTGGGACACAAGGTTTCTCGACTGGGCTTATCGACGCACTACGAGAAGGTAAAGGCGGTCCTGGAAATGAAGCGGCCGTCCACGGTCTCGGAGCTCCAGACCTTCCTCGGCATGCTCGTCTACTTCAACGCCTTCATCCCGTATTACTCGGACGTGTGCGGACCGCTGCACGAGCTGCTGAGGAAGGGGGTGCGTTGGAAATGGGGGGCGGAACAGGAGTACGCCTTCCTGCAGGCGAAGAAAGCCCTCCAGAGAGCGCCGGTCTTGGGGCATCCGATGGAAGGACGGCCATACAGGCTGTACACCGACGCGTCGGACCACGCGTTAGGATGCGCGCTACAGCAGGTGCAGCCCATCAAAGTAGGAGATCTGAAGGGCACAGCGGTGTATAAAAAGCTCCAGGACGCCTTCGAGAGGGGAGCCCCCGTACCGAGATTCGTGGCGAAGGCATCCTCAAAAGCAGCGGAGATGGCAGAGAACGACGAATGGGGGGCGTCTCTCGACGAAACGACCGTACACGTGGAACGAGTCATAGCCTATTGGTCGCGAACCTTCAAGGGAGCGGAAGCACGGTACAGCACGACAGAAAGAGAAGCGCTCGCAGCAAAGGAGGGGCTAGTGAAGTTTCAGCCGTACCTGGAGGGATCTTCGGTGCTGCTCATCACGGACCACAGCGCGCTGCAGTGGGCGCGAACCTACGAGAATAGCAATAGAAGGTTGGCCTCATGGGGAGCGGTCTTCTCAGCGTACAGGCCCGGTCTGGAAATCGTACACCGAGCAGGGCGAGTACACTCCAATGTCGACCCATTGAGCCGCATTCCGCGCGAGCCGCCTCCGTACGTAACGCCGAACGAGCCGCGAACGCCACCCATTCAGACGGACTCCGCGACGGCCGCCCTGCGAGAAGAGAAAGCGGCGCGAGCAAAGGCAGAAAGAGCTTTCGTGGGCCTGTCGATCGGCGACTGCCTAGAAGACCCTCCAGAGGCGTACGGCGCACAGCTTCGCCGCTCGGCCCGTCTTGCGCGCCGGGGGGCGGAGGAAGTGGAGGCCCAGAGGCAGCCGGAGGAACGGCGAGAACAAGAACAGAAGCGGGGTGAGGACGCGCAAAGACAGGGCGAGGACGAAGACGAGGAAGGAGCAGTCGAGGACCCGGAAGAGGAGGACGACGGCAAAGTCGAGGACGTTCCGCAAAGGGCAGCTTACGAGGCAGCCTTCCGACGACCACCAGCGCTGGCGGCGCACGTGAGCAAGGAGCTAGCGGAACGATTCAGGGAAGCATACCAGAAGGAGGCCACTTGGAAGCGACGCTATGAGGAGGCGGGTACCGTCTCGAGCGCCTGGGTGCCAGGAAGGAGATACTACCGTTCGGAGGACGGGCTCTTGTTCTTCCTCGACGCGGACTACCTGCCCCGACTGTGCGTACCAGACGCGATGGTGGACGAAGTCATGCGACGAGCACACGAGGAACCAATGGAAACGGTGCATGCGGGAGCAGCAAAACTCTGGGGAAAACTACACCCACGATTCTTCTGGCGACGTATGAAGAAAAGGATAGAGCGGTTCTGCAGCACTTGTGACGTCTGTCAGAAAGTGAAGTACGCGTCCTTCCGGAAGTACGGCACCTTGATTCCGAACCCCATTCCCGCGGCCCCGTACGAATCGGTTTCAATGGACTTCGTGGTAGGGCTGCCGATTTCGGAAGGGCACGACGCGATCCTAGTGGTGGTGGACCGACTCACCAAACACGCGCAATTCATCCCGACCACCACGGGAGTCAACCGCATCGAGACAGCTAAGCTCTTTGTGAGGCACGTCGCCTCTCGATACGGAATACCGGCGAGCATAGTGTCGGATCAGGATCCTAAGTGGGCATCAGAATTCTGGGAGCAAGTGGCGAAGGAGTTGCACACGGACCTACTGATGTCGACTTCGCATCACGCCCAAACAGACGGGCAGACCGAGATCGTGAATCGCTTCATGGAAACCATGCTCAGAGCATACGTGGCGGGAGACCAGGAGAAGTGGGCCGAATTCTTGCCGCTGGTCGAATTCGCGTACAACTCTACGGTCCACCGATCAACGGGCGAGACTCCCTTCCACCTCCTCATGGGATACCACCCGCGCTCGCCCATGTCGTTCTGGAATAATAACGACCAGCTGTACGAAACAGCACAGAGAGTACCGGAGGCGCAAAAGTTCCTCGAGGAGTTAGCGATCAGGAGAGAACAAGCAAGGGACGCAATCGCGGCGGCGCAGGACGAGCAGGCAAGGACGTACAACAAGGGGCGCAAACCGGTCCCCGAGTTCAAGAAAGGAGACAAGGTGCTAGTGAACCCTCATTCGCTGGAGTGGATCGAGAGCAAAGGGCAGCAGAAACTGCGGCAGCGGTGGATTGGGCCCTTCGAGATCCAGCAGCGTATTAACCCGAATGTGTACCGCTTGCGCATGGATGACCGCTACCCGGGACTGCCGATCTTCAATTTCGAGCACCTCAAGCCTTATCGCGAAGGGGACTCGAGTGTGGAAGCGGAACGAGCGAGATTGCCGACGACTCGGCCCGACAAGCTGGAAGGAGACGAGTACGAGGTGGGAAAGATACTGGAGCACAGATGGAACAAAAAGAAGCGCAAGCGCGAGTACTTGATCAGGTGGAAAGGGTACGGCCCTCACTATGACACTTGGCAGGTCGAATATGACCTGCGCAGCGCGCCGGACACTCTGGCGGAGTACAAGCGCGAAAAAGGGCTGTGAAGACCGCAGCGGGCGCATGTGCATAGAAGACCTTCGCGGGAAGCCTGAGCCAGGTCGACAGAGTAGGTCGAATGGGGAAGAGGAACGCGCGGGAAATCGTCGGTTCGTCATATCTATTGTAATTATTCTCATAACGCTGTTCTGCTTCCACCCCCACGACAGTTGGCGCTCTGCAACCCCGACCTCTATCTCCCCTGCGAGGACCGCCCGCTTGGGATCGAGCGTCGCGACAAACGTTTCCTGGATAGCCGGACTCGTTAGTCGACGCAGAATGGTGTCGTTTCTCCTCCGCCCGAACGCCGCGCGACTCCCCCTCTTCGCCGCCAGCTACAAGCACTACAAGCAGTGGGTGTCGATAGGCGGCGATCCAGCCGATCTGGACCACCTCAACCCCGAAGACAGGCGTGTTCCCTACTACCTGCGCCTCCCCTCTACGCGATTGGCCTACTTCAACCACGGGCTCCCCTGGGAAGGGTACATGCCCTGCTCCCTGGTCGACGGACTAGACCTCTTGCAGCCTTTGATTCGGCGCCCCCTCGCGAGCGAGGTCATCAACGCGGAGGGCGGGAAGTACTGGGTCGTCGCGAGCTGGGTCATCGAGATCTGCGAGATAGCGGGGAAAGTCGAGGCGGCGTGCCGAGCAATCCACGAACAAGCGGGGGACTTATTCAAGCGCGGTGAAGAGGCGTCCCCGCCCGATTACCAACCCCTCTCGTTCGGACCCCAACGGCTGGAGATCGGTTTCAACACGCGAGAAGAGGCAGAAGCGAGAGTAGAGTTGGTGAGGGCAGCCGCGCTCTGCAACACGGCCTTCCTCGCATGGTTCACGAGCATCGTGCACAGCTGGCACCTTCGACTGAGCGATGACACGGCGGAGTTCATCCGATCGTTGCGCCTAGAGGAGCGAGAGATGAGGGGTTACGTGCTCAACTTGGCCATCGACTTCCCGTGGATCGACCTACAGCTACTCATCGAGCACGGCGTGCCCATACACTACGCCTGGTCCCCGCCTCTCCATAACGACCTCCGATTCACGCGAGCGAATCCGTGGTTGATCGCTCGGGTCTTGGAAATGAGGAAGCAGCTGGGGAGGGAACCTTCGGACGAGGAGGTGCTCAAAGGACAGAACTCTGCCAAGGCGGTACTGGAGTACGACCGATGGTTTCAGCCGCGCTACAAGGAAGTCGACCTCACGCCCGTCATCAAGTCCCGCGAGGAGCCCGAGAACTACGTGCAGCTATTCTACGGTTGGCACCCGCACCCGCTCAACGACAAGCGAGTACTCGAGGGTGCCCGGGGTGTGTACCAGATGGGCGACCCGAGGTCGATCGACGACATGGAGACCTGTTTGGGCGACATCAACGTGATTTACCGCTGGGCGAAGAAAGGAGCTACCTGGGTCGAGGACGACGAGCTCGAGGATTGGGCCATTTTCGACGTGCCGGAGAGCTATCAGCGGGGCGACTTCATGCACGGGCGCGAGCTGAGGCGTTTGACGTGCGCGCCCCTACCCTCGGAAATGTACGACGAGCCGGTGATACAGGGAAGGGACAAGGAGGTCATCAACACCGAATACTACCTGCTCGAGGCCTGCGCTGGCGAACCATCCGAACGGGAGACTTGGGAGGCTTGGTGGAGCGCGAGGGAAGATGAAATTCCTCGCTTTGTTTACGATAGCCGGGAAGGGTGCGACCAGATCCCGGAGGTACCGATCGCTCAAGGTAATCGATACCACCGCTACGATTCCGACTGCGAAGGCGAGCCCAGCCTGCTTAAGCGAATGGAACTGCCGCCGCCGTCGCCCAAGAAACAAAAGCCTCTGATCGAACGCTTGGGACCTGCGGTGGCCGCGTCGCTGGAAGCAGGGCCGTCCGGGAGCACTCGGCGCGAGTCCACTTCGAGAGAGCGCGGCCGCTCTCGGGCGAGAGCGTCGCCGCGGGAGCCCGCACAGGCGAGCGGAAGCCGGTCGGCAAGGCGCAGCGCCTCCCCGCCGCGGACTCGCGCCGCCTCCTCGCTTTCCTCGTCGGCCGCCGCATCGACGTCGTCGAGGGACTACGCGATCGCCATTCCGGATCCTTCCATGCGCTGGGGTGTCGTCTACCCTCCGTCGGAGCGATGGAACGACCTGCTGGCGCAGCACTTGCGGGAGGTGGAGATCTTGTCGGAGGTGCTCACCGCGAAGATACGCCCCCGCAGCGCCGACGTGGAGGGACGAATCCGCTGGGCCTCAATCGTCTTGAAAGAAGGGTACATCGTCCTCCTACACGCCCAGCACCAAGTGCGCATGTACGTCTGGCGCGTGCTCGGGCAGCATAGGTCGGTGGAGGATTTCCTGGAACAATTCGCCAACACGGGGGTCCCTCTGTCCATCGCTCTGCCACAGGCTCTGTACCCATCCCCCGACCAGGATCAGGCGCTGGGGGACGAGGAGACGCACTCGGCGACATTCCCCGCCTACGGAGTCGGAGGCAAGGATCTGTTCGCGCGCTGGAAGGACTGCATCCGCTCTCTCGCCAGGAAGCCTTACGCGGGCGCCCTGTACTTCGCCAGCGACATCGCCAGCTTTGTCCTCCGACGCTACGCGTGGGACTTGGTGGCCGCGAAGGTCGGGGAGGGGCCTTGTGAGGAGACGCGTCTGCACCGCAGCGGCACCAAGTACTTCCGCGGCGGACCCTTCCCTTCGCTGTTTTGCGACTACTCCTCGTCTGAGGAGCTCGCGCTCCTGCACGGCTGTATCGTGGCGGTGCTCAACGCGGACAAGACGACGCACCGGCACGCGTTCCCTCCGCACAACGTATGGGCGGCGCACTGGCCGACGAAAGGGGAGTGGGGCGTCGAGGAGCAGAAGTACCTTACGGAGCTGGCCGAGGCCTTTGAGCAAGGGATAGCCGAGATCCCGCCGGAGAATCTGTGGCGCGAGCGACTCCGCAGCCGGAGCAGGAGCGCGAAGGGGTCGGGTTTCCGCAAGGCAGATGCCCTACAGGCCGCAGACGCAAGCGCTTGGGCGGCCCACTTCGAGAAGATCTACGGGGGTGATCGGCGCTTCGTACGTATCGCGGATCTGGGAGAGCGCCTGCGCCCTCAGCGTTTGTTCGAGTAGGTGGCCTCACCTCAGAGGGGGGGGCTTTGTGGAGGACGGGGCTCGTAGGCCTCTTCGGCGAGCCCAACAAGGACTGAACAGACGCGTTTGTATTGTACTACTACCTATGCTACTTACCGAATCGTTTCCGCGAACCGCGCGTGGCGACCCCGTGACCCGGGCGCCACGCGAGGTCACGCACTGTACTTATAGTCACGACCACGAGTTCAATGATCACCTTTTTTTCTCCCTCATTCCTCACCACGAAAGCCTTGCGCTCGACGCGAGCCTCGCTACAGTCGAGAACGGTAGGCTGGCTAGGACCGCCCACCGTAGACGCCTTGAGTAGAACACCAGGATTGCCGGTGTTCCTCGGCGTCGACTCGCCACTGGGCGACCACTCCGCGTCGACGCACGTGCCTCCGTGAGTGCACCCTCTCGGAGCCCCAGGGTCTCCACACTCTGGGTACAGCCAAGCATCCTCTGGTAGAGCTACAGCCATCTGGCCAGCCAGAGAAGAGGCACCCAAGCCAGCCTTCTTGGACCGGGTGGAGACAAGGAAGTTATAACTAGAGACAACATACATGCCTAGCTTGCAGCGTGTGAGCATAACATTTGTGCGTCGGAGGCTGCTGAGGAAGCCTAGGGCATTGGATCGAACCAGTGATACAATAATGTAATCTTCCTCATTTCCTGGAGAATTATGAGTATAGTGCAATATACCAGGTGTAAAGCCAACCTTGAAATGAGTCTACATTGAAAACCTTATCACCCCACTCAAGACCCTGATCCCGCAGAGTCTTCTCAAGGAGGTTGCGCTGGCCATCGTAAGGGGTGATGATCTTGTAGTTCTTGCCCTCGGACTCGAGGATAGTGGCAATCTTCATAATCTCCTTGCATTCAGCCTTGTTCTATTGCAAAGTCAGAATCAATTGATAAACAAGGCAAAAGCATACCTGGTAGCTGTCCCCAGATGGCTGCTCAGAGCCTTCTGCATCTACTACCTTGACAGCAATTACATCATTCTTGATGATATGATTGGGATTGGACTTCAATCTGCCCTCGTACACAGCCTTGGAGATGAAATCTCCAAGCTGGGGAGGCATACGGTCTAGCCAGCAGTGAGTAAGAGCTAAAATAATAGTATATTGCACATACACTGTGTATCAAGGAAAACAACATTGTCGTGGAGGTGTGGGACCTCAAAGATGCTCTGGAGCTCCTCAAGCTCATCTTGGCCAAATGGGGGCACTGTAAATTAGTTAGCAAGGTAACTAACATACAAGGGTGTCAGACTCACACTGCTTGTCATCTCCAATAAAGCAGGCTTTGCGAATAGATGGGTAGTTGGTGAAGACGGGAAGGTAGGCACCAATCTCGATCTGACTGGCTTCGTCGACAATAAGTGTGGTGAGTGGGACAACAGAGGTGAATCTCTTCTTCATCAAGTCATTCGACAGCATAGAGATGGTGCAGAGGATAACCTCAACACCCTTCAGATCCTTCAGCCTGAGCTTCAGGAAGCGGTCAGAGGTGATGAGGTTCTCCTTGACAGAATCGTAGATATGCTCATGCCTGAGGTGGAGGTCAGAAAAAGGCAGGAGAGAAAGAGTAAAAGGGCATACCAGTCATGGTAGAAGTCTGTAGAGACTAGTAAGCGATAGCTATGGAATCCAACTTTCTCCAGCTTCTCCGCGATATTCTTGACAGCCACATTGGACTGGGCAACGAGCCAGATGCCCTTCTTGCCAGCCGCAATGGATTGCTGGACTGTAGCAGCTATGACTAGATGATAATGAGCTTTCTGTACCCATAGGTCAAACAGTAGCTTACCTGATGTTTTGCCAGTGCCCGGAGGTCCTTGGATAATGGTAATACGGTGCTCATCCAGCTCAGATAACATGGTATGTACTGCGTGACGTTGGGATGGGTTCAGATTTGTGGCACGGTCTAGGTTGTATGTAGGGGGTGAAGCAGACTTGGTAGACCACTCCTCAGGCCAAGCAAGGGTGGGGCGAAGCCAGATGTTCTGCACCCATGGGTTGTCTGACAGGAGGTCAATCTCGCCCTGCAAGATCTGCAGTATGACGGCGGCGCGCTTCATATCAGCGAGGGTGGGGTCGTCCTTGCCAACCGAGACCAAGGTCTTGATGATCTGGTCCTCGTTGATCGAGAGCGCAGTCTTGAGGCTGGCGCCCTTGCCGCGCGCATCCTCGACGGCGGCGGAGGTCATGTATCGGCCACCGGACTTCGTCTGGACGACCATCTGCACGTCCTGAGGCCAACATCAGGGTGGGGAACACGATCGGGTAGCAGGGAACGCACCTGGCCGGCGCGAAAGCGCTGCGAGTACTTCTCTGCCTTGACCTTAAGGCTCGGGTCGTCCATCATCCCTCCTCCGCTGTCGCGCTTGAACGCGTGCTTCTTGCGGTTGGGCTCGTTCTGCTCCATGCGACGCGAGTCATTCGCGATCTTGCTGATCACGTCAAGGTACTAGGGGAGCATCAGCAACGCTCCGGCGAAGAGAAGGAGGCAACGCACCGCCGACGTAAACCTCTCGCTATCAATTGGCTTAACCTCAGCGAACGATGTCAGCCCGCCCTCGTACGTCGCGACGAACTGCGCGAGCCACGCGAGGGGGACAAGCGCGGAGCAGCGGCGGTTGGTGGGCGCGTTGATCTCGAACTTGGTTTGCTCCGCAGCGCGCTTGAGGTTGTTCTCGTACACGCGCTCCTCCCCGACGAGGGCCTTGGCGACGTCGACGTGCTTGCGCGTCGGCGCGGACTCCTTGCACGCGGACTGTACGTCGAGCCCGTTCTTCACGCGCACGCCGATGTCGGTGTAGAGGGCCATGGCGAGGGGGCCGTAGTCGAATGCGTAGGTCTGTCCCGCGTCTCGCGCAAGAACATACTCCTGGAGGACGCCGCGCCCGGCGACGGCGTCATCGGAGGGGGACGCGCGACCCGTGCGGGACGGCCGCTCGCCGGCGAAGAACTCGATGATCACGGCGTGGCGATCGCTCGCGATGGCGAGGCAGACGAGCTGGCCGGTGGTCGCCGAGTACGCGGGGTTCAGTCCGAGGGGCTGCGCGGGCTCGAAGACGGCGAAGGCGTCGGGTGTGAGGTCCGTATCCTTGTAGATCGAGCACTCGATAGAGGGCTGGCGGAGTTTGACGAGGTTTTGTTCGACAGTGAGCTGAGGGATAGCCATGATGGCAACGACGACGAGAGTATCGATGGCGATGCGCTGAGAGGACGGTCAGAGGGTCCCGCAGGCCTTCGACCGCACCATCAGCGCGATGGTATCTCGGTAAGTCGCGAGCGCCGAGCAGCCTGCAGGCGAAGTTGCCCAACACGGAAGGTAAGTCCGATCGACGGAGCTCTGAACGCCCGCGACAACTCGCTCAACTTCAGCAATAAAAAACCGCTGGGATACGACAAGCGGGGCTCCTCGTGCGTTGGTAGTTCAATCTCACTCCCAGAAACATTTACGAACGACAGTGATGTGCATTCATCGTTAAATAAAGCGTTAAATAGGGATAAAGGTGGCGTCCTCCACCGAGTCTTCCCTGACTATGGTATGTTCATCACGATGCATGGGAGCGACAATCTGAGGGAGTGCTTAGGGGCAGAAGGTGACGGTGTAGTCTGCGCGAGGAACATCAGAATGGGTATCGCAACAGGAATGAGTCGAAGAATACTCACCAGCCTTGTCCGCGGTCGGGCAGGTCCAGAGGGCCGTCTTCGAGGACTCGTCGTACGCGTAGACGTACGAGTTCTTGCAGGCGTTCTTGAAGTAGTCGTAGTACTGGACACCGTCGGGCGGGCAGGTCTCAGCGGTGTTGTGCGAGCCGCTGCAGCAGTTGGCGGAGTCGGCCCTAAACGAGGTCAGCCAAATTCCTCATCCGGTACACGACGAGATACTCACTGGTTGCCGTCGAGGTTGGCGAAGCAAGCGGACTTGCAGCCGACGACAGAGCCGTCCGCGCCGGTCTGCTGGAGCTCCGCCGGGCAGTCCGGGTTGAGGTCCGCGGGGCAGGACGCCTCCTGGCAGTCGGTCGACGGGGTGACCGCGACAGGGATGTTGAAGCCGTCGACGAGCGAGACATCGTACCAGTCCGCGTCGCCGTCGCCGCTGAGCGTCCACTCGGCAACAGTGGCGGGCGGGACACCCGTGCCGGCGTCCTTGGAGCACTCGAGGCCGCCGTTGCAGCCACCGGTCTCGCAAGAGGTCGGGCCCGGGTTGGTGCTGAAGTCGCAGGACGTGCGCGGCCAGATGCGGCCGGCGGTCCAGTTGTCGGGGACGTCGAAGGAGACCTCCTCGCCCGCGCCCTGCTCCCAACTGCACGATATGTTAGGACGCTATTGAGAAGAAGCGATAGCGACGCTGCTTACCCAGTGGCGTGGTCGGGAACGGCAGAGCCGGCGTTCAGGTCAGTGAAGAGACCCGGCCAGACGGTGAACGCGCAGTTGTTCTTGACCGTGAACTTGCGGGCGGTGGCAGCCGCGACGAGAAGCGAGAGAACGGCGAAGCTCTTCATGGTGTGCGTGAAGTGAGGGAAGACTGTGAAGTTAAATACGAAAGATGGGAAGGACGATTCTTGGTGAGGAGTGTCGTTCCTGCCCGCCTACCCTTATATACATCCCGCCCTCGCGCCCCCCGTTGCCCTCCTGTCAAGCGCACTCAGAATCACAGTGGGTCCGCCGCAGGGTTCCCACGCAGAATAGAGGTCCCAGGCGTTTCAGCGAGCATTCCCAACTGCGCTCCGCGGCCACTCGATGGCGACGCGCCCGTGACGACGAGCCCGCACGGACGAGCAGCCTGTGCGGCGCGGGGCACCGAGGTCCTGCCCACGGTGATGATACTGAACATGGCCCCGTATGTATCAATAGAGTGAATGCACGCATCTGTGTGGTCTCGCTGAGGCTGAGAAGGCATTCAACATGGCCCCGCGCTCTCAAACGCGTTCTCTGGGTCTCTGCTAGGCGATAGGAAGACAGACGCGGGCGCAACGCAGGCCGCAAGCCCAAGAGAGACAGCCGCAGACCTTCCGCCTCGCTCGAAGGACGTCGCGCGTTACATATGCCTGTGGAGCTCGACGACGCTGCCCGCAACGCCCACAAGGCTGACCGCACTCGGAAACGACCGACAAGGAACCTCACTGAAGTGCGCAGCAGGAACAGAGGCTGGGCGAGCGACGCCGAGCTTCGAGAGCAAGCGGGAGGACGTCAATTGTGACGATCCCGAGATGGGCTTGTCGTTGAGGAGGACAAGATGCATGACGCAAACAGTGATCAACAGCTTCGGGGGCGTTCCCATTACCTACTTAGGCGTGCAGTCTGGGTGCAAGATACTAACTATTGTTAGTCAAAGAGGAGGAAAGGATACTCGAGCAACGCGAGAAAACCGGCAGAAAGAACGCACACTGCCATGCATGTGATGGCCACCTTCCAAGTCGAGTGTTCGACAGCGGCCACGCTGCGCTGCTTGCGTCCGTCTTGCTTTTCACCTGCTATCAAGTCGAAACCAACTCGGTCGCTACCGACAAGGTCGAGGCTAGATTCACTCACCTGGAGATCGACGGGTCTAGTCTGAACAGCAATGCTTATCCTTCACGAGTAGCAAAGCGTATCGTTCGTGAGCACAAGCATACAAAGATATTCGACAAGACACAGCAGAGGATAGCAACATCGCGGACGACGGTTCATTCAGATATCGAGTTCGAGGTAAGCATATCATGGGGGCCGCGTCCTCGCAGGCGACGCGATAATCGAGCCTCGCAGACGCAGCAGAATATCAAGCGCATTTTCCCTAATAGATGTATCTCACAATCCTCCACGGCACAAGCTTCTTGTAGGTATCCCAGTCCGCGCCATACCTAGAGACGATGGTCAGAACGGAGCTCTCAAACCAGCGTCAACAAGGAACGTACTTTTTGTGGCACGCCTCATCATCGCGCAACTGGCGGTGCACGAGCAGAATTGCAAAATAGATGGGGTAGAAGTATGTGAAGGGTGTGGCGAAGCCGGTTGGAAGCGACCAGGCGACGGCCATGAGCCAGTCTCCGCTGCGAGAAGCATATCAGTATACACTACCAAACTGTTATGGGGACGCTGCTCACAAATAATTCGGGTGCCGCGACCAACCCCACCAACCCGAGGTGATCAGTTTGCGTCCGGTGGAGGTCTCGAAGTACTTCAGGTCTACAGATGGGCGAGTTCAGCGATGAGAGCGGAAAGGGATGTTATTTTTGTGCGCACTGTTCTCTTTGCCATTCCTGAAATCGTTCTTTTGCCCGTTGGCGGAACGGAAGATGTAGTAACCGAGCAGGTTCACGCCCACAATGAAGGCGGTCTGCGGAATCGTGTCGTGAGCAAGCCATCGCAGGATGATAATGGGGTACGAAACATACCCAGAAAGGCCCGAGCTCGACATGTCTGAAAGCAAGGTACCTCGCCTACGGGAAGGTAAGTACTTGTTTTGACCTATAGAAATCAAGTTGCATACCTGAAGACTGTATGTGAACGGCACCCATACTAGGTCACCAACAGAAAGCATGAAGCCGAAGCCGTCGGTCGTGATATCCATGGTGGTGAAGATAGCCGGCTATCACTCGGTGAGCAGGCGAGACATACGATGACGCTGCAGCATACCTCGTTATAGAGCGAGTCCATCACGTACCAGCAATGGAAGGCGAGGACTAGCCACATCGAGTCGGTGACCTGTGCAAGACGTCAGTGATTCGCTCGAACGCGTCGGAGCTTTCAGCCCAACCTTGTCGAAGCCACCGCGACGAACTGCCTGCTCGCAGACCATGCTGATGTCGATGAGCATCCACAGGATGAGGCCAGGGCGCAATTCATTGAAGGACTTGATGTCGAAGGAGCCGATTGATGGGTTCAGCTCGCGACCGATAAAGAACTGTAGGGGTGTCAATCAGCGATGCAAGTTGAGCGCCACAACTATTCACGTACGTCGTAGATGGGGTTGCCAGAGTTTCCCCCCTCGGCGAGGAGCTTGCCCTTCTTAAACGACATGGCGTAGACGTAGAGCGCGAGAACAGTGGACCAGATGAGGGACGCGGTGACGAGGCCGACCCAGTGGTGGTAGATAAACGTGAACTTCTCAGGGCCGTTCTGGAATATGTAGCCGAAGGTCAAGCCCAGAGTGAGCATCGCAGTCGGCAGCGCTACATCGTGGTCAGCCCCGATCCCATCTTGCCAAACACACCACACACCATTGATCTTATAGCTCTTCGTCTCCCCATTGCGCATCCTCACGCCCTGCACCCACTCCCCCGGCACCACCGCCCAGCACACCACGCAGAACGCATACCACGCCGCGTACGCAATCGCCGCCTCCCGATCCCACAGCCCCTTCCACCACTCCGGGTCCGTCAGGTCCCGCTTCGCCAGCGCGACGACCGTCTCCCAGTTGTGCATCCACGCCGCGTCCGGGCCGTCCCCGCACGACTTGTAAACGCAGCGCGCGGTGTTCTCGAGGAAGCACCCCCCGCTCTGTTCGGAGCAGCCAAAGTAGAGCAGGTAGGAGAAGATGGGGACGGTGACGGTGACGAAGAGCGCGCCGAGGGGGCCAGCGAACTCGTACTTGGTGGTGCGCGGGTTCAGGCTGGCGTTGTCCTGGGTCCGGACGGCGACGTCCTGGGCTGGCGTCTTGGACATGGCTGCGGGGTTTTCGAGTGCAGTGTTGTGGGGAACGACGACGGAGTGAAGCAAAAGCGATTATAAGAGCCTAGAGGTATCGTACCATAGAAAACGCGCGCGTCGCGTCAAGGTCAGTGTCAAGCCAAGGTTATCCATCAAGCGCGTCCTGCGTGGTTCGATTCTCATCACGTGTCAAGTTCAACCGTGTAAAATCTCTTCAACAATCGTGCTGATAAAAGCCTCTGCTTCCCACCTGCTGCGTAACGAGTAGCAGAACAATGCCACTCCATCTCCATCATTGAATGATGACTTGAGAACCCGCATTGTCGGCGAAAGCCTGTCCTTGGATCAAATCTCTGTCTTCAACTTTGGAGTTCACACTTCACGGCGGATCGCACATATAACATGTCGTTGGTAACCGCCGGACTAGGCCAGCCTCCAATGTATACACGATGATTCGAAGGACAAACAAAAACCGTGGAGATTATCCCAGCGGCGCACCATCAAGGTTCCAAACAGAGCAAGTAACAAAGCTACTGTACACCATTAGAGTCCACGAGGGTGCTCCGTTCCCATGTAATGTATACATCTGCCTCTGTGACCACAAATGAAGCACCGCACCGTGTATGAACAAAGGCCGGGGCTACACGTGAACATATCCCGCGCAGGTGTTCAGAGAGAACGCGCGAGCGACCGCCGGATCCCGTCAAGTGTAAAGCGTAGAAGAGAAGACCGTAGAAATGTGAGGAGAAACGGGTAGATAGCGCAGGTGGGCGTTGGGGGTATATGTGCGCCGATTAGAGCGCGAAGCCAGCAGCCGCAACGACAGCGCCGAGGAGGAGGGCAGGGGTCGTGAACTGGGTCGCCGACGCGCCGTTCTTGTTGCCCTGGCCGATACCGGCCTGGGCAGCGCCGACCGCCTCGAGAGAGGTGGTCGCCTCCGCGGAGGAAGAGGCGGAGGTCGCCGAGGACGCGGAGGTGGCGACACGCGCGTTGGAGGCGGGCGCGCTGGAGCTACTGATTTCATCAGCACATTTGATGGCGAGGCCAGCGCACATCACTTACGTGGACTCAGCAGACGCAGAGGTGGAAGACGCGGAGCTAGCCGACGTCGAGGGGAGGAGGTAGCTCAGGTTGTCAGGGACACAGTCGTTGGAACCGTCACCAACGGTGAGCTAGCGGGGTTTAGGGCATACTTCTGGCGCGAATTTGACTTCTACTCACAATGTCACTGAAGACCTCGTTGTTGTACCCGTCGAGAATGGTGGCCTGGAACTTGGTGCCCGCCGGCAGAGGGATCTGCAGCCACATATCCGAAGCATCATTGACGTCTTCCGACTCGTAGCTGGACTCCGTTTAGACGGGGATTTGGGGGAAGAGGTGGGGAAGTACGCACTAGACGTTGTTGCAAGGGTCGTCAGGGTTGACGAAGGCGATGGAGTAAGGTCCAGAGGTGGGGTTCCAGGTGAAATCGGTCCAGCCACACTGAGAAGTCGTCAGTACAGGTTGCTCAGGAGGGAGGGGAGGGTCGTTGTTAGGGGGGATGGGGTTGGTTCGAAGTGCGCGCTCTCCGTTCCTTGCTCATCCTGACGTCTCGCCGTTGGCCGCAGCTCGCAGGGGAGAGTATTGACTCCCGAACCTCCCCACACCGCCCAAAACTGCTCGTGAAAGGGTGCTCACCGCGGTCGTCTCCGGGCTGTTGATCGTCAGCTCCTGTGCCAGGGCACGGGCAGCGAAGAGAGAGAGGGTAACGAGCGACGCGGCGAACATTCTGTCGGCGAGAAAAAGACAGGAAGGGAGGCCAGGAGCCAGGTGTGGACGACGACGGGAACAAGGAGCTTGAAAAGGGCAAGAAAAGGAGGAGAAAACTCGCCGCAACTTCCCACATGGGTGCGCTGCCAAGCAACGCCAAACAACAGCTCGGCCGGCGATTGGCTGTAGGAGCCGCCGAATCCACCCTTGCACGTGACCCCAAACGGAGTTAAGTGTCAAAGCGTAGGCGGGAAGTGCCGCAGCGTCCGGCGCAACGTCGACGTCGCGCCGTATATATGGGTTTTGGACGTAGGTTTCCTTGAATAATTCTTCTGTGAAGTTTGTAAGCAGAACTCGAACGCGTGAGGGTGCAAGTCCATCTGGCGAGCGAGGGCAGCGCTTTTTTTCGTGCACAACAGGGTTTTCAGTGGTAATAAATCTCTATTAAGGCGATTCTATGCCCTCAATACTACGCGTACTACTCTAAGAGGTCGGTAAGTAGGTGCTGCACGAGGATGGTGACCCTGCGATCGACGCGACGGCGCGGCCTGCTCAACAGGGCCCATGTCGACGCGTCTCTGCGCGAGGTAATGTGGGGGATGGGGAGGAGGGTGTTGGGACGCGTTTCTGAACGCGTATACGCGTCCGGCAACGTCAGCGACGTCGTCACCGCCGCTGGTCGGCCGTTGACGCGCGTCTCAGGCGCGACGCACGCGTACGGGCTGCCCAACGCCCTCCCCCGGCGCGTCCTACGCGTGGCATGCGTGACGCCCGCGTCCTGGGTGAACAGGGCGTGCGTCGACGAGGGCGGCAGCGCCGAGGGCGACGCGGGGTTGGTGGTGGTTGGGAGCAAGGACATCACGGGATCTTGTTGACCGGGGCGAGGCGCCAAACGAAAAGCAATAAATGCAAGGATTAAAAGGATTAATGAAGGAATAATGGCCGCGCGTCCGGAGCGCGTGGCCATTTCCCCATTAGGGGTCACGTGCGAGGGTGGATTAGGCAAGAACTATTGGCTGTTTCCGGCCGGAGTATCAGAGCCGCCATGTGCCTCGAGACTCGAACTGACAGGCGATTTTGTATCCCTGGGCCTTGGCTACCGTAGTAACCATCTGTCCCCTGGCAGGGCATCGAGGACGGTGGTCAGCAAAATTCCTGATTCCTTCCTATGTAGACACCATCGAGTACAGTGTGCTATCCCCCTCCTCGAACCTACAACTTCGCCCGGGCAGGCTTCCCCTTGAATTCGGCAAGCATAGTGCGCTTCGAGATCCTGCAATTCAGTCAGCCAACGCATGCACCCGCCAAGCCATCACCGTCAAGGAAGGCGCGGGCAGCAGACGCCGCACCCGCCCTCGAGACGTCGCATCCCGTCTCCGTCTCCGCCCCCAACTCCTCGACAATCGAAGCGGCAACTCACCCGCCGTGGACAACCGGCGACGGCGTCTGCCGCGGCCCCTTCTGCGCGACGCGCTCCCCGACGGGGGTGTACTCGCGCCTGCCTGGGCCCACGTATATCTGCCGCGGACGCCAGATCTTGACGCCCCCGTCCTGCAGCATCATCTAGCGCGAGCTTCTATCAACGCCCGGGATCACGCGAAGGAGATGCGATAGGAGCTCGCACCTGCCGCCAGTGTGCCAGCCAGCCCACCACGCGGGGCACCGCGAATAGCACGGGGAAGAAATCGAGAGGGAAACCTGCGTGCCACGTCAATTATAGGCGGACAGCGTGCGGAGAGCTGTGGCACTCACCCATCGCGCGGTATATTAGGCCGCTACGGTACTCCAATTCAGCGCAAGGACAAGATTGGTACACTGGACGTACCTCCAGAAGTCGACATTGGGCGCGAGTTTGCGCTTGACGAAGTACTCGTCCTTCATCGCAGCCTGGTGGAGAGCCATTGCCGTCTCGAGTAGTTCATCCTTACCCGTACTGCTGGCAGTGAAAACGATGAACGGTCATCAAGACAGATACTACTTACATCTTGAAAACCTCGTCCGCCGTCTTGCGCACGATAAATGAGCGAGGGTCGGACGTCTTGTAGACGCTGCGCGGCAGCCATCAGCATAACACTCGCCAACTCGCCGTACGACATACCGGTGTCCAAAGCCAGACAATACTTTCTCCTTCCTCTTGACAGCTTCCAAGAACTCGGGGACATTCTCCGGCCTAGAAGTCCAAGATTCAACACCAGAAGACGACATGCATGAAAGGAAAAATTGTACTGACTTGCCAATAGAGATGAGCATCCTGATGACCGCCTCATTCGCTCCACCTAAATCGCCGAGTTATCAGGTTCTATTCGCGCCATTCTTCGTAGTGAACGTACCGTGCAATGGGCCACTAAGCACAATAACGATACATTAGCGACAGTTTCGCCGTAAACTCTGGATGACGCACTAGAGAGACGCGCAACCAGCCCTGCAAAGGAAAACAAGTACATCAGTAAGCCAGCACCTCTGAAGGACAGTCAACGCACGCAATAGCACTATACGGGTCGACCAGCGAGCTGGCCGTCTGCAGCACAGTCGTCGCGCTCGCGTTCAGCTCGTGGTCAGCGTGAAGGAGAAACAAAGTGTCGAGAGCCTTCTCCAAAACGGGGTGTGGGCGGTAGTCCTCTTCGCCGAGGTGGTCCATTTGGTAGAGGAAGCTGAAGGCGTGGTTAGACATTTGATTGGTCATCGGGCTTCAAGATGCCACCGAAGACTTTGGTACTCACGAGCCGGTATAGCTCAGGCCCGTCGGCGGCGTGACGAAGTTGCGGCCTTGGCGGACGCGGTAGGCCATCCTAGATATCACTGTCAGCATGCGCAACGGATGTAAGGAAGTATGCAAGCGTACGCAGCAAGTGTCGTAGCCTTGCCGATGAGGCGGTAAATCTGCTTGTCCATGTTCGCGAGCGAGGCTGCGTCACCCTTTGTGAAGAGTTTCTGGCCTTAAAGAAGTATGAGGCGTAAGCTCGTCAAACGCAAGTGTAGCAGATACCTTGCAACGATGGGTTCGCCTCGCTATAGTAGGATCCCAAGTACGCGAACGCGCTCGTCAACATGGACATAGGGTGCGCGTCGTAGCTGCGAATGCTTCAGTAGAGAGGGGGTGGACAAAGTGGACTCATGCTTGCCGGAAGCTCTTGAAGAACTGCTCCGCGTCCGAGTGCATCACACCATGGTGCAAGATTTCGTCCTCCCAGACCTTGTATTGAAGCGCCGTGGGGAGGGAGCCATAGATGAGGAGGTACGCGGTCTCCAAGTGCGAGGACTTTGTAGCGAGCTGTTCGATGGGGTATCCTCTACGTATGACCGGTCAGTAGGAGGGGTTCGTGGACGGGGAATGTGCATGCCTGTAGCGTAGCACTGAAGCAAGATCAGACTCGTATATGGAAGGGGAAGGAGCCGCTGAACGTACCTCCCGCATCGCCGTCAATGTAGGTAATCTCGCTGCGTATGACAGCAGTGTTCAGGAAGCCCTTGTCTGCTATGCGCAGACCCTAGCACACCCAATCATCAGTTCCCTGCTTCGCTAAGTGCACCACCCCCAACGCACCTTCTCCGTCTCATTCTCCTCCCTCTCCCCCTTCACACGCGGAGCCTTGAGCGCCCTGAAGGCCGTCGCGGGTATGCTATTGTCCTGGATCCTGCATAACGCGTCCAGATCAGCGTCACTCTTCCCCGGATCCCTCGACGCGTCCGTACGCGCCACCGTCACTCACGCGATGTCCACAACCGCCCCCGTCCTGTTATCACGGACAGTCAGGGAGTCCTTGGGCTCGGGGCGCAGGTTCACCATTGTCGTCGGAGGCAGGATGCAATCGGGACATTGTGAATGGAGCGCGTCCTTACATATGAACAGGGCGTCCCGGTCCCGCTCAGCTCGGGTGAAGTGCCAGAGCCGGATTTCACATGCGCAGAGCCAAAGTCGGCGATCGCAATCCATGATGTGCTTTTGTGTCAACGCCTTCACAGCAGCATGGCGCAGTGGAAGCGCGCGGGGCTCATAACCCCGAGGTCACTTGATCGAAACAAGTTGCTGCTATGACTCAAGGGCAGAGTTTTTTTTCTTCCCAACTTTAGGCTGGTCCATCCGATAGATATCCTCCGATCAGCCAAAGGTATTGCTATATCGCTCAGACGATAACACAAGGTATAGAATAGGTCAAGCATGTGGTATTCGCCAATCGTAAGTAGGATAGAGGAGACGACGAGGCCCAAACGACGGTTGCAAAGCTCGATGAACGGTGTAACAGATTCCCAGCGTATTTACCTAGTGGTGGAAGGAGCGACGATGTGGTGGGTGGGGACGATGAGGAAGTCCGAGACGAATAGTAATAACCAAGTCCGCGAGTCCTAGAGGAGTACTTTTGGATGTAGGGAGGTGGTGCGAGTGCGAGACGACGATGATAAACTAGTTCTTGGGCGAGGAGGCACGGGCAGGGGAGCGCTCGCGGGAGCCAGCACCAAGAGGCGATGGCGCGGGCGAGTTACTCCTCGAGCGCGACGAGTTGCCGAGGTTGGCGCGGTCGGGCGGGACGAGGCCAGAGGGGTCACCCATCCCGCTGGGCGTGCCGACAGGCGTGAAGTGCGGGTTGAACTGCGACATTCCGCTCATCTGCGGCATGAGCGGGCCTTGCATCCCACCCATCCCACTCATCTGAGGCTGCATGCCCATCCCGCCCATACCCATCCCACCACCCATCCCCATGCCCATCATCGGCATGCCCATCATCGACATGCGCGGGTCGAAGTTGCCCATGGCGCCCATCTGGCCCATCTGACCCATGCCCGGCTGCTGGCCCTGCGGCGCGTCGCCCGCCTGCGAGCCCGCGGTGGAGAACGCCATCATGGCCTGCTGGTACGCCTGGGCCGCCTGCTGGGCTGCGAACATCTGTGCTGGGTTGTACCCGCCCATCATGCTGCCGCCAGTCATCATGGGGTTCATCATCCCGCCGCCAGTCATCATTGGGTTCATGCCCGCGCCGGTCATCATAGGATTCATACCCATCATCATCGGGTTCATGCCCATCATCATTGGGTTCATCCCGAACTGATTGCCATACATGGACATCGGGCCCATTTGCTCCATCTGCTGGCGCTGCTGCTCCTCGAAGCGGCGCTGACGCTCTTCAGCAGCACGCTTCTCGCGCTCGCGCTCGGTCAGGGTAGCACCGATGCCGCCGTCACGCTTGCGTTCACGCTCGTGCGCGCTGACGGCACCGAGCAGGCCGGTCTGCGGCGGCGGAGGCTTGTTGGGGACGTTGACGAGGGACGCGCCTGCTTCGCGAGCAAGGAGCTCCTGGCGCTTCGCAGAGCGGTCTTCGCGATCTTGCAGCCCAGCGGAGAGCAGACCGTGTGGTGTGAAAGCCTTGGTCATGGCTTGCGCAGGCGGTTCCATCTGCACGAACGTGTCGCGACCCTGGCCCGGAGGCGGCTGCCCATTCCCAAGACGGCCGGGATCGAGGACCTGGCTCCAGACAGTCTGGCGTGCTTGCCCAAGCACAGGCGCCTCGGCTTGCGACAGGATGGGTGTTCCATCCTCATAGTACTGCGTGCCGGTGAACTGATTGGAGACGGTGCGAGGGCGGAGTTGAGGAGGGAGGGGTAAGTTGGTGTTCGAGCCGTTGGGATGCGACCACTCTTCTTCCTCTGTGTTCGAGAAGTTAGTACATATGCAAATGGCATGATCGGACACGTACGATGACGTCCAGGAGGAGGCTGGGGCAGTGTGCGCGGTGGGCGAAGATGGGAAGGCGTCGTGCCGCCTTCACCCGACTGCGAGTGCGCCTCGGACGATGGGCCGCCCCTGAGGCTAGGTGGAGCGCCGCGTGGGGGTCGCGCCTTCGTGGAAGGAGGTGGAGCATCGGAGTCTGCATCTTCGTCGTCCTCTTCCTCTTCTTCCTCATCTTCTTCCTCGTCGCTACTGTCGTTCCACGCGCCCGCCTTCGATCGCCGCTTCCCGTTCGCACGTCCGGGCTTGTGTGCCGCCGCGTACTGCGCAGCCTTCTCCGCCTCGAGCTTCGCTTTCCGCTCGGCTGCGTGTTTCGAGGGCGCGAACGATGATCGGTAGTGTGCGGGAGGTTTCGCAGCCTCCTGAGGCGGTGACCCTGGCGGCGGAGAAGAAGCGTTCTTCGGACGTAGCGGCGAAACGTTAGCAACGGGCGAGGCTGCAGCGGGTGTAGGCGCAGGCTCTGGCGCCGCCGCTGGCTTGTTGTCCTGCTCGTCGTCGTTCGTATCGAGGTACGAGAGCGCCGCGATCACGTCGAGGTCTCCATCCTCCTGCGAGCCAGCCATCAGATCGTTCGCGCGCTTCTGCGGGGGTGCGGGTGCGGACTTGGTGTTGCGGTGCGCGTGGACGTTGCTGCTGGCGTCCGACTCTGCTTCCTCTTCGTCTTCGTCCTCAGAGACGCGATGCGGTACGTTGGAGATGGGAGAACGAGCGGAGGAGGGCTGTGCACGTGCGCCCGAGGGTTTGCGTCCAAGCGGTGCCTGGCGCGAGGGTGACCCTGCACGATCGGCCGCCACGTGCGCCACGCGCTCGCGGCTGGTATCGGTCGAGTACACGCTCGGGCTCGTCGCGCTTGTCGCAGAGTCGGCCTTCGACAGCCCAGGACGGACGTGTGAAGGGGCAGACCCGGTCTCCTGGTTCTGACGCATGTACGACAGCGCGCCACTGAGGTCTCCGTACCCACCTTCGTCGGACGACGGAGGGTTCGGCTGGGGAGCCGGTTCTGGCGCAGGCTGGGTGGGCATCGGCGCGTCCTTCAGGGTGCGACCGACAGGCGCAGGTGTCATGCCAAATTCTTGAGCATGCGCGTGCTGACTTTCCTGCGACTGAGGCGAGTACGGCGAGCGCAACATCGGCGACGTAGCCTGGCTTTGCATTCTATTGAGCGACGTGGGCGTCGACCTTGTAGACGACGACGGCGAAGCTGGGCGATGTATAGCTTCGCCCGCCGGGGGACGACTCGGCGAACCATGATCATAGGATGGTCGCGAGTATGCGCCCGGCCGGCTGGTGTTGACAGTCACAGTCGTGATTGGAGGGCCGTCGTCCTTCGGCGGCAGAGGCTTGCTGGATACCTGCGGACTGAACTGGTGCAGAGGCTTTGGCGACCCGCTGGCAACACTGCGGTTGGCAGCGCTCTGCGGAGACATGCTACGCGCTTGGTCGCCGTTCGTGTGCGGCATGTCGTGGAACTGCTGCATAGGCGGCGAACTCGGCGGAGTATTGGACGATTGCCCAGCAAAGAACGACGATCGCGCCGATGGTCTGCGTCCCAATGAATCGGCGACACTGCGAGCTGCAGAGTCGAGCGGCTGGTGCTGCGATTGAGGCGACTGGTGCAGCTGTTGTGACTGCAGGATTTGTGACGATTGCTGCGAGTGCGAAGACTCCTCCGGGATCATCATCTGGTCCATGTTGAGCGACGTCCGATGGTTGAGGTTGTACTCCGTCCCCGACATCGACCGCGCATGGGTCTGGACGCTGCTGGTCTCCGTGATCGGTGTCAGAGGTGCGCGGTCACGATCGTTCGACTGCTGAGGCGCGTCGAAGTTGAGCGGTGGCAGACTTGGACTTTGGCCGGGAGGATTGCGAGGTGACGAAGACCCTGCACCGTCACTGCTCAGCTCGCCTATGGGCGGGAGTGATGGCGGCGCATCGAGTGAAGGTCGCATGGGACCACTAGCAGGGCCAGATGGACCAGGCGCTCCTGGAGGTCCAGCGGCGCGCATGCGCTCGATCAGGATGTTGAGCAGACGAGACCGAATGACGGATGTCCGGTCTTCTCGCGGGTCCATCGCTTCGGCGGCCTCGCGATCGAGGAATAGGGTCTTCGGGGGATGTAAGCTTCTTGGACGCGAAGGCATGTAAGGCACAGCTACGTACATCTTTGTGCTGCCCGACAGGGTAAGCGAACATGAGCGAGGCAGGATCGCGAGGGTCCCAGGTCCACGCTGGAGGTCGGCCGTACAGCTCGAAGGCGTCGTGCAGCGCTGGAATCGATGTGAGAAGGCGAGCGAGATAGATGCTAGACTATCGCACCTATAATCCACTTCAGCATTTCCGACGCCTGGCCAACGCCGGTCTCCGACTCCGGCATCACGAGTAACCACCCTTCTCTCCTCCGCATACTCATCCCCATCTCTTCGTCGCCCAACAGGCCCTCCACCTTCATCAACGTACTCCTGCTAATCAGCTCCGGGCGCTCAGGATACACTGCGAAAGCCTGCGACACGTTCGTCATCGTTAGCAACGGTTTCTTGCGGTCCTTGTGCTTCTGGCCTGGGTACATATGGATCGTAGGCTTGACCGGGCCCGCCCGGGCGTGGCGGGGACTGCTCGCGCGAGAATAGGTTAGACATGCGCTTCTTCCCACGCGCCGTCGGGGGTTGCTGGCCGCTCGTTATAGACGATGCCTCCCCCGGCGCTTGCGCGTCGGCAGACGAGGAGATGACCATCCAGACGCGCTTCCAGTCAGTCTGACCCGACACGCGGATGCGCACCCAGCCTTCCATACGACCACGGATAAGAGTGCTCGGCGCATCGCGAGTGGGGAGTGTGATGCGGATGAGGTGGGCGGTATAGATTTCTTCGAGGCGTGATTTCTCCCAGGCGCTGAGTCGGAACGCAGAAGCCCAGGAGATCAGCGCCTCAGGGGAAGGACAAGAGAATAATAGGAGGTTGGATCCGGCAGTATTGAGAGTGAGAACGTTGGTGAAGCGTCGCGCGGGCTGTGAGGGCGTGGCGGGGATCGTAACAGATGATAAGACTTGTACAAACTGGAAGACAAGTTCAGCCCCGGCGCATGCAGAGGGTGTAGGCACTCACCGCATCGGTGATGTTGATATAGGTAGGCGGAACTTCCCTCCCGTGCTTATTGGCCTCCTCGATTTCCTGCATATCCCAGACGCTGAGCGTGGTCCCGCCAAGTTGACCCCAGACGTCCTTCCAGCCCTCGTCCTTGGCTGGCGGATGTCCGTCTGGCTGGCGCTCGATGCGGCGGACCATGGGTCCTGAGAAGTACACCTTGTGCGCATGAGCTACCGTCAGCTGCACAACGGAGCGTATCTCTGGGTGCAGTTGAGGAGGTTGCGGCGGCCCTTGCTGGGCTGGCGGAGGGCGCGCTTGCTGCTGAGGTTGCGGCTGAGCTGTCTGCTGTTGCTGCTGCTGCATTCGCGGGGACATCTGGCCAAACTCATTCGAGCGTGTCTTGGAAAGGGTGGCTGCGGGCTCGGTGGAAGAGCGGGTGCGGAAGGAGAAGAATGAGGATGAGCGCCCGTGCTGGGCGGGGGAGCCCGCACTGCCCGGACGGCCTTGCGGTGTAGGTTGCGGCGGGGGGACGGTGCTATCTGCAGAGGGATCCGGCTGGAGGGAGAACTGATGGACGGGGGACTGCTTGCGCATCTGCTGGAGGCGTGTGGGGGAGATGAAGCCGGTGTTGCGGCTATCCCATTGTGGACTAGACGTCGGGGGACCGCCGTTCCCGCCGTTCGTCTGGGAGGCGGCGACGGACATGGTGCTCGGCGATGGCCGAGACTGGCGCTTCTTAGAGCGGAACACGGCGGGAGAGAGGATCGCGTAAGGCTGGAGAGCCTTGCGGCGGCGAGGGGGCGGGCTCGAGCGACGATGGCGTCAGGTAACAATCGCAGACTTACACTTCCACAATAACGGCAAGTCCCCCGCGCTTTGAACTTGTTTTCCTGGGCCTTTGACGCGTGATGTCACGAAACGTCACCAATGGCTCTAGGGGATTCTATGGGCATGCAGCTGGTGTATCTTCCGCGATCGTTGGATGGGAAAACGCTGCAGATCTTGTAGAGATGATGGGACAAGGCAAGCAACTCTCTTTGATTTTCCTCCGCGAAGTTGTTGCACGTGCCTCAGGACGGGATCACGTGGTTTCTTTCACCTGCAGCAAGCCTGAGTGACCTTAGCACTATCCTGACCAGCATACATATCCTTCTTCCTCATTTGAAGTATTCTGAAGTATAGACAAATGCCTCTTTTTCTCGACATGCTTGTTTGGCCCGCCGAACAGCCTACAGATGTCTTGCGGTGTGGCCACCGTTGGCCTTGCCCGCCTGAGACCAGGTACATGATGCATTATGTTCAGAAACCAGGTACTCCTTGTATCACAAAAGTCTAACGCGATTCACGCCGCAAACGCTAAAAGTCATTCTACGATGGTGAGCAACAACAACTCAGTTCGGCAGATGCCGAACCCATTGGCCGACACGCAAACGGAATTTCTGGCACATGTGCCGGAGTCCTCTGCCCCATCTAAAAGTGAGATCTATCCTTCGAGAGAATCTCTCTCGGTCTGAGATACTGGCCCATCGTGTATCGCACACAAGGCAGTATGCGCTTCTGCATGATTAAACCCGTAATAGGATCTGTATGACAAAAATACAGGTTCTAGTCGTACACCCATGTCTTGAAAGGATGAAGTGAAGTCGACTGGCTGAAGGGCGGAGGTTGGTAGACTAAGCGCTCACTTTGGTCCTCGATACCCTGAGCTTGTCACGACGAAGACGCGGTACGTCACGCGTCCCCTCTTCAGACTGACTGCCATGTCGGCATTTCCGGAAAAGATATCCTCTCCATATGTTGCAGCTTTGACCGGCGCGCGCCTGTAGGCTGTGAATCATGGCGGACCCGAAGGAAGAATAGTCATCCGGCGGCACTTGCGCAATCATTCCGGCTACCGCGAGCGCTCTACACAGCTCGCAGCGTCTTCTGAACCCACGTTTCGTCGGTACCCTCAAGCTCTCTCCCCATCGTGTACCATCACTCAGGTACGTCTATACTGATCTTCATGATTGCTGCTCTTATTGGGCGCTTATCCTGCCAGCCGTAAGACTTACGCAGCCCCCATCACCGATCACCGTCGCCGGCCCACGCATTGTGTCCTACCGGGGCTCAGGATGCGCGTACGCACCCCCGTTGCCGACTCTTCAGGGCTGTCCGTGGGGAAACACGAGGGGTATACCCATCGAAGCGCCTGACTGGTCTTTGCACCTGTACCCTCGCATCAGCCCGCCCGGTCCGCTGCCGGCCTACCAATTGACTGACCTACGGCCCCATAAAAGCTAGCCAACGCCTCGCCTCTTCCTTTCCACCCACCACCAGCATCCCATTCCAAGCGTCAACGCATCCAGAGCTTCAGCCTCACCAGCCCTCCAGATTCCAAAGCTCAGCCTCAGGTGAACTCACACAGCCTCCTTCTTGCGCTCTTCCTTTGCTCATTGATCGTGGCACCACATAGATCCCATCCTCACCCTGCTCGCTGCACTCGCCAGAGCTATCGCGCTCGACCTTAACATCGCTTAAAGCCTCTGGCATACATCAGCGTCGTCACCGAACTCATCTGTACGTCTTTTCGCCTGTCTCTTCAACGACTCTCATTAAGCGCCAGCAGGTCCACGCGCCATGGACGTTCACTTTCTACTACTGCTGTATGCCCTCCTACTGCAGCATTACACAATGCTTGTTGCCGACCTCAGCGCCCTCCTCCCCCTCCTCGCCCATCCCATCGACCTGTTCGACGCCCTCGCCGACTCCTTCCTCTTCATCACCACGACCCTCATCCGCCAGCTCCTCGCCACAGCGCTCACAGGCCGCGGCCCGCACCGCCTCGCCTGCCGCCTCATCGTAGTCTTCGCACTCACGGTGACGAGCGCAGTGGCAACGACGTTGTGCGGCTTCGCCTGGCTCTCCCGGTGGGCATGGGGCGCGCTGTGTGCCCTGGTAGGAATCCCGGGAATGGCAGGGCTAGGCATCAGCGAAGTGGTCAGCTTCCTGACCACGGATCATGTCCTAGCAGAGGGCTTGCTTCATTATCTGACGATAGTGACGGCGAGGTCGGCGCGAAGGGCGCCGCCGCCGCCGACTAGGGCGCCTTGGACGTCGAATTCGTCCGAGGCCGATGCCACGACCTTCGGCTCCCACGCTGATGCCGCCGCGCGTGCGGCCCCCGTCACACCTGAGCCGCGCTACACGAGCGTCGTCGACGAGTGGAGGCATGCTGTTTACACCGATGAAGACTTCCAGGAGGACGACGCGGTGTCGACGTCGGCGACAACCTCGAGCGACACACCAGTATACTCCGACTTCCAAACTTCCTCCCTTGCCCTCGTGCTCTACAACGGGTCAATGCGCTCGTCAGCCTCCACTGCGGCCGGACATGCACTTGTGTCTGCCAGCGGCTCCTCCATGCCTACGACACCGTTCCGCCGGGCACAACAGAGCATCACTGCTCCAGCACCGACTCGGCTTTGTGAACCCGTATCAAGGCTTCTCCTCACACCCTCCCCTGCTCATGCTGAGGACTACGACGATGAGGTGTGTACGACTCCAATGTACTCATCTAAGCATGACTGACAATCACTGCTCGCAGACATTCTTCGCCGCAAGTGACAACTCGCCATCATCGTCGCAATCTTCGTCCCCTTCATCATTGTTCGACACAGGCCGGTCCCTGACCCCATTCACTATGCTAACATCTCCGGACTGGAGCCCCGTGAAGCCCTTCGTGAAGAAGATCAGCACATCCGTGGCCTGCCAGACCGACGATCTCTCCAAGCCGGCGCAACTCGACACCGCTGAGCCGGCTGAATCTAACACCGTCGAAAAACCCCGGCCTGCTGTTGTCACCAAAGAAACCCACTCCACCGAGCCTCGCGCAGAGCAAACCGAGCGATGTGGATCGCTTCTGTTCTGTGGCCTCACTTCAGCTCAGATCGAGAGCCTGCTCGTTCGTTCGAAGCCGATACAGCCCGGCGAGTCGAACGACGTCGCTATCGAGATCCGTGTTGATGTCGAGGTGGGTGTCTGGCGGGGACTCTGTGGGACCATTCCTGACACCTGTATAGACGGTCGTGGATATTGAAGAGACCTGCCCGGCGCTGAAAATGGTTGATCTCGGCATAGCCACTGAATTCAACATGCCCGACGCTCCTGAAGCCGTCTCCCCTGTATCCGCCACAAACTCCCCAGCATCCAATCCCTTGCCCAGCATCGCGCCACCCTCCATCATGTGAGTGAATTACCTATACCATCCTTCTCTACGTCTCTGACTCATGTCTTGAAGCATCACCCCTCCCTCTCCGGGCGAGCAGCGCGCGAAAGAGGTCGTCAACGTCCAAGATGAGCAAGTCATGGACGGAAGCAAAGAAGCTTCGGCAACCGCCGAAGTGTTTGCTGCCGTCCCATTGCCCAATGTCACTGTCTGCGACGATTCGCATGCCAGTAACATTCCTGAGAAGCCTGCGAGCAGTAACGTCCCTGAACTCAGGCCTTCTCCGGAAGTATCCATTCGTAAGTCTGTTTATGTCTCAGTGTTGATCAGCTCTGAATCCATGTTGCAGCCATCCCCTCCCCCATCCCGTCCACCAAAGCTACACCATCCCAATCCCTCGACTCTGACGGGACATACACACTTGCTGTGAGTGCGCAGTCTACCGCCGACACACGTATTGTTGACCACTGAACGCAGAACGTTCGACTTCCTGCCCTCGAAGAGCAGCACCTGAACAAAGGATTCGACCGCTTGTCCATCGCTGACGACGGCTATGTGCGTTGCCCTTCCGACGGATGCAGCGAAGAACTTATGTCCCTTTGCAGCCCACCCCGAAGCGCGTCGAGAAGTACCCGCTCGCAGCGCCTACTCTTTCACCCAGATATTGCACGCCAGGACGATATGTAAGTCTGAAAGGGGAGCAGTGGTTCTGACAGCTGACCACGGCCCCAGGTTCCGACGCATGCACTGATGCTCACGTTTGCCCCAATTCCCGCCGAGAGCATGACGGAGGTCGAGGTGACCGAGACCGTCGAGCTCATGGTCACTGAGCCGATCACAACCACCGCGCCCAACATCGCTGCTCTTCCCCAAGTTCTTGCGGACGTTGATGTAGTCATGGTCGCATCGCTCAACCCCATTGTTCAGCAGGCTACCCAGACCCCGGACCAAGACATGGCCCTTATTCAATCTCCGTTGAAGTTCTCATCCATCAATCTCCCTCTTCAGCCGCATGCCCTCACTACAACTGTATGTGCTTTCGAGACTGGCTTGTTTCACGCGCTGACCCTACGGATAGATGAAGCCGTCGAAGAGCGGTCAACCGACGATGTCGCAGATCTATTACCCTGGCTCGACCTCGATCGCCTCTGCTAGTAAGGGGAAAGCCGTCGACCCCGCGGAGCGCCCTCATGCTTTACAAGGAGATCCTCCGCACGCGAATCTGGCTAACTCAAGGCGCTGCGCTACGCAGCAGAACGCTCAACAGCCGAGCGCCTCGCAGGTGTGGTCAGAGCATATGCGCGTGGCGGCGCAGTGTGCAGTCTCGAAATCCAAGCTGTCCAGTCCCTCAAGAGTCGACCGCCGCGACGACACGCCCAGGCTGAAGACGGGACCAATCATCGTTGGCGCAAGCGTCAGCCGCCCTTCCAAGCGTCGTGCTGAGAGTATGGATCGCGCGGACGCGGATGTCGATGTTGTCGAAGAGGGACGGCGGAGGCGCCAATTTCGTAGTGAGCCCTCTTTGCCCTCTTTGCCGACTAAGGCGGTATCTTCGCATCCTATGCGCACTCGCTCTAAGCGTCGAGACCCCCGTCGAGATGCGGTTGAGGGTGCCTGGCAGCGAAGGGTGTCCCACGTACAAGAGTTGCAGCAAGTACCGTGGCCGAAGCGGGCTCTACCAAGGGCTATGAGTGCCCGTGCGGAGGAGACGTCGGCGGAGACGATCGTCAACCCCCTTGTCGCCCCCGCAGTGTTGGTCACGAACACGAAAACCTTATCCAGACGCGACGACATCCGCAGAGCTAGGGCCCTCGCCGAGCCTACTCCCGAGGCCCCTCGCAAGCGCCGTGCCAATCGCATGGAGATCGAGGATGAGCGTCCTCAAAAGCGCCTGAGATTTGTGCCCCTACCGGAGGAGAGTGCCAAGGCCTCGCGACCACAGAAGGCTTTGCGCAGACATCGAAGGGAGCCTTCCCCTTCTGCCTCGAACAAGCAGATCACGAATGGGGTCAGTCAGCCGCCAACTGAAGCACAGGAACGGCCCTCGGTGAGCACACAGCGACTTGCTGACAAGCACTCCCAACCCGCGAAGTCCACTTCCAGCAGGGCCTCTGAGCTTGCGGCTCGTCACCGTATTTCTGTGCACGAGCTTCTGAAGCCCTCCGAGTGCCAGGCAGGCAAGAAGCGTACGGCTCGCGATGCAGGTCTTCCGACCATGTCCCGTGAGAAGGCCTCTGCTGCGGCGAATGCCATCGAGAATGAGATTCTGAACGCTCTGCTGGAAGAAGTCTGCTTCCGCACGACATCGCAGAACGCATCTTCCACATTGCCCTCTTCAAGCTCTCCGCCGCTGTCTCCTCTGCTGGATTTGTCGGCTGTGCACTGCTTGCCATCGCTGTGGACCTTCGCACCGTCCTTGACGTATCCAGTGCCGTCGCTTCCTCGTGCATTGTCAACACTCACGCTGCCGTCAACGTCTGCCCTAGGCCTTTCTTCCCATCGTCACTCGAGCTCTTCCTTTAGCTCTCGGCGCGCCCATCGGTCATCCACTACTCACGGTGGCACGGTTCGCTTGAGCGCTCCAACGATTGAGCCCTTCTCGCTATTTCCTTTTGACTTAGGTGCCCCTGATGAAGACGGTACTGCAGACTTATTCGTAGATTGGCCTGCACCGTACAGCGAACAGCCTGACGACAACGGGCCTGTTTAGTGATGTGTTCGTGTCTAAGAGTCAATTCAAGTGTACATTATCTTCATCGGTAACCTTGGGCGGATGTGCGACTGATAGACCTCAATCAACACCCGAAGGAAGCGATGCGCGCTCGCGTCCTAGCCCTAGCCTGCAAGATCCCAGCTTCAAGCCCGACACAGTGTGGTCTAAAGCTACACCCATCAAGAGTGCTTAAGGTCGCCGTGTGTACTGGGCGGCTGCGCATGCTCGCTGCTTCCCCAACCAGGTATGAAAGCACGTGTACGATATCTCGAGGCCGAAACTGACGATGACGCTCACCTGCAGAATCTGCAAGTGAGATCTCTTCCGATGCTTATGGCATTGTCAAGTTGGAACAGAGATGCGATCTAGGTGCATCGGAATCTCTCTCCTACCAACTGACGCACAGGATCGACGCGCCATGGACGATTTCGCGACAGCGAAGTGTGACAGCGTGCCATTGTGACAAGACTTAGCTCACGTGCATAGTTGGTTTTCTGTCACGAACTGTCATCATCTCATTTTGGAGCCGTTTGTGGCCATCGTTCGCAGCCCCGAAAGCAGCTCACACCCTCAGAAGATGGCGACCGAATTGGCCACTGACGATTGGCATACGATGTAAGTATACTCCAGCATACCGGCTTTGACGAGCTTTGGGGTTAAGCGTCTCCCTTGCCAGCGAGCTACGCATACCCTTTGTGTCTGAGAAGCACGCGAAAATAGCGAAGCAAACACTCGAGGTAGACCGAGAGCTGCAGCCGCAATCTGTGAAGCGCATATTGGAGGTGGACGGGAGGTACCTCGTCACGTAGGTGTTCCTCAAGTCATAAGCGCGATTTAGGGAAACTGATCCTCGCACATCAGAACATACAAGACTCTGACTGTACGGCTGGCGAGATTAACAGCGAACTCATTTCTAGAAAATGTAGACCTGGTCGTCCGCACATTAGGGGAGTTCGGCGAGGAAGCGGAGCGCCGACCATAGCGAAGCAGGCAGTCGAAATCGAATGAACATGTACTTCTAACCCAGAACCTTCATCGAGGCGACACTGAGTGAGCAAGAAGACGACTGACTTCGGCTACATACACACAACATGTTGACGTTATTCAAGTACAAGGAGTCCTTGGTGCGTACACTCGTACAAGTACATATGCACATCGCACGGCGCCTTTCGCGACGTTCCAGAATGCGGCTTATCATCACGCTTGCACTCGCTTGCGGCTTACGCCGACTCCTTGGTCTCCGCCTCCTTCGCGGCCTTCTTCTTCGACTTCTTGTTCTCGCGCAGCCCCTTTGCCAGCAGCGCCTTCAACTCTTCGTCCTCGAGCTCCTTCTCCGTCTTGACGAGCTCGGGCTTGTACCACACGGGCGGCTGCGTGATGAGTGACGGGCCGCCGGGGAGGAGGGCGATGGTAAAGTGGTAGGTGGCGACGAAGGTGTTCGACGGCGTGTAGCTGGGGCGTATGGTTCAGTACTCAAGGCTGGGAGATGTCTCCGAAGGTATACTTACACGACGTCGTACGGCTTCACCAGGCTGTGCTGGACCGCCTCCTGCAAGCCCATCCGCGCGCGCTTCTCGTCCTCGAGCACGCGAATGTTGAAGGGGAACGCGCCTGCCTTCTTTTGCACGTCGGAGAATACGGCACGCGAGGTCTTCATCTTGAGCTGGTACGTCACCGTCGACTCGCGCTGGTAGACCGTGGTGCGGGTGTCCTCGACGCGTGCCTGTTGATGAAGGACGGAAGGGGAGAGGAGGAAGATCAGGAAGCCATTCGGATGGGTATGCGGACATAGAGTACCTTGCCATCTTCGCTGGACGAGATCAGGATATCGATGCCCCAGACCTCACCCTCATTGAAGGTTGCTGCCTCAAACTCGCGTTTTTGCGACTCGCTCGGGTTGAGGATGATGCGCTTCTTGCCGTCGATGACATTCTGGGTTTGTTGGCAGGAGAGCATGCCTGGCGAACGCAAGATTAGGTTGCTGGGACGATCACGGCGTAAAAGAAATTTACCCTCAACAGGCTTGCAATTCCATGTCGTCGCAGCGCGGTCGACCGCCTCCGTTACTGCCCAGTTCTTGTTGCCGACCTTGACAGTGCGCATCGCGACCTCAGCAGCGGTCCAAGCAGCTTTGAGCACATCCGCGCGACGGCCAGTCACCGGGTTCTCCGGAGACGCGCCGACGACGACGGTCTCTGCGCTGATGGACGCAAAACCATCGATGTGTGCACCCAGATGGATTTTAACGACGTCGTCCTTCGCGAGCGTGAGCTCAGACTGGGGATCGGAACTGTAGTCGCGTTAGAACGCGCGGCCGGTCAGTCGGGGATTCTCGCGAGATGATCGGCAAGGACGCACGCGAGGGGGGAGAAGTGAGCGACGCAGTTGTTGACGGAGATGCAGGTGGGGAAGGCGATGCCTTGGGCGATGTCTGAGTACATTTGCGCTCTCAAAAAGCGAAGTACCACGCACCCTTCGGCGTACGGACGCCCTTCACGGGCTTGTTGTACACGCCACCGAGCCCGGCCTCAATGAGCTTGTCACCCTCGAGGCACAGATCCAGAACCTTGGCGCCCTCAACAGCCAGCTCAACGAGCTTCTTCTGCACCTGGTGCACGATATCTGCCGCGGTCTGCACATCGTCGTGAGCGCGGCGTCGCGATGGGCGATCGGGAAAATCAGCGCGCCTTGTACTTTGTGAGATCGGCCTCGAAGGTTGAGGTCTTTTTCTCCTCAACGGGGGCGGGGGCGGCTTCCTTGTTTTCGGCCATTGTGGGTGTGTGTTAGTTCGTTGGGTACAGTGAGAGATCCGGAAATAAGACGCGATGGGGAGGTGCGCGTCACGACGAACTGCTCTTGCCTTTTGTGGACACAAAACTTCGGAGCGGGTCAGCGGTGGACCTACAAGAGTCAATAGAAGTCAAATCTCGCAAGGATTATGCACTTACCACAGGCCTTGACTGGATACAGGACAGACCACACGGCATGTATACGATCCAAGTCAACATCCAAATACGATTGGCGGTAGGTATTCGACATGCATTGCATAGGGCGTATGCGATGTAGGTATCTTAAATAGTTCCGGACGATGGTTATACATGCGTGTGCGATCAGCAGTACGACAGGCGAGACGGAAGAGATGATATGAGATATCTACAAGATCAGCTAATATCCACAAGAGACAAGAGTGACTGAGGTCCAGAGAATGGGTGCGAATACTAATAGGCCGACAGTGGTCCGCGCCGCGCGGAAATGCGGACTGACACACACCTGGCCACGATGTATGTGCAGCTTTGTACATAGTGTAGGGAAGATGGATGGATGAGAGACGAGGATGAGGATGAGGATAAGATGGATGAGGAATGGCGTGCTAGGACACCAGGCATGTAAGGTAGTGTCGAGTCTAACCAAGATGGAGCATGTAGATGATGCATGGTGGTAGAGGATGAATGCAAGAAAACATGCCAGACGCTCATCGATGCGGCGTCGCCAGCTTAGACTGGCTAGGCTGCTTCGACGGGGACTTTGGTGGGGGTGCCGGAGCCTTCCCCGGAATCGGTGAGGGCCTCCGCGGTGTAGGCGAAGGTGCAGACTTCGGCGGTTCCGATGCGTGTGTGGTCGAATTGGCCGGTTTCGGCGGATTAGAGGCAGTACCGGATGTGGGCTTAGGCGTGCTGGACGCAGCCGCCGGCTTCGCTGGTGTAGATGGTATCGGTGAGGATGCCGTTCTCGCTGCCGTTGGCTTTGCTGCGGTAGACGAAGTTCCCGGCTTCGCTGGAGTTGCTGGTGCTTTAGAAGGAGTAGGCGGAGCTTTCCCGGCGGAAGACGCAGTCGTGGTTTTTGCCGCGCTTGACGCAGCCGCTGCTTTGGAAGCATTTGCTGCTTTCGATACAGTCGCGTTCGCTACCCGGAGCAAACTAGGCGAGCTGACCGCCCGCGACGGTGTTGGCGCGCGCGCAGACTTGTTTGGCGTCGGGGAGCGCGCAGGCTTGGGATGTTCGGGTGTTTTGGATTGTGGCCGTGGCGTTTCGGGAGAGTGAGATCTTGGTGTTGGTTTGGTTGAATTGACAGTAGATGCAGCCGACGTGGTCGCCTTCGACAACGTAGACGCACTTGCCGGCCTTTGTGTACTCGCCACATTCGACGGACGGGGCGTATCGGGAGTGCTCGATCCGTTGGTCGACCCCTTCGACGTTACGGCACTCGCCACCTTCGCCGGGATCGACAGATTACCCGGCTTCCCCGACCCCTTCGACAAGCTCCCTAACTTGCTCGACCTCGCCGACCCCGATCCCGACCCCGACGACTCCGCCGACTTCGTCGAATTCGACGAGCTGCCGGGCTTGCCATCTTTCTGCCCCGATGACAGCTTGCTCTGCAGCGGCGTCGACGGCACGGCGGGCTTGATCGCCACGAACCCGCGCATGCTGCGGCAGAGCTCCGTATTCGCCTGCGATGCTGCAGCACCCGACGACGCGGCCTTGATATCGAGGTTCGAGCGCCACACGCGCCACTCGGGGCGCTCAGTCTCGGGCTCGGACCACGCGAACTCGCGCTGGAGGAGCCGGCGAGAGCCGATGCGGTCAAGCATGTCGTTCTCCCAGCTCGTCCAGTCTGCTTCGAAGGTTTCGCGCGAGGAGGAGGCTTTCGAGCGGCCGCCGACGACGTTGAGCACGGGGGGCAGGTCGTCGTCGTACATCCGCTGGTACTCTTCCCAGATCGCTTCCTTGCATGCCGTCGCCGTAGCCACGCACCGCGCCAGATGCATCGGCGCCCAAGCGCTTGTCGAGGTCGTTGGAGGCGGCTTCGAGAGTTGTGAATTACCCGTCTCGCCACTCCGTCGGCCAGTGGAAGATGAAAGTGCGAATACCCCAGGCTCAAATCCGCTCCCGACGGAGGAAGTATGCTCGTGATGCCCTCGGCCACCATTCGCAGTCAATGCGCGAGAGTTTGGAGGGATCTTGATGAGGAGCGGCGCGTGCGTCTGCACGTCGTCGAAAAAGGATGAAAGGTAGAAGGGGAGGACGGTCGTGAGCTGCGGGGAGAGGAAGCGACGCGAAAGCATCGCATCCCAAGCAGCCAGTAGCTTCGAGTGGTCCTGCGGATGCGGCGCCACATCCATATCCAAGTCCTCCAGTTGCGAAGACAACGACCGCGTATGCAATCGCCTAGCCAGCGGCGTCGGCAGTATCGAGGATACCGGCACATCCGTCAGCGGGAACACGATCTCGTGCACGGGCGCCAGGCTCGGCTTCGCCTTAGTGTGCTGCTGCAGCGTCAGCGGCGGCGGATCGTCGAAAGAGATACCCCATGGGGGATTATCTTTGGACGAAAAGGTGGAGGGCGCCTTTGAGCTTGCGGTCGTCGGTATTGAGTCGAGTGATGGCGGTAGGTCAACGGAGATGGGCGGCGGCCGTGGTCGCGGTTTCGGAACTGGACCGGTTGGGAAGATAAGGTCCTCCTCGATGATTTCGAGAGTACCGCGGGGCTTCATGACGCGGGCGACTTCCTGGAGGGGTGTAAGCACGGTGCTGAGGGGGGTGCTGAGGAGGGATGGAGTAGAGGAATGGGAGGGGACTTGCCTCGAGCACATACTGCCACTATTGCGTCGTCAGATTCGTCATATGATGTGGGTGGCGCGCACTTACCTCGTCCTCTGGGACGGCGAGTCCGAGCCCAGCGATGCGCACAAAGTCAAAGTAGTCTGGTGGGAAGGGTAATCCGTCCAGTCTAAGGAGCCTCTCGTCAATACACGTTCCCTGAGGGCGGTGAATGAACGCACAGATTCCCATGTACCCATGTCACTCTCTGCCAGAAGTTCTCCTGCCGCGGGTCGATGTACTTGTTCAGTCGAGGCTGAATGTCCTTGATGTCGAAGCCTATAACAGTGCTATTCTGGTGCGTGGGTAAGTATCAGCACTCACGGGGCCGCGTGAGCGCGCGCGCAGAATACACACCGGCCATTGCTTTGCTGCTTCCAATGCCCACAGGCCGCCGCCACAGCCCAGGTCGAGGACAGTCGAGGGGGGAGGGTGCACAGCGCTCATCGTGAGCCCACGAAAGCAGCTGACGAGGAACATATGGTTCCAATTATCGCTGCACGGGCGGTGTCAGCGCTGCAGATCGCTCGGGTGGCTGAGGACGCACAAGGATATCATCTCGTGATTATACTCGAGGGGGTAAATGACCTCTCCTGGGCGCCGTAGCCTGGGCCGCTCCTTGAGGAGGACGGCCTCAACGTCTTTCACAGGGGGAGGGTCGACAGCCATAGCAGTTAGTGGATGAGTGCTGGTAGTTGCAGTATGGAGTGGGGGACTGCAAGGGCATATATAGTATAGCAGAAAAGAGCGCGGAGGTTAGGGGAGAGGCGAGTTTAGATACGAAGGGCTCGCTGCCGGACACAATGGGGAAGCATGACAAGCCGTCTGGCTGCTAGCCCTGAGCAAAAAGACTCCGAGCGGCGGCCAGGGGTGCTTTCCATAAGGGGATACCTGGACCCCTGGATCACGGGCTGGCGGAGGCGGCGAGCGCACAGAATGGCGACCAAAAATCAGCAAAAACATCCGTATATACTCGGAGGACATGGTGGAAGTACGAGGACAAGGAGGACGCCGCGGAGGCACAATGCCTCATGTCTCGCCACGGAAGAAAAAAGATTAATGCATGCTGGCCCGCGGGCCGCAAGCACGCGCAAATACCGGCAACTGCCGTCCGACGCGCGAGCTCCCGATTGCAGGCCGCCGTCACTGTCCTCAACGATGAACACGGCCATTCTCCGTCGCGCTGGTGGCGGCCGCGCTCTGGCGCGGCGCCTCGCTGCTGCCCCGCGTGCCGCCCCCGCTGTTGTCAGGAACTACGGCGACAAAGCAAAGTCGACGGAAGAGCTCTTCGAGACACCGCCCCTCCCGCTCAACAAGCAGTACCGCGCGCCGAAGGGCTGGGACGACCCGCAGATGCGTCGCAACTTTGGCGATCCGGTGCGTAACTCTAGGTTGTCTCTATATCTGTTCTGACACCCGCACCTCCAGATGCACGAGCAGGAAGAGCTTGTGTCAATGTGGGGTCCGGATATCCCTGTCATTGACCCCTCCATCGCCTTGAGGCACTTCACCATCGCCTTCAGCATCTTTGCTGGCATCTACGCCCTCTCTTGCGCCGCCTCCCCTCAAATTCCTGCCATCCGCCGTGAATACCCGCATGATGGCCTGAAGAACGCTTTCGGAGGCTACGATCAGGTGCGTACCAATCCCTGCATTCCTATTCGCCCGAATTTGACCCCGCTGCAGGCGCGGCCAGAGAGCATTGAGGAAGAAGATTGAGTAGCATGCCATCCAATGCAATACATCCTTTTCGCACTGCTAGAAGCAACGCGGCGCGAAGTCGCACTGGAAGCCCGAATATTGTCCTTTCGCGAATGAACGTTCTTTTACCGTCCTTCCTCCCCACAATCTGCCTGCGAGGGTATCGGGGTCTACGCAAGATAATATGCCTGATAGCCTCTGCTCTGTCCCTGGATCGTGACCAGACGTTGACTGTTGCGGTCTAGTTTCCGAGCGAACTCTTCATTTCAGTGCGTCGCTATCGCCGAGATATGGCTGACTCGTATGGTCAATCAAGGGCCTCCTCCTCGAGCAGTACAGGGCCACAGGTAGCGCCTGTAAGCGCCTGCTCGAATGGACTTGTAGCGCTTAAGAGAACGTCGTGGCTTCCTGCTGACGATAGACGTATCTTCTGCTTGCGCATATATATGCACCCTCGGACCAAGTGGAGTGCGTTGACCCCCATGGCCTCAAACTCAAGTGACTTACCCGTCCGCCTACTGCCAGAGGACGTTGTCTTGTGGCAATCCACTCTCTTGCAGATTGCGGTCGAAGCTGTCTTCTATGGTGCGGAAATGCTCAAGATCAGGTGCACCAGCCTAACAGGACATGTACAGGCATGCAAGCCGCAGTCTTCGTCGCCGCGATGATCGCCTCCGCGTAGGTGTTCACGACCTCGTCGGGACAGTCATCACATATTCAATGCTTCTCCCCTCAGCCGCCAAGAACGCCCCACACGCTTCATCACCACGGTCATTGTCATCCTCTTCCTCTCTTCCACCATTGGCATAGTCACGGACATCCTGTTCTACGTCTACAACACGCCGGTGATCATGGACCGCGATCCGGCTGCGAGCGAGGCAACGTTTTTGGTCCTCGTGATACTCACGCAAATGTGCACGCGGTATAATGTATGTTCACGGTGTAAATCCTGGTCTCTCAATTGTTTTTACCCTTTTCAGGTGCTCGTGAGCGACGCCATTGTCGTCTGGCGAGCGTGGATATTGTCTCAAGATAGTCGCCTTGCAAAGGCTGCCCTGTCCCTTTGCATGCTAGGCAGTCTAGGTCGGTGTTCCTCATTTCTCACTGTTAACAATATCGTTCATCAAGACATAGCCGGCGTCATCATCGAATGTGTATGGTGGGCGCGGGACAGGGCCGTCACCAATGGCGTAGTGGTCCGCACGCTCATCATGGACATTCCGCTCCTGTCAACGAACGTGGTCGCGACCGTACTAGTGGGGATGCGAGTATGGTCAGTCGATGATTGATCTTTTTGTCGTTCACAAGATGGCGCCGTTGCATTCAATGACAGCGTGACACTGACACTCACCTGCAGGACCTACCGCAGAGACATCAAGGTCCACATCGGCCCGTGGAAGAGCAAGACGCGCGTCGAGAGGGCCTTGATCCTGCTGTTAGAATCGGGCTTCGTATACTGCATCATATGGGTGAGTATATCTAGTCGTGAATGTTTCTGTCGCGCATGTCATACATCGTCCTCACAAGCATCCCTCACTGACATGTCCTCCAGATAGCAAGCATTGCCATCGACATCACTATGGGCACCGGCAACCTGTACGCATACCGCGCGATCGGTATCTCGTACCACAGCATCGCTGTGAGTCTTTGTCACTTGCCCACCATCGCTCCATGCGTCTTCTGCACACCTTGAGCTATTCAGATGACTGACATTCTTACCCACAGGGCATCTATCCCACCCTCATCGCCCTCGTGGTGGCCTTACAACGCTCCGCCGCGTCCTCTGTCCTCCTCAGCACACAAGTAAGCCGCCCATTGGCCTTCGCGGAGGCAGACAGAAGACAACAACAGCCTGGCATGCGAGACAGCGGCGCAAACTTCCAAAACAGTGCCGTAGACGCTGACAGTTCGCCCATTCTGCCGGCACAGGTCGCCTCCGATATCGAAGACGAGCAGTCAGTAGGACAAGTAACCGACATCGCGCAGTCGAGCTCTGTCGGACCTCAGGGCCGATGAACCTGGCATAGCCGGGATATGCAGCGTCCGTGATCGTGTGGAACAGGAGAAGGAAAGAAGTTTATACTCTTTTGAGCCTTGAACAAGGCCTCTCGGAAGTCTGTTTTTTGTATAGGTAGCTCTCATCCCTCGTGTTTCAAGCAGCTGAACCATCTCCACAATTACAAGCATACACGACGACAATTTACGCCGAAAAAGCTCACAATTCAGTCTGATTTCCGCATTCCTTCTGCCTCCTATCAATGCCTTCGCACACATATCAAGACGCCTCTGTATTCGCTATACTACGCCTTACAGGTCTCGGCTTCGGCCGCGGTCGCGGACGAGGCGGTGTAGCATCACCTGGCGAGAAGGGTGCATCATCACCTCCATCGCCTGCATAGTTATCGTCCGAATCATCATCTTCCTCTTCCTCCTCGCTTAGGGTCCGCTTCTTCCTAGCCTTCCGCACAGGTACCTTCTTGGCCTCAGGCTTCTTGGTTATGCGCTTGCGGGTGGCTTTCGCGGTTTCCGCGTCCTGCATTTCCTCCCCTTCTTCCTGTCCCCCTTCACCGACCTCGCCCTCATCCTCCGCCTCTGCCTGTTTCCCCTTCCCCTTCCTTCCCGCTCCCTTCCCTTTCGCCTTCGTCGTTGCCGTCCTCCTCCTCTTTCGCACTGGCTCTCCATTCTCGGCCTCTTCGTCGTCACCCTCAGCCAGGCCCGCTCTCTTCTTTCGAAAGTCCGACACAACTTGCTGCAGACGCCTGCTCGCGTACGCCTGCCGCTTGCGTGGCGCGTGCGTGCCAGTGCCGAGGGATACGTCGAGGAAGCTATTGAGGGTGCCTTGCTTGTTCGTCGTCTGGGCCTTGAACAGAGTAAGGCGATCCAGTCCGGCAAGTGGTAAACAGCAGACACTCACCTGGCCACGCTTCCCCATCTTGGAGATGATGGGCAGCAGGATCTCGTCAACTTTGTGTTGTGACCAGCCGAGCTCGCCATTGAAGAACCTGTGGCAGTCGAGTAAGTATACAGATTTGGCAACGAAAGTAGACAGGTGACTGACTCTCGCAACCCATCTAGGTCCGGTAGTCCCCACTTGAACGGCTCCTCGGACTCGTCGACGGTAGGGTGTAAATATGCGTCCCTCTGCGGATTCCTCGTCAGCTTGACGCCGAGTTACACTTCTTCAATTCACTCACCACCGCCCCATTTGGCCAGTCCGGCGGCAGATACAAGTCCTTGAACTTCTTCTTAAACCTCCTCCTAAACGGTGTGTTACTCTCCTCCCCATCCCGCCCCATCTGAACCCTTCCCCACCACTCCCTAAACCTCTCGAGTCCGTCCTCCCCCGGGAACTCTCTCAGCAGTTCCATTGCCATGACCGGGCCCACCCCCGGTAAGCCCTCAGTGTAGTCGCTGCCCAGCAAATACGCGAGACGGATAAGGACACCGCGGTCCAAACCGAGCTCGCGCTGAAGGTCGGCGGCGAGGAAGCACTCGACGGTCTTGGACTGGTTGAACATATTCTTGAAGACGCGCGCGGCGCCGAATAGGAAGACGTCGGAATCGTCGGTGATGACGCCGTCGACGAGGTTGAGGGAGACGAGGGTGGCGCACTGGGCCTCGGCTTCCATGGGCGCGGTCATGTAGGGGATGCCGAAGAGGCGGAGCATGATCTGGGTGGGTCAGTGGTGAGAAGGGCTGGGTGGCTGAACGAGGGGAGCACATACCATGATCTGCGCAACCATCTGCTGCGTCACGTCCTCGGCCGCGCGCATTGCCGCCGTCCTCTGCTGCCGCAGCGACGTGATCTCGTCGTCGATCTCGCTCCTGACGCTGGCGAGGTCGCGACCCTTCACCTGCGAGAGGAAGCGCGCGAACTCGCCCTCCTCTGCTGTCGCGTCCATCTCGTGTGCGGCGTCGAAGTCGTCGTGAGATTGGTCGGGTTGCTCCTCTATAGGCTCGCCATGGTCCTCGCCGAGATCATCGACGGGCTCCTCATCCTGGTCCATGATCTCTCCACTCCCTGAAGTCGTAAGGGGCCCGTTGCTGCCGTTGGAAAGGTCCTCACCCGCGACAGGCGATCGTGGGATGAGTCGCGGAGGTTCAGGGAAAGGGAAAGGAGGCTTTTCGGCCGTATGCGGTGCAGGACTCTCTAGCTCACGGACAGGGGAACGCGAAGGCAGCCGTTGTGCGTATGAGCTGAACGTTCGAATCGGCGACGGCGATGGCAGGGGCGAGGCATGTGGCATGGGCGCCGGCGAGTGGATGGGCGAAGGGGATGGGAGAGGTGACTGTCGGATGGATGGGGGCGATGGTGATGGAACGGAGGCGTGGCGAAAAGGAGAGCGACGGATAGGAGAGGGCGAGCGTATAGGCGAGGGAGAGGGCCTGCGAGTGGGTTCAGCGGAGGGCACGGGAACCTCCTCCATTTCGTCATCCTCGTCGGAAGACATGAGTTCTATGGTAGGAGCAACGGTGGGTTCGGCAGGGGGAGCTTGACGTGATATGTCCATAGTAGTTAAGGGTTGCTCGCCTATAACTGAGGCAGCATTCTCAGCCACCTCGGGTTCCTCCTGCTCAAGGTCCCCGAGCAGTAAAGTGGGCATCCCGAACATGCCAAAGGAAGGAATCGCTGCAGACGTAGACTCTGAAAGTCCCGGTGTAGATACGGACGGTCGCATGCTGTCAGTCGACGCTTGCGAAGGCCGCGTCGAAGAAGACACAGGTGGTCTCGCTGAGGACGATGGCACTCGAGAGGTAGACAGCGGAGGCCTTGACGACCCTCCTGGCGTGCTAGAGTACCCGCCAATGCCGATAGCAAGCGCTGTCTCCAGCCGACTGGGCGTCTCCGATAGTGAGGATCGCCTAGGCGCCTCCGTTATGGGTGGCTCGTGTGCCCTTGAGGTAGATGGCTCGTGCCGTTCATCAGCAGTATCTAGTACTCTCACCGACGATGTCTGTTCAAGCGACTCCTGAATCGCGATCGCCAGCAAGTCATTGTCTTCCTCGATGAGATTTATCTGCTCGTCCTCGAAGTCGTCGCCATCGAAGGTGAACAACGCCTGGTTGGTCATCGTCGGCGCTGCAGCCTTCCCCTTCCCCTTGCCGCCGCGAAAAAGAGCCTCCTGCTGCCTGCGTTCGATGGCCCCGAGTGCGTTCTCCGCCTGATATGCGCGCAAGTCGGAGTCCATGGATGCGGCAGCCTGGGTATAGGCATCGTCGCTGTAAACAAATGCATACATCACTACACTATTCGCAATGGAAGGATGAGGTACTAACATTTGCACCTCCTCCATGTCTTCGTCGTCGTCCAAGTCGGATTCCACAGCGACAGGCGGGGCCACGACTTGCGACTGAGGATCGACAACTTCGGGCTTCACATCTTCGTCCTTGTCGATCTCGATAGGCTGCTCCGCCGAATTCCCTGTCGTGTCCCGAACACCCAGCACCCACCCCCCTTCGGCTGAGTTATTCTTGACCAGAACATACTGCTTATTCCTCTCGCTCGCCACCCGCACCGGAATCGAAATATGTGCCGACCCAATCGTGTCCGTCGTCACCAACAGCTGCTGCGTCAGCGCATTCCGCCGCTGCAAATTCGCGATCTGCTGCTTGCTGAAATCCAGCGGCGTCTTCGAGGCCTGCAGCATGTTCTGCAATCGCACATAGCTCGTCTGCCGGGACTTCAATCGCAGGTCCCCGACGATCTCGTACTGCACCTCGGTGGGCAGCTCCCGGAAGGCGGGCGAGGTGACATCAAGGTCCTCGGGGCGCATTTCCTCAATGAAGGTGCGCAGCTCGTCCTCGGTGGCAAGGCGGGGGTCGGGAAGGACGCTTGTGGACGCTTTGGCGATGGCGGCTTCGAGGTTGACGTCGGGGAGTTTGTAGATGTCGTGATCGCGGAACTTGGCCTTGGAAGCGGAGGCGCTCGTCTTGTCGGCAGACGGTTGGGTTTGGGGGATAGAGGGATGAGGCTGCTTGCGGGCAGGGGTCTTCTGCATGGTGGGGTCGATGTCTTCGAGGTACACAACGTCTTCGTCTTCGGCTGGGGCTTTTCCTTTGCCTTTCCTGCTGCTGGGGGAAGATGGTGTGAGGGAACTGCGTACATCTTATAGCAGCAGGCACGCACCTTGAGGATTGCGCTTGCTGTACCGCAGCCTGGCGGAGCTGAGCTGCAAGCAGTCTCTCCGCTATTCTAGTGTGGCTCTCGGTGGCGTCGGTCTTGCGCTCCCTACGTTGGTTCTGCGAGACATTCAGCAATGAGCACACTGCGAAACAGCAAGAAAACGCACCAGAGTATTCCTCTTCAGCGCCGGCGCGCCCCCATCGAACACGAACACCGGCTTGATCCCATAGAACAAGAGCTTCGTGATGCGGCGCAGGAAACCCAAGACGTGGGCGTTCACGAGGACGCGTCCCTCCTTGTCGCGCATAGTCGCTTGGAATTGGTAGATCCATATACTGGAATCAATCGCCATGGTCTTGCCTTCCATGTTCTCCAGCCTACATCTCAGTGAGATGGAACCTCAAAGTACACGATGGGTATCACTTACTGTACAGGACGCCCGACCGGGGCGAGAAGCTGCCAGAGGGACTTGACACCCATCGTTCATGAGAGTTTGGGAAGAGAAAGGGAGTGTCTGGAGTACAAGGTCACCCATACATGAGACGCTCGACAGAGGACAAGGTTGATGCTGACAAGATGTTGACGAATTGCGACAAACTCTGACCGTCGGTGCCGAATATTCCCACCATCATGCGGAGAGAGGTTCAACTTTGGCAGATTCATTCCAGCTATCGGAGTGGATAGTATTGATTCTTCGTATGACTCCTTTCATAGCCTATACTTGAGGTATCTTAGACGGCGATTCGCCCGGGAGTCGCTTCACTTTCCCGGCGTATTCGGCCTTTCTTTGGGCGGTTGTATCAGCAGATTGCCTAAGCTGCCAGAGAAGTCGGACTCCCATTTTCACAATGGCTTGCAGTATAAAAGCAGCTAAATGTAGCGAGATCCTACATCGCTATATCCTTGACCAACCAAGGTAGTAAGTCATGACGCCAACCAGAAACGGCGAAGTGATCTTCAGCGAAAAGATCTCGTCTGGTACGTTACTTCTTCAGTTCGTACCGCTTTCGGGTAACATATATCGTGTTCCCTCCTACAGGCTACCCAGTCCCAAGCAAGACCGTCACATACGACGACACCGAGACAATCGATTTGGACAACATCCCTCTCGAAGGCGGCGTCCTGATCAAGACCCTTGCCCTGTCTGTGGATCCTTACTTCCGAGGCCTCATGGCGGAGACGACGGACGTGGTAGGTACACCCTGAGTATCTATCTCCACCAGATGCTGAATCTGCTACCTTGAGCCTGGGTTTGTACTTGGGCAACCGTGAGCCAAGCTGCTCTACACGCTCGAGCTGCAGAACATACTCACAATTTGCCAGCCTCATAAGCTACGGTATTGGCGTCGTCCTCCGCTCAGACAGCCCTGAGTGTATACCTGGTGTCCATGTGTATGGGATGCTACGTGAGTTTTCAGTGGTCCCTCGTTTACACACTTATCCTGCACTCGCTTCAGCTCACCATGACTACGCCCTCCTTCACCCCTCTACCATCTCCACCCTCCGCAAGATCGTCAAGCACCCCCACTTATCCTGGGCCACCTACCTTGGTGCCGCAGGCATGCCTGGGCTGACTGCGTTCTCTGGGTGGATGGAGTATGCGCCGAGGAACGGGGTGAGTGGTCGGTCGGTCGTACCGGTTCTGGGTGGGATGGCTATGCGGGACAGCAGGACGGGACAAAGACTGCCGAGGCACGCGGGCGTTGAACGTCACACTAACTACCCCGCCCACAGAAAGGCCTCACCGCGTTCGTCACGGCCGCGAGCGGGCCCGTGGGGTCCATGGTTGTTCAGCTAGCCAAACAGGACGGTTACAAGGCGAGCATTCACTTGATCGTCTCACTGTCACGGCACCGACATATAGGCGCTAGATAGTCGACGCCCCATAACTCCCAGCGCAAATGAGCAGACCCTGACTCATGAACTAGGTGATCGCGTCCGCCGGGTCGGACGACAAGGTAGACTTCATCAAAAGCATCGGCGCGGACGTGGCGTTCAACTACAAGACGGAGGACACGGAGGACGTGCTGAGCGAGCATGGGCCAATTGATGTGTGCGTGTTCCTCACCTTATGGTAACCAATTGCGTCCTCGAGACTGCTTGTAAATTGTGGCACGGACGACGGGGACACGAGCCATCTCACCGTCGGCCCAAGCGAGATGAGTACAAACGCGGACTGACTCGCAGACCAGCTATTGGGACAACGTTGGCGGCAAGACGCTCGAGAGCGCACTGGCAAATGCGAACCTAGGTGCGCGGTTCATCGTGAGTTTCCTATTCACTGGCACTCTAGATGTTGAGAGAAAACTCACCACCTTCACAACGCACAGGAATGTGGAATGGTTTCTGGTTAGTGCTCCGTGACAGTATTGATTAGTGCATGAGCCTACATGCTGAGCATCCCTCCAAGGATACAACAGCGAGCCTTATGGGGTCAAGGTCAGTCGCTTGCTTGCAGTTTCGCCGGTTCCTCGCTAGAGCAGCGCTGGGGTTGGCTTTGGACGCTCTGCAAATCTCACAGCCTACTTTTCCAGAACCTCCGCCTCCTCTACACCAAGCACATCACTTTGTACGGCTTCACCGTCATGATTCTAGGGGAGAAGTACCTCGAGGAATTTCTCGCCAAGATCCCACTTCAGCTGGCCAGCGGCCAACTTCAACACAAGGAAGACCTCACCTATGGCCTCGACAAGGTCGGGGACACGATACTCGCCGTGCAGAAGGGAGAGAATAGGGGGAAGGCGGTGATTGTGGTAGCGGAGGAGTGAGGGTGCAAGTGGGGAATGAGTGAGGGGCGAAGCAGGTCAGGATGACGAGGGCAAAAAAGTGCGCGGATGGGGCGAGAACCTAGCGGTGGAGCGGCGTTGGTGTACGAGAGTGAGTAGTGGATTAGAATGCATGGAGTCATACATCGTTGCACGCCTACATAGACTATGACGATGCTTCCTCCTTGCGCTCCTCGTGCTTCGGCGCGTGCTCGTACTGGTCGAAGCCCAAAGAGTGCTGTACCGCGTCGTCTGCAGCGTCGGGCTCGAGCTGCCCGTGGGCATTTCGCCGTGCCCTATATCAGGAAAATCACTGGTGAGCGAAAGCATCCAGGGTTTGTAGGGGAGAACGAACCTGAAGAACGTATACGACAACACGACGTCATCGACGTGCCGACATGAAGGGTCTTCCAACATATCTTTGTCGATGAAGAACAGAATGGGCATGTCGACCTCCTCGCCCGCCAGCAGCCTTTGCTCCTCGAAGCAGAAGCACTCCACTTTCGAGAAGTACGGAGCGATCTAGGAGGGCCCTCGTCAGTCCTTTCCCTCTCCCTCTCCCTCATCCCGATAACCACTCACCCGATCCGGTGTGACATTATACGTCGCAATCCCGATGATATCCTCATTCGACACATTCTTCGCCTTGTAGAACGCCAGACTCGTCTCCCCAGGCAGCACATTGACGAACTTCTGCTGCGGGATGAACTTCCAGGGTAGTTGCTCGGAGTGGTCCGCGTTGAAGTGCACGCGGATGCGGTGGGCGTCGTCGACGGGGACGAGGCGCTCGGGGGCGAAGCGGCCGCCCTGGCCGACGTTCGGAGTGCCCGCGAAGCCGGTGGCGGCGCAGAACATGCGGTAAAGGGGGACGGCGGCGTAGGTCACGCCGACGGCGCCGATGATCTGAGTGGGGGTGAGATGGAATGAAGAGGTGAGAAGGAGCGCTACTCACCACTGCGGTAGTGTACATCAACAATGCCCTATTCTTCGCGGTGTACTTTTCCTGCCGCTGCCGGGCGTAGGCTGCCTGTGCAGCGGAGACACCTGGTGGCGGAGCTTGCTGCTGCTGTTGTGATGACTGTCCGGCCTTTTCCTGCGCCCCCTCCGGCTGCGAAGACATGCGCCGCTTCCACGCCGCATGCCGAGTGGTGTTCACGGCGCATCGTACAGGGAGCGTGCGCGCTGGCGATCTAGCCTGGATCAAAACTCAATTGACGATGACTGCGAGGAGAACACCGCACTGACGGCTGCTAAGACATGGCCCGCTCTGAAGCAGCGGATGGCGGACATGGAGGGCGGAGGAGAGCGCGATCAATGGGCCTGCCTCGCCCGCCGTCGACGATGTCCTCCGCGGGGGCACCGGGATTCGGAATACGGCCATTCAGTTGACACGTGCGGCTGGGCGCTTGGACTGGCGACTTGTTCTTGACCTCGACCGCCACCATCTCGGCTGCGCGTGCTTGCAGCTTGCGATGTCTGCTACTGCGTCGACCTCAAAGGCGAATACCCCTGCGGCGCCGGACCTGGCGAAGGTGGAGACGGAGGTTGAGAGGTTGCTTGCTCGAGAGGCGACTGCGTTCCAGCGTGATGTCGAGGTGGAGCGCATCCTGAAGGCTTTCAAGCTCAAGTGTGTAGACCGGCAATGACACACGGTGTTTTCTGACGGCCCTACCCTCCCAGCCCGTATGACATCTTGGATCTCGAGGCCTCCTGCTCGACTGATGATATCAAGAGGAAGTATCGCCAGCTTTCCCTCTGTGCGTTACCTATCCCTTTCTCGCCACCGCGCCATACTGACCTTATCCGAAGTCATACATCCTGATAAGGCCAAGCACCCTAAAGCTCCGGAAGCCTTCGACATCCTCAAGAAAGCCGAGGGCGAACTCTCCGACGAGAAGCGGCGCGACGATCTTGACGCCACCATCCGGCAGGCAAGGATAGTCGTGCTCAAGTCCCTTTCCTTGCCTACCAATACCCCGGACAACGATCCGGCGCTTACGTCCCTTAATCCTTCCTTCAGCGCACGCTTGCGAGCGCAAGCAAAGGAGATGCTGATAGACGAGGAGGTCCGGAGACGAAAGTGCGTGTTTATTGCCCGGCCATATATCCTGAAAGTGGACTAATTTGCGACCGCAGGGCCATCAAGCTGAATCTCGCAAATGAAGGCCGAGAGGCGCGTCAGAAAGAGGAGGAAGTGGCAACGAAGAAGCGCAAGGCCGAGGACGACAAGGCATGGGAAGGTCGGTGGTTTTCATCTCCCGTTGCTGCATGTGGCTCACTCCATGCAATCAGAGCGCCGTGAAGAGAGGGTTGGCTCGTGGCGGAACTTTGCCAGCACCCAGAAAAAGAAGAAGAAATCGAACAAGCCCGCGCTGCTGGGATGAACTCGCTATTGCTTCTGGTAGACTTTTGTACTTCTATGTGTAGGATATAGACGGGATCTTGGACTTTCTCGACGCTCGCAGCTGCGTCATTCCCTGCCCACATGCCTGTGGCAGTGTCGCCCTTGCTGCGGCAACGAGGACAGGATGGCAACGGGTGGCAACTCAAACTCAATTCAGCATTTAGCACAAGGGTCGCCACGCTGAATCTCGATCACGTGTCCGTGACCTCTTAAAGCGCCTTTCTTTCAACCGCCACCCCGACGCGTCCAACATGCCCATAACACTGGACCAGGTCCAGGGATGGTTTACGAAACACTACCCCAAACCGTCTGTCGACCCTCAGTGGCTCCAAGAGTGCTTCGAGTGGGTGCTCGACGCGGAGAAGCCGTCGACACTCCAGGACGCGATCGCCTCAGTCGAGACGCAGCTACTCTCGTCCGACCTGCAAGTCTCTATGCTCCCTGGCACGGGGATACCCATCCACCATGACCAACCTGATACCTGGACTCTTGCGCCCGGAAAGACACCCGGCGTGCTCGTGCAGATCACCGCGCTCACGGAGATCGGGCAGAGCGCATGGAGTCTCAATGAGGTGCGCGTGGCGCGCGAGGAGCGCATGCGCGGCGCACCTACCGTTAATCAAGACACGGAGGACGACGGGAATGTCGGGGCGGACGACGAGGATGAGGGCCCTATGCCTAGCTACCCGCGATCTATGCTCAAGTTCGAGGTGTCCGATGGGCATGTCACGATGCCGGCGATCGAGTACAAGCCGCTGAAGGACCTGAAGCTGGGGGACACGAAGCTGGGGTTCAAGGTGCGCGGTCAGGTGTTTTTGAGAGAAGTACGGAGATGCTGAGCGCGCGCCTATGCAGATGATCTTGAAGAACGTCCCTGTCAATCGCGGGATCGCGTTCCTCACTCCAGAGTCCGTCACGCTGAAGGGGTACCAGGCGGAGGATCTCGAGGAGCAGCGGGAGGTGGCCTTTGCGCGTAGTCTGCACGCGCGTATGCACCCGTGAGCATGTCCCCTCGAATACCCGCGCCACACTCACACAGCGACAGGGACGAAGATCTTGATGCCCAGGACGGTGCGGGCGCACCCCCACCACCGCCCCCGGCGCCAGCACCCGCCGTGCGCTCCCCCCTTCGCGCCATATCGCCGCCCCCATCACCTCCACCCATGCAGGTCGATGAGAACTTACCACGGCCAAGGCGACTGCCCGCCAATCACACGCGTGGCCACTCCCCCGGACCTCCCATACCTGGGGAAGATGGGACGCTGCCCATCAAGCCGTTACCAAAGTCGCGCGTCGCGTCGATATCGTCGACCTCGCAATACTTTCCCCCTTCATCGTCCTCCACCGCTGTCGACCTGTCGCTATCGCCGACACATACTGCGTCGGGCTCGCGACCTCCGCCGATACCGCCGAGCGCTGTTCCACACCAACAGACGAACGGACACGCCGATACACGAGCCTCGAGCGCAGCAACCGAAAACACGCTCCGCAACACTTCAGCGCGGCCACCCTCGGACAGCGAGGACGAGTTCGACCTGATGTCGGACGGCCTGCTGAACGACGAGGTTTTCGCGATGGTCGACGCCGTCAGCCACGCCGCGCAGACGCAAAGTACGACCCAAGCAACGACCCAACCCACGACACGCCTCATGCCCGACATAATTGACGTCTCGGACTCGGAGGCGGACGAGAAGGAGAACGTTCCGGTGGAGGCGAAGCGCGCACGACGGCGAGTCGACGCGGTCATCGACATCAGCGACTCAGAGTAAATGGGCCGCACGCGTACCCCTTCGTCGCGCTCGACGCCCTTCGTCTTCCCACATACCCCTTCTCACACGGCAAGCCACTCTAGGTGACTTCGATGCCGCTGATATACGGACGCTTGTACCACCTCTTGTCTGACGTTCTCTTGCTCTCGACGTTCACGCTATGCAACCATCTTGTACTTCTCCATACCATATTATACCTATGAGGAAAGATAGTCGGGAGGCCTTGGGGCTATGATGGATACCTCAGAATGATGTTTGACTCTATTGTTGTCATGCTGACTGCCTCGGCATTTCGAACGTTGAAGGTCTACCTAAGCCTCAAGACCCTTTCTCTTTTTCCTCCAAGTTGCGCAAGACCGCCAACACCCTGGGCTCTGCTTGTTCGACCTAGTGGGATCCTTCAAAATTGGGTGAGGCTTGATCAGAAGTTGAGAAGCTGAGTGTTGTTGAAGCGAACGGGGATATACGTTTGGTTCCGATCAACCGCTCTACCGTGCAGATCGTCGCTCGATGGCGTTGACGTTTTCTGCTCTTCTCCAGGTGCTAAGGACGCCTCTGGGCACGATGAGCAGCTCTGAGCCTTTGCCCTCGACGAGCACATCATGAAGCGGGGCAATGCAGGGCTGGGGCAGGGCCATGACCTGTGCGATCAAGTCGCCGACAGCCGGCTCAGAAGACGTAAGAGAACCAAGTTCTATCTGCCGAATGCTATCCCGGACGAGCGCGCGGATGCCTCGTATTTTGCCTCTTGCCTCCTCTCGCTGGATCTCCTAATCGCCACGAACCTCAGCGCCTCCTGAGCGTCGGCTCTCCTGACGAGCCACTTCTTACGCCTTTGTGATGACCGCGCTGCTCGCCCAGCGCCTCGACGAGCTCGCGCTTGCGAACAAGGATGGGCTGCTGAGGTGTGTGGTGCTGGAACACCGGAGATGTGTGTACTGACGGCGATGACAGTGACGATGAATACCGCTTGCTGCGCCAGAGCGCGTTCGAGCGGTTCACGCAGGATGGGCAGGCCGATCTCCCAAAGGAGGCGCATGTCGTGCCCGTTATGTCCCTGCAGGTCCCTCAGCACAGACCGCACGCGTCGACCTCCCTCCCTGGTGTGTACGAGCCCGAATATCTGCAGAAGATGCGTCTGATCGCCCCGTATGCAGAAACCCGCGCACCCTCCCCGCATCGCGTCGAGTTCTCCCCTCATTCACCCCGCCCGCATTCGATGATGTCCATGAAGAGCGATGCGGTGCTGTCTGCTAGTGGATCTACTCCAGGCAAGCCGGCAGAGAGGAACAAGGTCGCAGGCCTGATGCGCCGTGCCACCTCGCGCAGGCGCCTCAAACCTGATCAGCCACCGAAAGACGATGACGGCAAGAAGGGCTCGCGCTTCGTTTCCGGACTGACCAAACTGCTCTCTCCACGCAAAGAGCGGCGCAGCAAGTCAGTCGATCCTGGGCCACGGCGCGGTCCGCCAAGCAGTGTCAGGACGAAACGCGCTTCCTCGCCTGGTAGTCCAAGCAAGGCATCCCGACGGACGGCAGGTCCGTCGGAGCCAGGGAGTCCCACGAGCCCAACATACCCAACATCTCCTAAAACGCGCCCGTCGATATTCTCCACCTCCACGCACGCCTCCTCCAAGGGCTCCCTCTTCTCCCTAGGATCGCCTCTGAAGGCATCCCGCAAGCCTTCCTTCTCCCGCAGACCCTCCTCCTCTCGAAGCAAACCCTCCTCCATCGGGCTGTTTTCCAACTCCGCGTCTACTTCTGCCTCGAATGGATCTCCGACAAAAGCCATCTCCTCCCGCTCGACCGCCCTCACCCCCGAGCTGCTCGCCGCCCTCCTGACCGACGAGACGAATCTTGCGGAGGCCCGGCCTGCGGAGATCCGCCGCGCGATCGACGGGGTCGAGGAGGAGCGCCGCGTCGTGCTCGATGCGTTCGAAGGCCTCGAAATGAGCGTGCTGGCCAGGATGCAACGGCAGGGCCATCTCAGCTCGCACGCCGGCGCGTGGACGGCGGAGTGGGGTATCCGACGGACGAGCGTGCCGCAGAGCGCGAGCACACCCCTCCAGCCGCCGGCGTCGCCCCTGCGGCTGTCCGTAGCGGCCCCGGCCAGGATGCGCGCGAATTCGTCCCCGAGGCGGCCGACGCATGCGAGGGCGCGGCTGGGGTCGACGGCGGGGCAGTCTTTTGTGTCGACAGCGGGACAGTCCTTCGTATCGACAGCGGGGCAATCATTTGTGTCGACGCAGTCACATATATCCGCGTCAGCTACAGGAATGCCGCGTCACTCCAGGCAGCAGGGCTCCATCACATCTATGGTATCCTTCAGTGCGCCCTCTGGCGATGCGGAAGAGGATGACCGTTCAATGGACGAACTCGAGGACGTGCGCCGCCGCCGAGGAGAGGTCGTCGCGCGGTACGAGGCGCGGCTGGAGTACCTGAGGGCCCTGATGAGGGGTGCGGAGATCAGGGAGCGGGTGAGGAGGTAGGTTGGGCATGGAGGTAAGGCGCTGTTGTGCGGTTCGCTGGACTTGGTATACCCACAGCGTACGACGCTGTTCGTCGATGACTGCAACGCCTAGCAAGGACCAGCGCGGTCATGGACGCTTGACGATACGACATGCCAATACGGACTTGCGTATACATGTACCACAATCGCTTTTGAAGTACTCGTACGGTTTCTGATAATCACTCTTACCTTATTTTCCGGCTCTTACTACCTTATTCACCCAGCTCTAAAGTATAGCGTTACGGACCGCGTAGTAAATAGTCAACTCTTGTATGTATATACACGCAACACAGCAATAAGTAATGCCAGCACTGATCCTTTACATCGAGGATCTGCTCGGAGGTCTACTCTAGGACCGGCGGCGATTCGCACAGCGTCGGGCGAGTACCATAAGTAAGGTATCAGCGATAATAAGAGGAGGTTATCTGGTCTGTTATACACGCATCCGACGACAGCTGCACACCTCGAGCCCCAGGTCTACTCCAACGTCGAGCCCCTGCCCTTGCCGGGAGAGATCCTGCCAGACTGGCCGGCGGTGGGCGACGAGGTGCGCTTGAACGCGTTCGTCGCTATCCGCTGCCGCTTCGTCGCGCGCTTCGCTTCCTCCTCCAGCATGTCGTCTGCGGTCTCCGGTTCGTCTATGGGACCGACGACGGGCAGAGCGTCATCCTGCTCGGAATCGGAATCGACGGGAAGATGCTGGCTGGCGAGCTGCTGCAGCTGTTGTTGTTGTTGCTGCTGCTGCTGCTGCTGCTGCTGCTGCTGCTGCTGCTGCCACTGCGCACTCGCTGTCGCTTCGATTGCGATCTCCTCCTGCCGCTCGGCCTGCACGAGCTCCCTGTACTGAGCAATGACCTCCTCCGGGTCCAGCTTGTGAAGCTCGTCGGAAAGCCGATCGTTCTTCTTGAACGCGCCCTTTTCCTTCTTGCCCCTTTTCAAGATCAGCCGCCATTCTCGGTCTAGCTTCCGATAGTTACGAAGGGACGGTGGTTTTGGCTTCGGATCGTCGTCGTTGTCGTCGTCGTCATCTCCGCTGTCTGTGATATCCTCATCGGAGTTCTCATCAGAGTCGTCTTCATCGGAGTCGTCTTCATCAGAGTCGTCATCGGAGTCGTCCTCGGAGTCGTCATCATCGCTCCCATCGTCTGCATTGCCATTGTCGCCTTTCGAGTCGTCTCCGTCGTCTCCGTTCGCGGCTGGCTGCGAATGACGATCAAGCCAGTCCGTCAACGCATCCTGGTAGACGATCCACTGTTTGAGCATCCGCCGATACATATGGACCCATTCCAACAAGGGCGCCGATACGGAATCGGTGAAGGCAAGGCGATACCGACGGGGATCTCCCGAAAGTGACCGAGCAGAGGAAGTAATCGTGCCGAAGAAGCTCCTCTTCCCGTCGCCACCAAAAGGTACTCCATCCGGATTGAACTCGTACTGCTGGAGGACACTGTCGACAATGTGAAGGGCGACCTTGCGATCAAAGGGAAAATAAAGGATAATTATGAACAAGGCCACCCAGAAGATGGACTCCAGATCATCTTGGACGTCGTGGAGCTTGTGGTGGCCGAGTGACAAAGTAGACATGAAAGCCCAAGTTCCCTAGTCAAGAGATCAGTCAGACGTGATTACGCTAATGGGTAATTACTCACCGTACGGTCGGGCGGTCGCCCAGGGCCAGTGGGTAGCTGGGCCATCATGTTGATGGTGGGGTCGGTTTTGGATGCACCTGCGGGGGGCATGGGTGCGCAAAGGTCCCAATCTGTGAGGATCCCTTCTCCAGACTTTTCGTCCCACAAGATGTTCCATGCACTGAAGTCTCGATGGAGCTTGCGACACCGTGAAACGGCTTGCTTATGACCTGTTGGGGTTGGTTAATCGTTAGGCCCGTACAAGAATACGATCGTCGTCACTCACAAGTGAAGACATTATGCAATATCTGAAGCAGATGCTTGGAGGACTTGAACTTCCACAGCGGCTGACCGTAGTTCATCGCGATACGGTGGTGTATACGAGGATGGTGGACTTTATGATGTCCACGGTTCCACTCCGCGGAAACATACGCATCCGTGATGGTCCGCTGGTCTGTGAGGTCCCCACCGCAAATCAGCTTAGGGGCGTACTTCACGCGCGCGCGGTTGAGTTCCCCAATGACGTCCGCTTCCGCCAGCGCGTCCTTGGTGTTGGAGCGCCAGGCGTCCTTGATAAAGATGACCGTCTTGGTCCTCGGATCCCAAGCGGGATAGCCGCGTGTGGCACGCGTCCGCAACCCGGTTGTCTTGATGACCGACGGTTTCCAGATGTAGAACCAGCGAAGGCCACCCTCCTCCTCGGCGCAAGGCACACCCATTTGGCGAATGGGCTCCTCAGAACGCTCCTGCGTCGACTCGTTCTGTTCCGGAGGCATGTACTTCGCCAGCGCCTCCCGAGCACGCGCGACGTTCGGATCGTTGGGCAGCACGTCGCGAACGGTGTCATCGAAGCCCTGGTCCTTTTCGGAGAGGTGATCGAAGCGGTGAAGGAACTCGGTCAGAGGGTTGGGTGTAGGCGCGTTCGGTCCCGACCACGGGGTGCTCTTCGTCACGATCAGTCCGTCGCGATCAGCGCGGATGATGCGGAAGGAGTCCTTGGAGATGAAGAGGAAGAGCGCGAACATGCGATGCTGACGCGCATGCATCTCCTCGACGTAGCGCACGACCTGGCCCACCGCATCAGCCATGCTGACTTGTCCCACTTTGGGTTCGAAGAGGCCGAGCTTCTCATCGTCGTTGAAGATTCCCAGTAGCTTCTTGATCTCCGCCCCCAATTTGCCCTTATCGAGTTGCGTGCGACCCTTCGCCAGGTCGATGAGATACCCGTACATCATCAGGTCTGGCTTCATCTGCTGTCCGCGAGACGCATTCCTATCGACGGTCGCGCTGGTGTCGACGACGACAGAGTTGGTGGCTACTTGCATGACCCCTCGGATCTGGAAAAGCGCGTCAGACAGGGTATGTTCTCAGCAACTGTGGCACTCACCACTACATCCTCCAGATCCTTCTCGCTTTTGACGTGGTCGACGGGGTATTCGACCTTTGGCGCGGCTACGTTCGTCTCCGGGACGAAGTCCCCCATAAACTGTTCCGTAGGCATAGGGCCGACCCAGTATCCAGTGTTATCCATTCTCGAGTTAGTCCGTGCCTCTGGAGCGTGTATCGTCTTCGCCGAATGTTTCGCGACGGATGTGTTCAGCAGCGTGCGTGGGGTCGACTGGAAGGTATGGAAGCGGTGGCCTGCAGTCGGAGTGCGAGGAGGCCCGGAAGGCGCAGATTGAGTGATGGGTGCAAATAGACCTGGTTGATCACTGTCACGAAGACGCTTGTAACCTGACGTCGGGGCGGTCCCTGAAGTCATGGTGGCAAGCGCGTCAGTGGTGGGAGGAAAGACAGAGATAGAGGGATGCCTACAAGTTCGCGGTTATATACGCGCACGTCTATCGAGTAGATGGCCACGCCACGTGCAGAACAAAGGACGATCGGGGAATGAACCTACACCGGGTGATGGTAGGAGACAGGTTGGCCTTTGATGCAATTTCCGAATTGGGCGTCGGGCCAAAATCACGTGACTGCCACGAGGTGAAGCGCCGACGCCCCGCGGTGTAGTTGGAATTCGGTCGCACCACGTTATCCTTGATTGGCCGCACTTTCCGTAGGAATACTCAGACAAACGTCAATTAAGGACATACCGGAGTAAGCAAAGCAGCACTCTCAGTGGCCTCTTGGCTTACTCACTGTGTATGCGGCTTCGTACTAGAGCTTGTCCCAGCCATCAAAACTGCGCAAACTCGGCGCAGAGACTTAAAATAAAGGCAAAGCGTCCATTTTCCAGTCTTTGAAATACGTTGCGAAGACGCAGCCGAGGCTCACATTACCCTATCACGCGGGCTGGCCTTTGCTGGCCTACAGGATGCCACATGTTGCTCTCCATTTTCTTTCACTTGATCTTCTGGTACAAAGAGACGGCAATCAAATAATGTAAAACATTTCTCCGAAACATTATACTCATACGCGGCTGCCAGACACGCAGCAGCGCAAAACCTTCCCAAAAGGGTAATCTTGGAAGAAAGCGCAATCACCCTTCTGAAATGCATCAGTCCCACAGCCCGGCCTTTTTGACGCATTGCACATGCAAGTTTTGTCAAGGTTCATTGCGCGCGGGGCTCCGCCGTACGTACCACATGAGCAACACAGGCTTCGGGCGGACGACACGTGCCACATATTCCAAACTCTAGCCACTGATTTAACTCCCCTGACTAGTTTAACGACATAGACGCTGTGAGATAGTCATACTTTCTGCCTTCCACTCTTATAGCACTGACCTCCTACTCGGTCAGCACGGTAAGACGCTGTCTTTACCTATGATTGGAGAGACAGTATTGATCGGCATTCCCCGTGCTCGCCGCTTCGCTCCCAGATGGACGCGTATACACAGTCTTGTATATACTGTGCCCTGCAGTGTGCAGGAGCACCTGCGCGATAAAGTCCAGAATGGGATCACGCCGTGTGTTGCCACAGGAAAAATCGTGTATAGCTTGCGAAGGTCATGGGTACTGTCCTGCTCAGCTGTTCCGGGCAGCGATCATGCTTTGGAGCATGTCATGAGCAACGGCGCCCTGCATGGAGCCGGCCGATGTTGAAAGTCTGGCGGAAGATATAAAAAATCTCAGTAACTTAGCAGCAACTTGTTTCGATCAAGTGACCTCGGGGTTATGAGCCCCGCGCGCTTCCACTGCGCCATGCTGCTATAGAAGGTATTTCTTGCTTTGCTTATATAATCTCTACTCTCAAGTCGCTGTGGCCATCACCGTTCCGTTATCTCGAGTTCATCGCTTCATGGGAACAGCAGGAAGCGAACGAACAGGACACCGACAAGCCAGTGTGCTCGCAGGAAGGTCCACCCCTTGGCGGATTAAGGAGCCTGAAGAAAGCCACAGCCTATCATTTGCCACAACCCTGCGGCGAAGCTTCCAGCGTAGCTGACAATGCCATGACGGATGATGCGATGCTAAGAGGCATATATTGTCCTAGCTAGCTATCCGTCCGCGTCCTGTCCTCTTGCGACTCATGTCACCCGGACGGCTGCGAAGGGGGCCACTTCCGTTCGCGCGACGTTGGAACCGATACCATGAATGATGCAGAGCGGCCCGTCAGCTCATACCAACCCGCTCCCCGCCATCCGCACCGTATCCCCCACAGCCCTCGCCACCCCGCCCCAAGCGCGCGCGAGCAGTCCTGAGCCGTCATCCCGTAGACGGCGGCGTACGAGATCGGCGGTCCCGGCTGCGGCAACTGTACCTGCAGCTGGACCAGCATTAGCCACTGGCATCCTTTGCTTCACGAAGGGAGAAGACAAGGAGAAGAAGGAGAAGACAAGGAGAGAAAAACGTACCTGCAGAACCAGCACCCGCTATCCTTGCCCTCCGCCGCCGCCTCAGGACGAACGAGATCAACGGTACCAGGACGAACAGCACCGCGAACGTCCACGTCGAGTACGACGTCCGCCATGAGCCGAAGTACTGGGAGAGATACGCGCGGAGGACTTCGAGGGGTCGTGGGGCGGCGTTGGTCGTTGTGGCATCCGTCGGAGGCGCCAGACTGGCCCGTGCAAGGGCCAGGCGATCGCGGGATGATGTTGGCTGACCGCGAGAGGACGTCGAGCGCGCACGATCCGAGTTGGAGCGATCCGTGCCAGGCCGACGAGCAGAGGAGGGGTATAGAGCGCCATTGGGCTTAGCGGTGCCATTCGCTTTTCGTAGACTGCCGTTGGCGCTTCCCGACTTGGCAGGACGAGCGGTGACCGTCGAACTAGCTGACGAATTCCGCCGTGTGCGTGCGGGTGTCATCGCGGAAAGACCATTGACGTTCCGACCGCGAGGGACGACGGTGTGCGTCGAGGTAGTGGACAAAGAGCTTGACGAGGAGGATGATGAGGGCGCGGGTGAATATGAACGAGGGGACTCAGAACCAGAGGGTACTGGGGGAGGCGAGGGAGACGGTGTAGGGAGAGGTGAAGGAGAGGTGGGACGCTGCGATGCAAGCTGGTCGACTAGGCGCTAGGGAGGGGTTGGTATTAGCGCAGGATATGTGGATAGTATGGCGATCGAACGCACCTGCCTCGCTGCCTCTGACAATTCCTGCTCGTACGCGAGGAACTCGGTCGCGTACTCCCATTCACCTAGCGCAGGAAGTACTTGTAGTACGTAGACCTCAATGATCTGAGCATATCCGTCATCTACACGCCGTCCTCCCTCTTCGTCCACCCGCCGCCTCGCCAGCCATTCCTCGATCATCGCACGCCCTGCATCCGCACACCCAAGCTTCAAGCTCGAGTACGCCAGCGTAGCCAAAATCTGACTCGGCAAGAACGCCGCATCCGGCCCCGCTCCCGCCGCGCTCGGCGTAAACAGCACCAACGACCGCTTGTACATCGCGTCTACCGCCGCTGGCGCAGGCAGTGCAGCGAACTCCCTCAGCGCATCCGGCAGGGTGGGGGACGAGGCCGCGTGTACGGTGGTCTCTAGCGTGATGCGCAGGATGTCCCACTTCTTGCGCTGCGCCTGGAGGGCGGGGAGCGGTGCCACGCTGACGGGCGGGCCGAGGATGGCAAAGGCGGCGTCGAGGAGGGAGTGCGCGAGGGGAATGTCGCGCTGGAGGAAGGCGCGGGCGGCGCGCGAGTACAGCCCCCGCAGCGAGGCCTCCGTCGAGGAGCCCGGGTCGGTTGTAGTATTCGGAGCGGAGGGTGCGAGTGTGTTGCTGCTATGTGAAGTACTGCTGTTACTGGGTGCGGCCTTTGACGCGGGCGACACCAAAGTCATCTTTCCCTTCGAGGTGGGCGGTAGGAGGGGAGTGTGGGCGTGGGCGACGACGGTGTGGGTGGCGGTCGGCATCGTGGTCGCCGTTTGGAAACAAGAGCTGGCGGTTGGCTGCCGGTGCGCGCGTCATGTGTTTCTTCCCCGGCCCAGTACTAATCGTACCAAAATATTCGACGGTCACAGTTCGTCACAACCTTTCTGTCAATGCGATTCTCCATTTGCATGGCAACGAATCACCTCCGGCTTTTGCTGAAGTAGTAGGAGCAGGCGAATAAGATACAGGTAAGTACGTGGCGATCCGGTCGGTAGGTACGAGTGCGTAAATTGGTTCTATGCGTGCATGAGTGCGTGCGATACAAGGTGTGGGGGGACAACAGGTGGCGCCGGGAGGTGCTCAGTAGGTATGTGAGACCGGGAAACAGTAGGTATGAGCCGAGAAGCAGTAGGTATGAGCCGAGGAACAGTAGGCATGCAAGACGGGAGACGGTAGGTATGCAAGACAAGAACACGGTACGTATGCGGTAAGTAGGAAGTAGAGAGGATCAATGTAAGTAGGTATAAAGATGAACTAAAGGCTAGCAAGTTGCAAGCATGATGACGCCATAAGAGTAAGAGGCCATAGGTGAAGATAAATCAGGGCACACCATATGTGGGGAAAGATAAAATGAAGTGGAAGTTCCGATTGAAATGATAGGTCTAAGAATCCAGTGGAAGCTCAACCTCCTGATTGGCTGCAGCCTCGAGCTGCGCTTCGGCTTCGTGCCCATCTCGTGCTTGCGCTACGTGCCCATCTTGCGCTGCGTTCACCTGCGACATTCGAAGTTACGTGAGCAAAAGTTGCCAGAACTTTGACTTCATACATACCTCACGCTCGACCTTTGCCTGCTCAACTTCCTCATCCACTTCGTCCGTTGCTACAGCTTCTCCCTCTCGCCTCCTCTTCCACTCCCGCTCGTCCACGTCAGCATCGGACGGCGGCCCCTGGCGCTTGCGTAGTGACGGGTTGGACGAGGTTCTTGGTAGCAGCGCGGACGAAGGTGCCGGTGAGGCCGGCAAAGGAATGGATGCTGGTGATAAGGGAAGCGAAAGACTTGAAGAAGGCGCAGATGGCTGGAGTTGCGGCGCTGAGCACGAGAGTTGTGGTTGCGACGCCATGCACACGGCTTGTAGTTGCGGCGCCGAGCCCGAGCGTTGTGATTGGGGCGTCGAGCACGAGAATGAGCCTCCAAAGGTCGGAGGCAAGGCCACGGTCGGCGACATCGGCGGCGAGGACAGCGTCGTGCAAAGCGAGGCCGGCGACGCGGGCAGCGACGAGGACGTCGAAGTCGTCGACAACGCGGACGAGGCCGTCGAAGATGTAGATGCCATCGACGTATGCCCGGGGGTGAACGTCGATGATCCGGGAGGGCTGTTGGCATAACCGCCCTCCGTCGAGTTCGTCACCTCCGCCTCCGGCTGAACCTCGCCCCTCAACTCGCCCACCTCCCTCCTCAGCGCCCCATTCTCCCCCTCCAACTCCCTCACCCTCGCCTCCAGCTCGCCCAACTGCACCCGCTTCTTCCGCGCCGCCGCCAGATCGCTCGAGTAGCACCCCAGCAGGAACCGCTGCTGCCGGTCGCGCGCCCTCAGCTCCTCCAGCTGCGCTTTCTGTTTGTTTATCTGCGCGTTCTGCTTGCTGAGTTGAACTTGCTGGTGGTCGAACCTTGCGCTCAACCCCTCCAGCTCCTCCACGCGCGACTTCAAGTTCGCCAGCTCCGTATCGCTGACGAACAAGGCGCAACGCAGATCGCGCGCGTCGAACTGCGCGTCCTCGAGATCGCGGTACGCGCCCTCGAGATCGGCGTAGGACTCGTCGATCTCTTGGTGGGCGTCGGCGAGCTCTTGTTGCGCATCGGCCAGCTCCTTCTGCGCGTCCGCTAACTCGCCCTCAGTGCGTTCCAGCTCGCCTTCGACGCGTTCCAGTTCCTCAGCCGCGGCGTAGAGCTCGCATTCGCGCCTGTTCAGCTGCCGCTCGACGCGTCGTTTGGCGCGCCTGGCACGGCCGAGGGCGGCGCTGAGCCTGCGGATCTCGGCCTGGGCGCCGGCGAGGGAGGAGGCGGGAGGTGCGGGGAGATCGTCGAGGTCGTCGGCGTCGGCGAAGGGGAGGTACTGGAGGTCGCGATAGGGAGATGAGGTGGGGATGGAGGGAGGAGATGTTGTGGTATGTCGTGGGGAGGAGGAGCTGGCGACGGAGGATAGGGACCGTGTAGTTGAGGAGCTGATTGACCTGAGGACCGGTGTTGCGGCCGGTGTGCGGATCGTGGTTGAGGCAGACTTGTTGCGAAGCGGGGTACTGAGTGGCTTGCCCGGGGTACCACGGAGTCTCGCTAGCGTTCCGTCGAGCTTGGAGGGACTGCGAACAGCCTTGGCAGGAGTGCCGGCTGGCTTGATAGGCGGGCCAGCCACTTTGCGGGGACTGCCGTCCACCATCTGCTCCTTCGCATCGGGCGTGTACATACCAAGCGACGTCTCCAGCGCCGCCAGGAGCTCTTCGATCGAGCGTGCAGCTCGGAGACGCGCAACGGTCTGTCCCAGTTCGCTGGCGAACCGCGAGTACTCGGCCCGGGCATGCGCTAGGGTAGCGGCGCGCCAGGCGTCATCGTGCACTGGGTACGCCTTGAAGAGCGCGTCACGGGTGGCGCGATAATTCTCGAGGGCGCGGTAGTAGGTATTGAGCAGGTGGCGATAACGAGAGGCGAGGAAGACGAGTAGGATGACAGTGGCCAGGCAGAGCCCCGTATTCGCCGGAGTGGATAATAAAGTCCGTAGACTTGAGATTAGAATCGAAGGGAATGAGGATAATGCGGAGGACAATGACCCTGTCCAGGGCTCCAGCAGCTTGGGTGGCTGCAGCGTGCCGGACGCGACGTGCGGGAGGATCTGGTTCATCGTGCGTTCGGCTGCTGTTACCGAGATCGTGAGGAGTCGTGATTGGCGAGAGTGTGTGGAGGAGAAGATACAGAGAGATATGAAGACAAAAGCCGGCCTAGGAGACGCGACCGTGCCGGCCAAAGTCAACGAAAAAGCGGACAGGGGCGCTGGGGATCCCAGGATGTGGCACGAGGCAGCCACGAGGTGATTCAGATCGAATGCGGGAGATGCCGAGTCGTAGTTCAACTTCAGTGTTGCGCTCGTGAGGTGCTTGCTGTAGGATAAGAGAGTCTGAGTAGGGGGAAGATGGGGTTTTGGGACAACGTACTGTGCGGACAGCAGGGCATGACGAGTCAACGGCACCTAGTTCGCAGGTCGGAGCTTGCTAGTTTGCATTCGGTACGTCTGGACCGTCCGACTCCATGAGCATGGCCCAAGGATAATATTCAAAGCAGCTGTTAAGTAGCCTAGGTAGATTTCGATGCTGCAGATCACCTTGCTTGCAAGGTCTTTCCCGTGTCTTATTGATCCCATCAAAAATGACCCCATGTGCGTAGCACGTTCCGAAGACAACATCAATAAACGCGCAAATATCTTCGTTCAAAAGTCCTGTGGACCTGTACGGCACCACACGACGAGCCCTGCCAGCGACAGCAGAATTCAGACTCACGCGCGGGATGCAAGCAAGGTATGCGACCGGCGAAGCCGGGACTTCCTCTAGTGAGATGTGAATAGTAAATTTCAAGGCGGAGGAATCGACAGGCTCGTCAAATACGCGTCCGGTCTCCTTCACAAATGCCAGAAGGGCAGCCCGATTCTTGGCGTCCCCAAGAACGCTCGCCCGATCGAGCCTCCTGCCCCGAATTGTAAGTCGCAACCGATGGCGCGCTTCTCGAAAACGTCGACATTCGAAGATTGCGAAGACACTGATATTGACGATAGTTTCAAGCAGTTCGCTTGTTAAAGAGCCCCGAAAATCCCGTCAGAAGTCTCAGTTGTCATCCCGAGGTCTTGCTGTTATCGACGTTACAGGTGTAAATACTTATATAGAAGTCGACGCCCTCGTTGCTTGTGCGCAATCATGTCCCCGGAGTCGCCGCGCCCCCGCTGAGTGCACACTCACAGATAACTTGTGCGCGCCTCACCACCACCTGCGGCTCTTCTTTCCCCTCCCCGCCACCACCGCCAACCTTCACCAGCCCTGGAAACACCGTCGCGCCCACCTGGCACGCCCCGCCCCTCTCCGACGTCCCGCACCGCTTCACCAGCTCCATCTGCCCCGGATGCAGGCCCGCGCCCACCTCCGGCACGAACGCCCGATAGAACGCGTCCCCCGCCGCCCCGCCGTGCAGCATGCGCGCGAAGTCGAGCGCGGCGATGAGGACGTCGGCGGGGAGCGGCGGCGCGAGGGGCGTGTCGCCGTCGGCGGGGGTGAGCGGCTTGTTGAGGAGCGCGCGGGAGAGGGCGGGGACGTGCTCGGCGAGGATGCCGCGGAGGACGGTGGGGGTGTAGGTGGTGACGGCGGCGGAGAAGGTGAGGCGGCGCCAGGCGGCTGCTGCGGGAGGGGCTCGGGCGAGGAGATGCGCGTGCAGACGGGTGAGCTGGGCGTTGGCGGCGGGAGAGTTCGTCGGCGCGAGGGTGTTTAAGGCGCCCTCTGCGACGGCCTCGGCGAGTGCATGTCTGAGTAGCGCATGTGTTCGCAGAGGGGCCGCATCCGTAGCCAGCGAAGCTGACAGGTCCGCAAGGACCGCTCGAGCGAGGTTATTCTGCGGACATGGAGGTGCACGAAGAACATCTGACGCCCAGCGGTTGATGAGCTTGTCGAGATGCGCGGCGGCGCTACGAATAGAGAAATCGTCGACAGTGTTGCCGGTGCCATTCGCCGGGCCGGTTGCCGGACCGCCCTCGAGGAGCGCGATGCGCGCGCGGAGGGCGGCGACTTGGCGCTCCTGCTCTTCCAGCTGCAGTCGTTGTTGCTCGACTTTCTCGTGGGCGATGCGCTAGATGGAAAATGGGATGTCAGGTGTAGGTAGATGGCCGATCGGACGTGGGAGAGGTAAGGGGGATACGCACGAAGTTCGTGAGCGCGTAGCGATACTGCTCTCCGGATACAGAGTCATTTTGAGGGGGTGGGGACTGCTGCTGTTGGGGAGGGAGTGGTAGAGGCTGTTGAAGACCAGGTCCTTGAAGCCAAGATGGCTGTTGCTGCTGGAAGCCTGGCGCAAGCTGCTGTTGAGGAGGTCCCCCGTATTGTTGCCAAGGCTGCTGCATAGACATTGGAGGAGACTGCATCGTCGAGCCGGAGGACGTGGTCTCTGTCCTTGAGGGTGTTGGGGAGGGCTGTAGTGTCTGCGGCGGGGCAGAGCCCACCACGCTCTCTCGTTTCTTGCCAAAGAGTGACCGTTTCATTGTGGCATGACAAGGATCTATAGACGATGGCGGCTTTTAGAGGGCGTGCATGATAGGAGACGGTGTATGCCGAGCGAACGAGGCATGATAGCTGTGTGTATGCACGGAGCTTGGAGGTGGGAATCGAGTCTCCTCGCGCAGGTGAAGGTCGTGTCCAACATTCTTTTGACGACGTGCGTGAAGAAGGGGAGTGGAGTTACGATCCTCGGACATCCGAGGACGGCTTTCGGCATTTGCCGAGGTACGGACCCTGCCGGACGTGCCGAATTCACAACAGATATCAACTTGATTCTGACCATCATGGCCTTCCATCTGCAACTGTATACAAGGCTTCCGCGCCCATCCAGAATACAACAGATGCCTAAAACCTCCATACATCTACCTTCGCGCGAACCGCGTTACCGCATAGCCTGAAGCAGCCTCGCGGAGCTCCTTGCTCAAGTTGACTTCTGCCCGAAGACCGAAGATGGCGCTTCAGCGGGTCGGTCCGCATCGACATTGCGTACTCGCTGTACGGTACCTGAGATGCTTTATCTCGCAGCATAGCAGGTTGCTTGAGGTAAGTGACACCGACCAAGCAACTCATAAAGCCGCTCTACCGCTTTATGACCGTTGTTCGGAAAGGCTCGATTCGTACTTCATGGACTACACTACGTCGCAGTTAAGAAGGATGCGAGTGTGTGCGTACCAATATATAGAGCGAGGGGCGCGTATAGTGAGCAGCATTCGTCTCTTCTTTGCCCTTCACGATAATGCCGGCCAACAAAGAGTACGACATCATCTTCGCTGGAGGTACGTCGCGAGGCAGCTTGTAATTGCTCGTCCATCAGATTGATTGACGCTGTAGCTGGAACTGCTGCCTGTGTCGCGGCTGGGCGCCTTGCTGCCGCTGACCCTACGCTCAGGATCTTGGTGAGTCTCGCGCATCCCGCGTACGTCTTTGACTATATACTGAAAGCTCTCTGCCCAGCTCCTCGAAGCAGGCCCGCACACACTTGGCCTCGCCGCACACATCGAACCCTACCGTTTCGTCACGCACCTCGTACCCGAAAGTCTGACAGTCACTCCCTACGCCTCCACTCCATCACCCGCCGTAGGCGGCAGGTCTATCATCGTGCCTGCCGGACACTGCGTTGGTGGCGGGAGCTCGGTCAACTGTGAGTTGAACCTTAGACACCATTAGTGGTGCTCTAAGTGGCACATACTGATGCTACACGCCAGTTATGATGTATACACGCGCTGCCGCGTCTGACTACAACGATTGGGGTGCCCCGGGGTGGACTGCTGACGAGCTACTGCCGCTCTTGAAGAAGGTGAGTACGTAAAGGCGCTATCGAAACTCGTGCTTTTGCTTGCACATACATGCTGAACACTATCAACCTCCAGACAGAAACCTACCAAGAAGAGCCCAACCAGCCAACACACGGGTACAGCGGTCCCCTCAAAGTGTCCTACGGTGGCCAATTTATGCAGATCTCGAAAGACTTCCTCGACGTGGCGGCTGTTTACGATAAGGAGCGCAAGGCGTCCGCTGATATTAACACCCTATATGAGTGCGATGGGTATGGGGTACGTCAATGCGCGCTCTTCGTATCAGTTGCGTATTGGGTCGTTGGCTAACCTGTGTTTCATTATCCGTCCTCTCATCTTTTTCGGCTTACAGCGATGGCCGAAGTGGATCGACAAGGAGACCGGAAAACGCTCGGACCCCGCGCATCACTATATCTACAACAAAGTCGCGAACACGAATCTGCAGGTTGTAGCCGGTGCGCGGGTAGTACGAGTGTTGTTTGAGTGCGTATGACCTTTCCAGTGTCCACACATTCTTTTCTATTCCCCTCGCTAACTACCGCTCGTCCAACGTACCACTAACTGGTATTCCTTGCAGAGAAGACCGCGCTCGCGGCGTCGAGTTTGTGACAGAGAACAAGCCTGACTCTCCCGTCAACTCCGTCTACGCATCCCGCCTCGTCGTTCTGTCCGCAGGCAGCTTCGGGTCGCCGGCGATCCTGGAGCGGTCCGGAATAGGGAGCGCAATGCTCTTGGAGAAGCTAGGCGTGCCAGTGAAGGTGAACCTACCCGGGGTTGGGGAGAATTATCAGGGTAGGTTGAGTGCTCGCGTAGACCTGGAAGATGTTTCCTTGCTTTTGGCAGCTAGAGCAGCTTTTTCCTGATTGACGATGACCTCCACAGATCACCATCTCATGCACGTCACCTATCACGCGTCGGACGAGACGGAGACATTGGACGACCTTCTCCTCGGCGAGCCCGAGGAAATCGCGTACTGGCAGAAGATGTATGCTGAGGGGAAGGGGTTGATGGCGCACAAGTACGTATGGTCTCTCTTAGCCGCAGATGCTTTCTTTTTTTTCCTTGCACCTCCTTCGCTCTGTATTTCAATACTGACGCTCATGCAGTGGCATCGACGCCGGAATCAAGATCCGGCCCACTGCCGCCGAGCGTGCGACTATGGGTCCCGCCTTTGCAGTGTACTGGGACGAGTTCTTCGAGCGCGCGCCAGACAAGCCGCTGCTGGCGATCTCGTGCTCGGCGAGTCCGTGCGTGATCCACTTTGTGCTTGTTCATCTGACGAGACATGGTATTCATGATGTACAGGGTGCTTCGCACGGACCCTTCATTAGGGCCCAAGTGTAAGGTGTTCAAGATACTGTACTATACGGTAAGGCCCGGTAATTACTTGGCTCGCATCTTTACTGACGATCTTTACCTCAACAGCTCTACCCTAAATCCGTTGGACACACTCACATCTCAAGCGCTACTGATGCGCATGCGCCACCGGTTTTCGAGTCGGGGTACTTGGAGGAGTAAGTGCACACTCCCTCACTGTTTACCTTATAACTCATTCGCAACCCTTCCTATCTTCTTCACCAGCTCCGGCGCCGACGTCGCCGCCCTCGTGTGGGGCTACAGGCGTTCCCGCGAGCTAGCGCGCCGCCTTCCCGCATACCGGGGCGAGCTGGCGTCGACGCACCCAATCTTCGCTGCTCGAACGACCGAAGGTCCTACCGTTGGCAGCTCCGGCGTACCGCTTGTCAAGCTGGCGCACGAGGACGTTGCGACCGACGCTGACACGGAGCTGGCGAGCAACTTGGCAGCGACGCCGATGAAGGATCTAGGAGCGAAGTCAGCGACTCCTTCGATGGAACACTCGGCGACGAACGCCGCGACTAGGGGCCCCTTTGCTGGTCGTGCTACGGGTCCTGTCCCCATCGACGCCCCAGATATCGCGTACAGCGCGGAAGACGAGAAGGCCATCGAGGAGTGGGCGAGGAGTTTCGGTCAGTGATCCATCTTCGTTACCTATCGTCCAGCGACTAGTTTATTAATGCCGATGGCCACTGACACACCCTCCGCAGTGCAAACGGCATGGCATTCGGTGCGTTGTTTGACTCAATCTGGAGGTGAAGTAGCATCGTATCCTGCCGCTGATTTACACATTCCCGCTAGCTCGGCACCTGTGCCATGAAGCCTCGCGAGGACGGCGGCGTCGTTGACGCGAGGCTCAACGTGTATGGCGTTCATGGTCTGAAAGTGGTTGACGTCAGTAATCTGTTTTTTTCTCGATCCGCTTCTTACTCTCGTCTTGACGTCCTCATTCCACCTTCCGCGCCACAGCTCTCTATCGCTCCGCTCAACGTTGGCGCCAACACCTGCAGCACCGCGCTCGTGGTGGGAGAGAAGGCAGCGATGATCATCGCGGAGGACCTTGGAATTAAGGGCGTATAACAGAGATATTCACTGGCTTGGTGGTTTGGTACACGATTGTAGTGCTATGCTCGAGGCGGCGTTGACGCATTACGTGACTGTCACGGTTGATTTCCCAAAGCACGTGCATTGTTGACTGCCGGCAGCTGCCGAAAGACGAACCTATCTCGCTTTGTCAAATTTCGCATCATAATCAGGATTACCCAGACGCTGCATCCGACTGCCACGAAGCTGTCGCTTGTTCGGTGTCTGCCATCTAGACTCCATGCACCCCGCGCAGTATTTCCTCCAGTTTCGATGGCGCATACCCACGACGGACTACTTTTCATGGGATTTGGGGGTCTGTTTCCTGGCGCCTCTTTCTGCACGCCGCCTTGCCTCGGGACATTTCGCACACGCGTTGCCCATCCAGACAGATCAAGTGCAAATATAAATATGCAAATAATACAATGGTGGTATGTCAATCGAGCTTACACGACGATCTATTCCCGATGCCGAGGAAACGCATCGACCGCACGCGGGAGGACAGTGCGCCACCGCCGCTTAGTTGGGCACACAGACAAGGACGCCGCTGCCGTCCTTGTGGCAGACTGAAATTCGGCTCGTCAACCCACGATCAAACTGGCATGAAGGATAGATACTCACTGCCCTCTGCGGTGCCGTCGGCGCTCTTGAAGGCGCAGTCATGGCCCTCGCCGTAGTGATTGCTGCCGTTGCAGGCGTCAACTGCGAGAAGATGAGTATCCCGCTTGTTTTACCCAAACTAACGAGCTGGCTCACCAGGGTTGTCAGCGAGCAGAGTCGCGGCGGATGCCTGGCCGAAGAAGACGGCGGAGGCGGCAACGATGGCGACGGCGAACTTGTACATTGTGGTGGATGTGGAGAGTAGGTGAGTGCCTCTGAGAGATGGATGTGGAAGCGGTTGGTGCTGAGGACAGAGGACAGACTCGCCAGCCTATATACGGCCAGATTCGCCGTCCATCCGGGAGGGGACGTAGGCTCTCTGATGGTACTCTGCCATTGGAGAAGCGCCTGTCTCTGCATCGAGCGTTGCGACTTCAGTCGTGGAGTCGGAATGTATGCCATCATTGCGGGCAAGACGTTGGGGTAGATTCAGGTGAGGGGCCGTCCATACAAAGAGCCACCCGTGGTTGACTGGTGAGGTTAAGCCGCTTGTTTCGAGACGTTGCATTGCACCCTTGGCACGACGGTTGCTCGTTAGAGGCGTCTCTTGAAAGTCTTGTGGGGCCCATGATCGGCTGCGGAAGCGAGAGGGCGGCCGGTTCATTCGTCGAAGGAGTCATGGCCATCCAGTTGACGCGGTCATGGCCACTTAGTCCACAGGTGAGACAATCCTCCGCGCCACTGTTCAGAGCCCACTCGTAGACGCGGACAGCATCAACCACCGTTTCATGCCAGTGAACTGAATTGGTGGCAGGATAGATGTGTAGGGCTTCCGTAGAGATCATAACTCACGTTTTCTAACGGCGGAAGTTATGCATAAAGTAATCCTTCCTTTCCCCCGCGATTCAAGCTACTCGTCACCAACCTCTACAGAGCGCTCGACCTGCTAGCGACCCCGCCGATGGGTCTGATTGCGCCGCCACGAAAGACGGCGTCGCTTGCTGACAGCGCCCATTTCTTGCGATGGCCACAACTACCCAGCGTCGACCCCACTTGGTTGATGGTTTCAATATACTTGGTCTACCAACACGATCCGAAACATGCTTCCCAACACATCCTATATCATGGAGACCCTTCTCTGTGCCCGCTGATGTGACAGAGAGCATCACTGTGGAAGGCCGGATGCGTAACGGTAGTCTACGACACCCGACCGATGCATCTAGTGTCACGGTTGATGTCACGCGTTGCGTTTCGAGGGCTGGCGCCGACAGTGGGTGTGTGGAGCGAAAAGTGCGGGCTATAGACTCGCATACACAGCCAGGTGGGTGATAGAGATGAAGGTAGGCCGTTGGTCGACTTTTGCGCGGTGAGTTCGAGGCGGAAAAGTAAGTATAAATACCGGGTAGGTCGTCCGTCGAGTTCTTCATCAGCCTAACGCCTCTTCCACCACACCAGCCAACCAGCCTCCCTTCACCCCTCTCATCCGACAATATGTACAAGCTCGCCGTCGCCATCGTCGCCGCCTTCGCCGTCTTCTTCGGCCAAGCATCCGCCGCGACTCTGCTCGCTGACAATCCTGGTGAGCTCGTCAGTCTAGAGCGGACTAGCAGGATACTCACCTCCTCACAGTCGACGCCTGCAACGGCAGCAACCACTACGGCGAGGGCCACGACTGCGCCTTCAAGAGCGCCGACGGCACCGCAGAGGGCAGTGAGTATCTATCCTTCTGACGAGTCTGATCGTGGGTTGACGAGCTGGATTTTAGTCTGCCACAAGGACGGCAGCGGCGTCCTTGTCTGCGTGCCCAACTGAGCGTCTTGTTGACGACGACTGGAGCGGGGCATCCCGAGGCATTGTAACGTTCTGTAAATTATACATCTATCGCATATCAAGCAGCTTCTTCTCCCCGATGTTTGATTGGTGACCTACCTCGTACTCTCCGCAGTGCCCATCGACACCTGCGCTTCTTGGGGACTTCAGAGTGTACATTGCGAGGCCGGTCTCGCGATCTGTCATTCTTGAATGACGCCACTGACATCGTAATAAGTTGAATATAGTGAGGGACAATACGACGAAGAGCGTCTTGTGCCCCTCCGCCATGACGGGCGAGCGGCACTTGCGGCGAGCGACTTTGCGCTCGTGCGAGAAGTCGACGACCACACCCGGTGCTGCACCAGATTGTGCGAGTCGGAGGCCCTGCTAATCATTCGCTCGGTGCCCAAAGTCCCTGACGGCTTGGCCTGTCGCCCCTTCCGACGCCCCCTCGAGCAACCTTTCCTTAGCCTCGAGTGATTCTTCCCTGGCGGGTCAGTGATCGACCAGAACTACGAAGTGGGAGCTGTAACATTTGGCGAGTGCTGTTTCCGAAGCGCGAGACATGGGGCAAGACGTAGCGCGGGACATGACAATACGTAGCGCAGCGCAGCGATAGGAAACAAGGCATCGCACAGGGTGCGCAAGGTGCTTCGCCATGACTCGCGCAAACTTAGTCCGCTGCCGACTGGCGCGTTCGCCGTCGATTGGATAGGTCCTGTTATTGAATCGAAAGAGTCCTGTTGTCGAATCGGATGGGTCCTGGTTTTGAGCTCAGCGGTCCAGCGATCGTATTGGCGACGATACAGTAACTTGCTGCCTATGATGCTGAGCCGAAGGTAGCCTGGGTTCAGGCGGGTGAAGGATCCATTCTGGGATGGTGACGTCGCAGCCTGCGTGTCGAACTCGCATCCGGCGTACCGTAGTCGCTACTGGATATCGAGGTTGGAGGCGGGATGTTTGAAGGCAACGCCCAGTTCGCCGGCAGGATAGTGAGGTTGTCGTCGAGGATGCAATCCTTGCGATCGCAGTTAGGCCTAATTTGTCGCGATAGGCCAGTTTCAACTCGCCGTAGACGGTATAGTCAGGCCACAGTTTGGGTTTGCAGGGAGCGAGGGGGCCGGCAACGTCGTGGGGTTGGCGAGCTTTGCACGGTTGAAGTGTTAGATTCGGGGAAGGAGAGGGCATGATAGATAGTTGAGGGGGATAGGTCAGACAGGAGTGGCGAGAAAAAGACGTTTCTTGCGAAGGGTGGTAAGGGGTACGAGGGCAATAGAGAACGAGGCTGCGCGGGGAGAGATGAATGATGTGGAATGGATAGAAGGGATGTTGAGGGAAAAGAGGGAGGTGCACTGGGAGACTGGCGGTACGGATGGTGGAAAAGAGAGGGATCAGGAAGTGGGGGATCGAAAGCATCGAGGGAAAGGGAGAGGGAATGGGGAGAGGGGAAGTGGGAGGGGGATGAGGCTAACATTCCCCCTGTGATGCACGTTTATATACGCTTGCTGAGCGTGGCTGTGCTGAGAGACATGCTGTAGAGTAATAGTCTAAAGCGCGATCGAAAAAGGTATTGTGTCTTACTCGCGACATAAAGGGGGAAGCTGTGGAATCTGAGTCGCGAGAACAGCAATGACCGTAACGGCAACGTCCGCCAGGCCGATCACTGGGAATAAGCGCCCGCACGTGACCGCATCTCTACGTGTCCTCTTCCCCCATCCCCCCTTTGCGCCTCCCTCCCCCCCGCGCGTCTACATATACTCCTGCACTTACACTCATTCACTCCTCGCTCGACTACCTCTTGTCTGCATACATCACAGAGACCTATGATCCTTCTCTGGTGGGCACTGCTCGCCTCTGCTCTCGGCCTCGCGCTCGCGGCGGACCTGTACAAAGTCCTTGACGTCGACCGCTCCGCCTCCGAGCGCGACATTCGATACGCGTACAAGAAGCTCAGCAAGAAATGGCACCCGGACAAGAACAAACAGGAGGGCGCAGAGGCGCGCTTCATCGAGATTGCGCATGCGTACGAGGTGCTGAGCGACAAGGAGGTGCGGCGACCCTACCCCACTACGTTTACTCAATCTGACTCGACCCCCTCCAGAAACGCGCCATCTACGACCGCCACGGCGAGGACGGCCTGCGCGCGCACGAGTCCGGCCAGCACCAGCCGAACCCCTTCGACATGTTCTCCAACTTCTTCGGCGGCGGGCACCAGCAGCACCAGCAGCAGCGCCGCGGGCCGTCGTCAGTCACCGAGTTTGAGGTTACGCTGGAGGATATGTATAAGGGGAACAGCATAGATGTGCGCGGTCGTTTCCCTCCTCGATCACTAAGTCCGCTGCACCGCGCCTATCCTTCTATTGCGTTTTCCTCCCTTTCATGGTGGCGCGGTTGCCGTCCCGCTCCCAAATCTCTCTCCCCTCCGCTCTATACCTCGTTAACCCGAACTGACCCCCCTCCCCCAGTTTCGCGTCAAGAAGAAGGTCCTCTGCGACCACTGCCGTGGCACAGGCGCCGCGTCCGACTCGGATATACATACATGTAGCCAGTGCGGCGGGAGTGGGGTGAGAGTGGTGAAGCAGCAGGTGCGCGTTGGCGAGTGCATATATGCGTTCCGTTCCCTCCCATGGTCTTGATGAGAAGACGAACTCAACTAACCTCATCCGTCTCTTGCAGATCTTCCCCGGCATGTTCGCGCAGCAGCAGATGACGTGCGACGCGTGCGGCGGGCGGGGGACGGTGGTGAAGAAGGTGTGCGGCGCGTGTGGGGGGAAGAAGGTGAGTTAGGAGTTTTAGATATTGCTCTCTTTCGTCACTCTGCGACGATACCTTCGGCTTTCGCATGCTTTCGAGCGCGATGTCAGGCTTGCGCGCTCGTCACTGGACCCCTCCCCCCGACGAGAGTTTTGTCGGATTACGAAGGTACACGAGGATTGCGAAGGTACTGACCCCGTATCCACCAGATCCTCGACCACACCGCGCACTTGACGCTCGATATCGAGCCGGGCACGCCGGAGGGGCACGAGGTTGTGTTCGAGGGGGAGGCGGATGAGAGGTGAGTGGGGGTGTTCTTTGCTGCCTCTCATCCTTTTCATCTTCATTTACAATGCTAATCCGATTTCTAATTCTACCCACCTTCGTTCTCAATGTACCCACTTTCATTCACAATGCTGACGAACACCCTGCCTCACAGCCCCGACTACGAGCCCGGCGACGTCGTGCTGCGCGTGCGCTCGCGGAAGGAGGCCGGCGGCTGGCGAAGGAAGGAGAGCAGCCTGTACTGGCGCGAGGTCGTCGGCGTGGGGGAGGTGAGTGGGCGAGTTCTGTGTATATCCAATTGACCGAAACTGTCAAGGCGCTGCTCGGCTTCGAGCGCAACCTGACGCACCTGGACGGGCATGTGGTGACGCTGAGGAGAGAGGGGGTGACGCAGCCGGGTGAGTGGATGCATATAATTTCCTACGGTCGTCTCGCCGAGGCCCTGACCAACCGAGACCCTGACTCTCCGGTCGTGTCCTGCAAGGGTACTGACCCCACCTCTAGGTCACATTCAGACCATACCCGGCGAGGGCATGCCCATCTTTGGGAAGGAGGGCCCGCCGGGCGACACGCACTCGCATGGAGATCTGTACGTCGAGTATGCGGTCGTGCTCCCGCAGGAGGTGGATGGGAAGTTGAGGAGGAGTGAGTAGAATCGTTTGATCGCTTTTGTGAATAGGGATGGAGGGGGGCTGGATAGGGAGGGAGGGGGGCTGGATGGGGATGGAGGCAGGCTGGATAGGGATGGAGGAAGCTGGATGGGGATGGAGGAAGCTGAATGGGGATGGAGAGAGGCTGAATAGGGACGGGCAAAGCTGACCATGCTTTGCAGAACTCGAGGAGGCGTTCGAGATGGGCGAGGCGGCGCACGACGAGTTATAACCTCGGTGGGCGTCGGAGGGGTATCTGGCTGCTCGCATGCCGTGCAGGGGCCCTCGCGAGCAGTCCTGCCTGAAGGACGCAGGAGTCGTGTCGATGGACGCCGGGGTCGTGTCGATGCGCGCGAGGCCCGAACGTGGGCTGTGTGCGGAGGGTAGCCGCGTAGGAGATCCTCTAGACTAACGGGGGCACCAGGGCCGCGGTGCGAGGGCCCTGCGACCGTACGAGGGCCCTATGACTGTACAAGGGCTCGAAGACAGAGGTTGACGCTGTTTAGAAATAGTGTACGTGCGAGGATACCATAAACACCGGCATATCATTATTCGCTTTCGGTCTTGGTTCGCTGCCGCATACCTATCATTGTGCACGACGAAAGGCAAGACCGCAACGTACGCTTCGACCTCCATCGCAATGCTTTGACCACAGCCGCAACCTACGTTTCAACCAACGCCTTGCGCACATCAAGCCAGGTCATGCTCAACTCGTTCTCGTCGAACTTGATAAGGGCGAGATTCGGGAAGAGCTGGTGTAGGAATGTCGTCGTCTGCTCCACACAGTCCTCGTCGAGCGGGGAGTCGCCAATGTAGAGGCGGGATAGCGGGTGTGAGGGTGGACGAGAGTTCAGTGCGGACGGTGGCGACTTTGGCGACTTGAGCTCGGTGGGGATGTCCGGGACGCTACCGCTGTGCACGGTCACAGGGATAGACAGGTCTCGAAGCCTGGGGCACAGCCGCGCGTAGTGCACGAGCGCCCCAAGCGTCGCGGGCGTGTCCACCGTGTACAGCGACAGATCGTACACCGTCGCCGTGTTAAACCCGAGGAGCTCTACGTTAGGCCACCACCCCGCGACCTGCTCGTGCTCATCGTCTGTGAGCAGCACGCCGAGCGTGGCATTGAGGGCGACGTGCGTGAGATGGCGGAAGGCGGCGAGGATCTCAATGTGGTGGAGCTGCAGAGGGGAGTAGCGCCCGATGAACGGGCGGATGAGCAGCTGGCGGAGCGTGTCGTGGGGCACGTGGTCGTGCAGGGCGAGGAGGATGGCGTGCAGCTGGTCAGCGTCGGCGCGGAATAGCGGGAGGGCGGAGAAAGTGCGCAGGAAGGGGAAGCGCCATGAGCGCAGGGCACCCATGAGGGCGGGCGCGAAGAGGCCGTGCAGGCCGAGGTGCTGCAGGGCCAGAAAGCAGCTGGGCATTTGAGAAGGGGTCACGTCAGTGAAGTCCAGGCTGCGGGCCCTAACGCTGAAGCGCAGGTGGAGCGTGCGCAGGGTCGGGATGTAGGCGAATGTGGCAAGCAGGTCTGTATTCCGTTTGTCGCGGATGAAGAGGTCTACCTTTTCGAGAAGGGTGTAGTGCTGTGGGATGGCCATCAGAAGCTTCGAGCCATGCGTGTGGTAATCCTCGGGGAGGATGAAGGTGGATTCGGTCACGACGAGCTCGCGGAGCGTGTAGCTGGTAATGCAGAGAGGAGACAGCAGCAGATTATACAGTGAGGTGAAGGCAGGGCTCAAGGGCACCATAGGCGTGGAACGAGGGATCTCGAAGCGCAGGCAGCGAAGGTTCGGGAAGAGACAACGGGGTGGAGGACACCTGGCGAGTGCCTCGACGACTGCTTCGGCACAGTCCGAGGTGGGATCCGCGGGGTCCTTCGCAGTGATGAGGGCCTTCACCAGCTGAGCTCGACTGTATACGGTGTCCCAGTCTGTTCCCAATATTTGTCGACGCAGTGACTGGGTAGCAAAAGTCTGACTTAGATACCGAAGGTCACGGCGAGCGAGCGAAGGTTCTTACCAAGCGCGTCCCTTGGATTCCTGTTGTTCTGGGTTCCAAGTGCCATGCGTCACAGGGGAGCAGCCTGAGCAACGGCTGAAGCCCGTGCATGGTTTCCCAAAGCAGCGGAGTAGCTGCATCATGCCAGTCCCGCGATACCCGCGCCAGGCGACCGAGGTCGCGCTGGGAGATATCTTGATCGGAAAAGATGATATCCAGAATCTCACATGGTAGACACACGGGCTCATTCGGCACAAGGGACATGGGAGATGTAACCGAGGCTCAGGGTGATGGATCGGACTGAACGTGGGGGCGTGTCAATGTACTCGTGAAAGGCCTCGGCCGCTGCCGATCTCACGTGCTCATGTTAGGTCAACCGTGACCGTCACGTTTCAAGAATGGGTTATGCCTTGTGTCATCGTGAAGCTGACATGCATGAGCGTTGAGAGCTGTATATACGCGAGCCATCCTACGTATCTATTAGACATCACGCCCCCTTCATTCCCAGATCCTCTGCAATCAGCATAGCGGCCTTCTCCCCAATCACGAGCGCGGTGCTACACGTATTGGCGCCAACGTTGAAGGGTGCGATGGAGAGCTGGCATAGCGTGGGTTTAGGAGATGATTAAGGAAAGTTGGTTCGGCGATGATAGTGGTAAGGTAAAATCGAACATAAGAGAATTGCGGATAATCTATGGTAAGCACTCACATCGACTATCTTAAGGCCCTGCACGCCGTACACGTTGAGCCGGGCGTCAACAACGCCGCCTTCCGAGCGAGGCCTCATGGGACATGTACCAAGCTGTGGTAAGCGAGTAAACGTTCAGGCGGATGCATAAGTTGTCAGAAGAGTGGGGACCAACGCACCGAATGCCACGTCGTTTGCACTGGGGGATAATGGCTCAGCTCAGCCTCTCGCTGCATTGGATAGTTCAGCGGTATACACACCATGTTCTCTCGCCCAATCTTCTATCGCCTTATCGTCTTCCGCGCTGTACACGATGTTTGGCGCGTCAATGGGGACGGGACCCGGGGCGGGGCCTGCTAGGGGACTTGTGAAATCTTTCTTCGTTTCTGTATGCCTCTCTTGCTGGATGTCGCGGTTTCCTTGCTGGGCGCTAGCAGTGGGCGGCTCTTTCGCCTCACTTTCGTATTCCAGCTTGACAAGAGGCATGCTGCTGATACCGACGGTCGGGCCCTCGGAGGCGACGGTCGCGTCGTCGGTGGCAGTGGTCGTATCGACGTTTGCTCTTGAAGACACGGCGGCCCCGCAACCCGGGAAGATCGGGTGTGCCATCGCGAGCTCGCCTCTGTATACCGGCATCCGCCGCGCGAGCTCTCGGGAGTGCTTATAGCCCCAGACGAGGGCGGCGAGGTCTGCGCCGGAGCTGATACAGGCGGTAAATATGGCCTTTTGATGAAGACCAGGACGAGAACACTCACTCCTCCAAAAACCCCGACTCGAAGGCTGGCGGCGCGAACGCGTCTGTCGCGCTGGTAATATGGGTGCGTCCACGCGATTGAGGGTAAAGCTAGAATGGGTTATTGAGAGATTACTCGGAATATCAGCGCAAAGTCCCACAAGCACCGTGTAGAACGAGATAGCCAGGAATCTGCTCTTGTGATCAACGGAGGGGGTGGCGCCAATCCTGTATGTGCGGAGGTCAAGGTGGCGGCCGTATTATGAGCGATAATGGCAATGCAAGAGTGAGGTTATGAAGATCCATTTTCCGAGGCAAGCAGCTACTCACGACACTGCAGAGCACGAGATAGCCAGAAGCGGCTTATCTGGCGCGCTCTCGAATACTTCGTCCCAGTAGGCCGCGAAAGCGGGGCCCATGGAGGCGCGCTCAGTCGCAGTAGGGCGGATCTTGATGCCAGCGTCAATGCCGCTAGAGGGTGGGTAAATGTCAGATGAGGGTAATGGCCAAGATGACGAGCAGAACATGCAAGGGAAAGAGGATTCCGGGCCAACAGCGTGTGGGAAACCTGATGAATATAGTAAAGGCTTACTTTGTCGCCTTCAACCCCTTGCCTTCCTCTTCGTACATCTTCGACCAGTAGGCGATTTCCTCCGGCTCTCCGTCGAGAAGAGCGTCCAGCGTCTCCATATCATCGTCCGCATGGTATCTGACGTGCATGAGATGGTGATCTGCGGGATTTGGAGTCAACAATGAAGTATTCCACTATGTATATGAACAGGAGACAACAAGCGTGCGTACCCTGATAACTCTCCCCCACCCCAGGAAGATCGACCACGACCGGGATAGCGAGCTTCTCCAGCAGCTGCGCGCCTCCTATTCCAGACCGCTCGAGGATCGCCGGTGTGCCGAATGCGCCTGCGGATAAGACGACGAGCTTGGCTGCGTATACGGTGCTGATCCCAGAGCCTGGCTGGTTCTCGCTGACGTACTCGACGCCGCACGCCTTCTTATCTCTACCATGAAATGGTGAATCAGACGAGGGTTGTACTGTAGATCGGGAGGAGGAGCACCGTACGTACTTGAACAGCACTCGGACCACGCGCGCGCCAGCAATGAGCCGCAGATTCGTGTTCGCGGCCTGATTATAAATGTAGTGGTGCGCGGGGTCCGAGCGCCTCCCGCTCTCCTTGTCGATCCACTTCGGCCAGCGCTGCGAGTCCAAATGATCGTACGTCAGAAGGAACGGTGGGCGCCCATTGACAATCGGGACAGCGGTCGTCTAGTGGGATCTGATAACGTACCGCATACTTGTCGCACTCAAATAGCGTGTTCATGTCCGCGGTGATCTCGCGTTCCTTGTCGTACGCCGCCGCCACGTCCAGGAACTCGCGCGCAAAATGCAGGAAATGACCGCCGTAGGACACCTTGAGCAGCCCGTCGTACCCGTGTGTGTCTTGTCGGGGCGAGTCCTCTTGATAGGTCTCTGACTGGAGGTTGGGAAAGGTTCAGCATGCTGACGCCAGCAGACTCCGGAGCACAAGTGTCGAACGCTTCAGCCGCCATACCTTCTTCAACAACGGGAGTAGCTCCTTGGTAGTCCATCCAGGAGCGCCCCAGTCGTCGTAGTCGGACGCCGCGGCGCGAGTATACATCATGACTGTCGAGGTTTGATTATGCCGCTATCGCGTCAAGCACCGAGGAGGTGGCTACGCACAGTTGACCGAGCTGCCTCCGCCGACGCAATGCCCGACAGGGACGACGATAGATCGATTGGCTAGGGCGGCGCTAGGGGATGAGACATAGGGCGTGACGGTCGCGCTCTCTGGTGCGAGGTGGGTGACGAAGCGGTATGGCTCGACGTGCGCTGCGAGGCCAAGGGTATGGGGACCGGCTTCAAGGAGCTGAAGGTGGGATTAGCGTGATATGAATGGGAAGGGTACAAAGACGTACCAGAATCCTGAGAGAGGGATCAGCAGCGGCGAGGCGACCGGCTGCGACACAGGCAGCAGTCCCAGCTGTAGATGATCGATGTAGTTCATCAGAATATGCAACTCGGAGGGCAAGAACTGTATACGGACCCCCGGCGAAAATAATATCGTACTCCTTGCGCACAGACATTGTTGCAAGGGCGAGTGCGGAAGAAGGGCGCCCCGAGTATTCCTTCGAAGACAGCTATATAGGCACCCTACGCGGCCGTAGATCGCTGCATGACATTGCGGAGGCTGTCAACTAAAATGAGCCAATGGCTATGTAAGCTATGTGTAGTGCACGGTGTACTGTACTCAAGTGGACTACAGTCCGAGTTGTGACCGAGTAGCATGGTAGATCATGCTCAAACCGCTCGGCAGAGGGAGTCTGTCGTGCACGGTATCGAGCGCTAGTGAGACTTGTCCTCTTCACGCCGTAAAGAATTTGGTCCAGCATATGCTCGAGAGTACTGACGCGCCTCCCTGGCACATTGCGATGAGCGCCGGAATATGAAGCGTACTCGCACGTCAGACAAGGGATGACGCTTATTGCATAGTCTGCAATTGGCAGTACCAATGAGCGTTCAAGGGCCCATGCGAGGTGTTTGACTCCTGGAGAGCATGGCAATTTCGACCAAGTTGGTCCCGTTCAAGAGCCTGAAAATGCACATATCGTTCCGAGCCCGTATTTGCCTGGAAGAAATAGACCAGGAAAGAGGTTCTCTACCGAGTTCGCAGCAGAGTCGACCTGGTGTGATGGTTGAGAGCAGGTTCAAACGCGGGTGATGCCGACCAATGCACGTGGTGATTATAGGGCAAGCGCGCGACGCGACGGAACGCGTCGCGTCACGCGATCGTGACATCTCCTCTTGTCTCCTCCCGCGACCCGCCCTCCCAAATCATGTCTCTCTGGGTAGACCAGGTGCGTCTTTTGTGTCTGGATTACTGCCTTTATGCTAACTTGTGCATCAAGTACCGCCCACGCTCTCTCAGCGAGCTCCATTACCACCAAGGACTCTCGAAGCGCCTACAATCACTGGTTCGCTATGCAAATGGCACACCCTTTCCAAGAAGCTCATGTACAATAGGCTTCTTCAGGCGACTTTCCCCACATACTCTTCTATGGGCCGTCAGGAGCAGGGAAGAAGACCCGCATCAGCTGCGTTCTGAAGGAGCTGTTTGGACCGGGGGCAGAGAAGGTGCGTCGTGCCGATCATTCCGTACAGGCGCAGTAGCTCACGATAATCGTATAGTTGAAAATCGACCAGCGAATCTTTCTGTCTCCCTCCAAGCGCAAACTGGAGATCAACCTCGTTCAGAGCAACTTCCACATAGAGATCACGCCCAGGTGCGTCTGTGATAACCCATGCCTCAACACCCTGCTCATACTATGTCAGCGAAGCCGGGAACTATGACCGAGTGGTCATACAAGAACTGCTGAAGGAGATCGCGCAGACGCAGCAGGTTGATCTCAACGCGAAGCAGCGCTTCAAGGGTGCGTGTTCACCTCCCCTTCCCCATCCACTCCCTTACCCACTCCCACCCACCTAACTTTACCCACCCCCAGTCGTCGTCATCAACGAAGCCGACGGCCTCTCGCGCGACGCGCAGGCCGCCCTCCGCCGCACCATGGAAAAATACATGTCCAACCTGCGCATCATCCTCTGCGCGAACAGCACCAGCCGCCTCATCGCCCCGATCAAGAGCCGCTGCCTCCTCATGCGCGTCGCGGCGCCGAACGCGGGGGAGATGATGAGTGTGCTGGATTATGTGGCGCGCAGGGTGGGCTTCGATTTGCCGCCGGAGGCGGGGCAGCAGATCGTGGCGGACTCGGGCGGGAATTTGAGGAAGGCGATTTTGGTGCTGGAGGCGTTGAAGATGCAGTCGTGAGTGGATTTTTTCTTTTATTTTGTTTTTTTCTCTTTTTCTGGGTGGTTCCGGACTTTGGACGATGCCAGAGTGCTGCGAATGGCATGTTTTGTTGTGATAGTGGGCAACGAACGCACTTGGTAGTGGTAGTGGGCAACGAACACGCGGTATACTAACCCCCAACGAATGCGCGGTATACTAGCCCCCACCTCACACGGTATACTAAAACTCACCTCACAGACCCGACCTCACCGGGCCCCTCGCGATCGCCAAACCAGACTGGGAAACATACTGCCACAAAGTCGCGGACCTGATCGTCGCGGAGCAGTCGCCCGCGCGCGTCATGGAGGTCCGCGCGAAGTTCTACGAGCTGCTGAGCCACTGTATACCGCCGACGGTCATTTTGAAGGTGCGTAGCCCGTTGCTCGTGTTCGTCGTTCGTTTGTCCTCGCTCGGACGTTCGTTGGCCCTCGCTCGGGCATTCGTTGTTCCTCGCACATAAACTCATTGTTCCCCGCTCATACATTCGTTGGCCCTTGCTCACTCGTGCGCCTGTCTCCGTCGCTCCTTCATCACTCGTGCCGCCTCTCCGAGCGAACCGTTTGCTCGTGGTGAGTATGTAAACTGTACATGCGATACTCACCCCGCCCGACAGACAGTCGCGGAACGCGTCGTCGAGCGCGTGGACGAGTCGCTGAAGGCCGATGTCATGCACTGGGCGGCGATCTTTGTGAGTTGTTCTCCTATCTGCAAGCCTGGTTTTCTCCCGTATTTCGAGCCTCATTGTATCTGACCTCATATCCCCCTCCGTCTACAGGAAAACCGCATGCGAATAGGCAGCAAAAAGATTTTCCACCTAGAAGCGTGGGTCGTCAAGGTTATGAGCTTGCAGAAGGTGAGTATCCGATATAGGTCGGCGCTTGGGCATGTTTGCGCACAAGTCGGTGGATGGACGGACACTAACGCCTACGCCTACAGCACTTTTACTACGGGATGGATTTATCGGAGTTTGACTAGGGATTTGTTTGTACTATAGTGCCGGCCCTTTTTGGGTTTTGTGAGACGCAAGCGACGACTAGCAGCGACTGTCAAATATCGTCTGCGAAGACTTGTAACATAGCTGGTGGCAAGCCATGGAAAGCTCGCTTGGACCAAGCGAGCAACACTGGAAGCTCATGTGGAAGCCTGCACATCGAATTGCGCTTTGAGGTCTGAAGCTCAGCACTCCTTAGAAAGTCAGAAAATGAGGAAAATGATGTTGCGGTTGTGACCGTGCAACGTGCGCCTGCGCTCACGCAGGCGGTTCGTGCAGCGGCCCCGCAGTGCTGCGTCCTAGCGTCCTGAGCGATATCACATCTCTTCCGAGGCATGGGACGGTCTTCACTGTGACCTCCAGGGCTTTACTGCATGTCCGCGGTGGATGGGTGATTGTGGGCGTGCGTCACGCCGCGAACGCTGACGCGTGACCGCGTCGCGGCGCGCGGCGCGCGCCTGCTGGCGCCTACACAATGACGTCACTTTCCGCGATAACCATTTTTTGTACTTGTTTGGCCGGACATACAGCCCTGTTCCTCGTGGGTTAGTCAGTGTTGCTCGCTCCGCCTTTCCCTCCCTCGCAAGCTCGGGGGGTCCCTTAGGCGTCGCTCGCAATTATCTACTACTGAATGTGCCCTGAAGATCGCCTACATAAGTACAACAGCTGCCTAATGCGGATACGGCTATTGCCGGGCGGAAGCATATCCTCTGATGCCTCCGTTTTATGGACTCGGACTCCGTGTGTTGCGGCGCTCGACATGTCGGTCGATGTGAGGTACTGTCTAGCGCGAACTTTATCTACTAGCTGGCGCTCTGACCCCAAGAACCATGAGGTGCCTTCCCGCCGCTTGTCGCGAACGTCCGTGTGCGTTGTTTCGTTTCCACGCCGGTCCTCTCTTCTAGCTGGCGGGCATATCCGATGATAACTTTCATAGGCTGTACCCTTCGCCAATTGCGAGGGCCTATCCTTCGTCGATCGCAAGGCAATCGCGGGTGATCAACCCATGTCGCCCGCCTCGGTAATTAACGCGCTCTCGGAGATGTGGGAATTTCTGAGCGATGGCGAATGGCAGCTTACTCCCTGTATTCTCGGGTGAATGTACGCAGTCTAGCCGGCCACAGCGCTGACAAGGCTAGGACTCACGGAGATCACTGGCCATGTTATGGTGGGCTGCTCCATCCCCCAGCGCTGTCTCACTCGAAAAGGTATGGTCTACTGATGTGGCCATTCAGTAAACGTTCGCGGGAGAAGCACCTGGGGCCACGAGGCTAGCTACTGCAGCACCACGAGGCTACGCGTGGACCCTGACCCTTCCATAAACCGCAAACGCGGTGTCCATCGTCCTCAGCACACGACCGCGATAGACTGCGCCAGCGCCGGGCGATCCTCAGGACATACACGGACATGCGGCATACCTCGGGCTGCGCTATTACGCGTGGATTGCCCGTTACAGATGTCAGGGCGAGGATTAGATGTCGGGCGTCCGCCCTGGGCGCGAGAATAAGCGCCTGTTTTCAGGCCCGTGGGTCATTCAGCGTGAGCCTCCCCATCGAGGGGTTCGGGCTTCTCGGGGGTTTGGGTGACATCTGTCCGTATAGCCTCTTGCGACTATCCATATAGCCTTTGGCGAGTAGGGGGCAGCGGGGCGAGGCGGCAAGCGTAAATCCCATTAGATGGAGTAGTCAGTAGTACACAATACGATAAGTTCAGCGCGAGTCCCGAGATATATGTTACGATAGTAGAGTCTGTGGTTCGTGTCCGTGCGAGTGTGAGTATGTATAGCGACAAGTGCAGTATCCAAGAACACGGACGTGCGAAGAAACAAGCTTGGGAAGAGTAGAAAGAAAGTATTAGATCATGAAAGCGCCGCCATAACACCCTGCGTCGTACTGGCTAGCAGTGTACGTCGTGTAGGAAGGAGAGGGTGCGTATGTTGAATGTGATGAGGAGGCGTATGTCGACGCTGGCGAGGGCGCGTGCATAGACGACCCGGACTGCGTATAGGCTGAGGGCCCATCGAAGGAGGAAAAGTTGTACTGGGACCCGCCGCCGTGCGGAGGATGGATACCGGTCCCCTGCATCGACTCGAACGCCGGCGCTCGAGTGGGAGGCGGCGGAGACGATGGGAGGACGCACTGCGAAGAAGTAAGGTCACGATGATAATCGTCAAACAAAAAATACATACCTGCCAATCGATGGGCGCCACGGGTTGCTCACGGAGGGGCGACAACATCGACATGGGGCCCATGGGCGCAGGCGGCGGTGAGTAGTAGAAACGATGAAGGACTGACACCATGGGACTCCCATGCGCGGCCGCGGGATGTTCACGCGATGTCGCGCTATCGTGTGTCTGCCCGTGGTCCATGATGACGTTCTGCAGCACACGGAAGTGGCTGGGATCTGTCAGGCCGTCAGTACCGTGTCGCGACCAGGAAGAGGAGATACTCACGACGACGCTCGCAAAGGACTTGCCAGATCGCGGTGGGGAAGGCCGCAGTGTAGTGCCAGAGCAATTGATCGCGCTCCTGCGAAAACCCGTAGAACGATAGCGGGCAGGCGGCGCTGAGGAGCGGGAGGATCGCGTCGCCCTCGAAGATGGTGCACACCGTCTCCGAGAACAGAGCACCGCGAGACGAGAAGCAAAGAAGTGGCGGTTCGCACATGTTGGGCGAGAGGAAAGTGGGCGCGTCGTACATGGCCCTGTTGTTGAGATCGATGTGCATCTCGGTCTCGTTCGCGAGGGAGTCAAGACAGAAGGTGTGGGGGAATACGACTTCTTGCATCGCCGACGCTGCGCGGTGGATGCGCTGGCTATCGGATATGGATATACAAGGGGGTGGAGGAGTGTTCGCGGGAGGCGACGACCCTTCGGAGCCATGGGCGGAATGGCTCTGATTGTACGCATCGAGCTTTAGTTTCTCCAGGACTAAAGACGACGGTCAGAGGGGACAGGTGCTAGAAGCGACAAACGTACTCTTGTCATCCTTGCAGCTTTCCTTCAGCTGCTGAAGGCGACTGCTGACTTGCTTCGCCGTCCGCCATTCGCCGGTTCGTTGATAGATGTACTCAGAAATAAAGCGATTGCGTCGTGGAAACCGGTTCAATGCCTTAGTGGACTTAGTGTCGGGCTCGTATGCAGCGAGACCTGAGCATTATAGTCAGCGACCGCGCGAGGCGGTAAGGCTCGAAGCTTACCCTTAAGTAGAGCCTTCTCGCTAACGGAGAGTGAGCATAGACACGGCAAGTTGTGAGACGATACTCACAGATGTGGAGGCCATACCGCTTCGCCCTTGCCCTTCATCGTCTTCCAGGCCTTCCGGCCAGTGACGCTGAGCTGAGTGATATCGAAGTCGGCGGTACTTCGCGCCTGTGTGCTATCGTCGCGCTGCATCGAGTAGGGTGAGAGGGAGGATGACGCAAAGAGGGTGAGTCCGGCAGGGGAAACTAGGTGGAACGCACTCAGCATCGCTGCTTTTAAGTGAACGCCGTCGGGGTCCTTTGATGCAGAATAGCTCGCCCGCCCGCCCGTCATGAGCCACATTCGGCATCAAATCGCCAACGACCGAAGATCCAGTTGGATACTATACCCCGTTTACCTCTGCGCGCCGCCATTACGGGAGCCTCACGGAGCGGTCCTGCCTTCGCCTGTCTGACAAGCCGTGAGATCGTCACCGTCGCGCACGCCGCACTCGCCCCGCATTCTGTATTGGCGCAATGCGCATCGATCGCTCTATTCATTCCAAGACGGAAAGGTGGTTACTTGCTAGATCTCGGTGTGCGCAGCCAGATCAATTGAGGGCCCAGCAGGGGGTATGGTCCGCGTTTTGACATACGAGCACGATGCAAGGCGAGGTGCGGCGTCTGACGTCGGCTGGGTATGTCGTGGGTATCGGGCAGGAGGAGAGTCAGCGCGGAGGGGGTGCTTGCCGGACGGAGTAGGGTGCCGATCAGGCGAAGCGCCCTCGTCGAACGGCCTCTCAGCGAACGCCGACAATAATGAAGCCAAAAGCGGAGTTTGGAGTCTGTCCGCTGTGGCGGAGTTGATCTGGAATGCAAGGTAGCGCGTCCAAGGCGAAGGCGCACCACGGTAGCGACCGAAGTTGCGATGGCCACCGACTTGTGTTCTCATTTGTAGTCGATGTCCTTGACGCTCAGTATGGCATACGAAGAGAAGGGCGTCTCGCATAATGAATTAATTTTGAGAGAGCTTGTTGGCCTTGGTCGTGCCCGGAGGCAAACTTTACCCCGGCCAGAGTCTATGTGGGCGCCGGCGAATCGTCCCTGCCCGCAGAGGACGGAGAGCGCATTCTATGGCTTCGACCTGAGACCGGCTGCAGTTGTCAGTAGTGGGAACCTTGAGCGCGGTCCAGAGATGTGCAGGACTCACCAACAAAAGCGTGTCCTATTCAGCCAGCGTGGAGAACTCGGAAGGAGCAGCGCTGCATGCGGCTGGTGCGCTCTCGGATATGAAAGGGAGGGGACAACGCCTCATTGCTGCCAAGTTGTCGGATGATTCGAGTGGATCATTAGATCCCAGATCGTTGTGGGGTGGTACACAAAGCCGTCCCCACGGTCGTATCTATACCTGTTCGGCATGGTGGATCTGTGGTCGAGACTGCCGCTAGCCACAGTAGGCGATTAGATTCCCGAGAGGAGCGCGGTCCTTTGACCATCGGGAGAAGGGGCTCCTGGAGGTCCAGACCGCCTGCACCGAGCCCGAAATGCGATGTACGGCCACAGAGCGTCGCCCGTGAGGCCGAGAAACACGCGGCGTGGAGAGATAGGTGCAAGAGATTCAGTGCCATCCGCGCAAGCGCGCTCCAGATATTGCAGCCACATGCCCGGTCGCGTCCACGTAGTACGACCCCGACAGAGGGCCTGGTGGGCGAGGGTGGTGACGGTGGGTGACTCAGTGACGAGTGATTCAGTGACTTGAGTGACGTAGGGGCCACTTGTATTCCAGCGTTCCCTGTGCGGCCTGAGACGACAAGAACAACCAAAGAGTATGCCCTCGCAGGTAAGGGGGACAGACACTGTTTGCGTTACCGGGAAGGACTTCGCTGATGTCTGTATGTGAAGGCCTGTATACGAGCTACTACCGGGCTCCGGTAGAAGCATTCAGAAACAGAGTACATCTGACAGCTGGACAAGCAGTGCAATCGTCGACGGCGCACTGCGGGTCTTGAGTAGGACTGGAGCGGGCGTTGAGTCGATGCTCCAGCACACGCTGAGAACACGTTGTTTGGTGCACTCGCCTGTCATTGCGAGCGCGGTGACTCTTGTGTACTCATCGCTCGTTGATAGCTTGATGCAAGCATCGCGAGGCCTTGGTCCCAGCCTTCCACATAGAGAATGTCTCCATGGGATATTCCTGTGACGTTGAGGGTCGTTACGTGACGAGGCTACGTCACGGTTGAATGTAACACCCCTTTTGATGGACAATTGGGCGCCTCAAAAGCGAGCAGACTCTCGATGAGTCTACTTATCCCCTTGTGCGCCATTGACGCAATAACGAGCCACGATGGAGCAGTGATATATTTCCGGTGTTGTAGTCTTTCACTCACAACCGCAGCACAGCTCATTCGTACTGAAGCATGACCATTGCCAGCGCAGTACCTAATCCTCTGGCAGCAGAGCCCGCTTCTTGTACTTCGCCTGGTCTTTCAACCACTGTATCGACGTGTGAGTCTAGCACATAGAGCCTTAGAAGAAGATATTTTACCTGCCGATACTGGTGTACGGAACCAATCTTCTCGCCTGTAGATATTCACTGTCAGTCAAAGCGAGGCCCGTGCAGAAGAGGAGGGAAGTCCTATGATAGCAAGACGCCTCACGCACCATAGTAGTCCGGAACCGGCTTTGTCGGGCTCTGAAGCTCAGCTGGAACGCGGTTGCGCGCGATGTGCTCGAAGAACTCGCGGTCGCGGGCGTCGATGAGGGGGAGCTGGGGGCGGGGTTAGAGCAGACCCGCTTCGCATCTTTGAAGCAAAGAGGGGGCGGGGCGTCTTTCCAACGGTATGTGGGACTGCGTCGAAAGCTAGCCAACGCACCTTTGACTTGTGCGTCAAACGCCAGAGCGCGGTGCCAACTGTCGGTCCGAAGAGAAAGCCGATACCTGGTACGTCCGAGTGAGTGGAAGAATGGGAGGTAAGAAGATAAATGCTCACCCATGCACCCGGCCGTACAGATGCCATAGAACATGAAGGGGTCGAGGCCCTGGCGAGCATGATTAGTATAACATGTGGGGCAGGGTGTGGGGGCGGGGATGTTAGGCGGGCAATGGTCCTATCGTAGACGGGAGGAGAGAGTGTGTGTTGGATATGACGGAGTGTTCAAAGAGAATTCAGGCAAAGCCAAACTTGAAGAGTAGAGGCGAAGGAGATCGCAGGACGTAGAACGTAGAACGTACCATGATCGGCTTCAATGGGTCCGTGTCCAGCGAGCCAAAGTACAAGGCCCCTCCAGCGAGACCGACGATACTTGTGGGTACTGTCATGATCTATGTAGAGGTATCAGCATCCAAACTTCTATTTCTGCGATATGGGAATCGGGCAGACGCGTTCCATCAACTCCACGGGCCGCATCGCATACTTTCTACTCACATTTTGCCATAATCGCCTACTCCTCCGTATCTTGAAGTACTCCGCCCACCCCAGCACCTCACTGTCCCTCAGAACATGCGAGTTCTTCGGTAGGTGCGCGTGAGGTGCCTGCGCTTGCGCGCCCGGTGTCGGCGCCGCCTTCGTCGCCTTGGCGCGCTGGGCTATCCATACGAGTGCGCGGGGTGCAGAAGAGGAGGTAGACGCCACGAAAGCGCGTTGGTGGGCGAGGAGCCCGAGCTGGGGACGCAGCCGGCACGCATGCATTGTGTGCGTGATCGTCGAGAACAAGCGGGCGATGACGCGGGAAAGGCCACGTGCGTGCACAGATCGGGCGGGCACGCCGGGCCGGATGTTCGACTTCGTTCCGTCCATGTCTCCGTCGGGCGCCAGCCTCATGTCGTCGTCAGGCCTCTGCACTGAACGCCACAGCTAACGTTGCGCGACGCTCCACGGCATGCGTGGTACACGAGGCGCGTGTATATACCGCTCCCCAGGACTCCAGGGGAACTCGTAAACGCGCAAACACCGGTTTAATGAGAGGAATTCAGAGAATACAGTGGTAGACATCGCTGGTGTTGAGCAAGCTCTTGACCTAACTTACGGCGGCGGTTGTGTAGGCTGCTATATGGCGCCAAGTCGACATACGCAGCCGATGATCAACCTCGGCGTTGGGGACGATCGTGGTCGTGGCATGAAGGCAATCTGTAGTTTCGTTGCGCCGAGTATCCATTTGGAAGGTTAATGAGGAGGCACGGTTTATCTGAGATCGCAACGTCGGCGAAATGGGCTCGCGGGTGATACAGTGTCCCCTAGTTCGTCCCCGTCTGCTCGGAGCCAGCCCGACAACGGTCCCAGGCCTGCATATGAGGGCCGTTATCAATCACAGAGAGAACGGGTAGGTCTTATCGCTACTTAACTCGATGCAAGGAACTAGGGCAAAGGAAGTCGCAGAGCTTGATGAAAAGAGGCCATAAAGTAGGACGGACGTTGCGGTGGGCGCCTATGGGTGCCACCGGCCCGTTATTGCCGGCCGCGCGGAGCACGCTTCGCCAGTCCGACGCCTCGCATCTGCAGGTTGGACCCACACCCCATCTTCCGAAGCCCATTCTACCAATGAAAGAAACTCACTGCCATCTACTGTGCATTTTCCGACCCTTTTGGCCTCAAGCACGCTCGAGGAGCACCCTGCCGGTCCCCTCGGCCGATAAGATAAGATTAGTCTTCGGCATCGACCGCCGAGTTGGAACTGCCGTGGTCGTCGACGTCCTGCTCGTTGTAGCTCGTGTGCCAGCTCTCCTTCCCCCGTCATGGCTCTGCGCAGACTCTCCTTAATTTGCTTGATTATTGCAGCCCTCGTCGCTGCGACGGCAGCCAACAGCACGATCGCGTACATAGACAAAATCGAAACGCTGGAGGATGTGCGCGTCCTGGTGAGTCGTGGCGCGTCGCATATTGGTGCACACATGCTGACCGCGTATGATTGTACGATAGGAATCCGAGATCATGCAGACCGCGCCTGTGCAGAAGCTGTCGCAGCTGCAGGCGGCGCTGAACGCGGAGGAATCGCCTATCATGCGCCAGGTCTTCTCGGTGTTGTTCCCCTTCGGTCCGGCGCTTAACTCGATTTTGGGCACATTCTACATCAGCTCGTGCGTGTTGTTCTACCTTCCCTGTAATGACACTTACTGATGCTCTTTCCCCCTACAGCGTCCCCAATTTCATCCTTGCCTTCATCCCCGCCGAGATCCATGGCGACACGTTGAACACCATGACCGCGTTCGCGGTACGCGCTTCATCCATCACAACGCTCAATCATTCATGCTACTCCTTTGTAGACGGGAGGCCTCCTCTCCGACGTGTTTCTGCATCTCGTGCCGCAGTGAGTATTCGTGCATGCATCCCCTCCCTCCCTTGCGCTCGTGCCACACTCTCCTACCATTCGAATGTGCATCCTTCACACCCTTACCCACCCCCCCTATCATCCATGCTGCGTCACTGACAGGACACAGCTCCTTCATGGGAGAGCACCAGGACGACGACGTGCACCTCGTTATGGTTGAGCCGAAGCGCAACATTCTCGTCGGGTGCGTATAGCTTCGTCCTGGGTTGGGAAACCGTATGCTAAGCATGCTTCCGCTACAATCTTCCTCCCTTCATCGATGCACAAACCTCTGCAACTCGATACAACCTCAATGTCACTCCCCTCCGTCCTCAACACTCCCAGCCTTGCCATCTTCATCGGATTCGCGTCGTTCTTCTTCATGGAGAAGACGCTGAGAGTCCTGAGTGGCGAGGAAGGGGACGCGCACGGTCACTCCCATGCCCACGGACACGCGCATTCGCACTCGGTGAGTCAGTCATTCGTATCCGTCCCTCATCTGTCGTATGTGACCTCCACCATCTCTGTCACGAGTCTTTCTCCCACCCTTGTTCCAATCTTGACCTACCCCTGCACCTCCTTTCATTTACCTACACCCGGCCTTTTGCTCTCACCCTTGCGCGACCTTACACTCACACTCTCGTGCAAAGGATGCGCAACCAACTGCAGCCGCGTCGGGTGTTGCCAGCCCGTCTTCGGGGGTGCTTCGCGCGCGGGGGAAGACCGGAGACAAGGACGCAAGCGGCCAAGCCAAGGGTGTGGACGGCCAACTCATGGGCGAGCTCGACGTTGGCAAGGCAGAACATCCAGAGGCGCACACGCATGAGCACACGCCGTCTGCCGGCCCCTCCAAGCTATCCGCATACCTGAACTTGTTTGGCGACTTTGTGCATAACATGTGCGTGTTCGACATCGTCTTTGCGATCTGAAACGCTCACCGCCTACAACAGCACCGACGGCCTCGCCATGGCCGCCTCCTTCTACGCGTCGCCGCTCATCGGCGCGACGACAACCCTCGCGTGCTTCGCGCACGAGATCCCACATGAGATTGCGGATTATTCGATTTTGGTGAGTGGGGTTTGCTTGCTTTTCGGCGTCGACAGGTCTACCTCGATTTTCCTTCTTTCTTTTGTTTGATTGCATTGTGACTCGGGGGCGTTCGAGATCCGGTAGAAGGACGCAATTCTCGCGATGCTTTCGGGGTCTTCGTGCCCGCCGTTATCCAAAAGACATTGTTCTCGGTGACTCGACGAATTCGAAGCCGCCTTCGCGGCCAACTAGCGTATCTTGTCACTTGTCCCAAGTCCGGCATAGTGGTACCTTCTTAACGAGCCTGTCATCGCGGCCTCCGAGACCTTGGCTTCACGGCCTCTCATACCGTGTAACCACCCACAAGGGAGCAGTGCGTACGGCACAAGGCGCTGTCAAGCAGCGACCTTCTTGTGACGGAGCCGGGAGGCGTTTGGGTGGGTAGAGATGGGGACTCGTGGACGGGAGAAGGATTCATGGGGCGGCGAAGGAAGCGGTCAAGCGGACGAAGGGAGCCAATGGGTAAAGAGGGTATCAGCCGGACAAAGAGGGTATCAAAGGAGGTGAATGCCCTGCGGAGAGGATGTCAGTCGCACGGAGGGGGCGGACGCTGGCAGAAGAACATCTCTGACGGAACCGGGCATGTGTTGGACAAGTGGCAACGGGGCGTTTGTATTTCGCGGGGATTCTGCCTTTTGGCTGACCCTACTCTGACTTTCGTTACGCCGTTTCTTTCTCCTCGCTTTCACCGCTATTGTGTCCTTCGGGTGCAGTCTCATGTCGTTTCGCACACTTTTTGGTTGTCCCTCATTGTTCCACGTCACTACTATCCTACCTCTCTACGTCACTACGAAATCCCATCCACTGACACCCTCCCCTCATGTAGGTCCGCAGCGGCTTCACCAAACGCCAGGCTATGCAAAGTCAGTTCCTGACCGCCGTGGGCGCCTTCGTAAGTGTCGAATTGGGTACTGTATGTCGATTTGTAGTGCTAACGCGATCCGTTTAGGTCGGGTATGTATTTTCTGCTTTTGGTCGTGTTCTTACCACTTCCGTTCCATCTTCTCGCTTCGGCCAACCATCTCGAATCGCCCATCCCATCCATCCCATTCGCACCTCGTCGTATCGCATCGGTCATCTCTCCATCTCGTTCACTCTTGTCTTCCGATCTTGGAGCACCTGTCTTGCACGCTTTCGCGTCCATCATCGCTCTACTGCTCCGTGTCATGGCTGGGTCTCGACCACTTCTTCTACAAACCAGGATCGTCATCTGGACTGAGCCCCACACGATTCCTGACACCAGTGATCCTGGTCTTTCGGAGACGAGGGCCTCTGTGCGCGAGTAGATGAACGTCTATGCGCCAGTAGTTGGGCGTGTGCGCCAGCAGATGGACGTCTGTGGCCGACGTGTGCCCTAGTACCTACGCCCTGTCGGGGTGCATGGGTTCCTTCTTCATCTATCTGATGATTTTCCGCTCGGCCATTTCGAGTCATGCCGTCTTGCTTTTCATGATCTAATTCACGTCTTTCTTCTATTCCTTACGTTTTTTCTTTTTCCATTCCCTCCGTTTTCTTTCTATTCCCTTTCTTTGTCCCGGTCTCTCCCACGTCAGCTTTCGCTAATCTTTCCTCCCAGGACCTTCATGGGCATCGGTATCCACCGCGCGACCGCGACGGGCGAGACAGGGAGCGAAGCGATAGATCTGGCGGCTGCTATCAGGTGCGTGCTATTCGCGATGGCTTTCGGGGGCTTCAGAGTACCGGGGTGTCGTATCAGACCACTCGCGGGCGTTGGCAGGATGCTCCAGAGGGTTGGCGGTCATTGTTGGACTCCTGTAAAGGTTTGGCGGGTTGTTCGACAGACTTTGTGGCCGAGCAGAGCAGGCGCTGCCTCAGGAGGCCGACCGCAGCAAATGGAGAGCCTGCTGAGCGGCTGGCGCCTCGGAATGCTGCGCCCTGGGCTCGGAGTTCAGCACTCCCGATGAGGCAAAGGGACGCTCGCAAACTGATGATGATGCCTCATTCCGACGAGCGCAAGGGACACCCGCCACTTCGGCGCCCGTTCTCGCCACAAGCTACTTCCCCCCTCCGCCACAAGCCACTTCTTCTCTCCGGTGCTTGTATCTCCGGGTCGAGCGTTAACTGACGTGCGCCTTCATCGCAGGCAAGATGCTCCTGGCCTATTGGGGACGACGGTGACGCCGGGTGATATGGTGAGTATTTGATCCTTCTCGTCGTCTTCGAGATATATTCGCGGCGCGTCTACTTCATCGCAGTCGCGCTCCTCTTGAGTCCGGCTACACTCGTTGAGATGTCCCGAGGATATTGTCGCTAGCCAACGTCCATCGTTTCGATCTCGCGATTCACGCTGCGGTATTTCCGCCCACGAGTAGAGCACATTACCTTCATCTCCGCACCCTCCCCATCCTTAAGCCCTGATTCGCAACTGCGGCGAGGGGCTCGCCCTCGGAGATCATCCCTCCCATGGACCTCACATTCAATTGCGAGAGCGTCTGACCCCTCGAGTCTACTCTGCCCTTGCGCGTCGCCCTGAGGTCTTGCTATACGATGATCACTAACTTCCCATTCAGGTGATCCCCTTCGTTGCTGGTGGTTTCCTGTACATTGGCGCAGTTGCTGTCTTGCCAACGCTGCTCGCAGAGAGCAAGAGCGCCGCGCAGGCGGTGCGGGAGGTGAGCGTCTCTTTATGATGTGAGCGAGGGTGCATTCTGACTCTTGTGCTTGTAGTTCCTCGCTATGGCGCTCGGGGTGATCTGCATGTTCCTCGTTGCGTGAGTGGCTTTGCTCTGTTCATGTTCTTACAGCGTTGCTGACTTGCTCGTAGATGGAACGAGTAATTTATGGCTGAAGTATCGTCCCTTTTGCTGCCTTACTTGCGCAGGCCATAGCTTGGACCTCACAGAAGGCCGCGTGCCGCTGTCGTGTAGACCTTCTCAGCCAGATGCTATTGAGGCTGCTTGCTTTGTTTTTGGCGACCTTCTACTGGTCAATACACCTCTTCTGATCACATTGCATCTCGGCCTGTGACGAGTGATGGGGTAAGAAGACGTAAGGCGGGCTTCGCGCAGTGACCCTTCATTTTACATCTGTCGAAGCAGAGCGCGCGTAAGAAACATGGCTGGAGGCTGGCGTTGAGCTGCCGTGGACTCGGAGGCGTGGTTGCGACTGTTCGGGCTGGCGACTCCGGATGGGAAGCACGCGAGGAGGAACGCGGCCGGGCGCGGCCCGTCGGCTGCCATGCCGAGAACGCGACGAACGTGCGTACGCAATGTAAATTTCGACCGCCGTGCAGTCAGTCAACATCGAAACCATCTCGTCACCGTCCATCACGACGAACAGCACATCTTGTTCTCCCCCCTCACCGTCGCTCACGTCGTCCCCGTCCCAAACGCACGACAGGCAGCCCCCGCAAGGCAGTCCTCGTTCCCGTCGCCCCTCCAGGTCCGCCGCACGCGCCCGCCCGTGTGCTCGTCGTCTGACACGTCTCCCCCGCGGCCTTGCAGATCCGCGACCCACAGGAACACCTCCGCAACCCTCCCTCAGCACCTGTAGTCCCGCTTGGCTTGCAAAACGGCGTCCACAACAGATCTTTGTTGGTCGTCCGCCGGGCGTCACGCGCGGCTTTCCTCTCCGTCTCAGCCGGCTGATGAAGACTTCCCCAAGTCTCTAATCCAGCCCTGCACATCGCTCGCACACGTAGGAAACCCGAAGTTTGTCATGGGATCGAAAGGGCGGACGACACCCCGCGTCGTGTGCTGCGCCATACCCATTGCGCGTGCAGCCGGGAAGGTCCTGGTTATCACGAGCAGAAAGCGGCCACATCACTGGGTTTGTGAGTAGTCGCCTGCGCTGGCACAGTCGCCCTTCACTAACATGTCCCCTTTCCCAGTACCCAAGGGCGGATGGGAGCAGTCGGATCTCAAGCTGGAGGACGCAGCGAGTCGGGAAGCCCTCGAAGAAGGTCCTACCCTTTATCCTCTCCGTACGCGCATCACCTGACGCAACATTCTGTTGTGGTCGAACAGCTGGCGTCCGCGGCACGATCACGCGCTTCGTCATCACCATCCCCACCGAGAGCACGACGTACCACTTTTACGAGCTGGACGTCACCGCGCTCGACTCCGACTGGCTCGAGTGCAAGGAGCGCAAGCGCGAGTGGGTCGACTACGCCGAGGCGGTCCGGCGGCTCGAATGGAAAAAGGAGTTGAGCCAGGGCCTGCAGTTGTCCTCGCTCGCGCCGCCCAGGCGGTGACCCAGGTGCGGAGGCGGTCGCTCGGCCGGGCTTGACGGCGCTCCGGCTGACTGCCAGCTCGCAGACTCGCGTCGTGAACGTTCCCGGCGCGCTCCCCACACCGCATACCCCGACTCCGCCCATGCCCCTTTCTGTTCGCCGTTGTCCTAGATCACCACCCCTCGCATGCCGAACATCACATCTACGTACTCTACTTGCATCCCTCTTACTCAACAATTCTGTACTTCACCTTCCTTTCGTTGCTGACCTGGACACGCGTCTGCTCCCCGCGACGGTCGCTCGTCCCGGTCTGATCTGGTACGTGGGGTTGACTTTCTAACCGCCGTCTTGTCGTTCACCTCCGCCCCCGCAGATTGGTATATTTTATTGTCTCGCTATTCTACAATGCTGCTATCGATGTGTCCCACCATAAATTTAACAACCCGCCTTCTATCCTCGCATATGTTACACATATCCTAGATGTATGAATAATCAAGCCCAAGTCTTGCATAGCTTGCTGCTGCAAGCATCATATCCCTCTTCATATGTTCGATGTTCCCGTCCACGTTCAGGTCCGCAGTCGACTGTGCCGCGTTTGGAGATATCAGATTGCAAAGGGCAAAGGGTCTTCGGCCCTTCGGGCCATCTCGGATGGGCAAACGGAATTGCCCAGGTCCTGGTCAGCGTTGGCAGCGGCTGCCTGGTCAGTTCGTGTCACAGTGACATCACATCACATGCAAGTCACGTTGACGCGTCGCCTCGTGCGCGTGAATCAGAACAAAGAACGCGTCTCGTGTGCCTTGTCCTGAACCATCACCATCGCTGAACACACCCTGCTGTTTGTCGTTTCTCGAGAAGTACCTTGAGCCAGTCCCCCATATCCAGTCAAGGTCAAATAACACTCGACAAATCCTTGCACTGAACGAGATGTCGGACAACGATGGAGTCGTCCTTGACAGTGAGGATGAGCAGGAATACGGTGCGCCTGACTTTTGGGTATGAAATCATTTAGTGCTGACATATCAGCTACCTTAGGTCGTCCTCTTGAACTCAAGCCTCTTGCCGCTCCCCCTGCGACGGGGGCGAACCTCGCGGGGAACGCGCCCAAGGCAGTGATCGAACCCTCTAAGCCCACGGGGGACAAGCCTAAACCATCAACGAGCACATCTACCATAAGCACTGCTACGACAGCCCCTCCCCCTGCACGACCGCGTCCCAAACCAAAGCCGATCAGGAAGCCTCTCACGTCCGAGGCATCTAGCATACAAGCGCCCTCTTTCAGCACGAGCGCGAGCACCATCTCTAATCCCACAACCATCGGCGCGGGCCTCAGCTCGAATGCGCATAACACCTCAATTCCCGGTCTCAATGCCAGCACATCGCTTGATTTCCTCTCGGGTGCCTCCACCACGATCGCAGACCGCGCAAAGACACGCGCACGCAATGCAGCGCGCACGCAGAATGCCCTCTTTGCCGGGGAGATCATCGATCTGTCGGACGACTCGGCGGACGAGCTGGATACCCTGCCGCCGAAGAAACCGGCTCAGACGAAGTCCAGCGCCAACAAGTCGACTCCCTCGAGCAAGTCGCTGGCTTCGAATCAGTTGCTGACTTCGAATAAGTCGCTAGCTTCGAATAAGTCAACCGTCGCGCCCAAGCGCCGCACACCTCCACAGCCTCAACTACCGCAGGGTACCTCATCTAGCTCACGACTGGACCTGAACCCCACCCCTGCTGGGCGCTCCTCGCCGTCGTGGGTGTCGACCGAGCCCTTGACATCGCAACCGCCGCCCATAGAGACGCTTCCCCCTCCGCCGGCGACAGGGATGTCCGGCGCCCCTGCGACAGGGCCGTCCGGCGCACCAGCGACAGGTTCGTCCGGCGCATTAGCGACCGGCACATCGGGCTCACAGGCGTCTGCGTCGTCCATCGGAAAGCGCCGGCGCGCCGAGGTGGACGAGTTGGCAGGGGAAGGTACGCAGTCGGACGTGGGTCCGCCGCCACCGACGTTCTTCGCTGCGCCGACCCCGCCTGACCCAGAAGGGGCTGGCACTGAGAGAGTCGCCACGCCGTCGTCGGCCAAGGGCAAGGATGTGACGCAGCCTGCTGTCGAGGGTGGCCCTGCGCCTGCTGTCAGGGGTGGTCCGCGGCCTGCTATCGAGGGCAGCCCTCCGCCGAAGAAGAAATCGCGAAAGAAGGCGCAGGACGACGATGACGACGATGACTTCGAGATTTTCATCGAAGAGCCGCCGAAGAAGAAGTCGAGGAAGAAAGCGCAGGATAGCGATGACGAGGACTTCGAGGCGTCTGAAGCGAAGAAGAAGAAGCCGCGGGCGCGGAAGAGTAAGGCGGGTGAGAAGGGGACGGCCGGCGAGAAGGGCAAAGCAGCGGAGAAGGCGAAAGCTGGCGACAAGGAGAAGCTCACGAAGGAGAAGCCCGCCAAGAAGGCGCTGGCGAAAGCGAAGGGCAAAGGGAAGGCGAAGGTGGTTGAGGAGCACATCAGCGCGGACATGATCGAGGACTCGGGCGATGAGCTTGGGGCGGGCATGAAGCTCGGTGGTGCGCCGCCGCCGGTCGATGAGCCCAGTCGATCGCCGCCATCTGCCTCTTCGTCGAAGTCTGTCGAGCAGGACGGGCCCGCGGTACCGAAGCCTAATGGTACGCATATATTTCCATTCATTCCAGCGTGTCTAATCACGCATACAGCTAACCGCAACTCGAAGAAACGCGACGCGGATGCGGCGCATATCAACGACAAAGAGCTATCTGACCTAACGGACGACGAAGGTCCCGTCGTTGTAATAAAGCGCGCGCCTCATCAACGGAAGAAACCGAGGATCGACTCGGACGATGAGGATGCTGGCGCCAACAACGCTGCTGCCATGCCAGCGCCAGATGACCCACCTCATGAGGAACACGCGCCTCCGGCAAAGGGCAGGAAGGGCAAGGCGAGGGCGACGGGCAACAAGAAAGGTCGAAAGAAGGCCGCTTCGCCACCCCCTGAAGATGCGCCAGACCCTGAAGTTGGCGGCGACGAGCCACCTGGTCAAGAAGAGAATTTGCCAAAGGCAAGCACCTCGCTGTTGCTGTTTGCTGACGTCCACTGACGCCCGTAACAGGAGAATGTGGGGCCCGTCTTCGATGGCGAAGAGCAGAAAGGATTGCCGAGGACGCGCGAGACCACGCCTGAGCCGCCACCCAGAGCAGTGTCCCCATCTGCCTCTCCCCCGAGGCTAATGGAGACGCCCAAGGCGAAAGCGCAGCCCACAACCCTGACCGCGCGGTACTCAATTGCGCCCCGCACGAAGTCGACGCCCATGTCCGAGCTCATCAAGCGTGTGAACTCCCAGTCGGGATCACCCTTCCCTTCGCGCTCATCATTCGGGGGCACCGCGTACTCGCCCTATCTCAAGGCGTCGAAGCGCACGCTGTCCAAGATCGCCCCGTTGCATCCCAACCGGCGCACGCCGCCGCCACCGCTCCCGCCGCCACCACCAAGGAAGAAAACAAAGAAAGAGCTCGAGCGGGAGGAGAAATGGGAGGAGGAGCTGATCGAGGAGCATGGCGGGGTTACGGAGTGGGCGTGCATGTCGGATATGGAGCGCAAGGAGGCCCGCAGGATCAAGCGCGAGCGGGAGATGGCGGGCTGGGAGGACTGATTATTTGCGAGCGGGATGCCTGATGGGGGGTGGAGGGATTGGCGGGAACAGCGGCGGGTCTTCGTAGGTCCTGAGCGTGTGTATACTACTGACGTGGAAGCATAATGGGAGCAGTGGATGCCGGCATTCTGCTCCTTCATCATGTGTTAGCCCTGGGTGGCGCTAGGGCTTCGAAGATCGCGAAAGTCATAAGCGTTTGGTCGAATACAGTCCTCTGGTGAGTACCTTCCTATACAATCCCCTAAATTCCCGGCTTGGGCTTCCTGGCGAGGATGCGGAGCGCCCACAATCGGGGAATGCCGAGGGTGGTCGACACCCTTCGAATTTGTGCCACTCACTTGACCAGCGCATGCACTACGCCGCAAATTCGGCGATGGACCCACTCTATGGGACGGTATGTCTACTCTATATGCAACAGAACAACGCGAAGCGTTCTGACGATCTCATCGTGAAGGGACCCTCATCTTCTTCGCCAAGAACTCCAACCTCGCGCTGATCTTTATGTCCCCTGCGGCTAAGTCGCTCGCGCAAAATACCCTAAAAATCGGTGTGAAGGTAATTGTGCGCAGGCTAACAAGCCAGCAAGAAGACGTGGCACACCCTGATTCGCCCGCTGGCCCATCGCCCACCTGAGAATAGCGCACCCACACCCTCGGCCTTCCCACACATCCGGGCGTCTTGCCATTCATTCAGAACATCACCACCGCTATGGCTAGTGCCTCGTCGTCACCCCGTGTCCTCCCCCCCATCACCGATCTCCCTGCCTGCGAATCGCGCGTCCTGGTCGGCTGCTCGAACTTATATAAGGAGCCTATTCACTCGCCTGTCCGCCTGATTCACGACCCCCTTCCGTCGCCTAACGTCCCACCCGCCCGCCTTTGATAGCGCTTCACGACCTGACCAATGGCTGACCAGTTTGACATCATCTTCGCTGGAGGTGCGTCGATCTATCGAACGCTTGTCCACCTATCCTGATCGCTGACCCACCTTATGCAGGAGGATGCGCGGCCTGCGTTGCGGCTGGCCGCCTCGCCGCTGCGGACCCATCGCTGAAGATCCTCGTGAGTACCCGTCCCTCCCACCACGACACCTCAATTCCCAGCCTGACACATGCTCATGATTTCTACCTGTCCAGATTCTGGAAGCTGGCGAGCATACGAAGGACCTCGATGCGCACATTCAGCCCTTCCGCTACTTCAGCCACCTCGCGCCGACGAGCAAGACCGTGACGTTCAACATCGGGAAGCCCTCGCCCACCATCGGCGGCAGGTCGATCATCACGCCCTCGGGTCGCTGCCTGGGCGGCGGGAGTTCCGTGAACTGTCAGTGGTTTTCCTTCCATTAGGATCTTCGATATCGGCGACGCACCTGCGGTGCAAACAGCATGCTGACGAATTTCTTCTGCAGTCACCATGTACAACCGCGCCGCCGCTTCCGACTTCGACGACTGGGAGACCGTGTACGGTAACAAGGGTTGGCACTCGAAGGATTTGGTTTCTCTTCTTAAGAAGGTGCGTAGAGCATGCGCATTCGACATTCGTTGGCGACTTTCTTTGAAATCGCATGCTCACCAACCTTTCGCAGATGGAGACCTACCAAGAAGAGCCCAACCAGCCCACCCACGGATACGACGGTCCGCTCAAGGTCTCCTACGGCGGCATGTACACCAACGTCGGGAAGCAGTTCCTCGACACGGCGCTTGCCTACGACAAGGAGCGCGGGCCCATCGACGACGTGAACGGGTTGTACAAGTGCGATGGCTATGGGGTGAGTTTCCCTTGCATTCCCTTGCCTCAGTAGCATTGGTCTTGAGTCGATGCTGACGAAGATCTTCCAGCGCTGGGCCAAGTTCATCGACCAGAAGACCGGCAAGCGCTCGGACGTGCCTCACCACTACATTTACAATCAGGAGCATAACAAGAACCTGGTTATCATCACCGGGCAACGGGTAAAGAAGGTGCTCCTCGAGTGCGTGTTATTTCCTTCCCTCAACCACCCACCTCCGCGTGACCCTCCCCAGCCTTACTCACCTTTATCAGCGCCGACAACAAGGCCACCGGTGTCGAATACGTGAACGACACCGTTCTGCGCCCCAATGCCGACCAGACGATCAAGTCCGCGCACGCGAAGCGTCTCGTTGTCGTCGCTGCTGGCGCCTTTGGCTCGCCGACTATCCTCGAGAGGTCCGGTGTCGGCAACCCGGCGATCCTCAAGCCGTTGGGCATCGATGTGAAGGTGGACCTTCCCGGTGTTGGGGAGAACTACCAGGGTGAGGTTTTGATGCAGTGAACGTTGGGGGAGGTCCTAACTAACGCGCACATAGACCACAACGTGGTCTTCGTCCCCTACTATGCTGCGGACGACGCGGACACGATGGACGCGCTCTTCCGGGCGGAGAAGGAGGAGGTCGACAGTTAGTGGCTTTTGCTGCCGACCTCGGAGAATCTGCTAACGTAGTGTAGAGTGGGCCAAGGTCTGGACGGAAGAAGGCAAGGGCTTGATCGCACATAAGTGAGCTTCCTTCACACGTTTGCGTCCATTGCATCTATGCTGACGACATCCCGCCACTAGTGGTATCGACGCCGGCATCAAGATGCGCCCCACACCTGCTGAGCTCAAGGCGATGGGCAAGCCCTTCGAGGAGCGCTGGAAGACGTACTTTGAGAACGCGCCGGATAAGCCGGTCATTTGGATCGGTGCGGTTGCGGCGTGAGTATCAGTGAACATTGCGAAGAAGCTGGGTTTAACTAATACCTTCTCAGTTTCTTGGGCGACATCACCGTCGCGCCGGCGCGCAAGTACTACAGTGTTGGTTTCTACACGGTCAGTATTCTGGCAAGCCGTGGAGGAGGAATTGGCTGACGATGTCGCCTATCAGCAATACCCCGTTTCGCGCGGCAGTGTCCACATCACGGACAAGGAGGACGCGAACGCCGTCCACGACTTCGATGCCGGGTTCTTGACTGACGCCCGCGAGGCCGACGTCGCCACCCTCGTCTGGGGCTACAAGAAGTCGCGCGAGCTCGCGCGCCGCATGCCCGTCTTCCGGGGCGAGTACCTCCCGGCGAACCCACAGTTCAAGGCGGGCAGCGCGGCGGAGTGCAAGGGCGAGACGTCCGGCCCCGCCGTGTTGGATACGAAGGACATCGAGTACACGGCCGAGGACGAGAAGGAGGTGGAGCGATATGTGCGCAACTTTGTGCAGACGGCGTGGCATTCGGTGAGTAATGGTGTTGAGGGAGGAATGGCTTTGCTAAGGAGAAATGCAGCTTGGGACGTGCGCGATGATGCCGCGCGAGAAGCGGGGCGTGGTCGACTCCAAGCTGAACGTGTACGGGACGAAGAACTTGAAGGTCTGCGATGTAAGTGCATCTAAAGGGTGTAGGGGAAGAACTGGGAAGCTAATGGATGCTCCCAGCTCTCCATTGCGCCGGCGAACGTGGGCGCGAATACCTACAGCACGGCGTTGACGATTGGGGAGAAGTCAGCGTTGATCATCGCGGAGGAGTTGGGTATCCAGCTTTGAAGAAGAATAGACATTGTAACATTGGTCGCATAGAACATGGGTAGATTAAAGAATCATCGGAACTGTCATGACTTGTCGTGCGTTGCTTGATGCACTGCAGAGAGCTGGGGGTAATCAAGGGCAACTATCGCTGCTTTTGAGATTTCTGGGCATTGACGTCTCGTAAATGCGACTTCTTTTCAGTGTTCGGGTAGTGCTTCATGCTGGACACGTCGCTCTTGTGTGCAAGCTCTCAGTCGCTCATATCTCTGGCCTCAAAATCGGGGCAAGTCCCACCCGACACGTTGAACTTGTGGGTCCAGCGAGGGTGTCCGGCCCGAACATCCACTTCGGCAACAAGTTCGCACGCCCCGCGCTCTCCACCAACCACCATGGCGTCCATCTTCCCCGTCGTATTCTGGCTCGTTATTGTCGTGGTGCTCATGGCATGCGCCGCGCTCTTTACGCCAAAGGGCCCCCAACAAGTGTGCGTGCTTCTGAATCCCCCTAGCAAAGCGCCAGTACTGAAACGACCCGCCCAGTGTTGTGCGCACAAGCATCATGCTCGCGCTCGCGTCTTGCTACCTCATGTGGATGATCACATACATGGCCCAACTACACCCTCTGATTTGTGCGTGACATGCCCTGCTTGAAAGCGCGGTACTGACACGAGTGCAGCACCAATAAGGTCGGCGTCGCAGGAGGCATGAGCGAGAGGGACAGCGTGGACGGGGACTGCATACGGACTATACCAGGTGCGTAATGGATCTTGACACCTTCGAAGAGGCACTGACTCTGGTCTCCAGCTGTACTCTTATCACCAATATTTAATAACCTTGCCCAGCCGAACCATATCATCCGTTCCCATATTTGACGCATGAAGCAAGCTCCATTACACGCGACCAGGCTCTCCGTGCCCTCTCCTTCCTATGCGTGCGCGCAGCAAAGCTTCTAGACGCCGATCTAGCAGTCTGCCTACTCATACGATCGGAGCAGCGGACCCAGACCTTAATGACGCTTCCCTTTCCAAGCCCGCCTAGCTCAATCGGATAGAGCGTCAGACTCTTATCTACACAGGCGGGAATCTGAAGGCTGCGAGTTCGACCCTCGCGGTGGGCTACTACTTTTTACCTCCTTTCTGCTCTGCCTCCAGGCCTTACCTGCATCCGAGACAACGCCTACAAATTGCTGCCTTGACAGGTTCAAGTTGTACCCCACCATGCCTTCGAAGCAGCGCAAAATGCTTTGTCAGCCCTGCGATTACTCGCATGCAATGGCCTTGTCGATTCTCCTCTACAAGCACTGGTTTCTCTACCAAAGTCGTCCTCGTCGAACGAGCAGCGGCTCACTCTAGACCGCCAAGCAGCGACCTTGTTGTACGACGCCTCGGTCGACGCGGTCCAGCTGACGCTGCGCTTCACATGTCTCCTTAGCGACTATTTTCCGCATGTTCTCACCGTTGACAGCGCTCCCAGCGACGTCGACGGCATCGCCGCCAGGTTTCTCCGTCGTACGCGTGGTCTGAGGGTACATATAGCTGCAGCGCAGCGATGAACGGGCACGTCTTCTTCTCCTTCCCTTCCAATCCTTCGCTTGACTTTCTACTTTCATTTGGTACGTTCGCTCCTTCTTGGCTGGTTGTGTCGCTGTCATGACGCATATATTCAGACTTCTCGCGCCATTCAGATTACCCTCGTCTTCACATTTCCCTCGCTATGAAGAATATTGTCCTTCTCTTCTCAGCCACCGCAGCGCTCGCCGTTTCCCTCCCCAAGCGTCAGACCACTGGCCTCAACGCCAACTCGCGGCAAGCCTCTGGCCTCAACGCCAACTCGCGGCAAGCCTCTGGCCTCAACGCCAACTCGCGGCAAACCACCGGCCTCAACGCCATCGCGCAAGCCGCCGGCCTCAAGTACCTCGGCTCCGCGACGGACAACCCCGAGCTGACGGACACGGACTACCTCGCGATTCTGAGCGACTCTGATGAGTTTGGGCAGCTCACGCCGGGGAATAGTATGAAGTGGGTGAGTGAGCGAGGAGGAAGGGACTAGCGCTCGTGTGCTGGTGACGAGGCAGCGCTCGGGCACCGGTGACGAGTTTGCGCTCGTGTGCTGGTGACGAGTCAACGCTCGTGCGCTGGTGCTGAGTCTGCGCTCGTGCGCCGGTGACGAGTCTGCGCACGAAGAGACGAGGGTGCTAACGCCTACCCCTCACAGGACGCCACGGAGCCCACGCAGGGACAGTTCTCGTTCGACAACGCGGACGCGATCGTGGAGCTCGCGCAGAACAACAGTCAGCTCATTCGAGGTATGTATGGGTGTCATTTGAACGCGGTGTGGGCGCTGTGTGGGTATCATCACAACGCTGTCTCTTTATGATGGACATACGCGTCGTCTTTCTATACTGCGAATGGCCCATGAAGCTCACCCCATTGTCCTAAGGCCACACCTGTGTTTGGTACAGCCAGCTGCCTAGCTGGGTCTCGAACGGGTCGTGGGATGCGGACTCGCTGAATGAAGCCATGACGACGCATACCTCGACGGTGGTGGATCATTTCAGGGGAAAAATGTGAGCAATGGCCTGTTGTGCTACATCGTCGATGCACTCGTACTGACTCTTGCCAGATGTACGTGCGACCTTTATCAATGAGCACAGCAGGTGACTGACCCGCTGGTGCAGACAGCTGGGACGTTGTGAACGGTCAGCAGCACGCGCACAGGAGACTGCAGTCATGCTGATGCTTCCGCAGAGGCATTCGAGGACGACGGCACCTTCCGCCAGAATGTCTTCTACACGACCATTGGCGAGGACTACATCGCCAACGCGTTCAAGGCCGCCCGCGAGGCAGATCCGGACGCGAAGCTTTACGTGCGGCCCTCGCCCCTACCCATCCCAACCCCACTTACCCGACCTCCCAGATAAACGACTACAACATCGAAGGCACGGGCGCCAAAGCCGACGCGCTCTACACCTTCGTCACCTCCCTCCTCAATGCCTTCGTCCCCATCGACGGCATCGGCATGCAGGCGCACCTTATCGTCGGCTCAGTCCCCACCACCATCCAGGAGAACATCGCGCGCTTCACTGCTCTGGGCCTCGAGGTCGCGCTCACGGAGCTCGACATACGCATGCCGGTACCCGCGGCGGAGACGGATCTGGAGCAGCAGAAGGCGGATTATGAAAGTGTTGTCGGCGCGTGTGCGGCGGTGGATGGCTGCGTGGGGGTGACGGTCTGGGATTATACGGATAAGGTAAGTTGGAGAGGGAGATGAGAGGGAACTGGAAGCTGAGGAAGCTGTACAGTATTCGTGGGTTCCGAGCGTGTTCGATGGGTATGGGGCGGCTTTGCCGTGGGATGAGGTGTGTCCGGATATGATGAGCCACATGCGTCTACTGACCGAAGCGACACAGAACTTGGAAAAGAAGCCAGCTTACGACGGGATCGTGAGCGGCTTGGGTGCATAGGTATTCTGTACAATATAGGTCTTGATAGGGTCAATATACGCGCAACGAAAGGGACATGGCTATCGGCGACGTCGCCCCTTGGATTGGTACTACTTGTAGAATGGACCGAATGACTGCTAACCAGCTGACGGTTCCACGAAGGCTTCGCAGTTCGCCAAATGTGTTGTTCAGCGCCCGGCAGGGCTGATGCCCGGCTTGCCGTCTCAAGTGGTCAAGTGACATACGCCAATCACGACGATCCGAAGGGTGCGGGGCCCGCGCGACATATATATGTGAGGCCGACATACGACAGCGCTCCTGTCTCCCTGCACACCGTCCATCATCTCAGCCATTCTTCTGAGCTCAAGCATCATGGAGCTGGGCCGGTTGCATGAGAGCCTCCGTCCGCTTTTGGACATCTTCGCGCGCCGGTCGCGGGGTCGCGTGGTGTGGGCGTCGGCGACGTTGGCTGCGCTGTCCATCGTGCTGGGCTACTATGCGCGTCGGCCGAGCCGGAAAGGAGTCGAGGACCTCGCTTCTGCTGCGAGGAAGGCGCGCAAGACGACGGAAGTCGTCAACTTCGGCGAGTACGACTTCATCGTCGTGGGCGGAGGTGAGACTTGGATTCCTTATCCATTCCGAAGCTGACATGAAGTGACTGACGTGATGATAGGAACGTCTGGATGCGTGCTGGCTTCACGCCTGAGTGAGGATCCAGCTGTGCGCGTACTGGTATTGGAGGCTGGCGGGAGGTAGGTCGCCGTTATTCTGCCCTTGTGTGACGAGCCTCATCAAGGATGACAGCGGAAAGGCATTGCTGTTTTCTCGGTGGCCGTCGACGTACTCGCTGCTTTGGCGGAATCCGAAGCACGTCCATCAGATGTATACCGTGCCGCAACCGCATGCAGGCGGTGTGAGCAAGTTCTGGCCGAGAGGTACTTGACCTTGGTGAGAACATGATTTTACGCAGACTGACGCTTTTCCACAGCGAAACTGCTAGGAGGATGTGAGTAGTCTGCGTTATGGTTGATCCTGTTCTAAGCTCAAACTCGTATAGGCTCTGCTATCAATGCCATGATGGCTCAGTATGGCGCGCCCCAGGACTTCGACGAATGGGCGCGAATCACTGGCGATGAGTCCTGGGCTTGGGGTAACTTCCGGAAGTAAGTAGTGTACCTATTACTGGATTTCTTCCCTCGAGACCACACACTAATCCATCCAGGTACTTCGCCAAATTTGAGAAATGTCTGCCCGACGCCCAGTACCATAAGGAGCACGATATCTCGTATCGCGGGGCGACGGGGCCGCTCAGGGTGGGCTATCTCACTACCTTCACGGAGGTGGCAGCTGCTTTCGTCGAGTCTTGCGTGAACGCGGGCATCCCGCGTACGCCTGATTTCAATGGACCGAATGGCACGGAAGGGGTGAATAGGGTGAGTCCACGCGAGTAGGCATCACTGGCTTACTGATATTCTGTGTCTATCACAGCTCAGTAAGTCTACCGAACTGCTAGCTGATCGGACGGGACTGACGAAGCGGGATCAGTGACCTATGTGGATGACAGCCGACAGCGTGTCTCGTCAGAGACGGCATACCTGACGCCCGACGTGCTCGCGCGACCGAACCTTAGGGTCGTCACCCATGCGCAGGTGACGAAAGTGCTATTCGATCAGACCTCCGACGTGCCTCGTGCGACGGGGGTCGAGTTCGCATACTCGAAGTCGGGCCCGCGATTCAGTGCGCACGCGAAGAGGGAGGTCATCCTGTCGTAAGTGACGCCGTCTGCCTGCGACGAAAGAGACCTCAGCCCCACCTACCAGCGCTGGTGCCGTTCAGACTCCGCAGGTATGCGAGCATTGTCGACGTTGGTGAATGATCTTCATTGCTGAGAGCGCGTTCCCAGATTCTTCTCCTGTCCGGCGTCGGGCCCGCCGCACACCTCGCAGAACACGGCATTCCTGTTGTCCGCGACCTCCCTGCCATCGGCGACCATCTCGTCGACCACCCCATTGTAGACCTGCACTTCAAGCGAAAGAAGAATGACTCGCTCAAGTACTTTCTGCCATCAAGTGTTGGCGAGGCTATCCAGCTCTTGCCTGTCGCTTTGAGGTACGCTTTCTTTGGTGATGGGCCGATGGCGACGAACGTGGGTTAATCTCGCCATCAACGTAACAAGAGAACGACGTGCTCAAAGGTGTGACCTTTGTAGATGGGCGAGTGCGCTGCCTTCATCCGCGTGGATGACCCAAGGCTATTCCCGGATTCCAAGGAGAAACTAGGTGATGCGCTCTCGGAGAAGGGGGCACCAGACGTCGAGTACTTTGCCACGCCCTTGGCGTACAAGCAGCACGCCAAGGAGATGTTTGATGTGCATACCTATGGTGTGCACTGCTACCTGTTGAGGTATGCACTCTTGCAATTCCTTCTCTCGAACAGGCTGGCTGATTCATGTACTCTTCGCCTCAGGCCGCGCAGCACGGGGTCCATTCGCCTTCAATCTGCTGATCCATGGGCTTACCCGGTTGTCAATCCGAAGTAAGCGGTCGCGGCTCGGTGTCTGTATCGCTTCTGCTAACCATATCCGTCTGCTACAAGCTATCTCAAAGACCCTCGAGACGTCCACACCCTCCGTCGCGGCGTGCGCCTTTTGACGCGCGTCGCCCAGACACCGCCAGTTTCCGATGCGCTCGACGGTGAATGCACTCGCGCCGACCTGGACCATCGTCTGCACGAGCTATCGGACGAGGAGCTGGACGAGGTCATCCGCCAGCGCTGCGAGACTGTGTACCACCCTGCATGCACCTGCCGGATGGCGCCCGATGGGGCACTAGACAACAATTTGCGCGTGCATGGAGTGCGTGGCCTGCGCGTTTGTGATGCGAGTGCGTTTCCCACCATCGCATCCGGGCATACAGTGAGTCGCGCATTTATCGTGCTGTACCTGCCATGCGCGAAATCAGGGTTCTGACAATGAATTAGGCTGGTGCATGCTTTGCGATTGCGGAGAAGCTTGCGGACGACCTCAAGGCGGAGTATGCGGTCTCAGGATTTTAGGGCTCAGTACTGACAGACCGCGGAGATCTCCTGGCTCTGTGAAGCTCGAATCATGAATGTACATATACTCCATGCATTTCGCGTACCCGATATCGCCCACTTCATCCTTACAGAATTTTCAGTCGCCACTGTCACTTGTTGTGACAGTTGAACTTGGAAAATGACAAAGGTCGCAGCACGTGCACTCTCGGTTCCGAAAGTTATGCAAAATTCGGGTTTATCGGCACAGCCAGCGGCAATGCCCGTAATCGAACTTGTTTCAAACCATCATCACTGTGCCGACTAGGACCTCCACTTACCTTGCCTCGACACCTGCCCAAAGCATCGCAGACTAGAATCTAGTTGCGAGCGCAGCCAAGGATCTGCCGAACAACCCTCTTTCCTCATCTCTCCTTTTCCGGACCAATATGGGTTCGAAAGTGTATGGGCATTGTCTGGTTGGCATGCCTTACAAGGATTTCTTAAGCACTTTTTATGGCTTGATTCCTCGCGCAAGACCGGTATCTGTGAGGCGTATGACAAAATCGTGAGTATTGCAAAGATTGCACGCCGCATCGTGTTTAGTGCCAGTACCCTGATGCTTTTCAGGCCGGAGGACTAAAAGATGATCTGGTCTCCAGTTTGGCGGATCAATCGACCAAGGCCGATTACGGGCTATACATGACGCTGGTTGGTGACCTGGCGCGATCGCTCAGAGCGCCGGTTCCTCGTTCCGCGGGCTCTCTCCCCGATGTTTTCAACGTCGGTGCATCTACGAAGCTAGAAGGGAACGAGACACTCGACAAGGTTATGAACTTCATCGAAGATGAACAGTCCCTACGTTTCAATGTCTTCTCCTGCTTCCTTTTTTACAACGCCAACTACTTTCGTGTCATCCGTGTCGACCAGGACGGGCTGGTCGTGACCGAGCGGGTCACTTGCAAGCGCCTCAGCCAGTTTCTTCAACATTTTGACGGGCTTTGTCCGGCACAACGGGGCTATGACGCGACTGTACGCGATGTATCGCAAGATTCGGACGAGGTCGGGCAAGCGAGGGAGGCGCTGAAACCGTTCATTCCTACAAGCCAGCAAAACGAACCTATACGGGAAATAGGTGTACCTATCGCTCACGAGGGCGGTGACGGGCTTCGCTGGTACTACATCTGGGCGACGACTATCAAGCCCAAGGGCCTCTTCTCGCGTGCGACCTGCGGCTACCCAGCTTGGGACCCGGCCGACAAGAAGGTCGTCTGGATCAAGGACTCGTGGCGCGCTCTCGACGGTGGCCTCTTCCCAAAGTCGGAGACCCTCAGGCAGCTGAACACACAAGGCGTGCAGTTCGCACCCGTCCTGTTTTGCGGCGGCGATCTGCCGGGGCAGAGGACGCGGACGCACGAGTTCGTCGACGCACCGTGGGCGCGGGAGTTTATTGAAAGGTCTTCCAACAGCGGTCAGCATAGGACGCACCACCCGCGCATCCACCACCGCCTTGCGGAAACGTACGGCCGACCGCTGTGGGAGCTCGAGTCGTCGAAGCATCTGCTGCAAATCCTGCATGATGCTTTCACGTGCGAGTAACCGTATCTGTCTCTCTTTCTATTCGTCTCTCTGTCAATCATCGTCTTCTTTTCTATCCGTATCCTTTACATCCTTCTTCTCTCCTTCTCATCGTCGCTCTTCTATTCGATCCTCCCCTATCCCTCGCCTTTCGAATACGACTGAACCCTTCCAGGCCACCGCATGGCAGTCTCAAAGTGTCGCAAGCTGCACCGCGACCTGAGCGCATGGAACATCCTTATCGACCCCGACTCGAAGAGGGGCCTTCTGACGGACTGGGATCTGTGCGCGCCGATGCCCAGTGCAGAGGCATGCGAAGAGGATCCGAGCATCAACCCCCTGGCGCAGATACCGAACAGCTCTGGCCGCCCCGACCGTACGGTAAGTTCTCTTTCGTAGCGCCGTTTGTGATGATACTGAAGAGCATACAAGGGACATGGATGTTCATGTCCGTGCAGCTGCAAAGCATAGAGCCTCACCTGCACTGCGTTCAGGACGACCTGGAGGCGCTGTTCTGGGTGGGCCTATACATGATCGCGTAGTATATGCCCGTACGGGAAGCCACGGCCATCGCGATCGTGGACGAGCTCCTCCTGTCATACACTTTTCGAGGCGGTGTCCCGGTCGGCGGCGATACCAAGCGGTCGTTCCTATCGGGCAGCGGAAACTTCAAGCTCGAGCTCTCCCCCGAGTCCGTCTCCCCCGCGCTGACAACTTGGCTCCAGTACTACACGAGGCTGGCTCAAGTATCAGACCGCGCTCGAGAGATACACACCGGACCCGCTCCTTGACGACGTGCCACCGGCTCCGACGGACTTGTGCGATTACGACAAGCTTGATGCGACTTGGAGGCGGATACTTGACCAGGGCGTCTTCATGGACAACGATCGCCTCAACGACCCGGACCACACACAAGACCCCTTCCATGTCTCTGCAGTGTACAGGAGGTCTCTGGAAATGGAGGCAGACAAGCAGGTCGAGCTCCAGACATCGGCCCAGTTGATTCTGGCTGAGTCGCAACGGACGGAGGCGGAGGCGCGACAGGCGGAGATGCAGCGCGCCAACCCCAAGACGTCTATCGAGTTGGGCCTCAGCCAGAAATCGGGCGCAGTTACCTCGCGTAGCAGCACCCCATTTGGACGCTCGGCGGTTATGAAGCAAGACGGGGAAGATGAAGAGGGGGAAGAGGGGCCCACAAGGAGCAAAACAAGGAGAAGAACGAGGAGGCCTTTGTCTTACGGTCCCCTTCCCGGTCGGCATCGTCCTTGCGGGTAGAGACGCGGGCATGTGCGAGAATGGGCGGGAGGAGGCGGAGGTGGCAGCCGAAGCGATCGAGGAGGACGCGGGGCGCGCGGCGAAGCGACAGAAGACGAAGTCAGCGTGAGCCCCTTCTGACGCACTTCTTCGCTCAGCCCGGATCGGTCTGGGACGACTTCGCCGGACAAGCTCAAGAATTCGACGCAGGAGTAGGCGAATGGCGCGTGATGGTTTGAATGGGTGGCATTTGGGGATCGCATATGTTCACTTCGCGTATGTGATTTTGATGGGCAAGGCTTCAAGGATATCTATGTAATATTGCAAACCGCTCTGTCGCTGTGCGCAGTTACCTTATACTGGACGCCGTTACCGGTGGGCGTCGGAATCGCGGGCTGCCCAGAAGTGCAACGCGTATTGGAGGTCAGTTTGGCAGTCGCTTGTCATTCGACGCTCGCCACTGACATTCGATGAGCCACTATTCTTGGCGGAGCTGTACGCACCAGTGTTCCAAAACAGCCAAAGCGACAACAGCACGGTACATACTTACAACATTACAAGGTACAGCGATCCTAGAAACACCTCGGACGACCGTGAACGCAGTACGCTCAGCTAGTGTGCTCAAGTCGAGACAGAAGTACTTAAGAGCGAACAAGCGTCGGGGTTTGCCGGCGGTTCATCCCACGCGAGCGCGAACACGTGCATATATCAATTGGACCAACTTGGCTCTGACCATCATCCAACTGCGCTCAGTCGACGTGCGTCCAGCGCACGAAACAGATAACCAGGACCCAATTTTCTGTCATGTCAGCAACCAGCTCTCCTCCGCATAGTCGTCGCGCATCAGTACCTCGACCGCCTCCTTCTCCGTCCCCTCTCCGTCCGTCTTCGCCTCCTACACCCAGCACAGCAGCGGCGAACATAAGTCGCAGTGCCTCAGGTGGACCAGAAGCAAAGCGCCTCTCTGTACCCTCTTCTCCGCCCCAGAAACCTCGCGCTCGTGACCTTCTACGAAAGCATTATGGCTTGGGCGTAGGTCCTCCGCCGCCTTCGCCTGGTGTCCCTGCAGATCCGATGAATTTGGGTGAGCGATCTGTTATTATTGTCATTATTCATTGCATCCACTGATCTCATTCTGTACAGACTCTCCCGCCTTCGACGCGAAGACATACTACGAACAGCTCATCACCACATCGACACTTGCGACTTTGCTCAAGAAGGAAAACGAGCTGATATCTGGTCAGTAAAGAAGCTCTTCCTCGAAATCTGCCTACCGATTTCTGACTTCTGTCGCTGCAGAGATACGCGAGCTGGATGGCGAGAGACAAGCGTTGGTGTACAACCACCATCACGAGCTCATTGCCGCTAGCGATACGATAGGCGCTGTGAGTTCGCCTTGTGACGTCGACGAATGGTGAACTGACTGATATTCCAGATGAAAACTCGAGCGGAAGGCCTTGATGCGGACTTGGACCTACTCAAGGTCGCCTTCTCGGAAATCTCGCGCTTGGGAGCAGAGGTAGCAATCGAGGATCAGTGAAATATAGTTGTCCTCTTTTCTTATGCCCTCTGTAGTTCGCCTGTATACACACTCCATGCAGCGATGCCGAAGTGGCTCTATAAAGCGTCTCATATGTTTTGATTGGGAAAGTCGCCCAACGCGCAAGACAGTCTCGGCCCTCTCCTTGACGATGGGTTTCTCAAGCTCACCAAGCACAAATTTATCCGAGTGCATCTCGCGTGGCGCGTATATAATTACATGTCCATTGTCTGACCGGCGCGAACATATACGATTTGCTTCCGCGCATCGATAGATCATCAGCATCAGGTGACCGTGCTCATTGAGAACGCAACTGTGACCGAACGTTGCCCCTTGTCCCGTACACCCACAAGCCTGTGTCTGAACCCCACCTTCGCAGTCCCGGCATCATCAAAGCTTTCATCCAGATCTCAAACAACCAGGCTACTTTCGTCATTGACACGCGCTACCTCTGGCGCCACTGGCAGCTTGATTGCCCAAGATGCAGACCATGATCCACCATATGGAAGACTGCCCGAAGCGCATTCGGGTCGTCTTTGAGGGTATCTATATCATTGACACCAAGAGGGCGAAGCTTGTGTAAGCGCGCTCCTGGCTGCTGCTCTCTCTTTGACCAGGCTGTCTGACATTTACAGGCGTTTAGGTGAGTCTTCCCGCTTTTAATCTCCCGCACTCTTGCTTCCATCCTGCCATTGAAACCAATCAACGCCGCTCCTACATCCCTATCCAACGCACACACCACTACTCTCTACTTGACCCTCGCTCACATCACCTGCTTAGATGGGAAAAGCCCCAATACCCGACCTACTTCTTCCCCAACAACGAGCTCCCGGCCTGGTACCTCCACAACATGCGCCTCATCCCGGACGGCGCGCTCTACGACATCGCCGCGGGCCACAAGCGCGCGCCGAACGGCCTGACGAAGTACAGCAACCCGATATCGCCGCTGGAGGGCTTCTTCAAGCTGGACTTCAATGCGATGGACGCGTGGTTCGAGGAGGACGAGGAGATTTTTGTGCATCCGAAGGATCCGTACAAGGTACGGTCGCTGCATTGCTCGACTATCCCTTCCATCGCCTTTCCATTCTCTCATTGCCTTTTCATTCTCCCATCGCCTTTACATTCTTCAGAGTCCCGTCGAAATGCTCATGTCTCACACCCACCCGACCATCTAGCGCGTCGACGTCCTCCAATCCTCGCGGCACGTCCGCATCGAGATCAATGGCCTGATGGTCGCCGAGACCCGCGCGCCGCGCATGCTCTACGAGACGACACTCCCGCCACGCACGTATATCCCGCAGACAGACTGCCAGGTTGAGCTGCTCGTACCCTCGGAGACGACATCGCGGTGTCCGTATAAGGTGTGTCTGGGTTTAGCATTCTCGGGACACATCTGGGCAAGTTCTCGGGACATTCAAGCAATTGCACGGGACATGCGAGCATTTTCTCGGGACATGCGAGCATGCCATGCTGTCGACTCTGACTATACCATACCGTTCCCACTACTACAATTCACCATCCCAACCACTATGACCCGTATGACGGACAGCTACTCACGCTTACTCTCCAGGGCGAAGCCCGCTACTGGAACGTCCAGCTCCTGAACGGCGAGATCATCAAAGACATCGCCTGGTCATACCGATACCCGACCCTGGAGAGCAGCAGCATCCGCGGGTACGTCTGCTTCTACGACGAGAAGGTCGATATGTGGGTGGATGGGGAGAAGCAGGCGCGGCCAGCAACGCAGTTCGCGTGAGAGCTCCTGCCGACATGCACGTATTCACAGGCTCAGATATGAACGTAGAGGAAGACGTAAAGAAAGATGCATATGTTCCAACAAACAAACGATGTATTCCTATAGCATAGTACCCCAGTGTACGATATGTCCAGCCACGCGCGACGATCTACTCATCGTCATCATCATCGTCCGCCTCGTCAAGCCACTACCAAGATCGTCAGCGATCATTGCCCTTGATTGAGACGACGGCAACATACCTTGAGGAACGGCTCGCTAGCCTTCCTGACTCTCTTACTAGTATCCTTGTCGGTATACTTCTTGCTGACGTGGGTGCCCCAGTTCTTGACGACTTCCTCCTCGAGGATGTCGGCCTGGTAGAGCTCCATGAGAATCTTGGGCACGGCGGGGATGAAATCGGGGTGGGTGATGCCGACGAGGCGCTCGATGCCGCCCAGGAGAGCCTTCTGGTGCTTCTCGGAGGTGACGAGCTGAGACAAAGTCAGTGAACATCGACGAGCAGGGGCGTATGAGACGCACCTTAACGAGCAGCGGCGCATAGGCGCGGACCTCCTTCAGCACATCCTCGGTGAAGAGCGCCTGCACAAGGACAAGCACCGTCTTGTGCTTCTTCTCGATGCCGAGGTCCTGCGCCTTCTTGAAGATCGCGATCGCGAACGCCTTCGGCTCCTCCTCGTCCCGGTTCTCCTCGATCCAGCGCCCGAGCTGACCGTACGGGCTGTTCGCGTCGTCGTCGCTGCCCTCGTCATCGCCGTTGAGCGCGACGTTGCCCATAGCGCCCTCGAGCGCCTTGATGCGCTGCTTGACGGCCTCGGGCGACGTGTCCGCGGACCAGTCCTCCTTTCCGATCTGCGTCTCCTGGTTGAGCTCGGCGGCCTCCGCCTTGATCTTCTTCGTCAGCTCGTCGTCGCTTTCCGCCCCACCATCGCCGGCCTCGCCGTTCTCGGGCGTGTCCGCGCCGCCGCCGCCGACGCCCGCGGCCGCATCGCCCGCCCCGGTGCGCTTCTTGCCCTTCTTCACCTTCACGGGCGGGTTCTTGATGATGAACGTGGTGAGCTTGTGGCGCATGTCGACGCCCGTGCGCTCGCCGCACGCCTTGCAGTCGCGGATGATGTCCTCGGAGCGGCCCTGCTTAAGGATCACGAGGTCCGTCTCCGGGTTCTTGCACGCCTTGCAGAGGACGAACTTGTCGATGAAGCCGTCGAGGAGCTCGCGGAGGCGGGTCGCGTCATGCGCGCCGTTCACGATGTAGCGGTCGTTCTTCTCGTCGAAGGAGGTCTGCGCGCCGAGCTCGCAGCCGAAGAACTTGGTGGGGTAGGTGGGCGGGCGCGAGAGCGCGCGCGCCACGTCGGACATATTTGGGAGTACGGTCTTGATGCCGTTGCCTTTGCCCTCGATCTTGGTAGTCAGGACGGGCATGCTGAAGGCTCGTCAGTATGAGAGACATGGATTGGAACGTGTGACGCACCGGTAGCGGTAGAACTTGTCGTCCACATCGCGGCGAATGTTAACAACTCCGGAAGCCATGTTGTAAAGTTTGAAGAATGTTTAGCGCTGCAGACCATGTCAGCCACCATCCTACCCGTCTACACGAGGCCAGCCACTGACAAGACTAAAAGCGGGCTCGGGATGCAAGAATCTCTTCTGTCTGACGGTAGCCGTTGGCGGACGAAGCATGAATCCTCTGCCTGAACAGAGAAAACTGTGAGGGGGGTGGGATAAGTAGTGGGACGAAATCGTGAAGGCGGGCTGCAGGCTCTGAGTTCGCGAGGCAGGCGGCGAGTGCGTCGACGGCAAGTGACTGAATCAGCAGCGCCCACCGCGCCTTTATATGTTCGCGGGAAAATTGCCGCCGGCGACGGGCCCGGCCGGATCATGCCCTCGGTAGTCCCCGGTCGAACTTTAACTCAAGGATTTAGTCGCTCGCCGTCGACGCGTCAGCGGCTGGCGGTTATTAGGCGCGGGGTGCGCTGGATGACGTGAAGATTGTATATAGTGCAGTATACAACAGTGATATGTATGTAGTAAGAGCGTCCAATACAGTACCGAGGAATCTACCCTACCCGCAAGTGGACTATACCCATCTCAGCCACACTCAGAGCGTACCCAGCGAGGTAACAACAGCGCGAGGCATAGCTCTCTTCAGACTACCCATCGTCACAGCATCGATCCTATTCCGTATCTCCAGCTCTTCCAGCTTCCATTCCTCATACCTGCGCTCGGCCATAGCATCGCGGAATGCTGCCTGCAGCGTGTCGTCAGCATGAAGGTACGGAAAAGGACAAGACGCCTCACTCGAGACACAGGGTCGAACATCGCATCCTTGATGTTGAGAGTCAATTTCCTCAGCCCCGGCAAAGCCGTATACAGCACGTCGAACAGATTCGGGCAAAGGGCACGGATATTCAGCGCCAGCGACGTGATACTGCTCGATCCCGCCAGAGCGCCGACGAGCTCCTGCAGCTCCTCCGGCGCCAGGTCGTACTCGCGCACGCGCAGGGTACCAAGTGTGGGCGCTAGGCAGGCGAGGAGCTTTCGGAACGCCGGTAGCCCCCCAGGTGACGTGGCAGCGCAGATGTCAAGGGTGCTCACCGACCTCAGCGCTGCCTCCTCCTCCGCCAGCCGGCATACGAAGTCTACGAGGAGTGGGTCGGGCTCGGCAGCGACGGGGGAAGTAGAGCGCGCGTTCCCGCAGAGGTAGACAGTGCGTAAGGTGGGAGTACAGAGAAGGCGCACTAATCCGGCCGGGTCGGAGCGTACGACTTCTGCGTAAGGTGCATGGAGGGCAAATGTATGCAGCGCGGGGAGTGGGCGTAGTGCGCTGAACAGTGGAGCCAGGTCCAGGTGGAGAAGGTAGGTCCAGAAGTGCACGCGAAGCGCGCCCAGGCGGTCAGCGTGTCGGTTCACAAAGGGCGCGACGTACGCTAGGAGCGCGTCTTCCGCGTCAGGTGCGGGTTGGTTTGCGTGTATGAATGTGAGCTTGAGGCGCTCGAGGTGAGGGAGGTATGGCGAGGTGCGGAGAAGTGTGGCGAAGCCAGGGAGGGAGGCTTGCAAGCGGAGGTCGGTGACGTGAGCGCAGGAGGCCTGCCACGCACAGGTGACGAGGGGTTGAATGTCGAGCTTCGTTGTGTCAAGCGTGTCCGTGTGTAGGCCGAAGGTATCCAGACTAGAAAGCAAAGGCAGCACGCGAACGATGACCTTCAGCCAGTCCTCGAAGACGCACGCAGATTGCTGCGTCTGCGGGCCCGAGGGGCGCAGCAGCGCGCCGACAAGACCGCCGAAGATCGTCATGGCCGCCCCATGCCCCGCGACGCCGCCCCTTGCGCGGTTCGTGTTCAGATGGGGCGCAAGCGTCAGCGATCGGACGCGACAAGCGATAGCAGGATCTCTGAACTGCGCTGTCAGCCTGATCGGCACTACGCATGTCGAGGGGAGCGACCTACGCCAGCCGCTCGATCCTATGTATCGACTGCTGCGTGATGTCCGTCACCTTGAGCGCGCGGTACCGCCGGTCGAGCGCGACCTGCAGGAACACGCTCGACACCTCGTGCAGGCGGTGCTCCCTCCTCTGGATATACTGGTCGTCCAGGCACTGCGCGATGTGCAGCCAGATCTCCGGGGGGAGCGCAGCGTGTGTCATCCTGGCGATTCAGAGTGTGGAAGTCCAAGCTCGTGCTCGTGCTCGTGGCGGTCGGTGCAGAAGTCCAGGGCGCGAGCGAGAAGGGGCGTAGCGCGGTGTTTATAACGGGGCGCGGGCGCTCCCCGGACCCCGGCTGCCATCAGAGGGCGAATTGAGGCGGCCTCGCGCGGGGAACATCACAACACGTGGCGGCGTGCGCATTCCCGGGCTCCGATCAATGCACGCGGACTTTGTCCCGTCCCGCCGTGCCTTGTGAGGGAACCCACACCCAGGAAGATCGGCCGACGATGCCCAAGGATACGACGAAGGGCGCGATGAAAGGAGCAAGGAGCGGGAAGAACGACAGGAATCGAGAGGGTCAGAAGAAGAAGAAATATCGGAGCGTGAGTATCGCGGTGCATCGTCCCTGTCCTCCCCCCTTCCTCCTTCCCGCTCTCCTTCCCTGCACTCCATCCTAGGACCCCCTTTCTGCCCATCCCAAAGTTATCCCACATCACCGCTGACCGCAACCTCTCACAGGACGGTACACCCATCTGGACGAAGCCCACGATCGAGGGTCCAGGGATCTGGGCGACTTGTAAGTTCATTCCCTCATGTTGATCCATCCCCTCGTGCAGGTACATCCACCCGTCGCGTGTATACATGCATGTTGATCTTTCGAGCGTGTTTACTGTTCCCCGCGTCAACGCGTCCGCGTCGAAGACCACCCTTTGTCCCCCTCGTGCAAGCTCTTTTCCGTCTCCCCATCACGCGCACCGTCATTCTCCTGTCATAGCTTTGAGTGTTTTCTTACCTATATACTCCGCGTAGGTCCGCGAGGGAAGGAGCGCCAGACAGTTGGAGAGCTCTACGATTTGTTCGAGTCTGTAGGTCGGTCTCTCCGTTCGATAAACATCCCTCGTGGCTTACCACCGATGCAATAGCTCTCCGCTGAGATATGGCCTCCGGCAGAGGGTGAAGTAGGGGAGACTGAGGGCCCCTCTACGGAATCGGCCAACGCAGATGATTCCGACTCGGATGAGGACCTCAGCATCGAGGCGCAGATTGCGAAGGAGGTAGCGGGCATCAAGAAACCCGCAGCTGAGAAGAGAATACGTGCGTAGAGTCTCCTTTCGAGTGCTCCCTTGCGTGGGAACTGGGTCCCGTCTAGCGTCCAACTCCTACACGAACTTCTTACTGACGCGCCGTCACAGAGAACTGCCACACGGATACGCAGTGCGGTTCGTAGTCCCTGAACACGCCCTTCTGAACCTTACCACTGACTCGGTCCCTGACATCGTAGTCGTTTTCATGGCGTGCAGGCCGCCTGTGGAACCCGTTGTGTTGGTTATGCGGCACCTGAAGAATGTGGAGATGACGGGGATTACCAGGACGAGGTAAGGTCGTGCCGTTTACAACAAACACATCCGTTCTGTTCAACACCTTCCATCCTCCCCTTCACAACGTCTGATTGCCTCCAGACAGACCCACCGTCTCCTCCCCGTCTCCGGCTCTTGTACCGCCAACATCCCCGAGATCCAGGCTCTCTGTCGCGATGCGTGGGCGAAATATATGACCGGGCGAGTGAATGCAACGTCGAAGGTGCGTCTTATTTGCCTATCTTTCATGCTGCTTTTCTAGTCTTCCCCTTTGGCTTCGATTGCCCTCGCTCTTCGCACTTCCTTTTTATCCTTTCCTTTCTTTCCTCCCTCTCTCTTTTCTCGCCATGATCGACCTGCCGAATGCGGCCCTCGCGCCAACACATACTCAACTCATTCTCACAGTACAAAATCGAGCTCCGCATCCGCAACCACAGCACCCTTACGCGCATGGCGATCATCCAGGCCGTCGCCGAGTGCGTGCCCGAGGGGTTCAGCGTGGATCTGAACGACCCGGAGGTGTTTGTGTTGGTGGAGGTGTTCAAGGTGAGCGACAGTCCTTCATCGTGCTCGTCTGGTCAGAAATGCGGGGAAGGCGACGGACGAGGGACGATGGCGATGGTCGCAGAAACGAAATGCGAGCGAAGGCCGACGCGAAGTGGGACCGAAGGCTGGCGCGAAATGCGAGCGGAGGCTGACGTGAAATGCGAGCGAAAGCTGACACCACCTGTTCTCTAGAGCACCTGCGGCATTGGCGTCGTCGAGGACTACTATCGTCTGCATAAGTTTAACGTGGGTGAGGTGGCGAAAATGTGCAAGGCGAGGGGGGAGGGTCAGGCGAGTATGACGCGGCTGGGGGAGGCTGGGGGTGCGGAGGCGGCGGCGGGGAAGGTTGTTGAGGCACTGGCGGAGAATGCTGCTGAGGCGAAAGCACCGGCGGAGAAGAATGCTGGGGTGCAAGAGGAAAAGGTCGCTGAGGCGCAAACAGAAAAGATTCTCGAAGCGCCTGCGGTGGAGACGCAAGGGAAGAAGCCAGCCGAGGATTTTGGGACCGGTAGCGCGGTCTTGTGATTGATCACATCAGGACATGGAGTGTGCATATAGTTTTCTATCTTGACTGCACAGTATACAAGACGAATTACTCTGACCACATTGTGGAACCCGCAAAAATGCAACTGTGACTGAACCGTGACCGTCATGCTTAGACCACGTGTTTGATCGCAAACCGTGGGAAAGCCCCGGGCGTCAAAAGCGCGATCGGCGCATTTTCGTCCCTTCGAACAAACCTTCGAGGACACAAAAGTTCGGACTCGGTTCAGCTCTTCCGCCTCCTTGTCCGCGTTCCCGTCCTCAAGAAAGACGCCCGGGGGTCGCTTGAGAGTGGCCCTTCGGGAGGTGCTGCCCAGTTGAAAGGCTGAGCGGCGCTGGGTCTCGTCGGAGTCGCGAGCTCTCTTCGCTCGAGTGGTCGGTTTCGTCTGGAGGCGCCGCTTCGCGCTGGCGCCCACGAAGGATGGGATCGGGCACGAGGAGGGGGCTTCGGCTTTGTGGGACCTACATGCCCTCGTATACGAGGTGTCGTAGTCGTTGTGTACTTGTTTAGACTGGTACTGCCAACGCCCTACATAGATGAATAGATCTGTTGAACCTGCATTCCCTCCTACTCTGCTCTGCTCGCTGTGCTGTCGTCGAAGGTGGGAAACTGACCTAGCCAGGAAAAGGTCAACGTGCAACTCCCGTTTACTGCCCCTCCCTTCACTTTGCCTACGCCTCTCTCCAGAGTCGGACCTTTTGTACACTCCAGCGCGTCTTACTTTCGTGCAAGCGCCTTCCACCCAGCAAATGAGGCCATAGCACTCGTCGGTGCGAAAGATCAGTAAACACTGATCTTTCAATAAGACCTTTTCGCCCCACTCGTAAGCAAGGCCAAGAGTCTGACAGACACCAATGTAGCTGACTATCGCATGCAAAGCCTTCACTCAGCAGCGGGCCTACCTTGGTACCCGCCGTCAGCAGCCGCCCACTAGCCGTCGCGCTCACCCTTGCCGCCCGAACATTCACCCCCTCCCGTGATCGTTTATCCCCTCCCGCGATCGCTCCTCATCTCGATCGCGCTCGCGCTGAGCAAGCCATGTGGGAGAACCCGCCCAGCCCTTCGTCATCCGTCTGCAGTCCTCTTCAATCTTTTCCGGCCCCCTTCTCCAATTCTTCCGGGACACCTCTCTGATCACCCGGCCTCCGGTTATGCCTTCCGGCTACCTCTTGAAGCGCGCGCACGGTTATCTCATCAAGTGCCCCCGCCATGTCGATCATCATCGATCATGCTTATAAAGTCTCGCGGGGCGACGTCAGGGCAACGCATATAATATTAATAGGTGTGCGGAGCAGGATCGACGACGACTTTCTCTCTACACATTCCTCCCACTTTGCCCACCCAACACCCACAACCCGACACGACAATCGCAATGGCCCCCATCCGCAACGCCAAGGCTATCTACAAGGAAATTCCGCAGGGTTACCCCGAGCCCGGAAAGACGACGGTCTACGATGCTACTGGCACCATCGACCTCGACACCGTGCAGTTGCCCGCCAACTCGGTGCTCATCAAGGTGCTCGTGCTGTCCATCGATCCCTATATTCGTGGTCGCATGAGGGACCCGAAGATTCCGAGCTATGCGGTACGTGTTGCGCGTCGTATAGCTCAACAAAACTCGCTCACAATTCGCACTTCAGCCCGCGTACCCTCTGAACGAGCCGATTAACACGGATGGGATTGGCAAGATCGTCAAGTCGACGCACCCTGACCTCAAGCCGGGCGACATCGTGCGCTCGAAGCTGAGTGCGTAGTTCTCTCCTTAGCTTTGTCCGTCCATCCATCAGTAAAATGAAGCTCGTGTTATAGCTCGACATTTCATGACCTGTGTTATGGCGCGTTGTACCATCAAGCTGCCGAAGTTGCAGCAGATTAAATCAGGCGATAGAACCAGCGGATCTGATTTAGCAGTCCAGGCGGTGGTCTATAACAGATGGACGCACGCTATGAGTTACGCGCAGCGCTTTACGCCACGACACGACAAGGGCAATGATTCACAACACAACTTGAGAAACCGGTCGAACTTTTGAGAGTCGAAAGCGCGTTGGAGCAATGCAGACTGGCCATAAGATATTAAAATACTACTCCCCTAAGCCTGATATACAAGTCGGCGTTCAGGTCCTGTACAGAAAGATGCTTGTTATGCGGCGTTGCAGGCAGTATCTCTACCGCGCGCTCGATGCACTCGATAGGTACAAAGTCGACATCATCCTCCAGGAGCTCTATATAGCTCGAAGCATTGTGCCTGCCCACTGTTCGAAACCGGCGAACGCAAGCCAGCGTGAAGCGCTGGGAACGTACCAAAAGTCGCATGAAGGAGTATACAAGCCCGAATTCTCGCTCATCATCCCCCACCTTAATGAGCACACTGTCGTAGCGTGGCCCGTGGTTATTCCAGTTGCGATTGGTGCGTATGGTGTCGGTGCACGTCTGGAAGCTCATCAAGCAGATATACTGGACAGTGAGGCAGCGGTAACAGCGTATCTTCGGGAAGGAAGCCAGGTAAGCAGAAATGACTGGTTCATCAGCGAGAAGTAGCGCACCGTTGATGTCTTAAGCTCGTCGTCGGGTATGCGCTGATTGTTGAATGATGGTCGAAGAGCCTGTGCCAGCCGTCGCAGCGCCGCGACCGGGTTTGCAATATCCTCGACGTGTTCGTGCAAGAACGTGGCTATGCAAATGAGGTGGCGGTCTGGTGCGGAGAGCTTGAGTCGGCCATTATCGCTGTCCAGATCTGCATCCGGTAGCTCTGCGCCGGTGGAGGCATCGGGTTTGTCGCGTTCTCGGGCTTCTTCCGCAAGCATCTCGACGTATGCGTCATAGCGATCCACCTGAGCTCGGACGCGCAGGATGCATTCCCGCTCCTGCGCCATCCAGATGAGCTTATACGAGTCAGTGCACCGTCAGCAGCAATAAGGCGGATACTTCTGATCGAGATACTAACCTCGTCCGTGACAGTGCTCGGGCGCTTGCTTGACCTTCGGTAGTCCCTTTTGATCTGGGGATGAAGTCGCTCACCCAGTCCCGTTTCGTAGTTGTCTATTGGGCCTTTTCGTCGGATGATATCTGTCAGATGGACGAGTGCGTGGTGCTTTGGCCATTCGAACTTGATGCCGAGCCCTTCTTCTCGGATTTTCTGATAAAGGTAGTCAGCGAGCTAGAGTGGCTTCGTTATCGATGTTACTCACCTGCGTCGCGTGCGCGTATCTCCCGACTGCGTCGTCAAGCCACTCTAGTGTCTCTTCTGTGTGTACCGTGAAGGAAGCGCAGAGCATATGTATGACGGCGAGTGCTCGGAGCGCGCGTAGGATAGCAGTCTCGTGCGCGGGCAAGAGCCCCACGAGAAAGGGAATTATTCGCTGCAATTCGGGACGTAAGTCGCACCGAATACTTCCCGAGAACGGGCGAGAAAACTAGCCACGCACGCGTAAGACTTGGCCCTGCTCGTTGCCGGTTATATACTTGAGCTCCGTGATTCCATTACGAAAGTGGTGGACATTGGGATACCGCGAGCATCCCTTGAAGCTAGGAGAGAAGTACCTTATCAGCAACGTACACCACAGGGAGTGGAACATTATGACGAGGCATACCTCTCATCTAGCAGGTCAAGCGACTGGTTCGGGAGGACATCGAGTAGCCACGGCCACCAGTGCCGCCCCCACTCCCCTTGCTCAATCTGATGCAAGGGATCGGCAATGAACATGTCGAAGACGCTGATATACTGTCCGAACAGTTCGATGAGGGTACTCTAGGCGCGCTAAATGTCAATACCAGCGAGACTCGGATGACGAGGGTAGAAATACCTTGACTGGGCGCAAGGACTGGCGGTTGAGGATATCCTTCTTATCTTGCTGTGTCGTCGCCGCATCTGCTTCCTCAAGAAGTGCCAGTGTCGCGTCAATCGTCCGCTTTTCATGGCGCAAGTTCAAGTTCCAGAGCAGATCACGCGGGACGAGGCACATTGGACAGGTATAGCGACTTCTAGGTCCCTTGATACCGGCAGCGCGACACCTATATATCTCGTCTTGTCAGTCTGTGCTCCCTTGTAAAGCGTAGTCTCTTACATCTCCTCATAGTCACACGAGACGATGATGCAAATAACGTGACCTTTGGCCACCCCATGCGCGACCGCAACATTCACGTACGTGCCAAACTCAATCGCGGTCGATAAGCCTCCGAAAACGGCAGCAAGAGACTGTTGATACACGCCAGCACGATGGAGAGCAAGCTGAGATGACGTATCAGTGGGCTTTCCCTCGACCTTGAGCTATCTCAGCAGCGAAACAACTGGGGGGTGTTGAAAGCTTACTATTGGAAGGAGCCCGACGAGGGACGCTCCCCCTAAGCCGCCCGTGTCGTTTCGGTCCGCTTTTGGGACATTACTTAGCCACAAATGCATCGGCCAGTACTTGACATTCCCGTTGGGCGTGACATGTGTAGCGTCGACATAGACTTGAAGGCAGATCGCAAACGCGCCGGGTTCAAGCTCACCCTGTCAGTGATATCAGCATGGAGTCAGATTTCCGCTTCACCTGGCGCACCTGCAGTGCATACCAGTCATCCCCCGACGAGACCTCATCCCACATCCGCATTATCCCCCCACCAGCGCGCGCCACGAACCGTTGTTGTGGGTAGAGGTGTAGGCGATCCCGTAGTGTATCATCTTCGAGAATTTGATGGATGATAGGGAGGATGGGCTTTCGATAAACACTGTACGTCCTAGCCGCTTCGGAATCTCGCGGGTACTCGACAGTGATGTCCACCTTGGTGAACTATAGAAGCATTTCGAGTCAGAGGGGCAGATAGGCAGCATCGAGCGTGAGCTCACCTGCGCATAGCCCTCGTGCGCCGAAAGATCACGTAGGATGGCGTGCAGCTCGTGGGATGTCCGCATTGTCACGTTGCTTTTCCCATCGGAAGCGCGATGATTCAGTGCGAGCTGTTGGTCGACATACGAATTTGTACATCCATAGCGAATGAAAAGTTCGGCTTGCTCGAAGTTCTCACGAGTACCGAAGGCGCACCACGGAGGTGCCTCGTTTTCAAACGAGTGTGGCAAGATGGGGGGAATCGGAGGTTCATCGTCTGGGTAATACTTTACATTCCGGAGCAGCGAGCCAGGATGGTTCTTGATATATAGCTGCCCATCGTCTAGACGTGCTGGTAGTTCTTCGTTGTCGGTAGATGAATCCGAATCGCCTGACATGGAAGAATCTGACATATCTACAAGAAACTGTGAGTGTCGGGAGCACAACAGTGATGACCACGAGTACATACCGTCTGACTCGGACTCAGAATCAACAATTTCCATGGACTGTTCTCGACCTCGCTGGCGCTTGTCGCGGTGCAGATGTGATTCGGGAGACGTAGATGTAAATGAAGACGGGCGCTTAGGTGCATCCGAAAGAACGGGGAAGACCGATGGTCCCGGGATGCTAGGGGTAGTGGTGATCGCGAGTGTTCTGTTGTGGGCGGCGAGCCCGCTGAAGCCAGGCGAGGGTGTCTGAGATGACAAGGGCTCTTCTCGAGCCGGACAGCGCCTCCGGTGATTCCCCGCACCGTTGCGCGAGATCTGAAACCAACCATGGCAGTCAGGGCACTCCCAGCAGTCAGCTGGCTTCGGTTGGCCATCCCGGCGCAGTCGCGCAAGTCGCTCTCGACGCTGGCGGCTTTCACGCTGGCTTCTACTTCGATGGCTCATGGATTATGCAATTGAAAAGCTGAGAGTTAAGTCTTCAGGTCTGTCAGCGGACACGAGCAAGCCAATGGTCATCGAGGAAGAAGGAAAAGAGCAATCAGCATTGACGGCCTTGCACCTCATGGCGTGCACGTGAGCTCAACCCACGGTAGGTGACAGAATGTCACGACCGTGACGCGCGCCACCGATACTTGTGTAGTCGTCCAATTTCGCAAAGCTTCCGGATGAGCGCAAATGATACTTATTTAGAGGTACTAAAGCACGATGCACACTGTATGCAATGGCGAATACCCTGCTCGCAAGTAATATAGCAGTACACCACGCCGAACAATGGAAGTCCGCACTGCGCGCAAACTACGCATCGCCACCCGCTTGAGGGCCCGTGAGTTGGGACACCTGCAGCTGCGCAGCGCGGTGTTCGCGCTCCTCTGCTGCTGCCGCTTCCCTCTGCCGCTCCTCTTCCTCCGCTTCAGCGTCGAGTCCACGCATCCAATTGTCCTCTTCTATAGCAACAGGATCCCGGCGTTGAACATCGTGATCATCTGGAAAGATATCGCGGTTGAAGAGAAGGAGGAGTGCGTCAGTACGCCGCTTGCTCGCACCCGAACGTTGATGAGCAGAGTTGAGTTTGCGGACTTGTGCTTGATAGAAGTTATTGAACTTGAAGTCCTTACTCCCCTTCGCGGTCAGCTCGGGCTGGCAGCTCAAAACGAAATACGCCTGCGGCCTCGTCAGTAGAGGGAGGAGGTGTATGCTGCAGCAAGGGACGCACAATGGTTGCAGCAAAGGCGATCATGGGGAAGGTGACCTCCTTGATACCGAGTAAGTCGGCGTACGGCGTGCGTGCCTTCTTCGCAGCCTCGCCGGACGCAACCGCTGCTTTCCCTCGCAGAATAACGCGAAGAATCTGTACCAAAAGTGAGAAATCAATGCGGCAGATGCATAGACCGACGAACGTACCCGTAAAATGCAGGCGTGCCGCATGTAACCTTCCAGTCGGTCCGTTATTGTCTTGGGCTCTCGATCGTACAGAAAGCGGTTGTCCTTCAGTAGCGTCTGCACCATGGGCAGAAGGGCGCGCTTCTCCTTGTTCTTGAACTGGAGGGTGGGGAAGTCGGTGGAGGAGACATCAAAGATGTCATGAGCGATGGATTGGACGACCTCGACGGCTTGAGATCGCATTTGCCGTTGTCCGATGCGGATCTGTGGAACACGTCAGAGTCTACAGTGCAAGTAAGAGGTTAAGGCGCACCTTGGCAACAACAGCTGACTGCTTTAACGCTGGGCGAACATGACTGGGCACGCAGCTGACAATAGTCGCAGCCGCCGTCTTGATTTCCTCGTCTACTTCCTCCTCGATCTCGTCGTCTGCTTCGCCATCGGATACAGGTTCCTTCGACGCCCCGGGAAGGTAGGCGAGTGCGCGGCGTGGAGTCCACATCATGTACTTGAGGGTGACGAGCTTGCCCGCGTGCAGTGCCGCCTCCTCGTTGCCTTTGTCCGAGCGGGCCTTCTTAGACGGCGGTTCGAGATCCTCGCCATCGGGATGACCTGGGTTCTGTTCGGCGAGCTGATGGCGGGCTTCTTGAAGTTCAGCTGCAATGTTCTTCAGCTCACCGAGGATGCGCGCATTCTCTTGTCGTAGGCTCGCGTTGTCCTTGAGTGATGCCTGCAATGCCTGCATCTGCGTGAGCAAGCGCGCAGAACAACACAGACTGACGTACATACTTCAGCCTGGCGCTTCCGCTTTTGGCGCCTTTCACGCTTCTTCCTCTTCTCCGCTTCGAGCTCCTCTGGCGTGCGCGTCTCTGCGGTGGTATCAGGTTCGTCGGCCATGGTGGAGGAATACAAGGAATGTGTGGGCATAGTCGCACGATGGAGCTCACCGCGCAAGGGCTCGAGGCTGGCTCGAGACGCGTCGGTGGTTGCGATGCAGGCATTGTGGCGCGACAGCGCAGCGGGTGACCCTCCATTGTGTTCTAGTCCCCTTGTGGCTGTCCTCTGTGTCGTGCTGGCTGTGATAAGGCAAAATCGTCAGCTCAGAGTTGACTTCAACCATCATGGCGAGCGACTTTCCTTTACCCAGCGCCGTAAGCCGGATGTTGCTCCGCAAGACCTTCGTGCATGCTCAAAGCTCTTCCCCAAGTACGGGCCCCGTCCAGAAATGGTTTGGCATAACCGGCTGTACGAAGCCAGGTCGGAGTGTTGGCCGCTCACCCCGGCAGAGGGGGAGAAGCGTCCTCGAGTCGCGTGAGTTCTCAGTTCAACCCGCTGTTTAATAGCAGCTCACAATCGATAGCCTCTGTGTCCAAATCTTCACTAGTGGTGGCCCCTACGGTACGGATATATATCCGTCGTCGACTCTCCTCCACCGTGAAGGACTTGAGGCCTTCGAGGAGACACTCTCGTATTGGTTGAAGCCAGAGGTGCGTTCAGCCAGTAATGGGACCATCCCTACGACCAATCAGGCATCTAGGTTCGTGACGCGTATACGGCGGATAATGCGAAGGTCGATGCTGCCTTCGTCACCACCTTCTTCCCGAAGGATTTATTTGTGCATGACCTGTACCGGGACTACACGCAAAAGCCGGTGCCTTACGACAGCATCGATGTACGCCTGTACGACCGTGAGTCTGACGACTTTGCACTCCTGGAGGCTATGTCCACGTACCACTACCGGGAGGTGGTGCGCGAGAGCACACTCGAATCTCCGCCGATGTCAGTGCGCGACATACCCACGACGATGCTGAACTTGGACACCGATCGCGCCACCGTCGAAGCTTTTGGGATCGGCAAGAAGTTGGTTGAAATTGTACAGAGCGCTCTCGTCCGTCTTGTCTTCCGCGACTACGGCGGGGCGGGGCGAGCGATGGACCATCTCATTGGTTGCGCGAGGGCGCTTCGTTACCTTATCTCCGCGCGCGAGAGAGCTGCCGAGCGGGGCCAAGAGTTGTCTGCCTACGACCTAGTCTAGACTTTGAATGGAATTCTATGGGACTTGTACAGACATCGTCGGAGAGAATACGAAAGGTGAGGATGGCTGGTGAAGAGCGCGACGAATTCGTGGCGTCGTTTCGGCGGATGCCGTGGGAGGGTTTATTTGTAAGCGATCTGAGCGGAGTCGTACGTTGTGTCCTGCCTTCATGTACGTTCAAGCTCTTAGGCTCAGGTAGGCGGTGCTGATTCCTTCCTCGAGCGGCGGGCCTCGCAACTTGTGCGCGCGCTGAGTCATGGCGAGAAGTACCTGCGGCGCACTATGGAGCACTCCCTCGACGCCCTCCTCTCGGATGCCTCTACGAGGCTCCGTTTTTTGACGTCAAGACTGTACTGTACGTCTACCTGCACCTCGCTTGGAACAGTACTAACACGCGACGCAAGGCCGTCAAGCTCTCACCTCCGTCCTACCGCTGGTAAGTGAGCGATGATTGTCACGTCTGCGATCCTGTACTGACCCCATCCCAAGACTCTTCGAAAGGGATCATGCCCGACGGCTCACTTCCACCGCCTCGTGCATTTGGCACCACTGGTGAGTGTCGTAACCATGCTGACCCCTCGCACGATACTGACGTGCTTCATACAGAACTTCGAGCGAGAAGGGCTCGAAGAGGGAGACGGAGGCGCGTTGATTGGCCGGCGCGGAAGGTAACGACGACGGGAGCGATGAAATCCCAGTGGAAGGACAACCTAGCGCGTGTAAGGGACTTCGAGGCAAGCACACCACTTCTCATCCGGGTGATCCCTTCATTGACTATCTATTACAGGCTTGTCATACATGGCCCCATGCCGCACGCCACCATCCCTGCTCCTGGTCCACAAGACCTCGTCCCCGTCGTATACAGACAGCACGGCAGCTGTTCAAGATTGCTTAGAGGCACGCGGTGCTCGTCGTCGACGCAGGCATCCTTTCGTCCATTAGAACTACTTCTCGTGGTCTTCGAGTACGTCATGGTCTCTATATAGTACTGCAATACATTGTTTTCATGTTCTGTGCGTTTCTGGTGCTAAACAATGTGGATTCTGGTGTGCCCCGGGGACCTGGCACACCGCTAGTGAGGTAAGTCATAGGATTCTGGTTTCGCTATAGCAAGCATTAAGAGTTTTAGACGTCCATTTGGGCTAAATTACGTGCCTCTGCATAGTATAGCAGATCACGAGATGCGGCAGGTGAGGCTACGGTAAGCTCGAGCAGAGGCGGGAAGTGCTCTCCCCCGCCGCAGGACCTTGTAGTCGTCACTACAAGATCTCGTAAGAAGCAGCGCCGTCGAATGAAACACAACATGAGAGGGCCCGCCACATGTTGTCGCGGGGCATAGCAACGCTGGGCGAAGTTATAGCACATCATTGCAAGCGAAACCTGTTGTAGTCATACGGACAGCAGCCCATAAGATGCAGATAATATTTTTGCAGGAATCAGCATTATAGCACATTTTAGCGAGCTATAACACGGGGTGCCGCTTTTCCGATGTCACCCTCGTCAATTCCGTTCATCACCCTCGTCAACCTGTATCCTCCATCCCTCTCGCCCCTTATACTGTTCCCGCTCGTTTCGGCTTCGATCTTTCTTCGCCAGCTCGCAACTTACACCCCGCAGAGCACGAAGAATACACCATCAAGACCGCTGAGGAGCTTGCGAACCCGTTCGCGGGCGTCGAGGTTATCAAGCCGCACCCCAAGGTGCCGCTCTCGCTCTACGTCGGCGTGGCGGGCATGCCGGGGAAGACGGCGCACAACGCGTGGCGCACGTTTGCGAAGGCGAAGAAGGTGCGTTCGACGCTCTCACCTAAATCGCGGACTCGCTCCCTATAATCCGCGCCTTGCTAACAAATACTCACTCTTCCCCCTAGGGCGAAACCGCCTTCGTCACCTCCGGCGGCGGCCCTGTCGGCTCCATGGTCATCCAGCTTGCCAAGCAGGACGGGCTCAAGGTCATCGCATCTGCGGGCAGCGACGAGAAGGTAGCCTTCATGAAGGAGTGCGGCGCGGATGTGGCGTTTAACTACAAGACGACATCGACGAAGGAGGTGCTGGACAAGGAGGGGCCGATCAACGTCTACTGGGACAATGTCGGTGGCGAGACGCTGGACCTCGCACTGGGCGCGGCGGCCAACTTTGCGCGCTTCATCGAGTGTGGGATGATTTCGGGCTACAACTCGAAGGAGGGGGTGGTGTTTAAGGTGCGCTCCGGTCTCCTACGTTTTCGATTCTCGTATGCTCATGGTCTCTCAGAACATGGTCAACATCGTCGCCAAGCGCCTCAGTGTCAATGGCTTCATCCAGTGGGAGATCGAGGCGCCGTGGAAGGAGGACTTTGAGAAGACGGTGATCCCGCGCCTCGCGGACGGCACCTTCAAGTACAGCGAGGATATCTCGCACGGCCTGGAGCACTCGGGGCAGGCGATTTTGGACGTGCAGAAGGGGGTGAACAAGGGGAAGAAGATTGTGTTGGTGGCGGAGGAGTAGATGGTCGATCAGTGTGCGTAAAGGGGAGTAAAGGTCATAAAGGCCTGTTGTAACACTAGCTTATAATCCACGCGAGGGCATGCACATAGCTTGTCTTTCAACCGCACACCTGCTGGACTTGAGCGCACTGATGAACGTGAACGTCTGCTGAATATGCGCGGCCCGGAACCACCGTCAATGCCCCAACTTCGCCGGCGCGTCCATTACCGGTGAACTCACGTGCTATTGGTGTCCTGCTCTCTACCACCACCAGGCCTCCTCTCCAAGCTTCAGATACCTCTTGCCGCGCCTTCTCGTCGCGTACTTCGCTGCAGAACCTGCGAAGAGCCAGCCGGCTACAATCACCGCTCATAACCGACGGCCCGGACCGATCCCCGCACCTCCTTCCCCCGCCCGTCATTCCTAGTGGAGTCTGCTAGCGACCGAACCTCTCTACAAACCACGACGAGCAGCCCTTGACTTTCTATCTCGTACTGATCCTATTTTGCTTTCTCATCTACTTCAATCCCTTTTTGCTATTACACTTCTTTCCTTCTTAGCTTCTCCACGTCTTCCCCAATCACCTTCAACAAAATGTCCAAGTCCTCAGCGGTTCGCGTCAGTGACGCCGTGCTTGGTGCTTTTGCGCATGTGCCCCCCTCTCCTACGGTCGATCACCTGGTTAGGCTGCTGAGCACCTGGGGTGGTAGCGAGTGAGTGGTTGGAATGTGGTTCATGATGCAGGGGAACTGACGCGCCGAACAGCAAGTTCTTTGCAGTCAGTAGTCAGAGCCTTCCGTGTCTGACAGCTGACGAACCACGCACCTAATGCAGCTCGTCCAATACACCCTCAAGCTCCTCGTTCCCCTCCTCCACTTGCGCGCGCGGCTGCAGCACCGCGCCGGGATGAGCAAATCGAACACGAGCGGAGTCGCAGTGCGCGCAGGAAAGCTCGCCAGCACGATCGGCGACGCGCGCCGGCTGTGGTCGTTCTGGGGTGCGTGGTCTCATCTCTACTATCTTCCTCACGCGTCCAAACCACTAACCACCCCACCTCAATCCAGGCATCCTTCCCATCTTCCAATGGCTCATCTCCCTCGAGCGCACGCCGCAGCCTACCAAGCGTCTTCACAACATCGAGCGCCTGCAGGGCTGGTCCATGCTCGGCTTCTTCCCCCTCGAGCAGCTCTCCTACCTCATCTCAAAAGACGTCGTTCCCGCCACCCTTCCCGCGCCCGCGTCCTTACTCCCCTTCGCCTCCACCTCCTCCAAGCTCGCCGACTCCAAACTCACCAAGCCCATCGAGGTCGACGTGAACCGCCTGGGCATGCTCTCGTGCCGCTTCTGGGCCGCGTACGTCCTGCTTCAGTTCGCGCACATGGAGGAGGATAGGAAGCTGCTCGTCATGAAGCACAAAGCGTACAAGCGCGCGGGGATGTCGGCGGCGCAGAAGCGGGAGCTGAGGGCCAGCTGGGACGCGCTGTTCAATCAGTTCGTGGCAAACCTGGGGTATTTGCCGATGACGATACACTAGTGAGTGCTTTCGTCTGCTTTGTGAATGAGGAGGATGCTGACGGTGTATTGTAGCTCGCTGGAGAAGGGTCTGTTCAAGAATGATGTGAGTTTTCGGGCGAAGGTATGCGCGAAGTCGGACTGACGCGTATATGCAGACTTGGGTCACTTTCTTCGGCTGGGTGGCCGCGGTTGCGCAGTTCTACTCGGCTTGGAAAGCTACCGCGCTTCCGTCTGCGAAGGATGCGTCTCTTCCTGAGGAAGCACCGATGGATCCCGAGCCTCTAGCTACTGCAGATGTGCCCACGGAGAAGGCGTGATAGTTGGTGGCTTCGTCTGTATTGATCTACACTCGTTCATACTGTAAATTATTGAGATGCTTCCTTCTTGTCTCTTCTACTGGCGCAGCAGCTTCCGTTCAGCATCTGGACCATCTCTGAGGGATGCAGAAGATTGCTCTCAGGCATGAGCGGCGCGTCTGACGCCACAAAACATTTACCTCCGTCGCCTCATCATCGTACCCCGCGATCTCAGCAGCACTCTGCGCATATCCCTGACGATCGCAACGCTTTTGCCCTGCTACCATGTCGCTGGACATCCGGCCGCGCTCCTGCATTCTGGGGTGTACAGCACGCCGATAATGAACCTAAAGAAGACGTTCACGAACACATGGACGCCTTGAGGCTCGCCAAAACCGGTACCGGGGTCGACACGCACCTTGACCTCTTCTATATCCGTTGCCACCTTCCCCTCTATCTGCTGAATGTCTGCGACTGCTACGATCACAGCTACAGCGACTCCGCTCGGCATAGACTCATACCAGACGCTGGTCGTCGAGCCATGCAAGGCCTCTGAGGAAGAGTTAACGAGGACACGGGCCGAGCGATCCAACACGGTGACGACAGAACCGAAGACGCTTACGGTCGAGCCAAGCGCTGGGCAGCATATACTCCGCGACGCAGAATGGCCGACATCGGTCAAGCCCGAGGACATGCGTGTTACCTTCATCCCCCCATTGTTCCTCCAGCGGCGCGTCTGGATCCTCGACATCCTTCGCAATGAGAAAGTTACCGAGGTGCGGCTTCAGACATGATATGCTGTATTCCCATCTAATCTCATCTCGCTTCCCTCCCAGGTCCTTGACGTCGGCTGCGGCGAAGGCTCCCTCCTCTCCACCCTCTGTCAGCCTGCACCCTGGCTCGATCCCCCCGATGCGCAAACGCGCGCTCAGCTTGACATCGACCCCGCACTCGAGGCGATCGACGTCGGCTGCGACGAGATCTCCAACCTGCACATCCGCAAGGTCACCGGCCTCGATCTGTTCACGTCCACGCAAGATCTCGACTTCGCGAAGCTGAGCATCGCGCCGCCGCGCCAGGAAGAAGACCCGTACGGTTACAATACGTGCGCCCGGTATGAGAATATGGAGGCGCGACTGTATCGAGGGGGCTTGGAGGTGGTGAACGATGAGTTTGTGAATGCGGAGTGCATTGTGGCGACAGAAGTGTACGTGAGCATCGCAGGTGTGATATTCTAAACTGACATATCTTGCAGCATCGAGCATCTCGACGTCTCCATCCTTCCCTTCTTCGCCCCGGTCCTGATGGGCGTCTACCACCCACGCCTCTTCCTCATTACTACACCCAACTACGCCTACAACGCACGCTTCTCGCCTCCTCCCGACCCGACCCGGCCTGAAGTGCGCCCCGGTGGCTACTCCGACCCCACAGGGCGCACAGATCGTGTCTTCCGACATGCGGATCACAAGTTCGAGTGGACAACGCCAGAGTTTGAGGCATATTGCACCGGGGTCGCGCAGGACTGGGGCTACGAAGTTGCAGAGATGAGCGCGGTCGGCCGGGCGATGGAGGAGGACCCATGGGGTCGGGAGAACGAGTTGGGCTCCGCGAGCTTCGTCTGCTGCTTCCGCCGGAAAGACCTGCCAGCAGACGAGCGCCAAGAGCTCGCTGACAAGGCGCGCCGGATGGTCGACGAACTCGCTTCCAAGCAAGTCTCGATCGGCACCAAGCACGAGTTGCTAGACGATGTCATCCACCAGGCAGACGACGCAGCTCGCTGCCCAGCCTCGCTCGACGCTATCGCGGACAGAGTAACGACCGCGATGCGCGACATGGGCACGCGCTACGTGCGGCTTGAAGAGCTCTGGTTCAACCGGGCGATCAGTCGCATCTGCGGCGGCTGGCTCGAGATGCTCGTCTGGGCCGTAGAGCGCTCGCCCGACCTCGAGCTGCGCCGGCGCGAGATCAACACGCACGACGCGGACGAGGTCGGCCGGTCGTACTGGCACATCGAGTTCACCGGCCTCTTCTCAGAGCCGCCGACGCCGGTGTGGGATGGCGGGTTCGGGGAGGGGGAGGAAGGGGACGACGAGGACGAGGACAGAAGCGTGGATCTGATTCCTCCGGACTGGGAGCCGAGCGAGAGCGAGGCGTGGTCGAGCAGCACGGAGGGGGTGGAGGGCGACGTGTCGGAGGCGGGGCCGTCGAACTTCGTGCGCGGTCCCGGGACGAGGAAGCGGGGCTTCATCGTCGGGTCCGAGCACAGCGGGAGTGGGTGGAGTAGCGAGGATGTGGAACATAGCCCTACGAAGGGGTGGGGAGAGCATGGTGGGTGGGACGTGCATGGTGATGGGCATGGAAGGCATGATGATGCGGATGGGGAGGACGACGAGGGCGAGGACTGGGGCGACTCGGAGGACAATAGCGGATGGGGTGGAGGGTGGGGTTGGGATGTGGAACCGGAGGGGAAGGGGAAGGCGCGTGCGTATCCTGTAGGACATCTTCCGTTGGACAGCAGCGCTAGCTCGGCCGCGGGGTGGGATGGGGATCAGAGCGATGGGTCGGATACGAGTTGAGTGTTCTGCCTTTCTAGGATCCCTCTACCTTGAAATGTTGTTTGTATGTACCTCGTTGTTGCTATTGGTTGTCTTGGAATACTAGTGCATACAGTTCTCTCTAAGGATGTTTGCTTACTGAGCGTCGTTGGCAAGAGTTGTATGACAAGCGACTTCTGAACTGGCCTCTAATGCGCATCTGCAGCGCGCGATTCTGACGCAGACGCGCACCATGCGGATAACGTGGTTGCTCATAGGGACAGAGGAGTATGCAATATTACAAGAACATCCCTGAAGACCTGCCCATCGAAAATACATACGCGTATTGAACACAAGTGAATCCGCAGCCTGTGCAACAAATACTATGCGAATGTCCCCACCCAACAACTGGCATCAAATCCATCACGCCTCAATCACCTACTGCAGCGTCGAGTTCTTGCGGTTACGCGGCGACGTCAGCCCAGACGATTCCGGGTCGGACAGAGAAGTGCGTCTGAAGGCTCCCGCCGACGAAGTCCTTTGTCGCTTCGCCGCGCGCCCCGCTTCCTGCTCGTTCGTTTCGTGTGCCACAACCGTCTCCTCCCAGCTGTTCAATCTCATGCCCGCGTCTTCGCCCGCAGGGAGCGGTGCCAAACGGGAGGGAGACCGTAAGTCAGACGCCTCCGCGTTCTCCCCTTCGTCATGCTCCTCCGTGAACTCCTTGTGCGCCCCTTCCTCCGCCCCTTCCTCCTCCTCCTCCTCCTCCTCCTCCTCCTCCTCCTCCTCCTCGACGTCTTTCTCGTCTTCCCTCGTCACCGCCGAGCGCTCAAGGATGGTGTTGCTATGCGAGGTACCCCCGCCGTAGTTTTGATGGAGGCCCAACTCGATAGACGCGCTGGGGTTGCCCCGCTCCATCTCCGCCCGTCGCATCGCCGCCTCAGCCCATTTCAATTCGGCCTGAAGGTCAGCCCGCTTGTCCGCTTCCTCTGCCAGAGCTTTCCTGTAAACCGCAGTGACGTGGAAGGGGTCTCGCGTGTGGTCCGGGTCGTGAGGCGATCGTTGTCCATGAAGACGCTCTGCTCAAGTATTCGCCTCCAAATCTCATCAAGCTTGTCGTAATCGCGCAGATCTGTAGGAGCCGGTGGGTCAAGGAGCGCGTCCGGTCTGTACTTCTTGAGCGCGGTCAGATAACGAAGCCAGTCGGCGATCAGCTGCTTGTAGGAGTCGATCCAGAAAGCCAGTCCCGGGGAGACGGAACTCGAGGCAATATTGTCCTAGTACAAAATCTCCAAGAAATGCTGCTTTCATACCGCCGCCCGTGGGGATGCCGTCCACGAAACTGTAAGCCAGAAACACGTCGTCCACGATAGCGAGAGCGTTCGCTCTTGGGATGGGCATATACAACGTGATCATGTATACGCCCACCCAGAACAGGGCCTCCAGGTCGTCCTGGACAGTATGCAGGTGAGGGTGCATGTCCTGGATTTTTACGGACATGAACATCCACGTTCCCTGCATGTGGCTCAGTCTCACTGCGAATGTCGTGACGAGGAACTGCTTACCGTGCGTTCGGGTTGGCCAGAGCTGTTCGGTATCTGCGCCAGAGAGTTGATGTTCGGATCCTTCTCGCATGCCTCTACTCTAGGCATCGGTGCGCATAGATCCCAGTCCGTCAAGATACCCCTCTTTGATTTAGGATCGTAGAGGATGTTCCAGGCGCTGAAGTCTCGGTGGAGCTTCCGGCACCTGGATACGGCCATGCGATGACCTAGCAAGTGGTCAGATAAGTGACAGAAGGACAATAGGAGTGGCGTACAGGTGAACACATCGTGCATTATCTGAAGCAGATGCTTCGACGACTCGAACTCCCATAGAGGTCGCCCAAATGTTTCCGCCAGGCGGTGGTGTATGCGCGGATGGTGCGGCTTACGCTGCCCCCTGTTCCACGACGCGTTGACGAACTCGTGTGTTCGAGTCTGCTGGGTCGGCCCAGGGAGATCGCCGCCGCAGAAGAGCGTGGGCGCGAACTCTACTTTCGCCTCGTTCAGCTGATCAATGACCACCGACTCTGGTATGAGCTTGTTGCTCGACCGCCACGAGTCCTTGATCCAGACGATCTTCTTCTCTTCCGAATCCCAGGCTGGATAGCCGCGGGTCGCGCGCGCGCGTAGCCCGCGCTGTTGAACAGTTGGTGCCCAGATGTAGTACCAGCGGAACCCCATCGCCGGTTCGCCATGCTTGACAGGCACACCCATCTTGCGAATGGGCTCGGCGATCTGAGTCTCGTCGGGGATATAGGACTTGAGAGCATCTCTGGCGACAGCCTCCTCTTGCGCATCATCCGACTCCCGAACAGACGTGTCAAAGCCCTGCTCCTCGCGGCTGAGGTGATCGAGGCGGAAGAAGAAGTCGTTCAGGCGGTTCGGGTACAACTTTCCAGTCCATTGTGTGCAATCTGTCACGATGAGACCATCGTGATCGGCTCGGATGAGGCGGAAGTAGTGCTTTGTGAAGAAGAGGAAGAATGAGAAGCAGCGAGGTTGGCGTGTGTGGATCTCCTCAACGTATCGCAGGACCTGATCTATCGACTCGCTGTTATTCGTCGTGACGCGAGATTCGGGGTTTGCCATGTCGCAGAAGATGTCCTTCTCACGCTTCTCCTCAGCGCCGAGTGCGTCTTTGCGAGACTGAGCGACTTTGTCGCCGTTATGGATGCCTTCCAAGGTGACCCCTATATATGTACCGTCGCCTACGCCACAGGCCATCGCGTCGGGCTTCAGCTTTTCGCCAGATTTCGCGAGTTGGTCGGGGTTGTTGCTGGAGTCCAGGAGGTGGTGCTTGCGTATCAAGGACTTCGCGCCGTCAAGCTGCAGTGGTGGTCAGTCCGATTACGAGCCATGCGCTAAGCAGACTTACCAAGATGGAATACAGGTCCGCTTCTTTGCAGTCCTCGTTGACACCGTAGGTGTATTCGGGGGTCTCTGGGGTGGATTTTCGTGGTACGAACTCGTGAAGGAAGTCGTCGATAGGCATAGGACCGACACAATAGCTATACAGATTCGCAGCCATGATGTTCTGTGTCTGGAGAGCACCAGGGTGTGCAGCTTTCTATGGTCCAACCTGCCGGGTACGCAGCTATATCGGAGGGCTGCGGTCGAGCAAGGTCTGGACGGTCAGACTGGGAGGGAAAACGCGAGGAGTTTCGGTGGAGGCAGCGGTGGCAGCAGCAGGACGGGTTAAGGGGCTTGAAGCTCGCGGCGCGGTGCTTATGCTCACCGTTATAAAAGATGTCTGTAGCCATAGACGTCTCCTATCAGTAAGAGGGCAGAAGTCGGGAGAACAGGAAGTACGGACTACTGGTGGTATGAGAAGAGCCTACATACCCTTTGTGGGTACCGAACTGTCAGAATCGGCGATCACCGAAATGAGTTACCACCACCCCGCATCCAGTCACCTCTGTCCTTCCCTCGACCCGTTCAAACCTGAAGTGCGCCCCCGGCGACAACGCCGATACTATCAATGGGCGCACAGATCGTATTGTTTTACACGCTGACCTCAGATCCTTAGGACGACGCCTGAATTAGAGGCGGACTGGGGTCACGCAGGATTCCGGCTACTATGAGGTAGCGGAGATGAGCGCAGTAGGCCGTGCAATGGACGATGATCCTTGGGGCCTATAGGACGATTTTTGTTAAGCTAGCTTCGTCTGTTGCTCTCGCGGGCAAAGCTTGCCAGCGCATGCGCGCCAGGCACTCGCAGACAAGGCGGGTCAAATATGCTAGTCGACGAACCCGGCTCAAACCGAATTCACATCGGCACGCAGCACGAACTGCTCATGTTGCAATTGTCTACCAGGCCGACGAGGCAGCCCAGCACACAGCTTCGCTTGCCGTCATCACGTACGCACTGACGATGCGCGACATGAACAGGCGTTGTGAAAGCCTGCAGGAGCTCTGGTTCAAGCGCGCGATCAGCCGAATATGCGGCGCCTGGATTGAGAATTGAGACGCTCGGCTGGGCCGTCGAACATCTCTCCGACCTCGAGCTGTGTCGGCGCGAAATCACGATGCACGATGCAAACGGGGCCGCTCGTACGAGGCTCGGAGGCCGCTCGTACTGGTACATCGAGTTCATTGACCTGACCTCGGAGCCGCCGACGCTGGTAAGGGATGGCGCGCTTGGAAGGGAGCGCGGGAAGGGGGGAAGGGGGAGGGGACGACGACGACGACATGGACGTTACAAAGCAGCAAGCCCGTGACTTCGGTCGCCCGTCCGCAGTCAGCCTCTATTGCGGCCAGCATCCATCCGTACTTTTGAATGAAGATCTTCAGGAACACTGCGGCTCTTCGCTCCCTTTGTCAAGACCAGCATGTCCAGCTCCACTGCTCCATGCACGCCGTGCGTCCGTCGACTCTCCCCCGCCTATCACTCGCGCGCGGCCTCGTAGCCTTCGCCCTCCCGTGCTCTCGCCTCGTGTGACACACGAGCGGGGTGCCTGCCTTTCATTCTGGTACGCTCTAAATTATCCCCTCACGCAACCGCGCATGAGTTCCTGGTCGTCACGAGAGGTGGCGGGCGCGTACTGCGAGTAGACTGGCCCGCTGAGCTGCAGAGGCCTGCATTTATTTTGGTCGCTTCTGCGCGAACCTTGGCTACGGGCGCGCGCAGCAGCTTTGCGGACATGCACTGCGATGGAATATCGTCGAACAAACGGGGCTGGGCGTAGGTCTGTCATTCACATGCGCCCTCGAGGGTCTGGAGGGACCAAGCAACGACGATGGTTGGTGTCGGTCACCCGACAATCCCACGAGGACGGACCCTTCGCGTATATAAGGCTTTCCTGCGTTGAAGGCTGACCATCGGACAGCTCACGACCTCATACCAGCTTTCAACATGCAGAGCTTCGCCATCCTCTCCGCGCTCGTCTCCGTCGCCACTGCGCGCACCTTCACCGTCACCAACAACTGCGCCTTCACCATTTGGCCGGGCTTGTTTACCGACCTCAACGCGGGCACCGTCGTCCCGGACCAGGCGACGGGATGGGAGCAGGCCGCCGGCGCGACCGTGACCTTCACCGTCCCCGACGGGTGGACGGCGGGCCGCATCTGGGGCCGTACGAACTGCGACTTCAGCACCAACCCCGGCCCGACGTCTTGCGAGACCGGTGGCTGCAATGGCGGCCTTGAGTGCGATCGTAGCTCTGGAACGGGTGTGCCACCCGCGTCGGTCGCGGAGTGGACGCTCAACGCGGCGAACGACCAGGACTGGTACGATGTCTCGCTTGTCGATGGTGAGCTCCTCGCTGCTTCACCTAGGCAATCACTCAATACGCTCCTCGCAGGCTTTAACCTTCCCATGGCCATCACCTTGTCGGCTTCCGACTGCCACACCGCGAGCTGCCCTGCCGACCTGAACCCCAACTGCCCGGCAGAGCTTCAGCAGCTTGGGGCCGACGGCTCTGTTGTTGGCTGCAAGTCCGCTTGCTACGCTAACCTCGATGGGAACCAGTACGTGCTTACCTCCCTTTTACCGCTGCCCCTGCTCTTCGAATACTGTCGCCGCCCCCTTCCACTCTTTTCCTTGAATCATACTGACACCCTATGTCAGGGCCGACTCCGCCAACTGCTGCAGCGGCTCGCACAACACGGCTGACACCTGCCCGCCCGACGGTGTTCAGTACTACGACTACTTCAAGGACTCTTGCGAGGACTCCTACGTCTATGCTTATGACGAGTCCTCTGGCACCGCTCTCTGGACTTGCCCGGATACCAACGCGGCTGGTGCGTCCATCTCTCGCATTATGTGCATGGGAAGCTCACCAGATGGCAGACTACACTCTCACCTTCTGTCCATGAGTATCACTATGTGGTTCGTAGGGTTTCAATGGAAAAGTGCTATTATGTTGTACGGCCGTTCACTCTGGTTGCGACAATATACCAAGGTTACTTCGACGTGACGATATGAGACTGAGTTAGGAAGTACAGCTGTCGGATGTCCGCGCGTACATCCAGACAGGCTGACGGCCATGCGAAGGTTGAAATATACTCTGGACCAGGAGCAAACCAGGAGCGGAATCGAACTGGTGATGTGTGCGGTCACCAATGTCGGAATATGCCGAGATCAAGATCAGGCGCCGTTCTTGTCCCCAACCGTCGTAGTCGTTCAGACCAGAAGAGATATCGCGCATTTCCAAAGTCTCGGTGTTTTCTGGTCGTGAACGATGATCCTGTGAGGGTTATTCACGCTCGCGGACGATGAGAGGCTTACAGGCTTTACTGCCCGCAGCCCAGACACCTGCGACGACTATCTGTGCTCGTGTCTCACGCCCCTCGAGCTCGTTCGCTACTCGCGGACCTGCAAAGATGCCTACAGGGCCGTGAAGTCCCACTTCCAAAGAGCGTACAATCTCAAGCGCACCCTGTCGCGCTTCATGTCCGCCGACGAAGTTGACCGCTTCCAGCTGCTGCAAAGCGAGACAGGGACAGTCATATCCGGATCTGTCGCCCTCCAGTTCATGGGGAGATATGAGTTTACCTCGTCTGACCTCGACATATACACGGAGCATCGCTACGCGAGGCGCATCGGCGACTTCCTGATGTCTCTTGGGTACCAGTATAAGCCGCGCCACACACAATCGCCCTCGTTCACCGTCGAAGTCGCGCGCGATGAGTTGATCCCTGGCGTCTTGGCTGGCTTCGCTGGTGCGGGAATCTATGGCTCGAATGCCATGTGCGGCGCATACAACTTTGTCAAGCCCAACTATCCGGACGATATGATCCAGCTCATCACAGCGCGCTTCGGGGTCATGGACCTCATTCTTGATTTCCATTGCAGTATGTCTTCACTAGTCTGGTTGTTATGATGCAGAGCTGATCTTCGTCTAGCTGCCGTCATGAACGTGATCACGCATCGGAACGCGTATGCGCTGTTCCCGTACGAGACTTATCATGCAAAGCGCGCGCTGGTCGCGCGCAAGACCCCTGCTCGTCGCGAAGAAGCAGCACTCGCTAAATATCAGACGCGCGGCTGGAAGATACGCAAATCTGTGTACGACGCAGAGGCCGACGACCCGAAAAGGGAGTTCGGGCAGGCCACTCGTCGCGTCGGCGACAAGATGACATGGGTCGTGCCGCTTAATCAACGAGGCGAGCACAGCGCGTTAGCCATCGACACCGTTGTGGGGAATTCGTGGACCTTGATGTACCACGATCATTCTTCCGATCTATATGGGCGCCCCACGCAAGGGTACGCGAAGATGATGCGGCACACTGTCCCGACTGGGCAGGAGCGTTGGCGGCAGATTTACACATTCGCGACGTCTGCGCACCATACGGTCTTCATGGCTTATTTGCGACACATTCAGCCTGATGAGTCGAAGTGCGTTCGACAGTCTTCCTTTCTTCCTGTGCTCATGGCTGCTACAGACAGAACGACGCCGACGTCGTGCGCGCAGTGGAGATGTCTTATGTGCGACTCATCAGGTCCGACAGCGAAGTCATGGATGACTATGGGACCATTGCACAGGTGCAGGCAGACTATGAGGAAAGGCTGTTTCGCAGCTACGCAGGCGAGGAGGTTACCAATGCGTCTGATAGTGATGATTCTTCCAACTGAGATTTGGGTATGGTATGATTGTACGGCACAGCTTGAATTAGACTGTATGATAAACTTGAGAGATACTGAATGTATAGCATGGACCATCTTACTCTTCAGATAACGGTAGCGTGAGGTAGCATACGCTCCCCATATTACTCTTTGGTTGCTAGACATTAGTAGCTGGATGTGTATACCCAGCGAAAGCGGAGGCGAAGAGAAAAGCAGATCAGCGTCGGTAACTTCGACCCACGTTGATACAAGTATGCTTCATCTTCCACTGTTTAGCTCCAAAGGTCCTGCCGAAGACAGAGAGTTGGTAAGGCGACCTTTAACCATCGCCGAGATACCGGCACACCTTTGTGAGGTCGAACACTACATTGCACATTGCTAGGCGATTCATACACCCAAGGTACACAGCGGCTAGCGAGAAGAGCTATCGAATAAGTACAGCCAAATTACACGACGTGCCTAGGAGGTAGATACAAACGAGATGAGATGCGGAAGTCCGAGTCGTCCCGTGAAGAAAGAGTGGTATATACGTGGTAGCTTGAGACCACCATAGAAGCGCGGGACGATAGATGGAAGGTACGTGGAAAAAAGGATGCGTGGTGCTACGTAGGGATTTAGTAGGGCACTCGACCGCCCCTTAGATCTTCGACAACAGTAAGCCAATCAACACGTAGACAATCGTCGCTGGCGGTGTGACGACGCAATACGACCAGAAGATCGTGCGGCTGATGAGGCGCTCGAAAGCATCGCCCGAGGCTGCCTGTGTGATCTGCGCGAGAGTAAGGGCGGGTGGGGAAGAGACCAACAGGACGTTGGCGACGACGAAGACAGGGCTAGAGGCAATTGTTAGCATGATAATTATGAATCGAGACAAGTTGCACGCTCACTCTTCGAAGACACTATGCCAGTCGTACTTCGCCGCGAGCGCCATCAGCGGCATGAGCACGAGCGGCGTGACGACCATACGAGACAAGACTGCAATGGCCACCGTCCTCGTCTCCCCGGGCGTCTTTGGCTCCGGCTCGCGGATGACAATGCTGCTACTCCTTCGCTCCTGAAGCTCCCCGCGCCACCACGCCGGGCGGAAGACATTCCTCACGCTCCTCGCCCATCCCTTGATACTGCTAGACTTGCTCGCGCTTTGCCCCTCCTGCGGCTCCTTGTAAAAGTACGCGCCGAGGACGACGAGGGTGAGAGGGATGGAGCAGTTGCCGGCCTGTGTGAGTGCGCCCTTGATGGGCTGCACGTGCGCCTCGAGCGTATGTTGAAGTGGTCGGACGCAGGCGACGATGACGCTGGCGAGCGCGGCCCAAAGCGGAACGGTCATGAACTCGTTAAACGCGGCCCACGCGCGGCGCAGGTAGCGCGGCAGGCGGTGGAAGAAGCCGTGCGAGTGGTGTTCGGTGCTGGCATGTTCGTGATGGTGATGGTGGGCGTGAGGCTCATCGGAGAAGGGCTTGGCGGGGTCGTGGTGCAGGGGGAGCGTGGTAGACGATCCTGCGGACGTGGCGGGGGCAGTGTCGTCCTCGAATTCGTCATCCGAGCTTGTAGGGGAGGACTGAAGTGGCGAGCCGGAGGCAACTGGAGTGCGCACGGAGGGCAAGTCCGCGCTCGACTCATTTGGGGAGTTGGGGAAGGACTTGTAAAACGTCGTGCGCCGACGGACCGGCATCCCGGGCCGACCGACAACAGGCGGGGGCGCGCTCGTCATTCCGTTGCTTTCCAGCTGCGAGGAAAGGCGCTCGACAAGGAGCGGGGTGCGCTCGTCGGCCTCGCCATCCTCTAGTTGCGGGGCAACCTCATCATCGGCTTGGGAGAGAAGACGGACGCCGTAGGACCAGCGAAGGACCATGCCGAGGGTGGAGTAGAGGACGAGGTAGGTGAGGGCGCGGCCAACCATCGCGTTCTTATTGTCACCTTCGTACCACTTGAGGCCTGGTACAGTGACGACGAGGGATTGCATGAGGGCGATGGGGAGGGAGTTGGAGTTCATGAACATGGCGGAGGCCATGGAGAAGGCTCTGAGGGAAGATTAGTACGAAGGAGGGGAGACGATGGACGACAGGAATTGTTATTACGGTGAAGGAGGGAGCATTACACACCTTTGCGATCGCTTGAGGCGGAAAATGAGCCCCAGGACGTATGCAACGACCATCGAGACGACGGTGACGATCACAAAGAATATAGGGATGACCCATAGTTCACGAAGCTTGGCTGGAAATCCCGGTCAGCACTCGTCCTGCCATCTGACACGTCCTACGCACCTGGCGACAAGAAGAATGCGACCTTCGAGAACAGCAGCGCAGGGGTGAAGAGTGAGACGTTCAGCCGATTTAGTTGCTGTGATGAGGGGAAACAATGTTAGCCGCGCGCCTCATATCTAAGCGACGCGCACGCACCTTCTGCGTCTTCTTATCTAGCACACCCTTGCCAGCCAGCACATATCCGCAACAACATAGCAGGAAGACCTCGAGGATGGACTGCGCGACACAAACAGTGAGCCGATCACCCTACACCAACCCGAACGACGTCAACGCACGTTGAAGACAGTACCAAGCAGCGGCGCGATAGGATTGGCCGTCATCAATAGGGGAGAATGAGCAGTGAACGCTGAGGGGGGATAGACGCGCGGGCGAGATGAACGTCGGAGACAACGAGGAGAACAGCCCAGACGCTGTTCGGTGGCGCCAGGTATTTATTAGACTTTGCAACGTGCGCGCCGTTCCCAAGCCCGCTCCCCATCTGCTCATATATACGTCACGGTCGCGGCCCTAAGGTCTGCGGCACCTCGGATCCCTTTCGACACGCCCCCTCGACGGCTGGCAGCTCGTCGGGCGCGGCGCGAAGTTCAACGCGGACGACGGGGGTTGAACGGGGCGGACGAGCTCAAGCGCGCTTTTGGTGCGCACGTGCGATGGTGTACTATCGCTTGGCGCTCAGGTGGGCATTGAGTGCGGCGCGGTCATCGCGTTAGGCGTCGTGTGTTGAGCGGCGTCAAGGCTGCGTTGAGAGGCACCAAGAGTGCCTAAATCGACCACGAGAGCCTTTAAATGGCTAATGACGAAGGAGGGATCGTGTATAAAGGGCGAAGGCACACAAGCGCCTGCTTGGCATCGCAGTGAACAACAGCCGCACTGGACCGACCCCATCGCTGTCAGATATGGGGGACGGGGTGGAGGCCAGCGGAGGTCTGCTGGCGGACGATGAGGAGGACGGGTCTGATTCAGGCAGTCCGCCGCTCCCGTCTTCAGGCACTTCGGATCCTTCGCCCGCACCTGACAACTAGAGGAATGTGGGGCTCACCGAACGCGTCGCAGTAGTACAGGGATCGACGACGATGTGCCCAGGAGAAGAAGAATAACATCTCATTGCTTTTGATACGGCCATAGGTCCAGTCAGTCCGACAATAAATACGGTTCCCCAGGTTCATTGGATCAGGATCATCCACGCCAGGATGAAGTAGAAGAGTCTGAAAGGCGAAGTAAGTAGGGGTGTCACAGAGTATGAGTCGGACAAGTGCATGAAGCGCCCGCACCACTGGACAAACAAAAGGGACAAACAGATGGACGAGCAAACAACAGCAAGCGGCCAAATAAACAGACCAATTAGACACTCACAACAACGGGTACACGGCCAACAGTATCCTCTGTGGCTCGATTTTCGTCCCGTCCAAGAAGTTTACGGAAGCCCATATGCACCACGCCCATGCAAGGATGGCAAGCGGGGCGCGCACGTAGATAACGTGGACGAAGCAGGAAATGAGGGCGGCGAGGTTGAGAGGTGCGATGCAATATCCGAGGGTGCAGAGGCCTTGGAAGAAGGAGCTGAGAGGAACGTCAGTGTGAGAAAGGAGGTTTAAGTATGACGGAGGGGGCTGAGTATTTGCTTACACTCGACCGCCGAGAAGCTGTGGAAGTACGATTAGTGCTAGTAAAGGTTATAGAAGGATGCGCGCGCACCTTGGCTTGTATTGTTACGACTAGAGAGCCGAGGGAGCAGATGACAACGACGCCGGTAAAGACACCGATGGACTGATTCGGGGGAGCCTAAACGAGCTCATTAGGGAGGGCGCGTATGACGGTGCATCGGAGGACGTACATTTATGCTGAGCATAATACCAAGAGCGAGGCAGAGGATGAGTGGGCCCCAAAGATCCCAGTCCCTGAGAGATGGGGTTAGAAGACTCAGTAGGCAGCAGCATGTATATACACTCACTTGAGGACCTCGCGGCCCGTGGATTTGCGCGGATACAGGACATGTATAAGTTTGTTGTAGATGGACAGCGCGTCGCGCGCCTGGCCGCGTATCAGTAAAGCTCGTTACGCCGCCAACAGTTCACGCACAATCGTCGTCCCCACTGGTTCATCAAGAGTATCCTGCCCCGTATATCTGCATCCCCCACCCATCAGCCATACCGCCGACCGATCCTGACACGTATCCTGACCTCGTCTCTACCCTCACACCACCGACAGTCGACCTAGTCGCTTGCGGAGCCGCGCCGCTCGAGCTCCCAATGTTCCCCGACAGCCCTGAAGGCCCGGCTGATGAAGGAGGCGCAAGTTGCTCCGGTTCATGCGCGCGCGTCTTTCCCTTGTCGGCTACCGGGCTCGCGAGGGCGGGGTTGGTGAACCCGGGCATGTTCTCCTCGTCGTAGTCATCATCATCGTCGGCCTGGATGAACTGCGACGAAGCAGTAAGGGGTGTGCGCTGTGAGTCTGAATTATCCATCGTCCGGTGTGGCGTTCGTGCCAGAGAGCGGGGGACCGGAAGCAGAGGCGGGCGCCACGCGAGCCGGCGTGACACGCGTTCGTGACATCACTTTGTCACTGCGCGCTGACGCGTCGCGCGAGATCCCAGCAAGTGCGCCTTGCCTTAGACTCTCACTCGACGACGGAGAGCAGATATGGTGCGTGGTATGCAAGGTGACCGGGATGTATACTGATACATTGCACAGGGAAACGCAGCATCAGGACTTGGGCAGGGCGGGCCGCCGAACCCGAACCAGGACAAGGACAAGAAGGAGAAGGACCAGAAGAAGAAATGGGAGCCGCCCCTCCCGACGCGCGTCGGAAAGAAGAAGCGCAAGGGCCCTGCCACCGCGTCTAAACTCCCTCCTGTCTACCCCACCACCCGCTGCCGCCTCAAATTACTGAAGATGGAGCGCATCAAGGACTACCTGCTCATGGAGGAGGAGTTCATCCAGAACCAGGAGCGCCTCAAGCCCGAGACGCGCGAGGAGAAGAACGAGGAGGACCGCTCGAAGGTGGACGACCTGCGCGGGAGCCCGATGGCGGTGGGCACGATGGAGGAGATCGTGGACGACGACCATGCGATCATCAGCACGTCGAGCGGGCCCGAGTTCTATGTGTCGATCATGAGCTATGTGGACAAGGACTTGCTGGAGCCGGGCTGCCAGGTACTGCTGCATCACAAGACGCAGTCCATCGTGGGCGTGTTGCAGGATGACGCGGACCCGATGGTCAGCGTTATGAAACTCGACAAGGCGCCAACGGAGAGCTACGCGGATATTGGTGGCCTGGAACAGCAGATTCAGGAGATCAAGGTGCGTGTATTGCTCCTTTTCGTGTCCCTGAAGCTCACACACCCTCAGGAATCCGTCGAGTTGCCACTTACCCACCCCGAATTGTACGAAGAGATGGGTATCAAGCCGCCAAAGGGTGTCATCCTTTACGGTGTACCCGGTACTGGCAAGACCCTCCTCGCTAAGGCCGTCGCCAACCAAACATCCGCTACCTTCCTCCGTATTGTCGGCTCCGAGCTCATCCAGAAATACCTCGGAGACGGCCCGAAGCTCGTCCGCGAACTCTTCCGCGTGGCTGAAGAGCATGCGCCAAGTATCGTCTTTATTGACGAGATTGACGCGGTCGGTACGAAGCGGTATGTCCTCCTTGCGTACAACATGAAGGCCCGCGCTGACTGATTGCTCTACAGATACGACTCAACATCTGGTGGCGAGCGCGAAATTCAGCGTACCATGTTAGAACTGCTTAACCAGCTGGACGGCTTCGACACACGAGGCGATGTCAAGGTCATCATGGCCACGAACAAGATCGAGTCCCTCGACCCCGCCCTTATCCGTCCTGGACGTATCGACCGAAAGATCGAGTTCCCGCTACCCGACGTGAAGACGAAGCGTCATATCTTCCGGTACGTATTCTCGCTTCTTCCTGCAGCCTGATCGTTTTTGTGGCAACCACGTGCTTGTTCTCATGCTAACATCTCATGCAGCCTCCACACGTCCCGTATGAACCTCAGCGAGGACGTTGATCTCGAGGAGTTCGTCATGACAAAGGACGACCTCTCCGGCGCCGATATTAAGGCGGTGTGCACAGAGGCGGGTCTTTTGGCGCTGCGCGAGCGGCGGATGCGCGTGACGAAGGCGGACTTCACGTCCGCGAGGGAGAAGGTTCGTTCTTCTCATGAGACAAGCGTAGAGACGGATATTGATTACTTTCCATCTAGGTCTTGTATAGGAAGAACGAGGGCACGCCCGAAGGTCTTTACTTGTAATTTTGCATTGTCATACGTCGTATACATCATTTTCCTTTGCATGAATCGCACGCATGTGTAGCTCCATTGATTTGCAAGATGCCCCAGTCGAACTCTCCTCCCGGCTGCTGCTGAACGTTTTCGGTGTCAATTATGGACCCGCTGCAAGAAGTCGGTGTATCAGCGATGCTTATCTTGCCCGCCTTCATTCTGTTTCGTAGCGCTGTTGCCATTGCACTGTAAAATTGCCATTGTTAATCCAGGGTTCATTGAAGGTTATATGCTCATTGGTGTATCCCCGAGTCAGAAGGTGAAAGCGCTTTTGGCTCTCCGCCTCCATAGGGCGAAATATGCACGTCAGGGTTCGCCACCCGGTGTAGGGAACGTCGACGTCAACCACAAACCTCGGATCGGACGGATCCCCGCCTTCGAGAGGTCTGAACTGAGGCTGCGGCCATTCGTTTGCGATTTCCAGGTGGGCGTATGCACAACGGCTCTCCCCTGCTCTCATCTGAAAAGTGATGCCAACGACTTTATCAACGAGACGGAAGATGAAGTGCACGTCTCGAGCCCTTATGCGAGCTGCTGTATGCATCAGCAGTGCTCCGCTGGAACGCTCGTTCGGTCTGACCTTCGCACTTTGCATTGCGCTGACAGTCGTTCCTGTGTCCTCCGTCCCGCCAGTGGAGGCGTTGGCAGGCTTTGGAGCAGTACAATGCCTCAGCGCAAGGGCAGGCGCGCAGAGGGGTCGTTTTAGGGCTCGTGCACTGTTGCACTGCATAAGGAACCCGATAAAGGACAACGATGGGTGAGACCCACCAGCGCATTGCAGCACCTCGCCGTCCGTTCCCAATCCGCATCGGCGCTTTTACGTTCCCATTGACGCCTGAGTGCGAAAGAGATTATCTGCTCCAGCTCGCGGGGGAGAGGGCGCGTATTATCTTCTGACTGCATGTCCTTGTCGAAGGTACGCGTCGCCTTTCGAAAGATGAGAGCGGCCTTAATGCAGTCAAGGAGCTGGCTAATGTCACTACGTGCATTCTTCTGAAGGATGGAAACAAGAACGTGGAAGAGACCTTCTTGCAATGCGTGCACAGTGTAGCGGGCGTCGAGCATGCACAAGTCGACCAACACCCTGTACGCCGTTTCGTACACACGCCTATCGTTCGTCGAGTCCTTCGAGTGGTACACGCGTAGGACTTTCACCAGTGCGCCCACGACGCATCGTGAGAGTAGGCGAATGCGCAGGTCCGGACTGACTGCCATGGTTTGAACGAAGAAGATGTGTGACATCAGCTGGACCGCCATTGTCGGTTCGGTGTGGTGCTTCAAGATCATCCTGATATGCCGGGCTGCGACGTGGTGCAGATGGCGGAGGTCATCCCCGACGACATGTCGAACTCCGGCAGCAGCTATGTGCTGTTCCTCCCGTATAGCGAAAGATCGTAGAAGCATTGGGAATACCGATGCGCATTCAGATGCAAAAGAAGCGCGAGGAGCTTCGTGCATCCCAGATGCGTAGAGCTTGGTCGCCGATGAGTAGTACACGCTGACAGCCGTTTGTAGTGCGGAAATCTCGGGTGACAATATGATCGCCTTTGAAAGCGAGAAATCGAGGTACGCTATGCATCTGAGAAGGCGGGTAGCCTCATTCGTGGCAGCGAAAAGCTTTTTTCTCTGGGGTGATGGCAGCTCAGTGAGCCGTATGTCATGACTGAACATGCACATATAATCAGCCCAACGGCAGATGTCACGCCAGAAGGACTGGTCCTCCTTCAAGGGAGCGGAGTAGTCGTCGAGACTATCGATCAGCACCAGGGTAGAGAACGTCCCGAGTGCCAGAACGAAGCCATCTCCTGCTTCTGAGGTCAGAAATTCTTCCAGCGGTATATCAGACGGAGGAGATCTGGAGATGATACGAAAGGGATTCCTTCTGAGTAAGCGACGGCCTTCCTCGATGGTCTGTCGCTGGGGGCCGATCGGAGACTGTACTTCGAGGTCAAGCCGCTCAAGCGCACGCCTGAGCGCGCGAAGGTCGGAAAAATCGCGATATCGTAGTTCGGTCATCTCATCTATCTATCATTATGACATAGTCATATCTTGGGCTTGCTGCAACGACAAGCGGCGTACCGTGCCTTCCAGCTATGATGGACGGAGGACGGAATGAACGTTGATGCTTGAGGGATTGAGCAAGAAAAGACATGCCCTCAAGTGAACGGCACATGGTCGGCCACGTGCGGGGCGGCCTTTCGACTGAGGGTGACAATTACCTACGACTCTTGGCTGTTGCGTCCATGTGCGCTCATGAATTCTGGCTTGCATGTTCATCTGTGCTTGCGCTTGACCAGATACAGAACATCCTGGATTGCTTCCTCAAAAGGAACGACGTCGATCGGGTTTTGGTTAGGCACAACCTGACCCACAACCTTCTGGACGTCGTGTGAGAGTGATCACGGATGGCATCCGACAGAGTGTCAATACTTGACTCGAAGAATGACCTGGCGTGCACATGTTAACCCAATGCACTGTGGGCTCCGGCGACGAGCGAATCTGTGGTCTGCCCTCACTGCACTGCAAGTGCCCTGCTGCTCCCTGGCAAATTCTCGTGTATGTACTTCAAGCATCCTCGGACCCCCGAGTTGGTACGGTCTTGTCGCCCATCCGCGGACAATCCTCAAGGTCTCACGCGTCATGGCGATCGTCCAAGAATCAGTCTCGGTTAGCTGCCGGCCGAGCAGACTACGACCTAGGGGCAAGAACTTCCCCTGTCTATCGCGCGTATATAAGACGGCCTCGTCGAGAGTCCCCTTAGACATACACACCTCTGCCAGCCATGGGAAAGTACCCGCCTACCACCTTCATCGCTGATCAGCTCTCCTATCACGCGCCGGTCCTCAAGAAAGACCTGTCTGGGAAGACGGTCGTCGTCATTGGCGCGAATGTAGGCCTTGGGTACGAAGCATCGAAGCACTTCGCAACGATGGGGGCCGCCAAAGTCATCATGGCGTGCCGTAGCAAAGAGCGTGGCTCTGCAGCGGTTGAGCGTGCGTGAATTTATCCCTCTCTGAGGGTCAATTAACTCAAGACCAATTTGCAGGCGCGCAGCAAGAGTCAGGGCTGAAGACCCTGGAGTTGATGCTCGTAGACCTGGCTGATTTCTCTTCGGTGACGAAGTTCGTCGCCGAGCTAGAGGCGCGCGTGGATCGCCTCGACTACCTGGTCCTGAACGCAGGCATAATCCCAGGCAGTACCAAGCGCGAGACGACAGTGGATGGCTGGGAGCCAACGTGAGCATGTTCGAAATACCAGTCGCATCCAGACTGATCACTCGTGCAGAATACAAACCAATGTGATTTCGACATCTCTCCTCGCGCTCCTGTTGTTGCCCCTCCAAATACGCACAGCGCGGGAGAGGAATACCATCCCGCGCACGGTCGTTGTCGCCAGCGCCGTGCACTACTGGGCCCCGCCTTGGGGGAGGGATATCCTCAATGCTCCGGGAATCTTGAAAGCGCTGTCCGACAAGGAGGAGATCGAGTGAGCATCCTTGCACCCGGATATTGCGGACGGTGGCTGACCGTAGTTGCAGTACCTCGGTGCGCTACCAGGAATCAAAATGTATAGTATTTCTTTCGCTTTCCCTCGCACCACCACCGGCTGACGTGCATTCCCAGTGTGCAACGTCCTTTTTGCACGCGCCCTCAACGAGCGCCTCCGCCAGACGCACCCCACCATCATCGTTAACTCCGTCGACCCCGGCCTCTGCTCTACCAGCCTCTCCCGCAACATGAAGCCTGAGGATCTGCCCCTTGCTCGCCGCCTCATGTTCGCCACTCTCTCCGTCTCCGCTGAGGTCGGCAGCCGGGAGCTCATGTGGGCGGCCCTCGCCGGCAGCGAGCATGCGGACTCGATGCGCGGCGCGTTCTGCAGCCGCAATATGGTGCGCGAGCCCTCGGACTTTGTGCTCAGCGAGGATGGGCGGATTGCGCAGGATATGAACTGGGTGAGGACGTCTCAGTGACTTTGCGTGTGCGTAGGCTGATGTCTGTGTCCAGCGCGAGATTGTGGCAATTGGCGAGAAGATCGAGCCGAAGATTGGCCAGATCGTGAAGGAATATTTGTTGGACCTGTAGTTGACCTTGATGTGTCTTCGGAGACTTTGTACCCAGCGTCCATGTGTGCATTATAGAACCGACGATATATACAGCATGTTGTACCATTGTCCATTGCATTGTCCATTCGTATCCAATCTCAGGGCGACCTCGCCTAGCCTCAACGGCCTAGCATGCGCCCTCGCACGATTTTTACAAGCTACAAGGTAAGCGCCATCCGCAATGTAGCCAACGCAAACAAGATAATTGAACGCAGGACCCGTTTAGCTGCAGACCGGGATAGTAACATTCTTGAGGGTGCGACTGAATGATTTCGTCAGCGAACCCTACGACAGGACGAAGAGAAATAGTCATACTCCGAGTTGAACAAGCCCCACCAGCCCTCCACGCCGCCGTACGTCTCGTCCTTCCACTCCTCGTCAAAGAACTACGCCCTTGTGTCAGCGGCAGACCTCACAATGAAAACTACCGGAAACGCACCTCGAAAAAGAAGTACTCCGTCCCATTCGCATTCGCCTGGCATACGAAGGTATCGAGGAAGACTTGGAGGTTGGCCTCGGAAGCCTCTGAGGCCCCATTTGTTTCGGTGCTGGTGTTGGAGGATTTCTGGCAGTCCAATACGATAAGCCAACTCACGCAATCGATGGAGACAGTGGGCGAGAGCAGACACGCACCGTCGGCCACCCGGTCTCCGCGATGTACATCTGCGGCTTGTTGTCGACCTCGTCCGAGATGCTGACATCGTTCGTCTGGAAGAACTGCCAGGTCCAGGTTGCGGCGTCGTCGATGCTGACGTCGCCGAACCAGGGGTGCACGTTGGCCATCTGAAGGAGATCATCGTCAGAGGAATGGCACATGCGGATATGCAACGTCTCGAATATCGAAGGAGAGAAATCTGGAGACGTACCCCATAGTCCACCGACGACAACAGCTTCTCGTTGAAGTACGCCCCCGCGTCCGCCGTGCCGACGGACAAATCGACGCCTATGTCGCTCAGCATGCTGCGAGTGTCGGTGATGTTGGTGATGAGCATCTCCGCTGCGGTGGTGCCAACGGTCCCCGTTACGTCGTCCGTACCCTGGCTTTCCACATAGCTATGAGATTGGACGGTCAGCAGAGACCTAGGAGGAAGAGGATGACGCCGTACTTCAACATGAACTCGTTGCCGACCGTGATGCCGCTAGGGAGATGCGTCAACGACCTGTTTGAGCAGGGGGGAAAGCGCTGTGCTCACCCAATATGATCCGTGCCATATGTCTGGATGACCTCCTTGATCGTGTCGCGCTGCCGCTCGTACGCCTCTCCGCCATCGGTGGCAGAGACGTAGTTTCCCAGCCAGACTGTGAGATCGACCTTCGTCTGTTGGATCGCCTCGAGAACTAGCGCGGATTGATTGCAATCGGCGCCGTATAGGCGGACGCGCTGAGGATGTATGAGCAAGGGTAATTGATGAAGGGTGGATGTGAGAACGTACGGTCGTGATCTGGGATAGAAGTTGGACGTCTTTGATGACATCGTCCAGCGAGTTGCCACAATTGGCGTCCAGCTGCGAACCGGCGGGTGTATCTGTGGAACGTCGTCTGAGAAGATCGACCCTAAAAAGAGGGGATGAACGCACATGCAATCCCGTAGAACGAGACATGCAAATTCTCGTCCTTGTTGAAATCGCTGGGATCTCCCGACGAGGACGAGTTCGACGCCAAGTTCAACTTTGATGAGCTGCTGTTGTTCCTCGACACCAGCACGCCAGCGACTATGCCCGCGACAGCTCCTGCAATGAGCAGAGCAACCCCTGCGAGTATCTGCCGTCACATGCCAGTGAGCTTCCACCGTGGCTTTTCAAGCGAACCGATAAGTCTCCAGTCCAAGTATAGCACCCACCCAGCACCGTCGCGATTTATTTGGCTTCTCGCGGGCCCCGGCTGCCCAGGGCGAGGCCTTCGTCGCATCACCGTCCTCCCACTCGCGGTCGATGTTGTGCATGTAGGATCGGCCGGCGGGGGTGTCCGCAGCGAGGGGTGGGGTGTAGCCTTGCTGGGTGAGAGGAATGTCTTGCGATGAGGGGTTGAGGTTCGCAGCTGATGCGTATGGGGACTCGTCGCGGAAGCGATGGGCAGGCTGGGAGAGTGCACTGGTTAGATGCGAATGGAGAGGAAGTGGATGCAAAAGACTCACAGGTACGTTCTCATAGTAGTCCTGCAGCTCGGTATGCGTCGATCCGCGCGGGTCGTCCCTATAAGGAGAGTGCATCGAGGGCGGTCAGAAGACGAGAGGGGATGCGCCGAGGATGGGACAGAGGACGAGGGCCGCGCTATGGGAGCACGTAGCAGCGCCACGAATGCAAGAATGAGAAGTATGAGTGCAAGAAGCAGAAAAGAGCGACAAGGAAGAAAAACTGCAGAACCTTGGTGAGACAGCCCGCGGATATAGACTAGGCTGACTGCGGCAGGCTGCGCGCACCGTCCGATCCGGCGGACTCTTGCGAGGCGACGGCGCAATAATAGAGTCAGGCACCGCAGCGCGTCGAGGCCGCCTGATCGGGCGGGCAGTGCAATTCGTCCGCGGTGGCAAAACAAAGAACAAGCCGATCCATATACGGAAAACAATGGCATCGCCACTTGGGGGTGCATTTGGTGAAGTGAGGTCGTCTGAGCCAAGGGAAATAGGGAGATGGACTAGCGCTAACACATGCGCTTTTCGCTGAGAAGCTCAAGCTAACGCAAAGGAGCCTGCTGTGCAAAGATACGACACAATTGAGTATGGAGTGACTGGCCTTCACTCGTGATCACCAAGCGGATGTTCAACATTCTCGGTCAATTTGTGCATGATGGACCGTGAAGCCAGAAATTGTGCTACTTAGTGTCCTGGACTGGCCTTGATGAGAGTAGAAAACAAGCAGCATGCGTGGGAACTTTCCTTTTCAGCCACGTTTGGGTGCTTGTATGGCCCATGGCCCCGGTGCAGCAATTCATGCTTTCAGCTCCAAGTTCCTTGTGCTTTTTGTTCCCCCTTCACACAAGTTTAGATCGTACAATTTCGTTTTATTCTGTTGCAACATCGTAGGTAGACGTGATGAAGAAGTATGAAAGGCATAATGATAGTCAATAAGGATACAGTAGCATGGGTGGTTTCGTGATACAGAAGCGTGGTCGTTGAGAGGGGAGCGTGAATGCGGAGGTCCAGGGCGTGAAAAGGCGTCAATGGGAAGTCAACAAAAGTTCCGGGCGGGCCTCGCAGAGGCGCATAGAAGTACAGGCCGAAGAGGGAGGCAAGGACGGTGGTGTTCGACGCGCGAGACGCTGCGGTCGTTGAGTTGTTGAGAGAAGTTGAAGGTTGGGCATGCTGATGGACGCCGCGAAGGGCGCGTAAGCGTGTTTCAGGGTGCAGCCGAGCTCATAGCTGGCGCGAGAGAACGGCCCAGCTGGCAACGCCAGCGACCGCCGCGAGGACGAGGAGGGTGATCAGAGCGAAGAGGCATCTGGAAGTACGGGTCAGCTCAATGAACTTCGAGCATAGAAAAACGACAACTAACCTCTTCGCCCACTTGACCTCCACGCTACGAATGTGCGCGACGATGCGCGCACGCTCCTCTTCCGTCTTTTCAGGCATCCATGCAGCCTCGACGTCCTCATCGGACGAGGGCGCGGGTGCGGAGAGGGGAGTGAGGAGGATGCAGGATCCGATGATCCAGAAGAGGGGGAATACTGAAAGTCGGAGTAAGTACAAGTCCCCGATCACCAAGATCCAGTGCTACTCACAGAAGCCAAACTTGAAGAGGAACATCGCGAGCGTTGTCGGCTCGTACTTCTTCGTATACTCCGGCGGGGAGGGGTCCTCCTCGTATGCGGGGGGAGCCTCGACGTCCGCGGACAGGCGCCGATCGTGGCGGCTGGTGTGGGTGGGCGCCGCGCCGTTGAGAGCGTACCCGAAGAACGAGTCCATCGGGTTCATCTCGAGGGCGGCGTGCGCGTCGTGGGTGACCACCGAGGCGGGGACCGGGAGCGACGAAGTGCGCGGAGGAGGCACGATCGCGGTCGAAGAGGTGGAGGCGGTAGAGGCAGCGGCAGACATGATAGTCGTCGAAGTGCTAAGTCGTAGGGGTGCTGAGTCGTTGAGGTGCTGAGGGCGGCGTCGAGGACAGCGGCGGAAGTGAGGAGCCCATTCCGCCGCCGGGGGTGTTATATATCATCGTGCGGCGACGAGCAATCGAGGACGAGGGCAATCGACTTTGCATTCCCTCGTGACGGCGGGCGTTGCTAGGTGACCTTGGTTACCGAGCTCGACCTTTGGTCGTATTTGCATGGCACAAACAGAGCCAAGCAATGGCAATGAGAAATTCCCTCTTTTGTGAATTCCCTTTTTGGAAGTTTGTGTTGTGACCACCGGCTTGGAGGGTTCTGGTGCCCACTGGGGCCACCGCAAGCGTACCAGGATGGCAGCCTCTTGGTTTAGTGCGTCATCGCTACCTATCGATCTCATGCATAGCGTGTTCGTACTGTTGTGATCTCAGCCTTCTGGGGGGCACGCAGACGGGCGACAGCCCACGTATGAATTTCCGAAAACCAAACATAGGAGCAGCATAAAGGCTCGACACTAAACAAAGTCTAGTCTACCGACGTTGAGGCCTCCTCAGCGGAAAGAAAGAGGAAGAAAGGTGCAGGTTAAGCGACTTCGTCAAAACCGAATTAGCCAAGGAAGACACATGAATCTTTCCAGGGCCCTTCAGGCTCAGAGAAGCACTCTCACGCACAGCGCCGACGTGCTCTCCCAAGGCTCATACTGAATTAAGGCTCGCATCTCGCACGGCTTGTGTTACAATGGGCTTTTGAACCACTTCGGAACCGTGGGAATCGACATCGGAAGCAAACTTAAAAGTGATCGGACGCTGGAACTCCCAGGATATCCACGGAACTCCAGCGATTTGGGTTTCGCAGAGTTCCGTGGCAATCCGTGGCAATGCTAGCTGGCCGTTTTCGGTGGAAATGACCCTTGTATCCATCGTAGACGGTGTTACCTGGAAATCCTGGCCAGTGGATGGATAAGGAGAGCGCATCGAACGGTAGCGACGACGGCCTGGGGTCAGCCGTACTTCCTCAAAATCGCCGATATGTTTCCAACGTCCGCGATATCTTTGCGCACAAGTGGAAGCGATCATGAGGATAAGCGCTGAGTGCAAGCAGTGCAGCACAGGAATCTTTTCTTGTCGAGCGCTGATCGCGAGACGCCCATCGATTGGACTGGTGACATTGCTGCAGGACACGAGCTATCGAGGCCTATACAGTACACGCTGGGTGCGGGGCCAGGGGCGAGATGATAGGCTGTAGCGAGAGCGCGCATGACCGCTGATCCGGGGAAGGATGTGGGCTTTGCGAGAATTGCGGGGAACGAGGAGCGCGTCGTTGACGTCGTCAGCGCTGATTGTGACGCCGCTAGTCGCCGTAGCTTGACGTCAGGCGCAGCGACGGGGTCGCACGGGGGTTGTCGAGGAGGTGGATGCGGCGAACAACCAGGGGCAGCCGGCGTTGACGACGTGTGGGAAAGGCTGTGCGGGTCGCGCGACGTCATTGAATATTTGTTTTCTCTTGACTTTTACCGCCATCGCCAGGCGTTTGCTCCCGCCGCCGTCGCGCTCGCCGTCCTGGCTAACACGCGGCCTCCCCGCCCCTTCTCCTTTCTACGGCGCCCTCGCCGCGCCCAGACAGCCCCCGAGCCGCCGCCGACACCCGCGACGCCGCCGCGACCATCCGCACCCGGGCCGCCGCCGCCATCCCAACCCACCATCCTCCCTCCCACGACCCCGATGGTCTCCGAGCCCGAATCTGCGCCAACCAAGGCGTCGCTCAAGGCTTGGTGGACCCATTTCACCACCGCGCAGAAGATGAAGCGCGACGCAGAGCAGCGCCAGGGTCCGTCGCCCGCACGCCGCCGCGCCCGCACCGAACCACGCTCACCCCGATCACCAGCCCAGGACGAGCATCCAGTCTTCGGCAAGCCGCTGCGTGAAAGCTTGCGCTACGCCTCCGTGCAAATATCCACTGCGAATGCCAACGGCGAACTATACGTATGGGGCTGCATCCCCGTCGTCGTCGCTAAGTGCGGGCTATATCTGAAGGAGAACGGTGCGTCACTATCCGTTTATCAGTCCCCAATGCCTTACGCGTCCCCAGCAACTGAGGTCCCCGGCACCTTCCGCGTCAACGGGTCCAACAAGCGCATGCGCGAGCTTCAGCAGGCTTTTGAGACGCCCCCACGCGTGCGTGTCAACCCCCCTACCCTTCCCCTCCCCCCACTCACTCACCCGCAGTATGGCAAAGACCTGGACTGGAAACAGGAAACATATACCACTCACGACGTTGCCAGCGTCTTCCGAAGATACCTCACCCAGATGCCAGAACCGGTCATACCCTACGACCTCTATCACGACTTCCGCGATGCCCTCGCAAAGCAGCCCAACACCCACGAGCAGGTCGTCACCACCTACAAGCGCCTCCTCCGCCAGATGCCCCCGCCGAACCAATACCTCCTCCTTTACGTCCTCGACCTCCTCTCAGTCTTTGCGCGCAAATCGGACAAGAACCTAATGACTGCCGAGAGTGAGTGTCATACTTTCGCCCCCCTTCTTACCTTCCCAACGAAACACGTCGCGGCAGGAGGCGTACGAAGGCCGCGACGCGATATTCACTGAATTGTGTGCCCACGCGCCCTTCTGATCGACCTCGGTACTGACCCCCCTCCAGATCTCGCCGTCATCTTCCGCCCAGGCATAATCTCGCATCCCTCGCACGAGCTTTCGCCTAACGAGCACCGGCTCAGCCAGAAGGTCCTCGAGTTCCTCATCGCGCACCAGGAGCTCTTCATCTTTGACATCCCCCCGCCTCCCGGAACGCCTGGGTCGCCGATTGATGAGGACTTCGTGGCGGTGCCAAGCTCTGACGACGAGCAGTCGCAGGTAGGCGGCGGGTGGCGATTGGTCGGGCGCAATCGCTCGCAACGTGTAGCGCGAAGGAAGACAATAGACCGCACAGGTAAGCGTTCGCTATAGGGCAAATCAGGCCGCGCCGTTGCCGCGTGCACGACTTCTACCAATGCCCTTCGCCCTCAATACCGCCTCCACTCACCCTCCACCATCCTACCCTTTGCCCAACACGCCTCATGTTCAGCCAATACCAATTTCTTACCCCCGACGCCCGCCCATCTCTCGTTAACGTTGCCCCCTCCCGCCAATACTTCCCCTCCTTTACTACTGGCGCTAACGCGCCTCCCTTAGACCACCCTCCAAAGTCCGCATCGCCCTCCCTTGACCCCGTCATGGAGTCAGGCGCGCACGAAGAGGGCACACAGGTGCGCCGGCGGCGGACGCTGCCTTCTGTGCGCTCGCCGAGCCTTAGAGCGTCAGCATCAGGGAGCATAGCGAGTGTCGCGAGGGGCGATTCCTTGAGGAGGGGAGAAGGTGACGCGGCGACGAAGGAGGGTGAGAGCACGCTCAAGCGCGAAGGCTCTCAGAAGCGCGAGCGCGAGCCGGACAGCGGGACGCAATCGGACCGCGAGGAGCGGCGCGTGCTGCGGAAGCAGCGACGGCCATCGACGGCGAATATCAAGTCATAGCCTGGCGGGAGGCGCGTCAGGACCTGCGGTCGGCGTCCCTCGCCGCGCTGCGTTGCGTCCCTCACCGCGCCGTCTCGTCGCGCCGTATTGGATTCGGATCCATATCTATCTATTATTGTTAAGTTGCTCTGTCCCCCGACTGTCCTTGCTGAACCATCATCCCGTCTGCGCGCCGCGCGTGTCTGTTCTATACTTTTTCCCTTCTTCTCTTTTCTCACCGCTCGTGGTCGCCGACCACAACGTACGCTAATAGTGTTCGACTCGCGTACGTACGTCTATCACTACTACTACTACTTTAGGGTTTCTTTTTCCTCTTCTACCTCTCCTACATATGTGCGCGCAGACCTGTAGTATTTTCGCGACCCTGTAGATTTACCCCGCGCGTTTGTCGTTACCCGCTTCGTTCTGATAGTTGTGGCTGGCGTCTCCCTCGATCCCCTGCTACGCCTTGTTGACAGACTAGTTACGACCCCTTATGCTGCCTCACGGACGGACGTGTTCTCTTACCAGTTTCTCTGCACTTGATCATGCTTGGCCGTGGGTGGCTATAGTCGTGACTTGGGTTCATACGATACATATACATGGCGTGCTTTGTACATCGTTGAATTGCTGAAGCAGATCCAGTAACAGCCTGAGGGCATGCGAGAGCCTTGTGTTATGATAATTTAGGACAATCCTTGCGTCTGATTTTGCTGTTAGGGAGTATTCGAAGGCTTCTGTCGAGACCTGAGCCAGGCCTGTGGGAGATTCTTGACGAGCAGAAGATCTCCACTGGTGCTTTGGACGAGGTAGGTAGGTAGGTAGGTAGGTAGGTAAGTAGCTACCCCCATCGCCAAGGCCCTCCGGTCCGATCCCCCGAATCGTTCGATTACTGCCAATAAGCGCCCACCTCGCTGCATCCTTCCCCTTACCCTCGTCCCTCCTTCACTCTTTCCCCTCAGCCCACCATGCCCAAAGTCACCGTCCCCCACCCTCCCCCAAGCGCCGCGGAGGCGACGCCCCCAGCTCCGTTGACCGACGCGCAGGCGGAGATGCACAAGACGGTGCTCGAGCACTTCACCGCGGCGGACTACAAGCTGCCGCCGGGGCCCGCGGGGGAGAAGCTCCACGGGTGCGACTTGGGGGACAAGGCGGGGGAGTACGGGGCAAGGAGGGAGTTTGGGCCGGAGTTGATCGAGGAGGAGAGGTTTTGGCTGAGCTGGGAGTGTGTGCATCGGTGAGTGGGGTGTGATCGAGGGGTTCATGAGGGTCCGAGGAGAGTGGGGGTGAGAGGAGATGAATGGAGCTGATGCAGATCTATAGGTATCTGCGTGCTACGAAGTGGAAGACGGACCAGGCCATACAGAGGTTGGAAGCGACATTGCGGTGGCGTCGCGCCTTCGGGATATACGACATCGTGAACGCGAAGCATGTCGAGCCCGAGGTGTGTTCTCTCCACTTTCTCACCTACTCAAGTATGCTTACTCTGCACGCTAGGGCGTCACTGGCAAGCAGGTCCTCTTCGGGTACGACGCGCAGCGTAGACCGGGCCTCTACCTCCTCCCAAGTCGACAAAACACGGACGAGTCCCCGCGCCAGATCCACTTCGTCTTCTGGTTCCTCGAGCGCACCCTCGAGCTGATGGGCCCCGGCGTCGAGTCTCTCGCCCTCCTCATCAACTTTGGCGACCGCGGGAAGCATCCGTCCATGCGCACCGCGATGACCGTGCTCTACATCCTCCAGGAGCACTACCCCGAGCGCCTCGGCCGCGCGCTCATCATTCGCATCCCCTTCCTCGTCTCCGCCTTCTTGAAGATGATCATGCCGTTCGTGGACCCCGTTACACGCGACAAGATCCGTCTGAACCCGTCGCCGGTGAAGGAGGGCCTTTTCGCGCCGGAGGAGATCATGACGGAGGCATGGGGAGGCAAGGCGGAGTTCGAGTGGAAGCACGAGGAGTACTGGCCTGCGCTGATTGGGATGTGCGATGCGCAGAGGGAGAGGTGGACGCAGGCGTGGAAGGAGCTTGGAGGCACGGTGGGCGTCAAGGAGTGGGATTACAAGACGAGGGAGGTTGGGGCGGCTCCAATTGCAAGTGATGCGACGACCGTGTCTGTCAAAGCGGATGCGGAGGATGCTGCTCCCCAGGTCACTGAGTCGAGCGCGGTGGCTGCTTGACTGACTTGACGGCGTGCCAAAAGCTCAGAGAAGCGTGCCATAATATACCACTCAAGTGCCATAGAGATAGACATATCATACAGCTTACTTACTGGTGTCCAAGGATGATAATGGTCATGCCATACATTGAACAGGATGGACAACGCAGGCTTGCATCGGAGTCCCTCAGAATCGAGACCAAGAGCAGAGTCGAATGCGGCCACCGGACCGTACGACACGTCACGGCACTTCCAAAGATGGGAATTCCAAAAGAGGGAAGTTCTGGTTGCCATTGCCACCCTGCTTGACTATATTTGCGCACGCCAAACATGGCCAAAGGATGCTTTCCGTAACCAGGCAACGGATGCCGTCACGAGGGAAAGACACTCGATTGCCCTCCACTTCGATTGCTCTTCGCCTCAGAATGATATATAACGCCGCTGCCGCCGCCATGGAACTTCCCCAGCACCCGCCGCTACTTCCGCCGCCGCGCATCCAGCCGTCGCCCGCCTTCAGTAGCACTTCGCCTCATCGACTTACCAGTCCAACGACCTAACACCCGACGACTATCATGTCTTCTGCATCTGCCGCCTCTGCCGCTCTCCCGGCCCCCGCGACCGCGGTCACCCACGACGCGCACGCGGCCCTTGAGATGAACCCCATGGACTCGTTCTTCGGGTACGCTCTCAACGGCGCGGCGCCTACCCACACCTGCCGCCATGATCGGCGCCTCTCCGCTGACGTCGAGGCTCCCCCCGCGTACGAGGAGGACCCCTCCCCGCCGGAGTACACGAAGAAGTACGAGCCCACGACGCTCGCGATGTTCTTGTTCAAGTTTGGCTTCTGTGCGTAACACTGGAACTTGGTGATCGGGGACTTGTACTGACTTGGACTTCAGTGTTCCCCCTATTCTGGATCATCGGATCCTGCATCCTCCTCACCCCCCTCTCCGCACCCGCGCCTCCGTCCGATGAGGACGTCGAGGCTGCGTGGATGCCTGAGAAGACGGAGGAGGAGCGTGCGCGCATCGTTGCGCACATTCGTAGTGTCGAGGTCAAGTGGGCCAAGAGGTCAGTTGCCTTCATTCTATAGCCCAAGGACATCCAGCTGACAATACTCTCAGGTGCCTCTTCGCCCTCCTCACCCTCCTCGTCCTCGGCGTTGCCGCTGGCATCGCCGGCTGGGCAGTCATGTCGCACCGAGCCTAAGCTCGTGTTGCAGACCCGCGGGCTCCATGCCCTACCCCCCACCCATCCCACCAAGGCTTCCAAGCCTCAACAACATCGACGGCCCTCCGGGCCCCCGACATCGCACATGCGATCGACCTCCGGGCGTATACGACCTGCAGCCTCTGCGCGCATACACATGCAGCCTTTGAGCGCATACACATGCAGCCATTGAGCGCGGTCAGCCTCACCACCCGCGCGCCATCTCTGGCGCAGCCACCTGCCCATCCTTACATCTCGATGCGGCCTCAGCGCCCATCCACCACCGCGTCCTCCCAAGGATCGCCCACCCACCATCATTCCACTGTATTTCTAGCACCTCTGGAAGGTCGTTGACGACTGTTACGCGCACGACTTTGTCTCTCCTCTCGGTTATCTTACGATTGCACTCCTCACGTTCCACGATCTCCGCCCCTCGCACGACTTATGCTTATTGTATCCTTATGCTTTTCACGCTCTGTTTCCCTACGTACGACTGCAGCCCTAGCAATGAAACGAACGAAAGACTGTACAACGAAAATTCGTCTGAGCGTGAACTTCGAAAGCAACCAAACAGCGATCTCAGTGAAGTCGAGCTCCTTCAACTGAGCCCAAGGCCTCTGCGCCTACAGAGCATCGTAACGGTACTGGGCCTCCATCCATCCTCACACTCCTAATTTGGCGCTCCGACCATTCAACAAAGTAGAGTGTCATATCACAGCATATTCACTGGATCCCTTTGATATTTTTCACTGGTATCATCGACGCCGCGGTCCCAACGTAGACAGTACTGTAAGTAGGCAGAGAGCATCGCATGGGGCATAGGACGGGATTAGGACCTGGGCATGGGAGGTAGCAGACGCCATGTAGGGGAGTGTCGGCATGCAGCGCTCTAAGACATAACATGCGAAGGCCTATCCATGCACCATGCCAAGAACGCAGGTAAACGACGCGAGAGCGAAGGTGCAGTATGTGCATCTATGTACATATGTAAGTCGCTTGATTCGTCGAGGATGCTTGGGGTGGGGAGGGAGGTAAGGAGGGGTGTGTATGTACAAATTGCGGATGATCGCCGATAGTGGTCGAAGGCTCGCATGGATGAGTATGATCCCGTTATGGTCAGCATGAGGAAGAGTGCGCGCGAAGCGACCCACCTGATGCGAACGTCTATAGTCGCACTCATGAGCACGGAAGCACGACCACACCGGCGCAACGACAGCAAGGAGCGAGAGCAAGGGTCGACGGGCGCAGAGAATAGATAAGGAGGAAAGGATAGACACTGAGACTGGAGATTAGTCGAGAACAGTAGCAGGAGGGTCGTGAGTGGGTCGTTATAAACATCATAAACAAGATTTGTTGGGTGCTGGTGGGCACGACGGGCGAGGCGCGCAGGCGGACGTCGCGCGAGCAGCCTGGGTGATTTATGGATTGGTTGTCGGATTTACAAAGGTGGACTTTGTCGACTTGAGATACGCCTATGGCTCTCCGTCGGCCTCGTCCCCTGGGACGTGCGGAGGCTCGATCGTCGCCGCCGTCTCCCCATGCACGCGGAAGCGATAGAGACACGTATGCCCCGGATGCCCCCAATTGGTCAGCACCCTCAGCATCACGATCCCAAAGTCCATCCCCTGCTCCCGCACATCCTCCGCCACCGCGAAAGACTGCGCGTACCGCCCCGCCTCGATATCGTACGCGAACTGCGCGATGCGCACGTACAGCGCCCCGTGCGTCAGCCGCGCCATCTCCGCCGCGAACGCCGCCTCGCTCTCGTCGGTGGGGACGCCGGCGGCCTCGCGCGCGGCGACGACCGCGGCCCACTTCTCCGCGTTGTCCGCGCCGTCGATGAGCGCCCAGACCTCCATGTCCCGAGGCGCACTGCGCAGGTCGTACGCGATGCTGCCCGCGGCATGCTCGATCGTGATCTCGTCGATGCGCGCGGGCAGCCGCAGCTTCACGCCCAGGCGGCCCTCGCCGGCCGCGAACGCCCAGCACTGGCCGGGCTGCACGCCGGGAGTGAGCGCGATGACGGGCGAGCGCTCGACGATGTCGCCGTGCCCGCCCGAGATCCAGCTGAGGACGGAAGAGAAGCCGGAGCGCGGCGCAACGAGGCTCTGGCGCAACGAGGGCGAGGTGAGCGTGGGGACGATGGCACCGCCGCCGGTGAAGAGGGCATGGTCGACGCGCTCGAGCATGTCGCCGGAGTACATGCGGAGGACGACGTCGCGGACGGCATCGGCAGACGGTGCTGAGCCGGGCTGCTTCTTCCACCAGCCAGGCGCAGTAGCCGCCTTCTTGCTGGCGTCGAGCGCTTCCTTGACGCCACCCTCTACGCCGCCAACGCGCTCTTCGAGAGCCTTCAGTCGCGACCTTGCTTCCTCGTCCTCGGTGGAAGGCATCGGCACAGCACGCTCGCGCTCCATCTCGGCTGTGAGCTTCGCGCCCAGCTCCTGCAGCTCCTTGCGGATGTTCTGCAGGTCGTTCCCAGCTACCATTCGCAGCGAAGACTCGGTCTGCCCTACGCGAAGGTCCGCGTTATCGACGCGAGTTTCTAGCGCGCGCAGCTTGCGATAGACCTCTTCGCGGTCGGCCAGGGCCAAGACAGCCGACTCGATGCTCAGCAGGCGATTGGACAGTTCTGAGATATCCGCGGGTGCCGTCTGCGGAGGTACATATTTGCCCCGATGGAACAACGAACCGAGCATCCCGAGCCCATTGTACAAGACCAGCGATATGCCGAGCATGACGATGGGCCATGGACCCGCTAACAACCATGTCTTCCGGCATATTCGGATGATCAGGTCGGCCAAGGTGCCCACGATGCGGCCGAGCCAGACGAAGGGCACTTGGATGAGGATATGGACGAGCCTGCCCGCGAGGACGCTGATAATAGATCCGCGTGGTCGACTCGGGTATAGCTCCTCCTCGGCTGTGGGGTCAGGGAGTGTGGACTCGTCCATTTCGGCGATGGAGTCGAGCGAGCGGACGCCGGCCTCGAGTTCTTCGGACACGTCTGCTGGATGTAGTGATTGTGCTCTTGGCATGGATGGTCCGCGCTGTGGGGCGACCGATGGTGGGCGTTGAGATGTGAGGGAGGGTGGGCGCGAGGCTGCGCGTGGGGGAGGCGCCGTATTAGGAGGCTGCTAAAGGTGAGATGGAGTATAGGACCAAGAAAGCGTATACGCACCTGCTGCTGCTGATCTTGCTCTGGCTCACTCTCTTCGTCCTCTCCAGTTGTTACGTTCTTCTTTTTCCGTTTGCGCCTCTTGTCCTGTCCGATCACAGGCAGCGTCGTAAGTAGACCACCGCCCGTTTCCTTCTTCTTCTTCTTCCTCCGACGCGTTCGGTCGTCATCATCGAAGTCTTCATCTGACTCCTCAAGATCGGACTGCGACGGCTTATAGGCCTTGTTGTCCGTCGAGATGCGATTGCGGCGGTGGGTCTGGCGCTTAGTCTGCTGTTGGTAGTCGCGCTCCTCCATTGAGTACTCGTAGGACGTGCTATCTTCCGGCTCGCGTTGGCGCACGATAAACTGGAGGGGGCCGGGGATGGATTGATGAATCTTCTCCGCTATCTGGTCAAAGGGAGACTTCTCGCGCGCGAAGCTGTTCTCCGACTGCGTGATCGTCCCATTCGACCTATCATGAGACGGCGGTTTGACAAAGCGGCTCGCAGGAGGGGGGAGTCCGCGCCCAGTGGTTTGCCGGACCTGATTCTCATATTCGACGCTGGTGCTCCGCGGGACGTTGGCGCGCGAGGGCCCGGCGGCCCAGGCCTGATTGGGGTTCATATCCTCCGCAGCGAGATGAAAGGCGTTCGCGACGTTGACCGAGGTGTCCTTGTACGCCCACTTCTCTGGGTGGAGCTTTGGGGGCGAGCGCGAGCCGTTGGCTGGGTACGAGTAGCCTGTGGACGGCGGACGTGACTTGGCTTGGGGCTTGTTGAGAAAGGTGTCGTGATCGAGCCGCCTGCCTTGACCGAGGGGAGTTCCTGCAAAGGACATGCACCGACTACGACTGGATACGGATGAGGTCTCGCGGGCTGCGTTCGCCAAGTCAAAACTCGGTTGTCACGGTCAGGGGCGCACACGTACAAGTATGGTTGATGCTCCCAGAGCTTCAGTAACGATTGACCGTGCTATGTTGGAGTTCTGGGGCGTTGTAGGCTCAGTGGCGAAGTCTGTCGCGGACGCGTATGTGTAAGGAGATGATGGTGGCAGCCAAAATCAACACCCGCGTGTCGACCGTGTTGTTGATCCTTGTTATGCGCCGCCCTTTGTGTTGTGTCCAAATGCGGATGCGCTTTGTTCATGACTGGGTCCGTGACTCGTTCAACCCCGCCTCGTTGCCACCGCGTTGCTATCTCACTGCGCGCGATAAATGGGGACCTCATGCATTCAATTTCGAGAATGAATACTTCCTAATGCAGAACCCTCTGGCAAGGGGGCAAGCTGACAATGTAGATCCATATACCGACTTTCTATGAAGGTATAGAGACTCCCACTCCTGATGCCCCGAAGGGAGCCGAGGCGCATGTGTCTACAGCGTCATACTCCTACATGGAGGATTGCACGGTCATATTGCGCCCATTCAACACCCACGAAAGCTTCGCGTCCGCGAGTCCGCCGATAATTCTATTGGGCATATGCAGTCCACAGCACTACCCTGCACATACCTCATCCGCGGGCCTTACACCCGTGCGCCACTAGTACCCAAGGTGGCTTTGTAGAATGGCAAGGCTTGGCCCAATCCGACGTCTGTCGGCGAGCACAAGCTCCTACTGACTCTGCACACGTCCTTCCAAACAAGCGCCCATCATCGAGCAAATATCGCTGCTGCGATACCCTCGCAACGACGCACCGGTCCACCGAGCCCCTGCGGTGGCACTGTGCTGTATATGCAGAGTCGGACTGCGAAACTGTGCGGAGGATACAATCCTGCGCGAATTACGCCCTGCACCTGTCACTCTGCTTGCGTAGCCTCGGTCACGCGTCACGGTTCGAGTGTCACGCCCACCTGGGAAAGTACGGCCTATCAGTGCGCGCCCGGTATATAAGCCAGACGCGACGTACCCTGCACCCTGCCTCCTCTTCCCTCCTACCACGTCGGGCAGAAAAATCTGAAAATATCACCAACGTTGCCCGCCATGCCCCACGCGACCAGAACCGAGGTGAGCCATTGGGAAGGCGAAGAGAATATCCTCTGAGCCATACGGTCTGGTAGCGGGACGCACAGAGCAGCGAGCACTGCGCTCGCGGTACCCAGTGGAGAGCGTCGACGTCTAGCGCAGCCAAAGACCAGTTGCGACGTGACGCCTCGCGCTCAGCGCATACAAGTCGGCCACAACTCGCCAGCGACCCCACCGCGCTGGGCAGCCCGCCGCGCGCGACCCAAGGCGCACTCGACGCCGCATCGTCCCAGTCGCAAAGCAGGGCAGCGCAAGCCGCACCAAACGCCCCACTGACCGCGCCCTCGTCGCCGCCCCATGCGCCGCCGTTGTACGCCAGCATACCGCTGCCGTCCCAAGTCGCCGGCGTCACCAGGACGATTCTGCACCCGGTCCTCGCCGGCTCGTGTAGATACGACCTCTCGCTGCCGCCGCCGATAGCTTCTCTGGGTCCTTGCATTTACGAGTCGGCAACCTGGCCTGCAGTACCGTCGCTGGCAATAGAAATGCCCTTGCTGCCCTCGCCCATCGTCGTGCACGCGGCCGCGTACATTGAGGGGGGGAGTGCCTTCGTAGCCGTCGCAGACGTGCTTGAGGCGTTATATGTCGACTTACAGCAGCCCGCCATCGGATATGAGAGGCGGGGCGAGCGAGTCGCGCGACACGTGTCGAGAGGTATGCTGATTTCGAGCGAAGACGCCTGCGCGAGAGTTGGGCAGCGAATCCAAAGAGGAGAGTTGCTTCGAGGTCAAAGAATGTTCGCGGGACTGTCGCCGTCGCCGCTAGGTGGCGAAGTCTACACCCTTCATGTTGCCTGAAATTCCGTATTGTTGTCTGACCCCATTAAGAACGTTGCCAGCCAGGACTTGGAGATGTATATATGTATCCTTGGCACCTTATCATCGAGAGAGATCTTGAATGGTTGAGGGCAGCGAGGGAAGCTGGCCTTTCGAGACGAGGGCAAAGGGTTTCGATGGTGGTTCAGGACAAGGGAAGCTCGGAACATGCCGAAGAGATAGCGGAACCAAACAAGGTGGCAATCTCCGGATACATTCTCACGCCTCTTTCTGTACCCAACCGCCTTCGCGCAGACCTCGCTGCTCACAGAAAGCTCTGTAGAAAACTCATGTCTGTACAAGCTCAAACACATGTGCTCGGACTCCTCTTACGCGCGCCAGCCTGTCCTCGGGACTCTAGCTCGGCCGAGCATCCTTGGCCCCTCGTTGATTCCACTTCTCGCCGCAGAGGCGTCTGTCAGAGGGACGCGGTCGCAGAGCCTTCCACCGCCTCTACGCCTGCCGAGAAGACTACTCCGACCGCAGATCCCTCAAACAATATACAACGACAGCTGATGCCTCTATGCAGGCAAGCAACCCGTCGCCGCCACGGGCGCCCGCAGGCGCGCGGTCCCGCCGAGTGACGGTGGAGCGCGAGTGCGGGCCGCCTGAAACGCCGTACGCGCCGCAGGGTTCGTCCTCCGGGAGACCAAGCGCGACGACTACCAGTCGAGGGTATAAAAGACAGAGGGGGTGGATGGGCTGAGCATCATCCCCAAGTCGGTTTTCCGCCTCTACTCAGATACTCAGCCAGCCTTCCCGTTTTCGATCCTCCACGCTTTTATCACGATGAATAGCTTCGCTGTTATGTCTGTTCTCGTTGCGGCTGCCACCGCTCGCAAGTTCACGGTCAAGAACAACTGCGCGTTCACCGTCTGGCCGGGTCTCTACACCGACCTGAACGCTGGCTCGGCTGTCCCCGACCACGCTACTGGGTACGTCTTGTTTTCCACCTTACCTTCGAGCTTACACTGACTATCTATCTAGCTGGGAGCAGGGCGCAGGCGAGGAGGTCTCCTTCGACGTCCCCGACAACTGGACTGCCGGCCGCATCTGGCCGCGTACGGCCTGCGACTTCAGCACCAACCCAGGCCCCACCTCGTGCGAGACCGGCGGCTGCAACGGCGGCCTCGAGTGCTCCAAGGACGCCGGCACGGGTGTCCCGCCCGCCACAGTCGCCGAGTGGACGCTCAGCGGCGACGGCGACGCGGACTGGTATGACGTCTCCCTGGTCGACGGCTTCAACATCCCCCTCGCGGTCACCCCGTCGACCGACTGCCAGGAGGCGTCCTGCCCCGCGGACCTCAACCCGGACTGCCCGGCTGAGCTCCAGCAGACCGGCGCTGACGGCAAGGTTGTCGGCTGCAAGTCGGCGTGCCTCGCCAACCTCGACGGCAACCAGTGAGTAGCGCTGCGCTTGTTGCTAAGGATACTCGTGCTGACCCCTTCTCTAGGCAGGACTCCGCCAACTGCTGCAGCGGCTCGCACAACACTGCTGAGACCTGCCCGCCCGACGGTGTCCAGTACTACGACTACTTCAAGAACGCCTGCAAGAACTCGTACGTGTACGCCTACGACGAGTCCTCCAAGACGGCCCTCTGGACCTGCCCGACCGCCGACAAGGCTGGTGAGTGGCCCAGTTTTACCTCTTTCGATACCATCGCTGACTTCCCGCAGACTACACCGTCACCTTCTGCCCTTAAGCGGCCGGCCGTTCACGCCTTCACGACGAAACGGATCACTGGGGAGAAGGATCACATACACTACCTATACCCTCAGCATATAAGTTATTGGCCTTGTTCATGAAGAAAACATATTATGATCTGCTATGAATATTGCTGCTTGCAGTGTCTGATCAACCGAGTCCCGGAGTGTCAGAAATCAAGAATCGATGGAAGCAGCAGTGAAGTTTAGCTTCCTGTCCTCTGCGACCCTTTCCTATGAATATTATTGTGACGCACTTGGGTACAAGTAGCATCAGGCAGAAGCTCTGGGCAAACGCTGTACGTAGCAATTGATCTGTGATTTGGACGCGGCCAAGTGTCGTGAACGAGCGCAAAAAGGGCCGAGCTACTCAATTCCCCGCAGCCGACTTGAACGACTGACCTCTTCATAGAACTTCAGTCGGTACTAGTGAAGCGCTCTACCACTGAGCTAGCAGGGAGTTATATACCATCTGGCTTTTGTTTCCCAACCGTCGAGAAGCACCAGGTGCTTCATGAGTTGCAGTCCCGATGTTAATCTGAAGAGGCCAGGTTACTGACGCAGGGCTCCGATGATAGATAAACATTCTTGGAATCAACACATCAACTACATGCCAAGGATGGTAATGATGCATAACACGGTACTAAGTATACGTATACGAGGCTACATAGGTGGTCGAGTGCACCGAGTAGCTCGTAAATCTATAGCAACCGCCATGACAAAGTCTGGTGCTCAATCGCTGCTGCCGCCGCTCTGAGTGGACTTCCGGGCGCGCTTCGTAGGTCGCTTGCAGGAATACTCGTCCTCGGTATCGCCTTCGCTCCGATTGTCGGACTGCCTAGATCCCAGAAGCGTTGTGCCTCGTGAGCTGGCTGTTTGCCGCTCGTCGTTATTGCGCTTCCTGCAAGTCCCTTGGCCCAACTGTCCGGGACTGCCCTGGCTGCGCGCCGCAGTGTCCTGCTGGTTGGCGCCAACCGGGTCAAACACCGCCTGTCTATCCGTGACCACACCGGTGGTCCTATAGAGCTTGAGAACGTGTTCAGGCGAATGCTGGTGATCCTCGTCGGTGAGGCGATCGCTGTCCTTGAACAGCCCGTATTCTTCCCCTTTCTCCATGAGTTTCCTCCACTTGTTCTGGAGCGTGTCGTAGTTGCGGAGGTCGGGCTGGGAGAGCTCGGCCTGAGTGAGGTACTTGCGAACAACGTCAGCTCGCCCCAGCAGGTCAAGGACCGTCCCTTTCTCAAACTGGTCGACCCTGCGGCGCAGATACGAGACATTGACGCTATGTCGAACCCAGTCATTGATGAGAGTGCGGTACATCCCGATCCATACGACCAGCGCTTCACAAATGCTGACCGGGAGGTTGTAAGTTTCCTTGTATGCAACGCCTTCGAGGAATAAGCCTTTGTGAGAACCTCCTCTAGCCATTTCGTCCCCTAAGAACCCTGGAACTTCAACCTCGTAGAAGATTTTGTCGATGAAGTGGACAAGGTTGATATCTTCGCAAGGGAAGTATAGAAGAATCATGTAGAGGGCGACCCAGAATAAGGACTCTAGATCGTCCTGCACGGTGTGCAGCTTCCCAGGTGTCTTCAGCGACAGGGTCGAAATGAATGGCCACGTTCCCTACATAGGTTGTCAGTAAGAGCAGCGCACAAACAAAGTGCAAGTACCGTGCGTTCAGGGCGGTCTGACTTCCTGGGAAGTTCAGCTAGAGGATCGAGACGAGGATCTTCGTCCATGTCGGCCAGCGTCGGTGTCTGTGCACACCGATCCCAGTCGACGAGAACGCCTTCCTGCTTCTCATCGTCCCACGTGATATTGCGGAAGCTGAGATCACGATGAAGTTTATGGCACTTCTCGACGGCGTCCCGATGACCTAGAAAGGGTCAGCATAGATAGCTAAGCCTGAATCGAAGGTCGCTCACATGTGCACGCGTTGTCCAAGATCTGTAAGAGATGCTTGGAATCCCTGAACTCCCAAAGCGGACGATAAAAGTGCTCCACTAGGCGGTGATGGACGCGTGGACGACATTCTCTGTCTGGACCGACCTTGTGCCCGTCGACAAGGTACACATGCGTTTTGGTCTGCTGGTCCGGGAGATCACCGCCGCATACAAGTTCTGGCGCGCAGCGTACGCCGTGCTCGTTGAGCTGCCTAATGACGTCGGCCTCGCGCTCCGCGTACAAAGGCCGCCACGAATCCTTCAGGAAGAAGACCCTGTCCTCTCTTGGGCACCATGCAGGACAGCTCAGCGTTGCACGGGTGCAGATACCGTACGCATCGCGTTCGGGAGCCCAGACGTAGAAGGAGCGCCACCCAGACTTTGCTCCTGAGTCGACAGGCACCTTCATCTCGAGGACGGGCAACTCCCGTTTGTACGGAAGAACATACGATTCGAGGGCGGCGCGAGCGCGGGCTTCAAGGATGGCGTCCTCCTTCGGAACCGGGCGCACGGTCGAGTCCGACCCCTGCTCTTCGGGAGAAAGGTTGTCGAAGCGATGAAGAAGGTCGTCGAGGTCCCAAAACCGATCGCTTTCATCCCAGATTCGTTTGTCAGACACGATGAGACCGCCCCGATCCATGCTGATAATGCGAAAGTAGCCAGCATTGACGAAGAGGAAGAGCGAGAAGAGACGATGCTGACGATTGTGCATCTTTGCAAGATACGCCATCACTTGTTTGGCCACGTCTCTGCCCTTGTCGGTGGCCTCCAATGTCAAGGCGCCAAGGTCCACAGAGTTATCGAAGATGTCGAAGTCCAGGTAGTCTTCAACCAAGTCTGGCACTGCCTCGTTGTATTGCGTGCAATCTCGCAGGTCAACATAGACACCCGGGTGAGCGGACAAATCCACTTCAGATTCGGAAGCATGTGCGGAGGGGTCCATAATGCGGTGATTCGTCAAAACTCTACTGATTCCTGTGATCTAGGAGCGCGTCAGGTTACTCTGCCACCAGTGTGAATATGTTGAGCGCACCAAGGGTGGCCACGATGTTTTCGCATCGCTGATAGCGTCCTCCAGTCTGTAATGAGTACTCTCGGTGGGAGACTCCGCCGTCGGAACAAATTCCTCGAGGAACTCCTCGTAATTCATGCTAGCGATCGTGCATTTGCGCATGTTCATGCCCGATGTTGCACGCCACTGATCTTCTTGTCCGTAATGAGGGCCAATATTAGTAGCGAGTTATTCGTGGCTCTTGAGGGGGGCAGGACGACAGGAAGAAGTGATATGTGATCCTGCAGACGATGGTTGTGGACAAGCGCAGTCAGACTTTGATGATGGGAATTTCGAGCGCATGTCACGTGGTCGCCACGAGGCGATGCCTTTCCAACTTGTTCTCAACTCTAGTCCTCCGCAGTGACGTGTCTGACAAAGATGAAGCATGAACCGCGGGAGAACGTGTTCAGATTAAAGCACCAGCCCGAACGAAAGCGAGCCGTCAGGCAGGCAGTGTGCACTTGTGTCGGCCGGGAAAGAGCGAGTTTGAGTGAGCTCTGTGATGCTCGTTGCACAGCATCCCACCCACATTCAATCACTACAAGTACATTCAATTGCCCCCATAGATCGTCCAGTCCCTTTCACGTCGCGAACTACCACTCTCACAGATCCGCAAACTTGTTCGTAGCCTGCATCGTATGGGTTCGTCAGTAACGCCTTCCTTACACGACGCATGATCGAAGCATTAAAGCCCGTCCACACTCACCTCCACCAGCAACTTCGCGATCCCTGGCTCGCGCGCCGAGTGGCCCGCGTCGGGGACGATGTGCAGCTCGATTTCAGGGAAGACCTTCTTAAGCGCCCAGGCGGTCGTTGCCTTGGTGGATGAAAATGATGTCAGCGAGAAGGGGGCGTTTGTGACGGGACGGAGTTGTCAGTGACGGAAAGGAGATGTAAGTGTCAAAAAAACGAAGGCGGCGAGGCGGTGGCTGTAGAACGAAATCGTCGGGTTTGAAAAAAAATCAACCACTGACCGGACAAACAACATCGTACCGCCCCTGCACGACCACCGTTGGGATGTGGCGGCTGAGGATACAGTCGGTCAGCCAATTTCTCAGGAAGACAGAACACGAGCTCAGCGCTCACATCTTGTCGATCTCCTGCTTCTCCAGCAACTGCCCGTCGCGCATGAAGCCCTGACGAACGCGTAAGGTCAGAAGGGTTTGGCGAGCGAGCAGGCCAGTTGGTGCTCGGTAGCGATGAGGAGAATCGACATACATTGTTGATGAAGTAGTGGTTCTCAATCCGTGCGAACGCGCTGAGAGTGCTGCACGTCAGCGACGAGTTTCAGGTGAGGAGAATCACAAAGGTGAGGTGGACACCGAAGAGGCCGGAGGAACGCTTTCGCCAACTTACAGCGCGAACTCATCCGCTTCGGCGCGAGCAATGTATTCTGGGGAGACGTATAGGCGGGAGGTGGCCATCCTGTGCAGAATGTGGGTCAGCCCACTGATCTGACCGGCTGAGACTGCGGGAGCCCCAGTCGATGATAAGGAACCAAATCAAGACTACTCACTCCCACTTGGACCAAGCCTTCGCCGCGCGGGTGCGCACATCCGGGTCGACCGAATTCAACTGCGCATGGTACGCGAGAACCATATCCCCGCGTTCCTCTTCTGGAATGGGCGCGAGGAACTCGTCCCATGCCTCTGGGAAGAGATGCGACGCGCCGTTCTGGTAGAAGAAGTGCAGCTCGGATTTGCGGAGGGTGAAGATACCACTGAAGAAAGCTAAGTCAGGCGCGTTGACGAGGAGCAGGGGCACACACCGCAACACCAGCGTCTTCACGCGCTCCGGATGCGTCTGCGCGTACGCGAGCGACAGCGTCGAGCCCCACGAGCCGCCGAAGACGTGCCACTTGTCGATCTTGAGCTCCTCGCGCAACTTCTCGATGTCCTTCACGAGGTCCCACGTCGTGTTCTCCTCGAGCGACGCGTGCGGCGTGGACTTCCCTGAGCCGCGTTGGTCGAGGAGGATGATCTGTGTGGCGTGAGCGCGCTGTGGTCGTGTCGTTGGTCGAGAACAGCACCTTGTACTTCTCCGGGTTGAAGAAGCTGCGATCTTGGGGATCGAAGCCGCCGCCGGGGCCTCCGTGGAGGAAGACGACTGCAAGAGAGGTAATTGAGTTTGATTCCCTGCGTCCTAACAGCAAGCAACGACGCACCTGGATTCCCTTTCTGATTCCCGCACACCTCGTAGCTTCAGGCAATGAGCCTTGCCGTACCTCACTCCTCGTAGCAGCCACACTCACTGCAGCGTGTGCCGATCGGACACCTTCAGCTTGCCACTCTCATATCTGTCGACGGATCAGTCGCGGGCGATGGCAAAGGGTCCGAGGCTCGCGCACGGCTCAATGGGCGGGTACATGATGCTTGACGGTGAAAGCGATGGGTGCGATGGGTATGATGAGTGCGAGTGGAGGAATCGAGTAGATGGTGGGTGCAGGAAGGGAAGGAGCTTATGCTGAGGCACCGGAAGGGTCTTGGAGACTGAGTTGGCGCTGGCAGGGGCGCCTGAGCCGTATTGTGTCCGAATGTGTGCACGATCACATGCATAGGCGCGTCTTGGGGCGAACTGTCTCAGTGACGTAGACTGAAGCTGGAAGAGCTCGTGTTGACTGGGTAGAATGGTCCTACGAGGACTCGACGCACAACACAACCTGAGCATGATGGTAAGAGACAAGATGGAACGCGCCGGGAGGTCATCTACACGTGTAAAGTATTGACGAGGTATTGGGAGACATTGAAGTTCGAGTGCCAGGCAAACTAGCGATGTCCGAACACACTATCCGATACACAGCAAGCAAATAAGTTACAGTCCCCACGCTACTACGCTACGACACAATGGTCAGATCGTTAGCCTTGAGCGTCAACTCCCGCACATCATCCGCGATGAGCTCCTTCCCATCCACATACAGCGCGTTCACCACCTCTCGTTCCCTATACACCCATGCCTCCTCCTCACTATCCTTTACCTCTTCCACCTTCCTCACCGGCGCCAACTCATACAAGACCTCCAGCGCCGACAGCGCCCCGCCATACGCATGGCTAATCCCCGTGTCAATGATGATAATCTTCCCCTCGCACCGCGACACAATCCCGTGGAAGTCCGGCGTGTGGCCCATGATCATGCGTCGGGTACCAGTCTTGTTGAGCACGCCGTCCACCGCGGCACACACCTCGGCCTCGGTGCCCAACGCCCAGCCGCGGTACCACAGCGGGCCATCGGCGCCATAGAGCTCAGCCTCTTCGTCTGTGGTGCTGTGAGGTAGGCCAGGGTACGCGGCGGGCGGATGAGGTGGAGGCTGAGTGCGGCGCTGGAGCTTGCGCAGGAGGGAATCCGAGAGGTCGTTGATGCGGGAGGGGAAGGGGGAGAGGTTGCTGTATGTGGGCGAGAGGCCGCCGTGAACGAAGGAAAGCGCGACATGTGAGAGAAGAGGGCTTGCAGATGGCTGCTCGGTATTGGGATAGGGCGTGTTCGGCGGACCGAGAGCGGGGTGAAGAGGTAAGCGGGAAGCGGTAGTGTAGTTCGCAGCCCAGGTGTTGCCGATGCGACCGGTGGAGAGCATGTCTTGTCGCTCCTTGACAGAACCGAAGGTCTTGATCTCGGAGGGATACACATATCTGAGGGAGGGTACGTTAGCTACGTGTAGCTTATGATCAACGACGGTACGCCACGCACCTCCAATCCCCAATCGCATTCATCCATTCGTGGTTCCCAAGGTGCGACAGGACCTGACCTCCGGTTTCAGGCGCCTGCGCGCGCAGCTTGTCCATAAGGTCAAACAACGGGATCGTATCGTCGCCTCTGGTATGCGTTAGCGCAACGTCACCGACGGCGGTTGCGGGACACGGCCATTGACCTTAGCAAGTCCACCATCCCACTCACCTATCTATTATATCCCCTGTCTGCACAAAGAAGTCCGGAATCCCTGTCCAGTCGCCCGCCTCGTCGATCACGCCCGAGAACTTGAGGACCTTGAGCGCATTCGGGAGGTCGCCGTGCAGGTCGCCCACGGCAACTATGTGGCGTTTGAAGGAAGGAGGAGCGTCGAAGGGGGGATGTTCTTCAGCCTGCGTTGATGCTTGCTCGAAGACCGCCTGTCGTTGTCCGTCGACTTCCTGCGCCGCCTGCAGCACAACCTGCTCCCCGCCCAGCACATTCGCCACGGAGGTCGGGAGATGCAGCAGCAAGCTCGTCGGGACCAGCGACGTCAGGTCCAAGTAGTAGAACGCGACCGCGAGCAGGAGCGCCAGCGCGCTCAGATGTAGCCGGCCGGGCGCCATGATGGTGATGATGGCGGAAGCAAAGCTGCTTTGGTTCCCGATTGGGAAGGACTTGTTGTTTGTGCGCGAGTTGCTTCTGACCACCATCGTGTCTCGTGCTGCTTCCTCAATATCATCCGCTCACTCCAGCTTTCGGGGCAGCGCCATGTCTAAACTTGCGACACAGGCTCTCACCTTATAGCTGGGCTGAGAACGAACCTGCGCGCGTGAGGCGTTGGCATGCTGGTAGCGGGCAGCGGCCCGCACTCTCCCTGACAGCTGGCTTCTCATTCCCCCGCGATTCATGAAGCTGGTCGTATAAATGTCTTTGCCTGCATATCCGAACGCTTAGCACCTCCAGTATCTCTGCGCCTCATCTGACATGTACCTCCTCGTCGTCCTCTTAGCTTCCTTACTCTCTTGGACCCACTATGCCGCTGCGCAAGACGGGTACGCCACCGAGAACGGAGGTGTCACTGGCGGCTCTGGCGGTACTACTATTACTGTGTCGTCGGCTGCGGCCTTCGAGACTGCTATCGTGGTAAGCCCACGCCACACCTTCTTTGTTCGGAAAATCGTGCTGACAGTATTCTTAATCGCCAGCAAGACGAGCCCACCGTCGTATACCTCTCGGGACCCCTCGAGCTCGACGACCGTCTCAATGTCGCTAGCAACACCAGTATATTCGGGATAGGTTCGGACGCAGTCATCACCGGTGGTGGGCTTCGCATCGAGGACGCGTCAAATGTCATCGTGCAGAACCTGGTCATCAATAAGATCGTAGGTATGTGGTCGTGTAGGGCTGCTTTTCCTGTCTCTCGATCCGGACCCATCGTTCACAGCTGAGGGTTAACGAAATTATCTGTAGGCGACGATGCCATTAGCATCCAAGAAAGCACGAACGTATGGATCGACCACAACGAGTTCTTCTCGGACACGGATCACGGATTCGACTACTACGATGGGCTGCTGGACATAACACACGGCTGCGACTTCATCACGGTGTCGTATAACTATTTCCATGATCACTACAAGGTCAGTCAAACGCTTTGGACACTGAACGCTTGCTCACTCCATCATCTGTAGTGCTCCCTGATCGGCGCAGATCCTGACAACGCTGACGAAGGTAAGTGGAAAGCAGGTTGACCGACATGTTCACTGACCGCGGGTATGAGACACCGGCAAATTCCACATTACCTACCACCACAACTACTTCAAGAACATCCATACGAGGACGCCCGGTAGGCTTCGTCATCTCACCATTTGACTTTGCCTTATGCAGAGAGTCGATACAGCCGCCCGCTTCGCCCACGTCCACTCTTACAACAACCTTTTCGAGGATATCGTATCGCAAGGAATCCACTCGCGCTCGGACGCCGAAGTGCTCATCGAGGGCAACGTCTTTGTGAACTCAACCGAACCGCGTGAGTGGCAGTCCTCACAAATATTGCGTTGGCTCGCATTTCTGACGGCGTGGTCCGGTTCATCATCTGCGTTTATTTCTTCAACACCAGTCTCGACATACGGATTCGTCATCCCAGACGACTCGCCGGAGGACCCCGAGGGCGACTACGAGCCTGATGGGTACGCGAACTTGGGCGCAGGTACGGAGGCGTCAGCACCGAACCGGAAGGATAACTCTGACGAATGCTTCGACAGACAATGACTGGGGCAGCGGCGAGATCAATCTCACGCAGACGGGGACCTTCACGAGCGTACCGTATGCGTACACGCTTACACCACTTGACGAAGTGCAGGCGGCGGTGCAGGCCGGGGCAGGGGTAGGCAAGTTGTAACGTCGCCTCAAGTGAGGCTGTCGCCAGGGGACTTGGGCTTGCCGAGCGCATGGCAGGGACGACGGCGCCTTCGAAAGGCCAGATATGAAAGACCTCGACCATGCCTCTCTACCGGGCCTGTCAATCGATGCCGATGAAACGGCCATGCCACTCTGCACTAATATGGCCATTCCATTGTCCGAGTCAGACAGCCGTGCGCCGCAGTCTGTAACCGAGCCGGGACCCGTGGTCCGATCAATGTCTCCGAGATGCGAGATGGTTCGCTGGCCTTTTGCGCGTGCAGATCACTGCCGAATCGCCGGGTGATTGAGAACAATGCAAAGAGAAGACGTGTAAGCCCGTCAACATTGTTTTCGCGGAATGCGGAGGCTCAACTGTAACGTTTCAAAAGACTTTCGCGCGTGTGGCAATGGGCTTTCGATTGTCGGGCGTGGTCCCACTCCCCTTGTTCTGTATCTGAGCTCATTCATCCCATCTGAGGCTCAAAAAGCAACCCGAGACGGGATTCGAACCCGCAACCTCCGCCTATCTCCCTACCGGAAAGCGATATCATGACCATTAGACAACTCGGGCGATGGCATTGTCCCTGCCTGACTTGGAATAATAACCTGCTTTTTTTGCGCATCGAAAGAACAGATGAAATCGATATGAAAGAGATGATATCAGTCCTCATGTCAGCCCGGCAATGGCTGCGGCCAATTCTTTATTGCTCGACTTGTCACGACGGCTGAGTTTACCTCCGAACGAATAGGGGCTTCCATTTGAGGGTGAAACATTGTGCCTCGTGTAGATCACGTGACTGCCTCGCGACCTCGAGGCGTCATCAAAGCGCGTCTTGTCAACAACCACCATCTGTCGGGCCAAGTCAGGCTTATCGTTTGTTTGAGCACGTGGGGTGATTAGGCGTGCATATATAAACACCTGAAGAGGGTGCGCAGCTTTGTCTCTTCCACCGCGTGCCAGGGCTGACCCTTCTGCCACCATGTCCGCAGTCCCCTCCACTCCCCAGCGATCGTCTTCGCTCGCTCAATTCCTCCTCCGGTCGGAATCGCTACCGAGCGGCACGCCAGTTAGGTCTAACAGCAGCCAGTTTGCCTACGACAAGGGCCAACCGCTTCCCTTACACGACCGTCGATCCCTTCTGGCCGAAGCCATGCACGGATACACGATTGGAAGGAAGAAATATAAGGAATTTCTTGAGGAATTTGTACCCAAGGCGCCTACTCCTACGCCGGACGTTCGATACCGATTGGGGCCCTTGGTAAATGAGGCATCGCTCTATAATCCCTTGGTGCGTTGCCCTCCATCGTGCAGCGTGGTCAAGCAACTGACGATAACACAGCTTAAGGGGGTCAACAGAGTCCTCAAGCGAGGTCAGTCCCTATGAATGATGCAACAGTCCCCTGAGCCCTCAGGGGAAACTGATGCATCACTGGCCTGAACTTATAGGCCTGAGCTCTTAGGCCTTTGTTGCATCAACTGATGCAACAACTGACTGAGAAAACTACTATAGCTACAGCTACTCGGACAGTGCCGTACCCTCCTGCATCCTCGGCCATCGCCGTGGTCCCCGTCGTCGTCGCCAGCAGCGCGTGCACCGTCGTCGTCGTCGTCGTCGTCGTCGTCGTCGTCCCGCCCTCCGACGCGCGCGCGCACGTGCAGCCCGCCTCCCGAAACTTCCCACGCTCCTCCCGCCGCGTCGCCCCGCCCTCCCGCCGCGTCGCCCCGCCCTCCCGCCGCATTGCCCCGCCGCGTCGCCCCGCCCTTCCCGCCGCGTCGTGTAGCATCGCCCAGCCATCTCGCCACGCACACGGCTTGCCCCACTACCTAGCGCGTCGGGCTCGCACCATCCATCGCGCTCGCACGTGCACCTGCGATCCCTCGCCTCCCGTTCCCGCCTCTTCCCACGCTCCTCCCACCGCGTCGGCCCACCAGCCACCCCGTGCATGCTCGCAATGGGTATCCCGCACCCGGTTCCTCGCTGTTGCCCTCCTCGTAGTCGAACATACAGCTGCGCGCTTGCAGCTCGCCACGCTCTCGGCAAGCGGTGTGCGCTCGCTCATCACCGTGCACGCACGGCCGGCTCATCTGCACGAGCACCAGCTGTCGGGCTGCGTGTACTCGGCAGCTACCGCATACGTCAACACGCCCACCAGACAACGCCCCTGCCCTGCGCTACTCGTGCACCTAGGCGCAGCGTCACACGAGCAAGTGCCGGGAGGTCGGGCCGCGCTCGCGCCGGTCCTCGCGCATTGCCTGGGATGTCGTTCGGGATGATACGTCGAGCAGCGCGCGAAGCCGTTGTAGCAACGTGCTGTACGTGCTTTGACGTGCGCGTAGCTCATCCCGACAAGGCAGGAGGCTTGCATGTATGCATACGGCGGCACAGACGTGCCGTGTATCATGGCATGCACGCGACAGAGGGTCTTTGGGTACGTTGACGCGTCCATGGCGGGAGCCGGCGGGGACGAGGATGTGGGTGTGTAGATGAGGGTGATGGGAAGAGTGCAGGATGGACACTGCAAAGGGCCGGTCGATCGGTCGTGGAGAGACCGGAGCAAATGCTGGACCGATGCGCTGTTGAGCGCGATGGTGGAAGACTCGGGGTCGTACAGTCTAAGAGCGTGGCCAACGGCGGCGGCGGCAGCGACGGAGGTGAAGAAAAAGGAAGTGAGCGTGATGCAGTCGACACGTAGCGCGACTGGTGATGGTGGAAGAGAGCAAGAAGGCTGACACGTCAAAACCCAGTTTAGGAGCATCACGTGGCAGATGTGGGTCCATCTTTATGTCCAAGCTATCCACTCGAAATTCTTCTAAGTCAAGGTCGTGTATAGTACTACTCAGGTACAAGGGGGCTACCGTCCTCTAAGTCATCCAGTTCATCTCGTTCTACACCATCCAAAGCATCTTCCAGATCTTGCCGTGCATCCTCGTCAGTCAGCTCCCCAACCTTGTCAAACAACAGCTCTAAAGCAAGTCTAGCAGCCTCCCTAGGCCGCTTCCACTTCGCCTCCAGGACGGTTGCCCGCTCGATGCAGACCATAGACTGCTCCAGCGCGTACGACCGAAGGCCATCCTTCACAAGCTCGTCGCAGGTCGTGCGCGCATGAGCACGCTGCTGCCACTGTTCGGCATCGTGATCTAGCGACGCGATCGTGCGACGCATCTCCTCTAGCAACAGCTGCGTCTCCTCGCGGTCTCGATCACGGCGAGCTTTCGACTTGAGAAACTCGACTCGAAGAGCTAACGAACAACGGGATCAATAGGACACGGATGTAGAGTAGGAAGCACTCACCCTCGTTCAGTTCAGCATCACCGGCACCCTGTCCGGAATCCATATACCATATCCACGAAAGACGCCGCGAGCCCTCGCCGGCGTTGACCACGCCGGCGAGAATGACACCGTCGGCAGCAGTCCAGTCAGTGTCAGCGGCAAGGGACCTTCCCGCAGCGCGTTGAGCTTTCTCCTCCGACGTTAGGGCTCGCTCATTCAACGCGCGTACATCTTCATCTTGCAGAACGCGCAACTGCCTCTCCCAGTCTCCAGGTCCTCGCAGATGCAGCAAACAGTTGCGAGCAAAGCGATAACGGACCTTCGAGGTATGTATCCGTTTGGCCAGCTTGTCGAATGCCTGGCGCGCCCGCGTCGCTGCACCGATTTGGCGTACGTTGGCCTGGCGATATTGATTCGTGGCCGTTCGTATGCGCAGGCCACGTCGAAGATCTTCCAAACACTCTTCTGCCTCTGCGGTGCGGAAAGCGATCTCGGTTTTGGCGACGTGAGGCGCGCAGGCTGCAGCACGCGCTGCATCCGTGAGTTCGGACGGCAAGAACAGACGTATATTTTCGATTGCTTCGGGGATCCTGTTGTACGTCGCAAGGTCGGCGCTCGAAAGATTGTCTTGAAGCGATGGCATGAACGTGCGCTGCCAAGCGCGTAGCTTGTCGACGGATTTGCGTAGAGCGACCCGCTTGTTGAATATGGCGAGCTGCTGCGTACTCGTCGGGTTGTTGATGGCTTTGACCTCGAGCGCAAGGAGGCGCCTGAGACGCATTAGCACGTGGCGACGTAGACAGCTCGACACTTACTGGGCATGCTGTACATCAATCCCGAGCTTGATGAAGGACGTCACAGTCATTTCTTGCGGGACAGGAGTGCCATCGGCGGTGTGCTGGGTTTCTTGTTGCCGAAGGGAGAGCTCGACATCTCTAAGGTTTCGCACTGAAGGGAATAAGCCATCGTCATCGCCCAATGCGTGCAGCCTCACCTTTCGTCGTGAACTCGTAAGGACACGGCACGCTCGTCCGGTCCTGTTGCCACTTCGACTCGGTTTCGAGCCATTCTTGCACGAGAGGGGCGTTGCGCTTCTCAACTCCGTCACGTAGCTGTTCAAACTCGTTGTAGGAATCCATGAAAGACACGACGGACTTGACGAGTCTCCGGGGCAACAATCGACCTATGGCAGCTTCAACATCACGTTAGATATGCACTCGAAGAAGTGACTTACCTAAGCTAACATCCATCTCATGGTTATGACAGCCACCGTGATCTTCGAGGGTGAGCTGCCGCGTACCAGGACCCATTGGCTTCGTCTGAGCGGCGGACTTGTTGAGGAGGAACCAGTTCTCCTCCACCGTCTCTCCGTGCGTCCGGCCGACACCCAGCCCAAAGTGGAATGAATAGAGCGCATGACAAGCCGCTCGATGTGCTGGCAAGTGGAAATTGGGGACGAAGTAGCGCAGTACCATGTCGGCAATGCGACCCTGGATGGTCGCCGGTAGGGTAGCAATGCGGTCCTTGAGCTTCTTGTCGAATACACAGGCAACATCGTATGAATAAACGACGTTGGGTACTTCTTCGTGCGCGAGAGCGGAAGCGAGAACATATGTCATGTTGCAGAACCTGTCTAAGCCGTCAGAGCAGTCGAGCAGTACTAGAACTGGAAACGTACCGTTCGCCTTTCTGCAGATCGCCCATGCCATTCGGTAGGAACATATTGTGGCGCGAGCAGATCACGGCCGCGACCCCCGTTGCGCGCAAACCGCGCACACGTTTGGCATTCGCGAGGAAGATCGCGGCGAAGCCCGAGCACGTCGAGATCTGTGGAGCCCATCAGTGCGTTTACAAGTGAGCTCAACATCAAACTTACATCGCCCTCGCTCGCAAATGAGCTCACATACTTCAGGTAAGGTTCCCTCTTGACGAAGTAAGCCCAGCCATCTCCCAGCGGCGGATTTCGCGCCTCGCTCGAGCGGACTGCGTTGGCAAGGCGGAAGTTCGCATCTTGAGCGATGAACTTCTGATAAAGAAAGCTGTAATGCTATTAGCTGAACACCTCGCAGACTATCGGCGCGGGCATACCTCGTATCCGGGCCTGCTTCTTGCCAACCTCGAGGTAGGTTACGACCGGGCTCAGGGCATGCGGGACATCTGATAGCCAAGCCCCCTTGAGGAGTTGTACTCACGCCGTCGTCGACGTGGGCCCTCCCGAAGCGCCTGAGCATGACGACGTGCCGAAAATGATTGATCATGCTGGCGAATACCTGGCGCTTGCTCTGCGTCTTTGTTAGCGCTGGGTACATCTCATACGAAGGGGTCAGACGTACCTTGATGTGTATCGTGCCCGTGTTGTCAGTGAGGCGCTCGATCGCACGCCAAAATTCGTGTATAGAAATCTTGCTGCATGCGTTCAGCTTGTGGAATTGGCGTAAGCACGCGAGCGTGGCGCAAGTCTGAGGATTCTTGATGGTTCCCGGCCACCAGCCAACTCGCATGAGTTGTTGGCGGTGGTTCTCGGCGCTCTTGCCGCAGCCGCAGAATTGGACAGCTACAATATGCACGCCATTCGTGTCGATTATAGTGAAGTCGCTATGGCCACGGTCGGCTTGTATGCAGCATTCGCCGGGCGGATGGCCAAGCTGTACGACCTGCCCAAGACGCTTGAGGGACGAGCGGCGGAAACATTCGTGTTCGGGATTCCATTCCTTCGGATACAATTAGTTAATCGATCGAGGAGCAGCGCCAGCCACGTACCTCACAGCTGATGTCTTAAAGCCTTTGCAAAGTTCCCTCTAAGTTGTAGGTCATGCTTTTGCAAAGTTCACGAAGTGTTTATCTGCACAGCCACTGCCCCCGGGATCTCGCCGGCGACGCCTCCGGGCACCGCCCGATGTGGCAGGCGACCCCCCGAGCTCACCGTTCGGGCATTTCCGAGCGTCGCGCCGCCTCCCGCCGCGTGCGGGCGCGATTGATGCGCCTTCCGGCGCGTCGCGTTCGCTTAGTCAGCGGGTTGTGCAGCCTCGCGCGCGAGTGCGCGTCGTCGCCGCTCGTCGCCCTATGCATCTAAATTGACTCAATAAAGATGTATCAATACTATATAGATACAATTAAACTAGTGGCACGTATATACACGTCCAAAGAACGAAGAAAATGAGAAAGCGGCGGCGAAAAATTTTCGCCGACGCTATACGCGTTGCACAGCCCGCGTAGGAGGGCTGCGGGAACGCGCAGGCAAGGTGAGAAGGGAAGGGGAGGGGTAGACGGTGTTGGCCGCGACCGAGAGCGAGGGAGAGAGCCCTGCTCGTTGTCGCGGGAAGCGGCGCACGTTGGTCGCGCGGCTGCGGCATGGGTTTTTCGTGACCCTTTTACTGGGATCGCGGCGCGCGTGAGGGGTAAGGGAAGGCGGAAGTGGACGAAGAAGGGGGTGGGGGACGCGAAAAGCGCTTGGGCGGCTTGCCGCGGTCGTCCCGGCACGGCTACTGTTGTTTGGGCGAGGTGGGGATGGCGCGGCAGTGTGGCGAGCTGGCTGGCCCGCGGCGGCACGGGCTCGTTCTTGTGACGTGTGGGGGTTATATGCGTCGCCGCCGCGAGAAGCGGCGACGCTGTGCTTGAGTGAAGTCGCGGGGGTCGTGGTGGTAGAAGGAGGGGGGAAGCCGGCCGATCACGTTCCCCGCGATCGCATTTGCGCTCGCGCGGACTTGCTGCAGGTTTTGTGGACTCGAACAATAGAATAGTCAGCTGAAATCGAAGTACTGAACGTGTTTACGCACCGGGGAGTTACATCCTCGCGCGCTGCACGCGCTCATCCTTCTGCCTACTCGGACCTCTTGTAGCACAATTTCCGTGCGGTTGCTGATGAGCCCAAGCGCGGAGAACGAGTCGCCAATCGTGGCGGGTGCGTATCTGGTGACTGGGGAACGAGGGAGGGGGCTAATGGGCCGCGGGGGAGGGGGAGGGGGTCGAAATTGATACCCTATGAGGTAGTTAGTGCTGAATCCGCGTATATTGGAGGGTATAGCGCACCTGAATGGGCACTATGCATTTCTAGAAGGCATATCTGCGCCTTTATGTGGTTGTTGAGGGTGGCGGACACGAGCGGCGAGGCGGAAATGGGGGTAGGACGCGAGAGCGACGCGTTATGTCACGTCACGAACGCGTTCATTTGGAGCGCGCTTGGGACGGAAGATAACGCGATTGTCATCCATCGCAGCTGAATACTGGCCCAAACAGAAGAGCGATGTGTATCAAGGTACTTGCCTTACTATCTGGCACATTGACCCTTCTTGTGCCTATCCTCCAAATAGGAGTAACTGACCACTGTCTGCCCAGATACTTGCCACCTCACAAGATCTTTGCTTCATCTGATCCATCCAGAGCGCCTCGTTGTGCATTATCTACTGATAGCATGTCTATACCTATCTACAAATATAGAACATGAACTTTCCTAGCTCTGCCAGGTCGTAGCCCTTCAGAATAGCGTTGGCTCATTCTTATGCACGAGTGGAATATGTGCATTACTCTCTTTGTGACATACACTATTTCCGGCTTATTCTATGCACAAAACCATAGATTTCAGCCCGGAATTCCCTTAGGACTATGCTTCCCTTGCCATACGACGTTTTTTTGCATCTTTATTCGTCGATCCGCGTGCTCGCGAGAACGCGAGGCACGACGACAACAAGCCTCGGACGCTCGGTCCGATCCTCCGATTGTGCTTGATCAGCGCCCCGCTACTGCGCCGATTCATCTGGCGATCCTCCCCTCGTCTCACCTACAGAATCGAGCGTGTATCATCCATATCTAGCTGTATGTGAGGGCTCCCAGTGAGAACGCGAGTAAGAAGAGGGGAACAACATGGGGCATAGGCAGGGGTGGGCTAGCGCTCAGTACAGGTGCGTGGGCTATGCCCTGCGCGCAGATTCACTCACTGACATCTATTTCATACATATTTATGCTATTCTTGCCGCTGCGGTGCACACCCCCGCACCGTCTCGCGCGCCAGACGCTCTGGCGAGCACCTTCGGGCGACGGGCCGGCGTGCCGGTCCGGTCATCCGACACGTCCGGCCGCGCGTCCCTTGGTCTCCTGCCATGATCATCGCCTGCGCATTGTCCCCCCGTCGCCCTCAATCCCCCTCCACCTCTTCTTACCATCCACCTCCCTATTTGACCTCTAATCACGAACTCAAGGACGCGCCTCGACGCGTGAGACGCGCATATCGCATAGGACCAGCCCGGTGGATCACGCACGCAAGGGGCGGCCTGCAACAATCATCGCGCGGTGTAAAAGCGTGCCATAGGTGGTGGAGCATCTACTGGAGATGCATTCAGGTGCGTCGCTACGCGCTATGATATAAGTATTGAACTAACATCAATTTTACGCCCTATACAACCATTCTGGCGCCATACAGGCCTGCTTGAACCGCCCCCAGCCCTCTGCGTCCTCAAGACACCCACGCGCCCCTCTGCGTCGTCCCTCTCACCCCCTCCTTCGTTGAACGCGTGTCCCGCGCTGAGCGCCCGCCGTTCGAGTACTCACCGCACCGGGAATTCACGGCGCTGGTGCTCGGCGCGAGGTACGCCATCCAACGTTCCGCGGCCTGCACGGCCCCGCGGGTCTCAAGCGGGGAAAGGCCGTGCGCGCATATCCGCACGCGTCGACAAGCATGCAGATGGGCAACCGCGCGATGCTGCCTGACGAACAAGCCGCACGCGCTCGTGCTGTGGGGCGTAGCTCGCGTCTCCACATCTCCCCCTCCCCCCTATCATGCTTACGACGCGCGCTCTTCATGTCCGCTTGCACTGGCTGGACGACGCGCGCGGCGCCGGCGAAAAATTTCCCCGGCGCTTTTTTGCCCCCTTTTTTTCTTTTCCTTGCACGTACGTACACACAGTGTATGACTGGTATACAATGATACATGTCTTGCTACTACGAGCTTGAGGGACGATGAGCAGCGGAGGCGGCGACGACGCGTGCGCGCGCGCGAGGCCGCGCGACGCGCTGACTAAGCAAGGCTGACGCGCGGGAAGGCACGGGGGGCGCATCAATCGCGCGCGCGCGGCGCGGGAGGCTGCGCGACGCTCGGAAATGCCCGAACGGTGAGCTCGGGGGGTCGAATGCCGCATCGGGTGCTGCCCGGAGGCGTCGCCGGCGAGATCCCGGGGGGGTGGTGGCTGTGTAGGTAACACTTCGTCAACTTTGCAAAAGCACGACCTACAACTTATAGGGAGCTTTGCAAAGGGGGTACGTCCACAGGTGCATCACCGGGCTGGCTTCTGTACGTGGTTCTGCCTTCTCGCTACTGTCCTAGCTCCTAACGCGTCTCTCATAGGACATCAGTGCTTACTACCGACGGAAAGCAAAGCAACATAATCGAACGGTGTCAATTGACCTTCAGGCCGTCGCGCTCGCCCAAGTTGCCGGCAAGACGAAGATCACTGTCTCTACCCGCACATCCCAATACTACTCGACTCTATGCTACACGGAGCGTATCAAGAAGACTTTCGAGGAGCGCTTCCAGGCGGAGATGCAGTCCTGGCAGGCGAAGAAGGAGGCAGCCGGGTCAGCGGGAGCCCCTTTCTCCGAGGACAAGCCGACAACCATGGGTGTCCGTAACCGCGTTACGAACGAGTTTTGGGCAAAGGAGCCCCCCGAGTACAAGGCTATGGTGGAGAAGATGCACGCGGAGGAGTTGGACAGGCAACGGCGAGCGGCTCGCGAGCTGATTAACCCCAACGCGCCGTCGACGCCTGAAGAGCTCCAGAGGTACGTTCCTGACCTTTTAGCCGTGTTCACCAGCTCAACGCGCGACAGGTTATACGATTCGGCTGCCCTTTACCTTCAACCGTTCGCTGACGCTGCGGCGGGGTCGTTCAAGGGTATTGCGGCGATCATGATATGTGCCCCGATGCCCGAAGACGGAGGAGATCTTGGAGTTTTTAGGTGCGTGAATAGCCTTACAGATCGCACGAGTCGCTGACCGAAGATGGACAGCGTCCATGCCAATCCGGCGGATTCCCTCACGAAAGCCAAGTGGCCGCAGCTCTTTAAAGAGAAGTTTCGTCAAGTGGAGAAGGGGATGCTGGAGTACGGACAGCATGTATTCAGTGAGTTGCTTGTCCTCCAGTCCAGTCATGCTCTAACACTCAGGCAGGCAAGAAGACACGCATGTCGCGAGCACTTCCCTCGATGTTGACGGGCCCTCTCGAGGCCGAAAACGAGGATCATTCAACACCCGATGAGCAGGACGACAATCCCCCCAGCGTGGACGACCTCTTCGACGACCACTTCTACGACCATGTTAACGATGACGAAACCTCCGGATACGACGCGAACGAAGTTAACGACGAGCAGGGTCAGCACGAACCTGGACAACATGAGCACGAGCAAGAGCAAGAGGACAGCAACGTCGAGGTCGTTCGCGAGGGGGACAACAACTCCTTCGCCCACGTCGACGACAGCCTTGAGCGCGAGCACGACATGATGCGCATGATCCATGAACAGGACAACACCAATGACTTCAATAATGCGCCACGTCCAATGACCCCTACCCTCGAGGACGAGCCTCTGTTCCTCCACGCGTCATCGCCGGCTCAGCCTTCTCGTGCATCATCCGTCGTCTCCAAATCTGCGTCGCGCGCTATCCAGGCGCCAGCTTGTCAGCAGAACCTGCCGCGAATGGATGAGCCGCATGCGCCATCGCAGGCGCTGCCTCCGCCGGCGAGCGCTTCTCTGCAGCCGGTGCTGCGTACGGCCGCTACGCCCACGGCAATCGGCTCCCATCCGAACGTTCCTCCCATCATCCACGACATATGGAAGCTGAACGCGATGCCGGCGTGGTCTGAGCACGTACGCCTGGCTGTCACAGCTTGTAGGCGCGGACAGTCTTGGGCAACGGCTTTCGGAGATGCCGTCAAGTCGTACGTCGAGTTTGAGGAGGCGCATGGCTTTCCAGCGAAGGACGCGGGCCGCAAGGTCATCAGTGACAAGAAGACACGCCCGCCGCAGTATGCTGCTTGGCTCAAGATTGCCCGCCCCTACGATCGCCCAATGCTCATCAAGGACATCGACGAGTACACTCAGCAGTGGTGGGGCTGGCTGGCGGCACACCTTCCCGAAGGGCTCCGCAACCAGAACAGCTACTTGCTCGACCTGTCGCGCGTAGATCTCGCCGACGCGACGACCTGGAATGGACTGGACAAGGCCTGCGGAAAGGACGGTGTCCTGCAGATTGTGCTCTCGCTTCTCTGGTGGGGCGATGCGGTACACGGTCACGGCACCTACACTACCACCCAGCGCGATAATTGGGAAGCTGCATGCGTCGAACTGAGCGGCATTCTCAATGCTATGGCCGGTGTAACTCGGAGGTCCCAGACTGGCAGGTTCGTCATATTCTCATGCCCTTTTAGCCTTGTTTCCGTACTGATATCTATGCTATAGCAAGAGGATGTCATCGGGCGATGCTCCTCCGCCCCCGCCTGCTAAGAAGCGCAAGCAGCAGGAGTCGAAGGCTGCGACGCCATCTCACGTTAGCCGCGCCTCAACTTCCACCTCTTCGTCCTCTCGCCGCCGCCGCCGCTGATATAGCTATGATCCTTTCGCATATTCCGCACTGGAAGGCTGGTATTTCTCCCTTTACGACCGCAATGCTCTCACGAACGACGCTCTCTCGCTATCCTGATGTCACTGACGAACTTCAACTTCTCGTTGTCCTTGTACCTTCATTCTTTCATCTGGACTTCGTGTTACCTTACTTTACAGCTTATATACACCCTTATTATATATCACCCATAGTACAATATATCCCTCGACTTACCCTCGTGAATACACATCTTGAACTGCGGAGATTTGAACTTGTGGGTCCGAGTGTATTGTGCATGACTGTTTGTACGAGTTTTGATGTGGCGTTACGACTTGAGCCAAACACACCTCGCAACTCTGTCTTCCACCACCACCACCTCGATCGTCCCACCATTGGTGCCGCCCATCGCGAATGCTTTTCCGGCACTTCAAGCGCTCAATATCCCGGGCCCTGAACTTTCTCACTACATCGAGCATCCAATAACGCGCTTTCACAATGATCAACGGCGGCTCTCATTTCGCCTGCATCGCACGCGCGCCCACCGCACCTCATCTCGCACTGCTCGCGATCGACAACTACAACACCGCCAGCGCATTCCCTATCACACCAGCCGCACCGCGCTCACCACACGCTCCTGGCTTCCTCACCCACGTCATCGGCACCTACATTCTCATCTCTACACCCTTGCCCTCGTCGGCCTCCACCTCGTCAGTTGGCACGCTACGTGATTCTCCACGTGCGCGCCGATTGACACGCTGCGCATGTGCCACGCGCTGCTCTTCGATGGGTAGTGCAAGTCGCTCGCGTGGTTGGGTGTGGATGGCAGTCACCTGCCGCGGCTGTCCAGGGCCCACATTCGGGCTCCCTGACTACCTCCGGCCCAGCGAGAGCGCGATGTAGTGCAGCGTGGCAGCAGGCGAGCCCGCGATGGCTCGCAAGCGGGGCTGAGTTTCCCAATGGACACGTGCGGGGTACCCATGCAAGCCGGGAAGGATGAGCGTCGGCGAGCCTGCGGCTGCACGTGCAACTGCGAGGAGGGCGAGTGCGATGAGCCAGCCACAATCGTGTGCGGGGCGAAGGCGGGGCGACGCAGCGGGAGGAGCGTGGGAAGAGGCGGGAACGGGAGGCGAGGGATCGCAGGTGCACGTGCGAGCGCGATGGATGGTGCGAGCCCGACGCGCTAGGTAGTGGGGCAAGCCGTGTGCGTGGCGAGATGGCTGGGCGATGCTACACGACGCGGCGGGAAGGGCGGGGCGACGCGGCGGGGCAATGCGGCGGGAGGGCGGGGCGACGCGGCGGGAGGGCGGGGCGACGCGGCGGGAGGAGCGTGGGAAGTTTCGGGAGGCGGGCTGCACGTGCGCGCGCGCGTCGGAGGGCGGGACGACGACGACGACGACGACGACGACGACGACGGTGCACGCGCTGCTGGCGCACCTTGTGCAGTAGATTGGTTTCAAAACCAACCCGACAACTTGCGTAATTCGGTTTGAAATCTACGCGACGTGATCACGGGCCCGGCAAAAGCCGAGCTCGCCCGCCCTCTGCGCCAGCCGCCGGCCCCGGGCGATGCCCTTATAGGGCACCGACGCCGTGATGCGCGCCGCGCGTGCGTCGGGCGGCTCGCGTGACACGCGTCACCCCGCGGATGCGTCACGCGCGCCCCGCTCCGCGCGTCGGGGGCGCGCCGCGTGCTGCCGCGACGCCTCGTATCGCGCGCGGGATGCTTGTAGATGAATAGAATATGTGCCTAATGTGTATATATGCACGAAAAGGAGGCGGGGAGGGGGGGGGGAAGCCAGTGAAAACACGAAAACAGCGCGGGCGAAAATTTTCGCCCGCGATCGATGCGCTCCTGGTGCTCGCAGAGCGCGCGGGAACGCGTCGAGAAGGTGGGGGAGGGTAGGGAGGCATCCCCCCGAGCTACGGGCGCCCATTCGCGTCGAGGGACGCGTCCGCGGCGGCACGTAGCAGGCGAGGGAGAGGGGGAAGGAGGGTGGCGCATGGCTACGCAATTGTGCCGCTTCTGCGTCTTCGCGAGGGGCAGATGCAGAGCGAGGGGGTGGTGGGGCACGCTGCGTGCTCTCTCTCTCTCGAGATAGAGGGCAGCGCACGGCTGGGGAGCGCGTCGAGGGGGTTGCCCAAGCCGCTGGCAGCGGCTCCGCATGGTCGGCCTAGCCAATCGCGGCCGTGCTCAGACACGGCACACTGAGAGCAAGTCTCGGTGGCGCGAAAGGCATCGCCAGTTGCGCGTAAAGTCGCCACGAGGGCGATTCTACGCGACCGGGGTGTAGGGGGAGGAGGATGCAGTAGGCTACCCACCTGCACGCGTCGGGCATGCAGGTGGGGGTGGTAGCGGCTAAGAAAGCCACCAAGACTTCCTAGGGCGCATAGTACGCCCCAGGCGAGTCCCCTGCGCCCTCAAAGGCGGTCTGAGGGGGGGGGGATGGCGGGGAGGGGGGAGAAAAGTGGGGAGGTGGTAATGGCTGCGCCATTCTCCCCGTCGTCGCGGTCGCGCGCCTGTTCTCGCGCCTCCCCATACGCCATTACAATGTAATGTTAGTTTCTTAACGATGAGCGGGGCGTATGCACGCACCTGCGGTCCCCCTCCACTCACGCCGGGGCGGCCAGCGTTATCTGGCGCCTTTCGTTGTCTTGGGCGGTGCTGTCGTCGCATCCAGCGGAGAACGCTGATATTCGAGATGAAAGGAAGAGAGGGAGTGGGGAGGGGTGTCCTGATGCGGCAGGGGCGACGAAGGAGACGACGTGGTGGTGGTTGGAGACACAACGAGGAGCAGCCAGACGCGCCGGATGAGCGGGCCGGACGCTCGGTCCGATGCCCGTGCTTCATCATCGTCGAGCTCGACAGCCTCGGGTTCACGCCGGGGGTCCTCTGAGAGCGTGATAAACCCCCATTATATTACTAGATTTATGCCAGAATAGATCTTGAAGGTTTGGGAACAAACAGAGGCCGGCAAACATTCAAACTTGAGTTCACGAGTCAGACTCTCGACATACTGTATATTCCGTCCTCGATCGTGCTTGCCCGCGCCCTTTCCTCGCTGTCCCTCGCTCAGATCGTATCGGATTTGCCTCGAATTAACTGCATTGCGGAGGGGGATGTCTCCTTTACGTTTCCATGTATGCATCTGATAATTTCGAGGATTTGATGCTTCTCTATACTAAAAGCATTGCAGCTGAGCGCTCTCGACGAGATCCAGCAATCTGAGGGTTTGATCATGGTCTCCATCCTGTCATACTCTCTGAGTACAGCCATGTATAGTATACTATAGCCTCTATATACTTTATTGAGCTCAAATCCCCTCACGGCAGGCTGTGACACTGCTGAAAAGGGACAGATGCCGGGCGGTCCCGAGGAACAAGGCTTGCGGTCCCGAAGAACAGCACGACGCGTGGTTGTTGCTCGTGTTCCCCTTGATCACCACCACCACCACCACCAGCGCGCTCCCCCTTCTTTGAACCCACCCCCCTCCTGCTTCCTCCTTTCCACGCACCTCGCGCTCATTCACATCAACAAAGAATTTCGTTCTCAGGGATATCGCACGCGGCATGACAGCAGGATGACCCAGGATCACGGGGAGGGGGAGAAATGGTGCGTGAACGTGCCCCCCATTGCTCTCCGTTACTGATGTCTGCTACTATTTGAGGAATGAGGGGAGGGAGGACGACACTGCGCAACAGCGCATTGCGTTCTCACTCCCCTCTCTTCACGCCCTCGGCCGTCTTCCGCGGGCGCTGTCAGGTCGCGACAGGCGCGTAATGCGTCCCAGTCGTAGTCCTAAAGCAGTGGGGGGCAGCGTCAATGCCCGTCCACGCGCGGTTGCGTACTCAGCGCCCACGCCCCAAGGCTTCCCATGCACCCCACCCCGCGGTCGCACTAGCCCCCCTCCCACACCCTCCTGCAGCAAGAACCCACGCTAGGCGTATTAGCATGCGCCATACGTCGGGTCTGCCGCCCTCGATGGCTCAACCACGCGTCTGGCAGTGCCCATCCGCCCGCCTCCCCCTAGCTTGCTACGTGCCGCCGCGGACGCGTCCCTCGACACGAATGGGCGCCCGTAGCTCGGGGGGATGCCTCCCTACCCTCCCCCCCTTCTCGACGCGTTCCCGCGCGCTCTGCGAGCACCAGGAGCGCATCGATCGCGGGCGAAAATTTTCGCCCGCGCTGTTTTCGTGTTTTCACTGGCTTCCCCCCCCCCTCCCCGCCTCCTTTTCGTGCATATATACACATTAGGCACATATTCTATTCATCTACAAGCATCCCGCGCGCGATACGAGGCGTCGCGGCAGCACGCGGCGCGCCCCCGACGCGCGGAGCGGGGCGCGCGTGACGCATCCGCGGGGTGACGCGTGTCACGCGAGCCGCCCGACGCACGCGCGGCGCGCATCACGGCGTCGGTGCCCTATAAGGGCATCGCCCGGGGCCGGCGGCTGGCGCAGAGGGCGGGCGAGCTCGGCTTTTGCCGGGCCCGTGATCACGTCGCGTAGATTTCAAACCGAATTACGCAAGTTGTCGGGTTGGTTTTGAAACCTATTTACAGCATCAGCTGGCTGGCGACGACGACGGGGACCACGGCGATGGCCGAGGATGCAGGAGGGTACGGCACTGTCCGAGTAGCTGTAGCTATAGTAGTTTTCTCAGTCAGTTGTTGCATCAGTTGATGCAACAAAGGCCTGAGAGCTCAGGCTTATGAGTTCAGGCTTTTGATGCATCAGTTTCCCCTGAGAGCTCAAGGGGCTGTTGCAACAGAGGTCTTGTTAGTGGTGCTCAAGCGACACTTCCTCGTCGACACTTCTGCTCATCCCGACAGGGTAGACAGGGTAAAGCCAGATGGTCTCGTGTACTCTGGCAGTCTCGGGAGCTATGTCGATCTGGACGGCTGTCGCACGCGCCTTGACGAGGCTTTGTTGGGTATCGAGGACAAGTTGGAGCTTGACATCTTTGACGATGACGCTGCTGTTGGCGCCTTCGAACCAAAGCTCACCGACAAGGAGAGCGACGCGGTCGGCCAGGTCCTGACCTACATCGAGCGGATGCACTGTCGCCAGAACCGCACCTTCTCATTCTTCCTCTTCATCAACGCCGAGTACTTTCGCATCATCCGCACCGATCGGGACGGCATGGTCGTGACAGAGAAGCGGCTCTGGAGGAAGAAAGAGGATGAATATCAGTGCCTCAACGAGTTTCTTCACCGCTTCGACAACCTCATTCCCGAGGACCAAGGCCAGGACACGTCTGTTCGCCGGGTCCCGAAGGAGCGTGCGCATCTCGAAGAGCCTGCTAAAGCAGCCCTTGCGCCGTACCTCGAGGACCTCAAGAAGCGCAAGCCGCTCGCGCTAGACGCACCCATCCTCGAAGTAGATGTGCCAATCGACCAGAATGCGAAGTCTGGGTGGCGTCGGTTCTATGTCTGGGCTCCCACCATCGAGCCGCATGGCATCCGCACGCGTGCGACAGTCGGGTATCTGTTGAGGTTGCAGTTCGGCCGCTCGCCCGATGCGACGAGTCATTTTGTGCTTTTCGGACTTATCGCTCTTAGTTTACGTATATAAACCCCGCTGAATATACAGGAACCTCGTACGCTTGTCGAGGTTCCCACCACTAACAAGACCTCTGTTGCAACAGCCCCTTGAGCTCTCAGGGGAAACTGATGCATCAAAGGCCTGAACTCATAGGCCTGAGCTCTCAGGCCTTTGTTGCATCAACTGATGCAACAACTGACTGAGAAAACTACTATAGCTACAGCTACTCGGACAGTGCCGTACCCTCCTGCATCCTTGGCCATCGCCGTGGTCCCCGTCGTCGTCGCCAGCAGCGCGTGCACTGTCGTCGTCGTCGTCGTCGTCGTCGTCGTCGTCCCGCCCTCCGACGCGCGCGCGCACGTGCAGCCCGCCTCCCGAAACTTCCCACGCTCCTCCCGCCGCGTCGCCCCGCCCTCCCGCCGCGTCGCCCCGCCCTCCCGCCGCATTGCCCCGCCGCGTCGCCCCGCCCTTCCCGCCGCGTCGTGTAGCATCGCCCAGCCATCTCGCCACGCACACGGCTTGCCCCACTACCTAGCGCGTCGGGCTCGCACCATCCATCGCGCTCGCACGTGCACCTGCGATCCCTCGCCTCCCGTTCCCGCCTCTTCCCACGCTCCTCCCGCTGCGTCGCCCCGCCTTCGCCCCGCACACGATTGTGGCTGGCTCATCGCACTCGCCCTCCTCGCAGTTGCACGTGCAGCCGCAGGCTCGCCGACGCTCATCCTTCCCGGCTTGCATGGGTACCCCGCACGTGTCCATTGGGAAACTCAGCCCCGCTTGCGAGCCATCGCGGGCTCGCCTGCTGCCACGCTGCACTACATCGCGCTCTCGCTGGGCCGGAGGTAGTCAGGGAGCCCGAATGTGGGCCCTGGACAGCCGCGGCAGGTGACTGCCATCCACACCCAACCACGCGAGCGACTTGCACTACCCATCGAAGAGCAGCGCGTGGCACATGCGCAGCGTGTCAATCGGCGCGCACGTGGAGAATCACGTAGCGTGCCAACTGACGAGGTGGAGGCCGACGAGGGCAAGGGTGTAGAGATGAGAATGTAGGTGCCGATGACGTGGGTGAGGAAGCCAGGAGCGTGTGGTGAGCGCGGTGCGGCTGGTGTGATAGGGAATGCGCTGGCGGTGTTGTAGTTGTCGATCGCGAGCAGTGCGAGATGAGGTGCGGTGGGCGCGCGTGCGATGCAGGCGAAATGAGAGCCGCCGTTGATCATTGTGAAAGCGCGTTATTGGATGCTCGATGTAGTGAGAAAGTTCAGGGCCCGGGATATTGAGCGCTTGAAGTGCCGGAAAAGCATTCGCGATGGGCGGCACCAATGGTGGGACGATCGAGGTGGTGGTGGTGGAAGACAGAGTTGCGAGGTGTGTTTGGCTCAAGTCGTAACGCCACATCAAAACTCGTACAAACAGTCATGCACAATACACTCGGACCCACAAGTTCAAATCTCCGCAGTTCAAGATGTGTATTCACGAGGGTAAGTCGAGGGATATATTGTACTATGGGTGATATATAATAAGGGTGTATATAAGCTGTAAAGTAAGGTAACACGAAGTCCAGATGAAAGAATGAAGGTACAAGGACAACGAGAAGTTGAAGTTCGTCAGTGACATCAGGATAGCGAGAGAGCGTCGTTCGTGAGAGCATTGCGGTCGTAAAGGGAGAAATACCAGCCTTCCAGTGCGGAATATGCGAAAGGATCATAGCTATATCAGCGGCGGCGGCGGCGAGAGGACGAAGAGGTGGAAGTTGAGGCGCGGCTAACGTGAGATGGCGTCGCAGCCTTCGACTCCTGCTGCTTGCGCTTCTTAGCAGGCGGGGGCGGAGGAGCATCGCCCGATGACATCCTCTTGCTATAGCATAGATATCAGTACGGAAACAAGGCTAAAAGGGCATGAGAATATGACGAACCTGCCAGTCTGGGACCTCCGAGTTACACCGGCCATAGCATTGAGAATGCCGCTCAGTTCGACGCATGCAGCTTCCCAATTATCGCGCTGGGTGGTAGTGTAGGTGCCGTGACCGTGTACCGCATCGCCCCACCAGAGAAGCGAGAGCACAATCTGCAGGACACCGTCCTTTCCGCAGGCCTTGTCCAGTCCATTCCAGGTCGTCGCGTCGGCGAGATCTACGCGCGACAGGTCGAGCAAGTAGCTGTTCTGGTTGCGGAGCCCTTCGGGAAGGTGTGCCGCCAGCCAGCCCCACCACTGCTGAGTGTACTCGTCGATGTCCTTGATGAGCATTGGGCGATCGTAGGGGCGGGCAATCTTGAGCCAAGCAGCATACTGCGGCGGGCGTGTCTTCTTGTCACTGATGACCTTGCGGCCCGCGTCCTTCGCTGGAAAGCCATGCGCCTCCTCAAACTCGACGTACGACTTGACGGCATCTCCGAAAGCCGTTGCCCAAGACTGTCCGCGCCTACAAGCTGTGACAGCCAGGCGTACGTGCTCAGACCACGCCGGCATCGCGTTCAGCTTCCATATGTCGTGGATGATGGGAGGAACGTTCGGATGGGAGCCGATTGCCGTGGGCGTAGCGGCCGTACGCAGCACCGGCTGCAGAGAAGCGCTCGCCGGCGGAGGCAGCGCCTGCGATGGCGCATGCGGCTCATCCATTCGCGGCAGGTTCTGCTGACAAGCTGGCGCCTGGATAGCGCGCGACGCAGATTTGGAGACGACGGATGATGCACGAGAAGGCTGAGCCGGCGATGACGCGTGGAGGAACAGAGGCTCGTCCTCGAGGGTAGGGGTCATTGGACGTGGCGCATTATTGAAGTCATTGGTGTTGTCCTGTTCATGGATCATGCGCATCATGTCGTGCTCGCGCTCAAGGCTGTCGTCGACGTGGGCGAAGGAGTTGTTGTCCCCCTCGCGAACGACCTCGACGTTGCTGTCCTCTTGCTCTTGCTCGTGCTCATGTTGTCCAGGTTCGTGCTGACCCTGCTCGTCGTTAACTTCGTTCGCGTCGTATCCGGAGGTTTCGTCATCGTTAACATGGTCGTAGAAGTGGTCGTCGAAGAGGTCGTCCACGCTGGGGGGATTGTCGTCCTGCTCATCGGGTGTTGAATGATCCTCGTTTTCGGCCTCGAGAGGGCCCGTCAACATCGAGGGAAGTGCTCGCGACATGCGTGTCTTCTTGCCTGCCTGAGTGTTAGAGCATGACTGGACTGGAGGACAAGCAACTCACTGAATACATGCTGTCCGTACTCCAGCATCCCCTTCTCCACTTGACGAAACTTCTCTTTAAAGAGCTGCGGCCACTTGGCTTTCGTGAGGGAATCCGCCGGATTGGCATGGACGCTGTCCATCTTCGGTCAGCGACTCGTGCGATCTGTAAGGCTATTCACGCACCTAAAAACTCCAAGATCTCCTCCGTCTTCGGGCATCGGGGCACATATCATGATCGCCGCAATACCCTTGAACGACCCCGCCGCAGCGTCAGCGAACGGTTGAAGGTAAAGGGCAGCCGAATCGTATAACCTGTCGCGCGTTGAGCTGGTGAACACGGCTAAAAGGTCAGGAACGTACCTCTGGAGCTCTTCAGGCGTCGACGGCGCGTTGGGGTTAATCAGCTCGCGAGCCGCTCGCCGTTGCCTGTCCAACTCCTCCGCGTGCATCTTCTCCACCATAGCCTTGTACTCGGGGGGCTCCTTTGCCCAAAACTCGTTCGTAACGCGGTTACGGACACCCATGGTTGTCGGCTTGTCCTCGGAGAAAGGGGCTCCCGCTGACCCGGCTGCCTCCTTCTTCGCCTGCCAGGACTGCATCTCCGCCTGGAAGCGCTCCTCGAAAGTCTTCTTGATACGCTCCGTGTAGCATAGAGTCGAGTAGTATTGGGATGTGCGGGTAGAGACAGTGATCTTCGTCTTGCCGGCAACTTGGGCGAGCGCGACGGCCTGAAGGTCAATTGACACCGTTCGATTATGTTGCTTTGCTTTCCGTCGGTAGTAAGCACTGATGTCCTATGAGAGACGCGTTAGGAGCTAGGACAGTAGCGAGAAGGCAGAACCACGTACAGAAGCCAGCCCGGTGATGACTGTTGCCCGTTTTCCGCACTCGTCCGCGGTCAAGCCCCTCGTGGTGACGAGTGCATCGACATCCGCCTGCGTCGGCTCTTCCTCGCCGTTCTCGATATCCTGCTTCCTGAAGTCGAATTCGAAAGGATTATTGCCAGCGAGGCAGAGCAATCCTCGCGCGACAGTGCGATAGACCAGGCGTCTGGCTCGGTCAGACGTCGCGGCTTCGAATTCTGCGCGGTGGTGGTCGATGTAGACGAACTTGTTGCCACACACCCACGACGCCGGCGCCATAGAAGCGATGGACGGGCACTTGAGCCGCGCTAGAAGATGACTGCGTAACAAGAGAGGTGAGCGCCAAATAACTGCCGCATCTTGCCGTGCAACAACACGACCAAATAAACAGTTGCCACCATGCATACAGGCGGTCCTTGGGACCTCTCTCAGACGAAATGCAAGATCAAAGCGATATCAAAACAAAAGAGTATCAATCTGAGTCCATTCAGGTTCAAAATAGGAAGGATGTATCATATAGGTCAAATGGGGGAGTAACGGCGTTCCTGGCGCAGACGTGCCAAGCGAGAGAGAGGGGCGGGGCCGCGAGGAGTAAACAACGTACGGCGTAGGTTCTCCAGCTCAGTATGGTCATGAATAGGGTCTAGAAGCCGTTCTGTTGGTTTGAAGTGGTGACGGTGTTCTTCGTACATCTGCGGATCGCAGCGCAAACGTACTACAAGGTTGAAGTACCGCTCTCGTGCACGAGCTAAGCGAGCCTGCTGCTCGTGAGCGTCGAGCCCTGCCTCCCAGAACTGTGTCCCTTCAAATGGCAGCATGGGATATCGCTCGTCCTGTCGAAAAGACGAGTTAGCGATGATCACAAGCAAGGCATATAGACACACCAATAGGCGAGACCTTTCGGTCGGATCCCGCGCCAAAGCCCGCCTCTCGCGCGCCTCTGCAACGCGGACCAGCTGTGCTTCCCTCCGCTCCTTCCGTTCCTGCTCCTTCCTATCCTCCTCCTCGAAAAAATCGACCTCACCCGGGCGCAGCACGTATCCGTTCTTGGACAGACGCCAGCCTCTCGGTAGAGGCTGTTGCCGGTTTGCCGAAGACGAACCCTGTCGGGGCTCTACGCGGGGCGAGGTCGCTTGAAAAAATTGGATGCTCCGAGACCGACGTGGTGGTTCAAGGGTGCTGGTGTCGGAAAGACGTGCACTGTAAGGGTTCCCGTGTTGGGGTCGACGAATGGCAGGTGTAGGAGGTAAGGAAGAAGCTAGAGATGTTTGCCGAGCCCTGCTAGAGGTGCTCGGCGCCGCAAGGGGCATGGGGGCTGCCAGACGTGAAGGCGTGAGGAGAGACTCAGAGGCGCGGACGGACGTCAGGCCGGCCGATCACGCCGTCTCGGCAAACACCGAAAATCGAACTTCGAGCGATATGTACAACGGCCATAGACTAGTAAAATATCTCTCACTTCTCTGGTGAGCCCCTATAGCATACCCAGTACCTGTATACTATATCCTCATCACTGACTTTGGTGGTAATCGAATGGATTCTACAATGTGAACACTGATGTATATGACGCGGTCCGACCGACAGCTGCCAGCGGTCCGAGCTGTATCGAGTTGTGTGCTAAGCCTGCTGAAGATTCGTAGAAACGCAGCATTCTCGAGATACAGATACCTCGCCTAAAGCAATGATCAAGTCAGGTGGCCATGAAATATATTTGGCCCGTTGAAGAGCCCGACTGAGCTAGCGATGCTCATTGCCATAAATCGCAATCAGATGCGACCGTTTAACGAGACACCTGCTCGTACTGGCGCGCTCATT